GTTTTTAAGTTATTATTAGCTAATATTCTTAAAGTAAAATAATATATTTTTAAAGCTTCCGGAATTCTAATTAAAAGAATTTATAATAATAAACTTTTTTCTGTTTTTCGAAATAAGCCTAAAGAATAAGCCCCTATTATAATTTTAGCTTTAATTTAATTAGATTTAGCTAATAAAAATAAAGCTAATTTAATATAGTCTAGTAATAATTCTATTAATATAATTAGTTAAAAAGAACCTAGTAAGAATAGAAAGTGAACTAAGCCTAAAACTTCTAATAAATAGCGAAAATCCGAGTACTAGTCTAAATATAAGACTAATAAAATAAAGGAAAATATAGAAGAAGCAAGTAAGAAGAAATTCTTTATTCTAAAAAGAAAGATATTATTTAGAAAGACTCCCGTAATTATATCTAGAACTAAGAAACAGAAAATTAAGGATATTAAATCCGGAGAAATTAAAGATAATAAATATATTTATAAAATACTAGCTAAATAAAAGTTAATATTTACTTAATAAAATAAATATATTTTTAAAGAAATATATAATAGTATTTTGGAATCTATTTATAAATAAAAGTATTATAGAATTACTAATAGATTTCTTAAAACTTCTTATAAAATATATATTTAATAGTTTACTAATACTTTTTTTTATTAATATAAGAGATATTTATATTATTAAAAATATTCTAAAGCTAGTTACTAAGATTTATAAAATTACTAAAAGCAAGAAATATATTTCTATTACTTGAATAAATAAGAAAATACAGGATTTCTTTTTAGAAAGCTAGGAAATTAAGGAATATAAATATAAGTATTATATTTCTAATTAATTTTAATTTAATATTATAATTTCTGTTTCTAAGTTTAGTATTATTAATTTAGGTATAAATAATTATATTTATAAGAAAGATTATTTGAAATAAATTAAAAAGCTTAGTATTTAAGAGCTTTTAATATAAGAAATAGAAATACTATAATTTCATTTCTAAAAATATATATATATATATATAATAAAGTATAAAAATCTAAATAATAGCTATTTTACCTTAGTTTCTTAACTCTTAATAGTAAATTCATTAATATAGCTCGGATTTTATAAAGTATTAAATAAGTATTCTATTTATCTAATTATTTATTTTTAACTAATTAAATATTATATTCCTGGAAATATTAATTATAATTAATATAAAGATAATATTAAAAATCTGGCTATTATTAAAGCTTTAAATAGCGAATTCTATTTTAATAAAGAATATCGGAATATTAGCTATATTTTTCTTATAAACTATAAGAAAGCTAATATCTTTAATAAGAAGTTCTTTAAAGATATTAATTATTCTTCTATTTCTAATAATTTTAAACCGGAAATAGTAAAGGAAATAGGTAAGTATTTACTAAAAGTAATAAGAGAAAAGGCTTTAAATATAGTTTATTTAATTAAATAAATAAATGCCTTTAGCTAAATAATTTATAAATTTGAAATTATAAATAAGTAATAATTCTCGAATAATATAGAAACTAAAGAATAGCTTAATAATAATTTGCTATTTAATAGACCTTTTATTATAATTCTAATAAGTCTAGTTACTATTAAGAATAAAATATACGAAAATAAAGTCTTTTATAAAATTATTAAAGCCTCTTATTTAGAGCTTTCTTCTTTTATTAAAGGTTAATTTAAAAATATTATAAATAATATAAAATTCGAAAAAGCTATTTATTTAGAATATATTAGTATAATTTATAATATAATTTGCTATAATAAGCCTTTTTAATATCTAGTAATAAAGGCAGAAATTAAATAATAGTTAAAGGCGGATATTAATTAATATAAAGAACTATATTAGATTTAGTATAAGAATATAACTAAACGGGTTCGGATTACTTTTAAGTAAATTTGGGAATATAAAATAAGACTATTTAAGGGTAATAGATTTTATTTTAGGTATATTAAAAAGAAATTAGATTAGCTAATAAAGGAAAATCCTGATTATTTTATTATTTCGGACTCTGAGTAGGATTTTTCTATTAGTTTTGGTATTTAGGGAATAAGTATAAATAAATAGGAGGTCGGATATAGTATAGCAAGCCATACTCTCTAAAAATTATATTATTTTGGCGGTTTTGAGGTTTTGGTTATATGGCAAAGGCTACGGCCTTTTATATATGACTTACGGGAATTATATAAGAAAGCTGGTTTTTCTATAGTCCTAGAGAATAATCCCTCCTCAATATTCAATTAATTGAGCTTTTGCATACTGTATACTATTTATACTTTACTATTTATGCTTTTGATCTTGTTATTTTGCTGTCAAGTTACGTTTTTACACTCTGGTGTACTTTATGTGGGTTTTTGTCTTGTCGCAGTTTCCCTCCTATACTAGCAGGCGCCTGGCGGGCCGTTGGGCGGAGGTCGGGGTTGGAACGAGGTGTGAACGAAGACAGGTGTTTATTTATTATTAAAGCTAGTAGATACAGTGTGGTTTTTGGAGAGGAAAGTTGATCCATATTATGGGAAATACAAAGGTATTCTCGCTAATTAATAATATCGATCAGTTTAAGTAATACTATGGATCAGCTACTGGCTCAAAATCGTTTAAAACGGAATCGAAGCTTAATAAGCTAATGCAAATGAAGAAATTTACTACTATTTCCTTTATGTTCGAGATGTGATATAAGATTTAACATTGAGATAGCCCCAGTTTAAGAATTCAGCCGTTTGTGATATAATTGTTGTTTTATGCTTCCTTACAATTACGGTTCATATATGTCCTAGTGTCAAAAGCCCAAATGGGACGTTTACATAAGAATTGATATAACAATTGATATCCCACTTCGCGCACTTGATTTAAACACGACTTGCTTGTATTGCGGCTTTTGTAAGTATCGTGTTGAGAAGTTCCTTAGCATACGCAGCTGCTGTTGTAGTAGCATATGGCTGCCGCCTCTTGTTCTTGTAAGAGTCTGCGTAGTCGTAAATCCCTCGAATAATAAGGCATGGAAAGGTATTCATTAAGCCAGCTGCTTCTATCTCAAAACAAAGAATTCTACCAAACTCTGCACTTAACCGATCCCTAGTCACTTTATCCCTCATGACTTGATTTCCAGAAGCAATAGTCCCGAAATGGAGCAACGCATCTGTATTTGGCCGAGGAATCCTTATCACGAGCCCACCCTCGGTACAACTATTACAGGTTAGTCCCCTAGCATGATTATATATCAGCTTGTATAATGTATCGTACTTTGCACCTTGGTATGCAAATTCCGGCAGGCGGTCGAGGAGAGAGGTGCTCTAATAGCTTGACGCGTTGTCGCATGTAATTCGATCGAAGCTTAGTAAAAGCGGCCAGGAGAACATAGGTAATGCATTTAAGCTACCCTTCATACCTCAAAGCTCCGCCCAATCAACGCTTGATCTTTGGAATCTCGCTTTCCTCTTTCCAAACCCGCTGCTCTTCTTTAAAATGGGCTGGAAGTTCGCCACATCGACGACAGGATTTATCTTCGAGTGTGTTTAGGGTACGGCACTAACTTCGTATTAATGCTTGTACTTGGTGGAAGAGTCATTATTGATATCCGTACTGGAGAAGATTCTCCTCTTGTATTTGATAGAGATTCCAGTACCTCAGCCCGTCGATTATATTTCTAGGAATCTTCAGCGCACGAGGGTGGATGCCATAGTACTTCCGCAACGGCCCCTAGGTTCTGGGATGGGGCTTGTTTCTACGCCAAGAGTCCGTCTCCGTGTATTCGCATGGTAAACACACTCCCCGGTTCGCGAGCACCTGATTTGGGAAACCGTGCTCCAAGTCCTTTCATCTCCCTTTTTAAACTGCAAAACCGATGCCGCAAATTGGGCCCAAAAGTTGGAAGAAAACGTCAGTCTCGCAGATCATGAGATTGAGATAGTTGAAATTGAAGGTAGGAGATTGGTCGGGATGAGGGGAACTGTATTTTCAATTGAGCACTTGGTTAACTATAGGATCTTGGAGAGGGGTGACAAGGACGAGTTCGTTGTGTTGTTTCATATTCCTCGCGAGGCTATAGGGGGACCTGTCTTGTTCTAGGAGGAGGGCAAGGAGGAGAAGGAGAGCGTTACAAGGGACGAAAATGCGTTCCGTGTTATGGTTGGTGGGCTACTCCTACTGTGAACCTACAGAAGGATGAAGATTGTTCATCGTTCTCTAGACCTCTTCATACATACAACAATATATAATCAAAGGCATTTGGCGGATGTGGATTTATTTTTTCAAACTGAACTTCGTATGCAAAGAACAAGTTTACGCCCCAGCAGCAATCTCCATAGCCTTCCCCTATTCTACCCTACCCACTTCACCTACAACTCGACTTTGACCCTACTTACCCCAGCTGTAATATATTAGGTTTGAATCACTTCTTTAACCCTATTATATCAAACAGAAGAGCATCTGAATTCATCCTGGAAATACAGACAAGGAAATATTGGCAGTTCTCAAGGTTCACCACGTGATTCCCAATTGACCATATATCACCCCCTTCCGTTCTTAAACTTTATTCTTTCCGTCTTTCATCCTCCTCAGACTTCACTTGAAATATGATCGAGGTGTATCACGAAGATGAGAGAATAAAGAAATACAGCGTACATTCCACCAAAGATAAGGAGAACTTGAACTCCAAAACTCTTACAAACTCCGCCATACTCGGTTAACGAGGCCCCTTTTCTCTCAGGTTATGGCATCAGCACGCCTTAACAGAACTGATATATACGAAGGAGAGTTATATGGGGACAGGACGCCATCCATGGAGGAACTGCCCCTTTTCCTGGTCCAAGAAAAACAGACGCCGTCCCAAGGTTGCCCTCCACATGCAGAACCAAAGATCAGGCCCCTCCGTAGCCCCTGTTGTGTTGGTTGAAGGTTAATTATCTCGATTGGACGCCACATCAGGCTGGAACTTTGGGCACTTCTGCACAATGTTGCGCTTGAATATCACGACAACAACACCTTCCACCATGCCATGGATCTTTTCAAGCACAGAAATAAGCAGAAGCCAGCAGCTGCTGTTAGCGCTGGCTCTTCAACGCCGGAGATTGCAGAAAGGATCAGAGACAAGTTCCGTCGCAAGAGACAAGGAACCCAGCCTGATACTGCATTGACAGCATCCTCGACTGCTGGATTTGCTGTGTCAACTGCGTCGCATGACACTGGAGGCCCTTTGCAAGTACCTGTTGGCAACTGTAATCCGCAGAAGGACAACGGAGAATCAAGCGCACTGCCGTCTCTGTGGGACCGCGCGTATGAAGCCCTGAGGATCAAGGATTTCGAACTGGTGGAGAAGTACGAGAAGCTGCTATCAAGAGAGCTCCAAGATACAGGTGCGAGTCTTATTAGAGCATATGCTACTGCTGCTGACCCAAGAGTTGCCACAGGTTCGCAATCAAATGAACCGAGCAGCAAGCCTGACCAAGCCTCGAAAAATTTGGATGAGACTGAGAATCAGATTGATCAAGATCTTCAAGCACGTCGCGTGCAACTAGACAAGATTGCCAAAGATGGCTTACAACGGATGGACGAAGGGAAGACCAAATACCATATTGCTGGTCAGGAATATGTTGTACAAGATCAGATTGCACAGACTGCCGCATTGGTTCTATGGGCAAAAGAATGGATTGGTAAGGCTATCAAAGTCTCTCCGGAAGCATCAATGGCCTTCGCAGGTGTGTGTATGATTCTGCCGGTCCTCACGAGGCCCATTGCCGCAGACGAGGCCAATCTTGATGGGTTTACCTATGTCACAACGCGGATGCGATATTATATCGCACTCGAACCCCTCCTACAACCTCGTGATCGTGATCACTCCAGTGCCACTATCACCCCAGATTTGATCTTGGGGTTTGAGTGCCATATCGTGGATCTGTATCAACATATTCTTGAATTTCAATTCCGAAGTGTCTTGCGATTCTACCGGAGACGTTTCGGGAACTTTGGGCGAGATTTGATCCAACATGAGGACTGGGTTAAGTTGCGGACCAAGATCGAAACACTTGAAATCGTCGTGCGGAACGATTCCCAGCAAATAAATACTTCGTCTTCAAGGCAAGAACTCGAGAATCTCAACCAGAAGGCGGGCAAGTCTCTTGAAACCATGCACGACATCCTGTCAGTAGCCGAAAATCAGCTGCACGTGGCCGAGCAGTCCCTGCAGGTGCAGAAAGAGATTGCAAAAAGGATGCTATCCAAAGACGAAGGAACGTGTCTTCAACTCCTCCGTCTCACGAAGGATGAAAAGGATGAGACATATGAATGGTACAAAAACCGAGTGGAAGATCGAGTGGAAGGTACTTGCCAATGGTTCTTGCAACACGACAACTTCAAAAACTGGTTGAGGCAAGACTCAGGCCCTCTATTGGTCTCGGCAGATCCTGGGTGTGGAAAGTCTGTCTTGGCCAAATACCTGATCGACGTCGAATTGCCCCGATCGAGTACCACTTGCTACTTCTTCTTCAAAGACCAGGATCAGAACACTCTCAAACAAGCGTTCTGCGCATTACTACATCAGCTCTTCACCGAAAAGCCTTCCCTAATTCGACATGCCATGCCAGATTATTCCAACAACGGACCAGATTTTGTGAAAATCACGACATCGCTCTGGAAAATATTAGGGAACGTCGCTCAAGACCCCGAAACAGGACCTGTCATTTTCGTCTTGGACGCGTTAGACGAATGCAACGAATCTGACTTTCGGGATTTGATCCGCATGTTGAAGCAGCTATTTCATAAGGATCAGAGGCAACTCAACGAGACGAAATTCCTCGTAACCAGTCGCCCCTATGAACACATCGTTTCCGAATTCCGAGAGCTGGTCGATGCTTTCCCTCATATTCATATACCGGGGGAAGAGAGCTCGGAAACCATCAGCCAGGAGGTGAATCTTGTAATCGAATCTCGAGTTGAAAAATTGGCCAAGGAGAAGAATTTGAAAGCGGAAATCAAGGATCATCTCAAACAACGATTGCTCGAAATTCCCCATCGTACCTATCTCTGGGTTTACCTGGTATTCGACTTCTTAAAGTCAGAGGTCTTTAAGAAAACGAGGAAGGGCATCGATTCCACGATTGATACACTCCCTGAGAGTGTAAATCAAGCCTATGAAGGGATCCTTAGTAGGTCCAAGGACCAGGGGATAGTTCGGAAGGTCTTGTCTATAATATTGGTAGCGAAACGACCTCTCACGCTCGCGGAGATGAATGTTGCCCTCAATGTCGATGCCTCAACAAGATCTTTGGAAGACCTGGACCTTGAAGCAGAAGACGACTTTGAAAAATCCCTAAGAAACTGGTGTGGTTTGTTTGTGTCGATCTACCATCATAAGGTCTACTTCCTTCATCAAACTGCTCGAGAGTTCCTTCTTCCAAAACTTGCATTGTCTTCGATGCCCCCTTCGCGGTGGAATGGCTCCATAACTCCCCAGCAAGGCCATCTTGTTCTTGCGGAGATTTGTGTAGTCTATCTCGAGGTTGTTTTGCCACATGTTCCAGAGGCAAACCCAGAAACTGACAGCAACATCGATTACCCCGTCTTTCTCGACTATTCGGCCACATATTGGCCTGGGCATTTTCGCGAGGGTGACATTGGTCAGGATGCTATAGACGCATCATTAGCTTTGAGACTTTGTGATCCTGATATAAAGGGTTTCTCGATTTGGACCAAAATTTATGATCAAGGTCCCGGCTATTCCATGGGTCATGTTGGTCATATGGATCGCGGGCTTAATGTAGCCTCTATTTTGGGACTTGAAGCCGTTGTGAAGCTGCTGCTAGCGAGAAGCGATATCGATGCCGATTCGAAGAATACTGTTAATGGATGGACCCCGCTCTCCTTCGCTGCCCAGAACGGGCATTTAGCGGTTATTAAGCTACTACTTGCGAGAGACGTCGACCCTGATTCTAAGGATAAGGAGGAACGGACCCCGCTTTCCCACGCTGCAGAGTGGGGCCATGAGGCCATTGTTAAGCTACTACTTACAAGGGAGGTTGACCTTGATTCTCAGGATACGATTGGACGGACCCCGCTCTCCTTTGCTGCGGAGGGAGGGCATCTAGCGATTATTGAGCTTCTCCTTGCGAGAGACGTCGACCCTGATTCTAAGGATACGGGTGGATGGACCCCGCTCTTCTTTGCTGCGGAGGGAGGGCATCTAGCGATTATTGAGCTTCTCCTTGCGAGAGACGTCAACCCTGATTCTAAGGATATGGGGGGAATGACCCCGCTCTACTCCGCTGCCTTGAACGGGCATTTAGCAACTATTGAGCTACTACTTGCGAGAGACGCCGACCCTAATTCGAAGGACAAATACGGACGGGTCGCGCTCTCCTACGCTGCCTTGAACGGGCGTCTAGCAATTATTGAGCTACTACTTGCGAGAGACGTCGACCCTGATTCTAAGGATACGAATGGACAGACCCCGCTCTCCTTTGCTGCAGGGGGAGGTTATAGCGACGTTGTTCGACAGTTACTTGAAAGTGGCGCCGACACCGACTCGATCGATGATTTCGGGGAAACACCGCTCTCGCGAGCTGTAGCAGGGGGGCGTGAGGACACCGTTGAGTTGCTACTTCCTAGAGTCGCAGACCCTAACTTGAAAGTTTTTGAAGATGGACGGCCCCTGCTCTCGCACGCTATAGCCAAAGGGAACGAGGGTATTGTAAAGTTGTTGCTTACGAGAAGCGATATCGACGTTGTGTCGAAGGACAAAAAAGGAAATACCCCACTAATGTTAGCTAAAGTAGGTGGTCACGAAGGAATTATCAAACTACTAGAGGACCACCTAGGTGCAAATCCGCCATACTCTATTTCATTTACCAGACGGCAACCCCGCAGCAGAGACGGGGGAAATGGGATTTCGAGGCGGAAGCTGGTTTTGGATATTCCAAAGGAGAACGAGCATGCGGAGCGACCTTGAACAGACAGAAATTTGAGGAGCAGTTGTTGTGGGGAGCTTCTCAGCTCGAGTAGCTGCGACGTTATTAGTACAGAGATGCTCATTGGAGAGAGACGAGAGAGAAATCGATAATCAACAGAAGCTTCCACTACATTTAGGTAGATGAGGAAACCCCCGCACCCCAAGAACTCTCATAACTCCGCCTTAATGATTAAAACACAGCCGCTTGCTGCACGAAACAGGTGAGCCATAGCAGCACTGATACCGGAAAGAGAACATGAGAATGGCACACAACCAATGATGAAACCCGTAACTTGTGGTGTTCCGTTTAAGTAAATCCCAGAACTCATTTGCTCCCCTTCAAAACTAACTCCCACCACCGCCAGCAACGCCCGAAATATGTCCTCTAACAATAACCATTTTCGGACCCCCACTTCCCTCCAACTCCCCACCCCAACTACCAACCGTACTCCCCTCATACCGACTACCCATCGTCATCGTCAACGCCTCACTCACCCCCGGGCTCGCCATATCCATCCCCGATTTCTGCTCCGCATCCAGCTCCTGCGGACTCACCCCTCTCTCCCTCCCCATCTGTTTTGTAACCTTCCTTCCCCAGACCGGCCCCACATTCCACACAACCTTCGACTTCTGTCTCTTCTCTCCGCCCACCAATTGCCTCCTTCTCATCCACATCAACAGGAAATACATCGCTCTTACCAGTGCAACAGCGATCAGAACGACGCCGATGCCAACACCAGCTTTGGAGGCTGGGGTCCAGCCTGATTTCGGGGGCTGGATGCTGATGTAGAGAGTTGTTGAGGAGGATGTCGTGGCGGGTGGTGTTTGGGCTCCGGTGGGCGGCGGTGGGCCGGTTGTGTTGGAGGGGTTGAGGACACTGATCCTCATTAGCATTGATCTTTAATTTCAATTTTGACATGAAGGGGAAGGAGGAGAGGCTCACCTATCAATCATATGTACCACCCCATTACAAACCAAATAATCATACGTCATAATCCTCGCACTATTAACAAACGTATTGTTTCCCTGAATCGTGATGGTAAGATTTGTGCCTTGCAATGTGCGCAGCTGCATTCCATGTTTCAACTGGGTGCTATAGCCCAAGAACCCAGGGACGGTGTGGTAGTTGAAGATCTCAGCAAGTTGCTCTTGAGACATGGTTGCCGAGATGGAATTGAATGAGTCTACCGCTGCTTGTGTGTTGGGCGCGAAGATGGTGTTGCTTGGTGCGTAGATGGCGTTGCTGACGAGAGGCGTGTCGTTGGGACTGAGATATCCTCCTGCATTTAGGATGGCGACAAAGTACCTGTGGAAAGTCAGAATTATTTCACAAAGGTGGTATAACACCATGCAGGATGAAATGAGAAGCGAAGGTAGTACTTCTCGAGCTCTAGGTGAAGGAAACGGAATGGGAGTCACGGCGTTGGGCTTCAACACCAACTGAACATTGAACACGCTCGAAGAATTCCCTTACCTAAAGTTTGCCTGTGTGATCAAGATCACAAAATTGAGAGGTATTGTCAAGACGGTATCGATGATTTGTATCAGTCCTCCAGTGAATAGTACATCCTATCCTATTATTCTCATCAGCTCCCTCCCTATATTCGCGTCTGGAGGTCTTACCGTTGTTGAAATCCCGCTCACGATCTTGTTCCCCGAGACGATTTCCGGGTTCCCACTACTACCCGTCAAAAGCTCCGCCCTCTGTCCACCGGTGACATTGGCGTACGTTATGTTGTTCAGGAAAGTCTTCGAAAACTGCGGTTGACTCGAGAAAGTTACCGAAGGAAATACGCCATGAACGATATGGTAAGTCAACAACGCTTCGATCTGGTCCTCCGCCAAGTTTGGTGCTTGGTTTGGAAGCCATGATTTGAAAGCAGCATTAGACGGTGCGAGGAGCGTGACGTTGTCCGCAGATGATAGTAAATTAGTCAACTTCTGAGAACCGTTCACATAGCTGTTGAACGCGCTGAGTTCGAAGTGGTTTTGAAGCACAGAAAGCAAAGCCTGGCTCCAGACGCACGAAATAAATAACAAGAGACAAAAAAATAACAACTCCATGTTTTGAAACTCGGACTCTGGAGAGGGAGTCGAGCATGTGAAGAAGAAAGAGCCGACACTGTGGTCGTGCCTTGAACAAAGTATCCACCCTCTGATATTCAACGCGAAATTTTGAGAAACCAACACTTAACTTCTACGCCTCAGGGATGCGTCTGCAGCATGTCCAAACGAGGTCAGAGCATCATGGGAAATTTGTTGGCTGTGCCCCGTCGTCACAGAACTGCGCGCGACAATGTTGGGAGACTTGGCTGCAATCTTCTGGTGTGGGGGCGGGCCCAGATTTGCTGCCCAAGTCTGGCTCATTGAGAGTTCAACTTTCAAATGTATTGAACGCTGTAGCTGCTCTTCTAATCATCAAACCAATGTCTCCATTGATTCAGACCTTGTCATATTTCGGCGAAGGGGTACATTTATCGATGCCTTCATCGAAAGACCGTGGAATTCTTCCCAGAAGGCTTGAGATTCTGACGCTGCTGCACTTAAACGCGATGGGATTACAAACCTTGTAGTGAACGTATCACTTTAGAAGAGAAAGGATAGCACCTTGCGTAAACTTTGCTTACCGCAGGATCTAAGCGCCGCTTGTGCCGTAGGGCGTCCAATCCCGGGTGGAAGACTCCAACCGATGCGGCACTGCTTCAGCTCGGGTGTGCCCCTCCCCATCTGAGCTGACCTATAGAGAGACCCAGATCGTAAAGATCCGCTGAAGAAAGCAAGGGGGAAGAATGCTATCTTTCCAAGGTCTCGGTTAAGATTCATCCTGTGTTTCTATTCGCGGGAGAAAATTGTCATCGTTTCATTTCCACATGGCAAGTACATTCCCGGGACTTGTCCCTGAATTTGAAGCAGCTCGCTTGCCAGACGTTGTCAATGTGACATAAAGGGGTGGAGAACTACTTCGTGATTGCAATCTCAGGGGGGATATTCAGTATCTCGTCCATGATCGACTGCTTGAGGAAAGGAAAACAACAAAAAAGAATAGTGCAAACAACAGCTCAGCTCTCACTTCATTCATCTGTAAAATTCTTCTTCCAACACATTTTGAACTAACACGGAAATATACCAATGGGTTGAAGTCAAAGGACCCTGAATTCAGGAACGTAGGAGGATTCGAAAGCAACCCTACCATGACTTTTCGAGGAAGACTCGATTCTTGGCGACTTGGGAGAACCCCGGTCACGATCATATCTGAGGGTAGATCGCCAGCGTATCTGTACTGGGGACCAACGACACAATCATCGCTAAACGCCCAACGGTCACAGGAATTCGAATCACCTTGCGACGCTTGGAGACTCTCTCGCTCTTGCAGATGCAGTGAACATCAGGCGAAGACGTCTGATATGATATTCGACAAGACCAACCAGGCATACGCTAACTCCTCTCTTCCCACGATTCCAGGCGTCGGAGGTTGCCCACTACCCATACCTCGCGTTCTCAACTTCATCATCAAACCAAGTTGGCTCTTGCCCATAATTGATGATCGTACTCTTCAACTTCGTGTAGCTCTCATACGCTTCGATGCCATTCTCCTTGCCCAACCCGCTCTCCTTGAACCCACCCCAAGGCGATGAAGGATCATTCAAGTGATGCCCGTTGATCCAAACTATCCCCGCATTGATTTTCTCTGCAACACGATGCGCTTGATTGAAGTCGTTGCTCCAAACAGACGCCCCTAACGCAAAGGATGTAGCATTTGCTACTCTGATAATCTCTTCCTCTGACTCGCATCTGATGAGTGCGATGACAGGACCGAAGACCTCATTGGATGCCAGATTACTGTCGGGTTTCGTTTCGATAAGAGTAGGCTCGAAGAAGAAGCCTTTTCCATCCACATCTGTGGGCTTCCCGCCACAAAGAACCTTTCCTCCCTCTACCATAGCATGAGAAACAAACGCAGTGCATCTCTCTACACTCGCTCGTGAGATCACAGCTCCAATTTGCGTCCGGTCATCAGTCGGATCACCGAGTCTCAAACTCATCGTCCTCCGTACCAATTGTTCAACGAATTCGTTATAGATCTCCGAGTGTATCAATAATCGACTACCTGTCACACAAGTCTGCCCACTTGCAATGAAGCTCGCAAATAAAGCAGCCTTCACTCCCTTCTCAATTGGCATGCTGGGAAAGAAGCACACTGGTGCTTTGCCACCCAATTCAGCTGTGATCGGGATCAGGTTCTTGCTCGCCGTGGGCGCGATTGCCTCATAGGTGGCCAAACCACCCGTCAAATCAATCTTCGAAATCAGCGGCGACTCGCAGAGAAATTTGCCAGTCTCTCTCCCATATCCTGACACAATCTGTAATGTTCCATCAGGCAAGCCCGCTTCTTGGAAAAGCTTTCCCATCTCCAGCACAGAAAGTGGTGCACTCTCGGATGGCTTGACAATGACAGAATTCCCAGCAGCCAGTGCTGCAGCAATCTTCTTAGTTGCTATCAGGAGTGGGTGGTTCCAAGGGGTGATCTGTACAACAACGCCAAGTGGTAAGCGTGTGAGTGTGTTGACGACTGGTCCTTTAAAGGGCGTCACACAGCCTTCATGCGTACGGGCTAGCGAAGCAAAGTATTCAAGCCATTCAGGGATACGAAAAAGTTGTGCTTTCATTTCCCGGATAGGTCGACCCGTCTGCCGCGTCTCGAGATTGATGAACTCGTGCAGACGAGCTCGGAGCAGGTTTGCGGCCTTCGATAAGACTGTGAACCGGGTTGACGCATCGGCCTGGCTCCAGACACCGCTTGAGAAGTTCTGCAGGGATGAAACTACGATGGCATTGACTGTTTCCTGGGGCGTGGAGTCTATTGTTGCGATTGGGGACTCGGTCGCGGGGTTGATGACCTGGATCACATCTCGAGAAGCCAATTGGTAGGCTCCATTGACCCAGTTGAATTGATGCCGCATGGTGAGAACCACCTGCCGACCTCCGAGGGGTTGGCAGAGGCAGCAAGAAGTGAAGATAGAGAAATCCGTAGGAGAAGAGTGGCTGGATGAAGAAGGTCGTTAGGAACCTTTATCAATGAGGTGCCTGACTTGTGAGGCCTACTTGCGGGGCATAATTACCCCACTCTTCGGTGACCACTACCCGTACGACAGGGACAGCCGCCTGTAATACAGCGTATCAAAGCCCACAGCTCACGGCTGTCAGGGGATTGAACCCGCGCGAAATCCCTATTCGGGATAGGGGCCTGGTATCGACTCACAGTGAGCGATAAACAACCCCAAGAAACCCCGACATCAAACCGATACCTCTCTCCAAATCATGGCCAACTCATCCTTCAAGGAAGACAGTTTGCTGATCTCAGGCCCATCTTTTCACGTTGATCTGGCAGGTTTAGATGCCTTCCATCCGGTCCACTACAGCAACCGTCTCCTAATATTCCGTTGCACTTCCTCTGCACAACGAGACGCGCAACTCTCCGCAGCCAAGACTGGTTTGCAGGCTCTCGTCAATCGATGTCCCATGCTAGGTGGCATCGTTGTCCCCCTACCACTTAATGATGCCAAGAATGGAAAAGAGGATTGGCGAACAATTGTGCCTGACAAGGGCATCGAACTTGTTTTGAGAGACTTACGAACAAAACTGCTTTCCTTCAATGAGCTCGAGGCCGCCGAGTTCCCAGCTCTGCAGCTTCCTTATGACCTGCTCACGCCTGTACCTCCTGATATCGGTAACGATCGTCCATATGCTGCATTTAAAGTGCAGTTCGGCGTCATCGAAGGAGGTACCATCATAACGATCGCTATCTCACACTCTGTTGGCGACGGTTCCGGGACGAATGAGCTGACAAGAGTACTCGCCGAGGAGACAAGACGATCACAAGCGTCCTCTAGCAGCGCCGTGACGAGTGGGGATCTCTCTGAGGCTGCATCCATGGTGGACCGGAGTGCTCTGCGAAATCTGAAGAGCAACGGCCCGTTCAATATTAAAGACCACCCAGCATAAAGATGGAACTATGCTCCTCCAGAAGGTGCTCCACAACTGGAAAACCCATCTTCCCATCCATTCGAGGCCTCGGCACCGGAAACCGCTGTCCTCCTCCACATATCTACAGCCAACCTCAAGAAGCTCAAAGCAGATGCCACGACACCAGATGCCCCGTTTATATCTACACACGACGCACTTGCCGCTCTCATATGGCAATCTTCTCTCCTCGTCCGCAGCCGCCGTTCCGCCACAGCCCAGAACCTTCCATCATCAACTCTAGGAAGCGTCTTCTTCCCATCTGACGCACGCCGTCACCTCAACTTGACAGAATCCTATATTGGCAACTGCGTCTACCAACTCACCGCCACCTTAGAACTCGGTACGCTCTTCTCACCCTCCGGTCTGAAGCAAGCAGCAAGTTCCATCCGCCGAGCCATCGCCTCCGTGACGCCAGCCAAGGTGATCAGTCTTCTGGCAACGACGAATGAGAAGTGGCCTGCTTGGGGATTCATGGAGTCTTATGCCACAACCGGAGTCGCGGTGGGGACAGATTGGGCGAGCGGTATGCTGTATTATCAAGACTGGGGGGAGGCATTTGGACCATTGATTCGATATCGATACCCACGTGTCGTTGGAAGTGCGGGATGTTGTATCTTGCCCAAGCTGCCAGATGGAAGTGCAGAGGCGGTTGTGAGCGTCATGCCAGAGAAAGAGTCGCTACTGCGAAGCGTCGAATGTTTTGGGAAGTACATAGAATATAAATAGAAAACGAGATTCTGAGGCAGTTTAAAAGATATTTGCACATGGCATACTAATCGGGGAGTCAACAAGCCATAGCTCCGACAAGCGATGATTGGCCATCCGGGTCTTATGTATCCAAATAAGCGATTTTCCTCCCAAGAGATCTCCAGTCGTGAATTAAGTTTCGAGGATAGTATGGGATAATACCCTAGCTAAAACTCACCCTAGCTGCTACACCGGGTACAGCTGTAATAGGGTTCGGCTTAGAAGAGAGCTGCTCTGCCACAGACAACATGCATAGTTTCTGGTCCTAAGGCTTCAGGTTTCCATAATTCCGGCCTTTGTGATTCTTTTGTCTTTTTTTGCAACTTTTTTGAGCATTTTTGGGTGAGGGGGGTGTCTCGCTTAATTGGGCTATTGTTGACTTTTCACCTTTGCGAAGCGAGATACCATTCACATGATCAGAGCTCCGAACCCATATATTTAAGTGTGTGTTTTTCGATATATTTGCTATTTCATCTCTTCATACTTTCCTTCCTCTTCTTGTATGCATGCGCTTTCCAATCTTTTGAGCGCAAACGATAGATAAGCGAGATAATTGAAAGGAGACTTGGATTGCAGAGCAAATGAAACCTGCCAATGCTTCCATACATTCTATTCACACCTCGAAATGAACCTATTTACAAGTCCCAAACACTCTCCACTATATACATCCCTTCCATTTCACTATCATTCAAGAAACGACGATAGCTCCGTCAACCTAATATCTCTCGAGCTGGCCCCCATACTGACTGTGATACTCCCCTTCGGCACCGTCCACGCCTTCGCGCTCGTATCCCAATATGACAAATCCTTCTTCCTCAACCTGAATGTCACAGTCGCACTCCCCCCTCCCTCCCCTTAATGCTTACTTTCTGAAAACCTCTAATCTGCCTCACAGGACTCGATGGCGCAGTCGAAGGAAGCCCAGTGTATAATTGCGCAACCTTCGCGCCAGTGGCGGATCCAGAATTCGTGGTTATAGCTGTGGCAGTGGCCGCGGTATCGAAAAGAGAAGAGGAACCGCCGGGGACGATTGTCCCGGATGCAGCGCCAGAGGTGGGCAATCCGGCGATGGAGATATTGGTGTCGTTGAACGTTGCATATGCTACCCCTTTATCAGCTCCCATACCAAACCACCCATCACAGTAGAAGAGAGAGACTCACACAAACCAAACCCAAACTCAGATCTCGGCGCAATATTGGCTTTACCAAAGGGCCTGTAATCAATGAAAACCTCCTCCGCAAAGCTATCACTTCCCGATCGTATCGAGTTTCCATAATCTGACGCTAATTTCGCGATCGTGTATGGTAGCATCCCACTCGGACTTACAATCCAATACAACACAGTACCAAGGCGCTCCCTGCTTCTTCGCCAGGCGGCCCTGACTATACCATAGCTTTCACGTTAGTAGGTCCGCGAAAGCTTCAAGTAGGATCGGGCCCACGGTGTTTACGGCAACGATCGTGTTCTTGTTCACGCCCGCAACAGCTTTCACCAATTCGGCGCCGCTGTGCCAGGCTTCGAGGTCACTGCAATCACTGGTGTTCTTTTCAACGACGGTGTACCCCTCGCCTGAATCGGCAGTGATGAATACGATTGCCACATCTGCGTTCTGAGCAGCGGTAGAGCCTTGACTGGCTGTGCCGGACGCGGAGGTGGTTATGGTTGTTCCGTCTGCTTTAGCGCGGGTGGTTATTGCGTCTGCGGGGGCGCTCAAATTCTACAAGTTAGCAGTTGGTCTATTCCTGTCTTCGAGAATGGAAATTGAGAAACTCACAGGCAACGTGACAGTCCCTGAGTCCCAGCCCTGCACCAAAATCCCCGTATTTCAGCCCAAATCAACACAGCTATGGATGCCCTTCAAATTCACCACAGCGCCTGATCCAATGATAGCAATACTCTTCGGTTTCCGCAGCGGTAGCAGATTTCCGGTATTCTTTAGGAGCACAATGCCATCGCGAGCCACTGCTCGGGTGGTCGCTGTATGGTTTGTTGTTTGCACGTTTCGACCGCTGCCGCCACCTTTGGCTGTTACGGCGATCGACGGGTAGCCGGAGTTTTGCTTTGTGAGGTACTAGGACGCGAGGATGCGTTTACGATGTCGTTCAGACGGGAGCTGGAGACGCCGGAACCGATGGCGGATTGTAGGGCGGAGCCCCGGAAGGGATTCTTTCCTACGGAGTCGGTTCCTGAAAAGGTCAGATTCTGTTGGGTACCGGAGATTTCAAAAATGAAGGGAAGAGGGGCGAAATGGTTAGAAAGGAGAACTTTGTACCCGGCAGCCCTATATCGAGCCCAGCATTCGCAACCCCAATATTGCTATGTCCTGCATTCCAATCCGTAACTACATACCCATTGAAACCTAGCTCTTTCTTCAACAACTCATTAATTGTATGCTGGTTCTCACACACTCAAGTCCCACCAATCTTATTATAACTGCACAGGACAGCCACCCTCACAGCCTCCGCAAAGGGCCAAAGATACAACCCAAGCATCGTCCTATCATCAATCACGGGATTCGTCATCTCACGGCCCCTCTCCTGCTCGTTGCCAATGTAACGCTTAGCGCACATCTTGAATCCCGCCAATGGTTTGCTCCATGGCGACGCCGTCCAGGTACGAGTCGCTGCTAAAGCCCTCCCAGTTCCGTCCGCCTTGCGCGAATTATCCCAGAGGTCCGCACACGGGACCGAGGATGACGTTGATCCCCATCGCTTTCGTCTCCTCACCAACGCCATGGCCACGGGCATACATCAAGCTTCGATCCCATGTCGACGCCGCTTGGATACCCGGTGGGAAAGCAGTAATACCAGTCGTTGAGCGAACACCAAGCGGTCCATCCTGTAAACATAATGTGCGGAAGTTGATCGAGTTCGTTGGACTGGCATTTCCAGTGCATTGACCTTTTCCCATCCGATACCCGTGACGAGTCCAGCCTTTTCAACAGTAGACAATTTCCCAAGAGCCATTGCCTCCTTGGCGTATGCCGCGTCCCAGTACCCATTGTACCCTTGGGCTTCAATCAAAGAAACCACGGCCCCTAAGAGCACGAGAATTTGAGAGCGCATTTCTCAATCAGAGAGAAACTTAACTAAGACAGGGTGGACAGCAAAAAGAAGACTTCCCAGCTGCATGCAAGACGCTCGCGTGTTATGCGACAGACGTCCGGACACCCTTGCGACATGCGAGATCATGTAGGGGGCGAGATTGATTTAGCCACAGCATATTTTTTTATGTTTCGCGGGGTATATAAAGGATTAACCTTAAATCCGCTTGTGCGAGTACATTGTTATGCGGCGTTTGTGGCTACCGCTCCGACAAGCCTAACAAGGCAATTGGGCTGCCTCAAAGAGAGCGATAGGCCATACAGGGGGTCCAATTATGTAATTCCCAAGAGCGAGCTAGAATTGTGCCTCAAGTCCTCGCACCGACATCTGGGGAGGTCATGGCCTATCGTGTGACTTGTTTCTGTCCTTTATTGGCTTGCGGTAGTAGACGTTCCACCCAGAATGAGGAAATTGATGCGAGCTAGAAGAAGCCCCCTAGAAAGGCTCACTTGAGATAGATCGGAGCGAGATAAAAGCCAAGATAGTAAATATCGGAAGAGGCAGAAGATTGAAAGTAGGGACAGATGCGGAACTTCTGCTTAGGGGTTGACGGCGACAAAACTATGAGACCTCGGAAATATCGCAAGAACAAATGAAGCAGTCAAATCGCGAGCAATTTACAAGCTCATATGTACAATGTTATTAGTATTGACCGTCAATCTCATAAACCGTAACCCCAGCCTCGATTCCAACCCAAAAGTTCAAACAACGAAAGGCTTGCTGCCTTCAACCAAGCCATCCATGGACTTAACAACACTCGTCCACTTTGGAGCATATCTCTTGACCTCATCTAATGCGGGAATTACGCCAGGGTAATTATTATCGCTCCACAAGCATACAACTCTTCCATTTCTTCCTTCCTCTCCTGGCTTCTTGCCCTCACTGACGGGCCATTCGACATCTACAACCCATTCTCGGTTCCAGTCCCGGTGCCAAAGCTTGATTTGGTCACTGCCAGTCTCAGGGACATCCGGCCATTTGCCATCACTCGGTGCTGCGCCTTCAACGCTAAATGCCGAGAACGGTTCGTCAAATCGCATAATGCAAGCTTTAGTCTCAAGGCCTGAGATGTGGAAAGTGGCCTTATTTTGACCCTCCAATCGTGTGACATTGTAGGTCAGCCAGTCGTGGAATGCCTTCTCTGGAGGTACACCGTCCTTCACATTACCCACCACTTTTGGGGCTAGACCCTCATAGGAGCAGAAGACAACTCCATCCCGGATCGTTGGCTTTTTGTCACATGAAATAGTCTGACCAGATGCTGATGGAACGAAGGAAATTATGTCGCGGATGTATTCTTCAAGTCCAATGAGATACACACGGTTGATTCCGCTCTCGAGATCGACGGTTTGTTGGAAATACGCCTTATAACGGGCGTTAGCCGAAAAGGGGAAGGCGGAGAGGTTGTAGATAAGAGTGCCAACGAATACGAGGAAGAGGAAGGTTGGAATTTGGTGTGTAACTCGATGTACGAAAGGAGTGATCGGCAGTACGAGTAAAATGGAGAAGAGCGTAACCGCCAAATAAGGTAGAAGTAACGGACTGCCGTCAGTCCCTGTTTGTGCCAATCCAGCAACAAGAAAAAGACCAACTTGTCCGAGGATAATGAGAGTGAAGGGCCCAATAAGTAAGAATTGTAGCAGCCAGGTCCAGGCGGGCAGTTTTTCGGACCATGTTTGCTCATTCCCAAAGGCGTGATGTTTTCCATGAGAATTGTCTTCAGCTCCGTCTAAGTTTGCAGTAGTTGATCTATGGTAGCCTCTTGAGAATGTAGCTCCGATGGCAGAGCGGTGATTGTTGCCTCCAAAGAGTGGGGTCGTCTCAGTGGCTTCAGCGGCACCGCTTTCATCGTGCCCGTTCGGACTGTTTCTGTCATAGACAAGAGCATCTGAACGAGGCACAGCAGCGATTCCGGCTTGGTTTTCCTGCTCCTCACGAGAAGATTCGACCACAGAAGACTTTGTTGGAAGGGCGAAAAGCTCACACAAGGCAATGAGTGTTGCTAGGAAGACTGCCGACTCGTAGATCACGAACATGTAGCTACTGCCAATCTTGAGGCGATCCTCAAAGACTGTGGCTGCAACCAGGAGTATCCATCCAATGGAGAACATCCATATGAAAGCATAAGTTCTGTGGAGTGCTGACGGCCTAACGAAGTTGCTTCCGGCCATCAAGAACCAGAAGAGACAGAAAAATAAACTCATCGACATGGCCCAAACCGAATATTGCGAGGAGTAGATGATCAATGGATTGATCTTTCTGAGCAAGAATGCGGCACCAGTTGTGATTGCACCAGAAACGATCAGGGTGATTGGGAAGCGAGAAAATCCTCGCCAGCCCTGAAGAGAGACCACATGGTCATCGAGGCCTTCTTTCTCGATCTCTCCGGCGAACAAGTAGTACTTGTCTTGTCGAACGAGGAGAAATGTAATCAGTATCAAGATTAATGGCGATGAGATGAGGATAGCCAGAGACCATGCAAAAAGTGAACGAAGGCGGAAGACGGCTAGGACTTGGCCAAAGAGATCGAACCAGACGCCAGGCGTCCCGCGACCATTTTCTACTTTCTTTTCATCCTTGTCTCCACGTGGCCCAATAAATTCGTTGGTGCGAGAGGTCAGGTATTTCATCGTCTCGACGGAAGCAGACAGCATATGCCATACAGAGTCTATCGAGGTGTGCTTCATATCGTCTTCGTCAGTGTGATAAACAGATCGAGGCTCCCAAAATGCCACATCGACTCCACGGTAACCCTCCGCGCGGAAGACAATGTAGTCAGTCTCGCTTCGTACAACTCCAAGCGAAAATCCATCATTGGCGACGACTGTGCCAAAAGGATGGCGAGCTTTTCCATAAGCACGAGCCACTTCAGTATCAGTGGCTCGAAACATAGTAGATCTGCCGCCGCCACCAGCTCCCTCCAGATTCATGAAAGTATGGACGAAGGATGCCATTGGATGAGAGAGGAATGCCTTGGCACCGTAGAGGCCATCTTCTTCGCCGTTGTTGAACAATGCCACGACGCCTCTCTTGGGAGTGTTGCCTTCCGTGGTAAAATATTTCACCAGCTGCAATACCGTAATGACTCCAACTCCGTTGTCCGTCGCTCCGTATCCGCTGGAAACACTGTCAAAATGTGCATTGACCATCACACCACCTTTGCCATGTTTCGTCTTCGTAGAAGGTTTAGTGGATTTCCACCACTCCCCCTCTTCATCTTCAGCACCCCTAATGTATACGATGATGTTGTTTCCTTCAAAGTATGTGCTGATCCCCAGTCTTCTCCTTGTCTCTCCCGGCTTCGTGAGCGCAGTCGCGGTGTAATTGGCAACGAGGTCGTTGAAAATGACCGCGGTGGGCGAGGAAGATCGTGCGCGGAGCTCATCGTGATCCAGGGTAACCGATTCAACATGATCCGGATATGTGGGCTCTTGAGCTTGCTGATCCACTGTAGAGCCCTCCTTGAGTTGACTGTTTGGATCTGACTCAGACGAGTATTGAACTCTATTATGATCTAATATTCCTGCAATTCTTCTCAACAGCCAGTCTCGAACTTCGTCGTTTCTTCGGCTGTTATAAGGATGGTAGCCATTGGTCAATTCTGCCAAGTCGAGCCAGGCTTCGGTGAGGTTCAGACCTCGATACACGGTCGGGTTCTTGGGCGCAGACGGCACGGTTTCGTGGATGACAATGACGGGTATGAAGATGGCGAGGTAGACTATAGCAGTAGTGAGAGTTACGATCATCGGGACAAATGCGAATGGATTGTAGCAGATCATGGTTGCTGTTGTTGATCGAACCACGCTTCCGACGATTGGTGGAGGCTAGTTGATTGCAGTGGAGACGCAACCGCTCTCATGGTGCCATGGAGAGGAGGGGGAGCTGTGCCGCGTTCCTGTGGAGGCCTGGTACGGCGTATGAAGCTGAGATCTGCAATGTGAAGCTTGTGATGGAGCTCTGGTGCTTCGTTGTGACTGGGCGAGGTTGAAGCCATTCTCAGCATGAGCTTTGGCGGGGTTCGAAGCCGCTAGCCGCTTCGGGTGTTTCACAACTGCAAGTCATCGTCACAAGTTCACAGAATCACAACCTTCACTCCACTACTACTGCCAAAGCAAGAGCTCGGTTGACAGTTTGCAACTTGGGCACTTTCAAGTGAAATCCTGGGTTCATGTTCCGCAGTCGGATGGACCACAAGGTGGTCTCTGAAAGCTCAGCCGTTTAGGGAAAGCTTGCGACTCGCTGTGGGGTCGAAGCATCGTCGAGATGAAACAGCGCCCTCGCCACTAGGGAGTCGGATCATGGGCTAAGGTTCAGAGACGTCCAATGTGCCTGTTTCACCAGATTCGGAACGTGCTGCCACGGGGGTTGAGCCTCGTTGGTCGGTTTCAAACATGGTGGCGAGCGATCAGATATCGTCCACGCACACTGTGTCGCCCCCTTTTCGTGGACGTCGTCGCGTAGGTCGCGTTCCGGAAGTGCTATAAGACCGATGATAGTCCCGGAGTTCCCGGGCCAGCTTCTCCTCAAACCGGGAGAGCCTCAAAATGATCAGTGCCCGGGAATGCCACAAGCTCATCATCTTCGTCTCAACTTCCAAGATCCTCTGTAACGATGTTTCAAATATAGAACAACTTCGTTCCTTCTTCATTTACTCTCAGATCAATATCTTATCTTTTTGCAAGATATACGTCTTGCCTGGACTGTTACTTGCCGCTCATGGATTGATGACATCTCGGTCCAAGCTATTTTGATGCAGCCAGTGCCAAAAGAAGCAACGGGTCACCAGTACCGCCTCCTTCCCGAAGCAGCGACCTTATAGCAACTGACGGTCTCAATTTCCTTTCAAACCATCTACCAACAACATCACATCATCTACGGAGCTTTCCATTCTCCGCCATGTTGGGACTCCTCCTTGCCATTTCGGTCCTCAGCTCGACCTGCCTTGCAAAGGCAGTACCTCCCACACCATCACAGGCTCCCAAGCCGTTTCTTAACATCACAGAATTAGTCGCTTGTGTACCTCCTAGCATCAGAGTCACAGTGGTTTCTCCCGGAACTGGTGGCAAGAATACCAGCACCCAGCTATCTGTGCCGCTATTTACAGACTGCACATACCAAAAAACAACACCTGTAACACCTGGCCGTAAGCCCACCAGCTCCGACTTTAAAAGAACAAGAGCTAAGATTTACCAGAAAATAACGCCCCATCGTCAGCCATAAGTTCAAGCGCGGACTACAGCCAATTTGTGGATGCCAATGGCAATGCTCTCGACAAGAACAGCGTGAACACGTTCCTTGGGTTCTTTGGGGATTCTGTTGACCTTGATGTCATCCTGGAGGTGACAGCATGCGCAATTACGGATACAAACAACAATGTCGACACGATCCAATCAGAAAATGAGGCTCTGAACGATGGAAATTCCGTCAGTATCCTCAATTACCAATGCATCACGGAGCTCATTGATAGTTGATGGCTTCCGCCTAGTTCCAAGTGTGGAGAGTTGGTCTTCTCACTTTTGATACAAACACCGAAGCACGGACTTGTCACGATGTTCGAAGAGAGGGAGCGTTGTTGGTCGACCGTTGATTTTGATCCAGCTATTAGCTGCAATGGAATCTGCCATCGCGGGGTCGATGCGTGGCTATTGATGTCGGAGGAGAATCAATGTGAGGAGTCAGCCTGAAGTCTCCGAGAGATTCAAGAGGCAAGAGACTTGATGAGCTTCCTAGAGGAATGTCTCATGACGAATATACCCCGGAAAATAGTTTTGAGACAAAATGTGTATCTCCAGATCTTCAATTCCTGCAACGCCTAGATTTCTTCTTCCTTTCATTGTCCCAATCCGAACCAATTAAACAGATCAAGTGATCATCCCCATCCTATTTCCATCCCATTCCCCAATACAGCACCTTGTCTTCTCTCCGCAAAGCCAGCCCCACTTCAATCAATCCTTGGCGTCAACCGATTGGTGCATCGAGAGTCCCCACCTATCCGAACCTCCCGTTTCAATTTTGCTGCCCCATCCCAATGGCTCGTTTCGATTAATCTGCAAGAGCCTTGTCTTTTCGGCCCAGTTGCCGTTCTCGTTCTCTTCTTACTGTGCAAAGGCCATGATCGAAAGAATGGCAGTGGGGCCGATGCTTGCGAGCTCAGAGAGTGCAATAACATTTCGAGGATATACTTCCTTTGTTCTTTCGCGGGAGGAATAGCCACGTGACCAAATGATCATTGAGGTTGATCTCGCACACGGACGAAAGCCGGTCCCTTATCAGACTCCGCAGTTCTTTTCATACTTACTTGTTTCTCTATACTTGCCGTCGCTTCAACAAGTATTGACTCCTCATGATCCTCCTCACTTGGGAATGAATGGACGTTACATTTAAACTTTTCATATGCACGCATGGGTTGATCCTAACCAGCGAAGCTGAAGGATCCGTGCTGGAACAATTGACTTGCAGGGTGTTGTTATCAGATACGGTATGTTCCCGCGGCTGCAGGAAGCCGATCAGTCGACCTTAAAAGGTCAAAAGACTATCCGGAGGCAAAAAGCCGGAAAGAGTGAGGAACGTTGGGGAAATATCAGAAAGTATTATCTTCCTTCAAGCAAGGCTATCAATAAGTGTCGAATACTTCGAAGCCGTCTGGAAAGTAATTCTTCTCCATTTAGTCCAAATTTATTGTGCTAGGATTCTTTGCTCCACGTCCCTCCTCCGTCGTAAATTACTTCGAGTCCATGCAGCTTCCTATTTCCGCAAATGTGGGTGTCGACCGCAGAGCGCCCGTCGCGGGGCTGACCTGAACTCCCCCCACCACTCCTTCTCAAACTCGCGCACATAGCGGGAGCCAAGTTAACCCAAGCATTGCTTTGAACGAATCATTCTTTCCACGAAGCTGCCAAGCTCAGGAAACAAATTCCGATCTAAGCAATCCTCGTACGAGCGTATATTTTAATAAGCTTTCTAATTTGTTCCTCTGAAGACCTCCCCTCACGGTGGATACTTTCCAGTTCAGCCTTTTCTTGGCAATCACTTCCTCACTTAAATTCGTGTCGTTCCCAGTGAAATTTTCACTTGGTTTCCTCTTCCTATTCTATTTTTCATCTGACAGCAACTTTCTTAACATACAGGATGGACATGGGAACTTCAACAATGGATATGGGCAGTACTGCCACAGCGACTGGTTCCGCCGCCTCAGCCATGACCAGCATGGCAATGAGTATGGGCGCCGACTCAAGTTGCAAAATTTCCGTACACAATCCCTCCGCTCCCTCTTTCATACAATTCTTAACCTCCGGCTTAGATGCTCTGGAACTGGTACACAGTTGATTCTTGTACGCCGATCCTTCTTTCTCAAGATATCGGATTGCGGTTTCAGCTGACAGAAAGGAGGCTTCATTGCAAAATCATGGCACATCACCTCCCATGGCATGTTCGCCGGCTCCTGCATCGGCGTCATCCTACTCGTCATGTCGCTCGAGTTCCTACGGAGGGCTTCGAAGGAATATGATCGTTACATAATCAAACAAGCTCAGCTCAAGCAACAGGCCCACGGACAGGGAACCATTAATACCCCCGATGATAACGGATTTGGAAAACTTCCTGTCCGTGTTACCGTCACGGCAAGCGGGGGAAGTGCGAGGAAGTTCAGGCCGAACATGTTCCAGCAAGTGATCAGAGCATTGTTCCACATGGTTCAGTTTGCGGTGGCATATTTCATCATGTTGTTGGCTATGTATTATAATGGGTACATTATTATTTGCATCATTATTGGGGCGTTTCTGGGGTCATTCGTCTTTAGCTGGGAACCAATTAGTTTGGGGTAAGCATCCTAAGGAATCCGTTTTCTGAATACGTACTGACTCGAGGCCCCGTAGCTCTGACAACAAGGGAGAGGCAACCTATTGTTGCGGTTAGAGAGAGGTACAAGGGGCTGCAAGGAGACAGTTGTGCGTCTTATTCGGATCATCGGTTGCTGTATCTTCAAGACACGTTGCTTGTGTTTCCCTTGGGGGGAAGAGAGTCATGGTTTGGACCATTCGCTGAAGGCGACACCACAAACAGCAGATCGCCATGCCATCAATCAATAGATCCTCCATCTAAAAACGATGCTGGCGATTATTAATGAATACGTGCATCTCGCCAATGTCTTTGCAGAATCCAGGGTGGCTAGAAGAGCTTGCTAGAGGGACAGATCCGACAGCAACTACGCTGCCATGCTCACCAGTTCCGAAATATGACTGCTTGGCGAGAAATTATAGCTCGAAATTTTATCAAAAAAACCGCCACACGAGGTGGATTGAGGGAGTTGAGGGGTATTGAGAGAGATGTTGCGTCACCTTCACCCCGGCGGCTTGGCCAGAAGTGGGGCCCCTGATCGGGGTTTATGAACAAGAATATAGGTATGAAGAATGAGATTAGCTTGAGAGGGCGGTCCACGAGTGTGGAGTGTGGTTCCCTTCTCACGCATGACCGTCGTGTCATGATATTGTGGGAAGTTGGGTTCTGGACAGGGGACCACGATGTTTCCTCAACACTGCACCTTGTGAGTGCTGGAGTGCTGTCTGTGTCTCTTGGATGGCAATCATTATCTCTCAAGTGATGTGTCAAAATCGGTCTTTAGGCTAGCCTTGGCGCGCGTGTGACATCTTGGCTTGGAAAGCTAGTGAACCCGTCCGCCAACTCCAAAACTCTCTGCTCGAATTTGCCAAAGACACCACTTTTCCTGGGCGACTAGCAGCAGATCTTTTCTTGTTCCTCGATGTCATTACTAAAGAAATTAGCAGATTCCTAAGCTTTGGAGAGAGGAAGTGCTTACATCTGATTTTGCCTGTAGTTGAGTGTGTCCTTCGTGAACAAAGCAAAGCCCACGAGCGAGCCCAGAAGAATAGAAATTATAATGTAGCCTGGTGAGTATTAATATGTTGCCCTCTGACACGGACTTCACTGGGAGACAAGCTGGAAAAAGAACTTACCATTGCTGTACATGAACAAAAGCATGATACAATAACTGACAGCGAATTGCACCGTATGAATGAGCCCCCTCAACAGTTGTTCTAGCACCACCGGAGTCCTCCCTTTCAACTTGCGCATCAACTTTTCTCTTCCGCTTTCGCCATTTGGGAAAAGTTTCTCCTCTGTCTCTTCCGGCAAGGCATATTCCTCATCCTGGAGAATTGCGTTTCTAGCTCGTAGATATCGGTCGAAATCTCTCTGCGATCTGCGGAGGAATTCGAGAGAAATCACTAGGAGGAAGGCGGCAAGGCATGACAGGAAGAACGTAAATGATGATCGGATGTGGAAAGTCGATGATAGAAAGCAAGCATCTATTGTATGCCAGTTTAGAAGCATCTGGCAGGGTCAGTTTCAATTTAAAAACGGATGGGATCTATGATTGTGCTTCAAGTCACATAACAAACAGAATTCATTGTCCCGTGGCGGTACGATTTGCTTCACAAAGTTAAACTCTCTTTCGAGGTGCTCTTCGCTATAACCTCTATGAGGCTGAACTAGAGGATTCTGGAAAGTGACAGAAATTGAGGATTTAGGACTCTTACTGAAAGCTTGCATCCAGTACCTCCTCCCATTGACATTGACATGGCCACGGTCGTTGTGGCTGCTGCTGCTGAAGTACTTGTCGGCATTACCATACTCGTCGTTGCCGATGGGATTGACGCAGCCATTGCCATATCCATATCCATTTCGCTGATTGTGTACTGGGAAAGCCGAGGTCTCGAGAACTCGTTGGGTACTCTCGGTACAACTCGTCTTCAGTCTGGATCGTGCGCGGCTCAGACCAGCGATTCAGTGCCTCGCACAAAGGAAGTATTGGAAGATAAATGTGTTGAACAGTACACATTCATTTCATACTACATGTCGCAGATCATCCTCAAAACACCTCAAACCCACGCGAAAGCCGGGGCGCAGCAACACTCCAAAAGCTTCGGAGGGTAAATGAAAAAGACTTAGGGACCTGAGAACGCTATTTGGCCCGGGAGCCAACCAGAACTCCGCCACCGGAAATTTCAAGCTACAATGCGTTCCAGCATTAGCGCAAATTTGCTCGAGTTCTTCTGCGGAACGTTCCACAAATAGCTATCACGAGAATCTATCTTCGAAGACTGGGTCCAGCAGAAATTTATGAACGTGGCTGTGACTTGGAAGTTGGGATGGCAGAACGTGCTCAAACGCGCTCCCCGTTGTCGCGCCAATGCGCAGATCCATCATGGCTTGGTACAACAAGGGTTCTGTAGAATCTGAGCGAGCCAAATTAAGAGACGAAATCTCTCAAAAATTCATCTCTCACTCAGTAGGCGGACATACTAAGCTCTCCATGTTTCAAGGTGCCAGACTATCCTCAGCGTAGCAGCTTGCCGAAGATAGCTTGACAAGATCATCGTGCACAATTGTTGAGGCAAAAACAACACCCGAGCCGTACCCCGGTATCTGACACACAGTATGCACATTACTTTCTTCCAGCTATCAGCAATTTGATCTTCTTCGTATGCGGTCTCCGCAATTGGACCCCTCTGCTCGGTATTCTGCACGCACTCCACATTTGAGCAAATGGCTGTTCAAAATGATAGGCTGACTCGAAGCATATTCATGGTTGTACAATAGCACATGGGGAGAATAGGAAGACTTGTCATGTAGCACAAGCTGCCTTTGCAGGGGCCATTGTAGCTATGTGAGTTGGAATGATGGATTCCTTCCCTCGTCTATTACTAATGTATTGGGTAGAGGTTTCTACGCCTCCTTGATCGGGGAGCAGGGACCAATGAATTGTACCAAATAAACGCTCAATATTCGGGTGTTGTCTTGTCCACACGTAAAGAGATGGACGATGCAGTCTCAGAGGACATACGGGAGGATGATGAGAGTCCTCTGATGCAAGCATGAATCGAGGTGTGAAATCCCGCGCTTGAACTCTGTACGGATCAATTCAGAAAACGTGTACTCACAGCAGCAGCGTGTTATTTGCAACTTGATCCAAGGCACACTACTTGACCCATCACTTGTTGGTGTTATGCAGTGGGTTGTGTACAAGCTTGTGGGGGGGGTTTTTTTGGAGAAGGGGGCGGCCAAACATTCACAAATCAAGTATTGACGAAATCTCTCCACGTGGTGGAGTAGAGCGACAGAACATTCTAAAAACCCTGCTCTTTGCTCACGACTCCATGACTCCACGAGACCACGCTTGTGGGGCAGAGTGGGTCGAGATCAACTTCATCTTGCCCTTGAACTTTCAATACTGAACGCGGGATCCTTATACTATCTTTCGTCTAGGCCCCCCAAACCGCGACGAGTGTTGACTGATTGATGAAATGATGTTAAGTGACATGAGTGCAGAAAGGTTGTCCGCCGATCGAATCGGCCCAGGCTCGTTGCTCAACAGGGTCGTATTTCTTCTCTCAACGAGAAGAACATAGACAAAATCTCTTTCCATGCATGCTTTGGCACATAAATGTGTGTTTCTGCATCACTTGAATGAATACTCGGGAAGAGCTGTTCTGCGGAGAAGCATGAAAAGATGTTGGTCGATTCGAGTTGAGGCGGTGTCCGAAAAGGAAAAGTCCAAGTTTTTCTGCCAAGTCTCCAGATACCATTGCAGCATCAACGTCACCAAATTCTGCTTGCCTCCAAAACCTTGAATCTCGAGGATCTGCCACTGGCTGAGGATACTTTTATGACGAAAATTTTGAATATTTGATTGTCAAGTCCGAGCCGGAGCAACAGGAGCGATTGGTGATGGTGATCAGGAACTGCTACAGGTTCGTGATGGGTGGTCAAACAATCTATGCGAAGTGGAGCACAATATGCCTCTACTCTCTCCAATTGTAAGTGCTTTCTGATTTATAATGGCATAGACTAACCAGTGTATACCAAATAGGCTCAGCCATTGAGCTCCTTGCAAATGCTTCCCGATCTCCCTGGACCTCCACACATTTTTCGACGACGGGACCTCTCATCGAATACGATCTCTAGAAACCCTTCAAGCATTACCCGACAAGCGTCTGTACTACAAAATAATATATGTCTGGGGTCGCCGTTGTTTAGTTATATGCTCAAACCAATCCTTTGGCAAAGTGCCCTTCGCAATGCTCCAAGGTGGCGGGCCGGGACAATGGCCAGTCATCGAAAAAATATTTGAACCTTATGCTCCAAAGTAGCACTGCGACGACTTGGGGAATGTCCGCGACTTCCCTTGTGGGAATATCTCTAATGGCTGCATTCTTTGTCTTCCACTGAATTAGCCCAGGAACGTTGGTAATTCTCGATTTCTCATCTGCCCCTCGGGATTTTTACGCCCTATAATGTGTGTCTCAAAGCAAATGCTCTCAAACACTATCTTAAGTCCCAATTCTACCTCTTAAGGCAATACTGGTTCAAATACTTGAGTTTAGGAAGGATCTGGGATCGAAGATACCGAACCTGACACATTCGATCGTCCCGTTTTGTGTGTAGATGTAGAAATCAAAGGACCGGCCAGCGGATTAGTATACTATGCCAATATGGGATCATTTTCTAAGTCTGGTGGTCCTGAAAGTTTCTTAGAGAGAACAACCTAGAAACATCAGCCCATGGGTTCACTTGCCATGGGTAGACACTGTTCTCCCGGTTGTATGACCCAACAGTCGCCACAACTTTGAAAGAGTCTTGCATCTAGAAAATGAGTTAATGAGGACCGACAATATTCGTCTCCCAGAAAGGGCAGCCGTCCCTGCATGATATGGAATCTTCGCCCTTAATTATACGGAATGGCGGTTTTTTGCCAAGAATTCAGATAGGTTAGGAAGGCGAGGAAAATATTGTGGTGGTGTAAGCATAGCCGAACTTTCCTTCCAGCTTTGAATACTCTTCCTGTGACGTGCACCTTACTTGCATATCCCTCACACGAATCCTTCTCTTATTCCACTCCTAAGTTCTTCCAATAACAGTACTGACTTCATGATTCGGTGGAGATACCGCTTAGATGAGCCCTCACTCAGGATCACCGGCGAAACCATTGGTCTTCAGCACCACCCTTTGCTGAACTCTGGGACTGGAATATGGGACTATTTCATCAAGCATACCGGGATGGGAACTCAAGAGCAGCTTGAAAACGATTCGGGAACATAAGCGTAATATCCAGATGGTTAAGAACTTAAGTCCGAAGGGCAAAGGTCTAAATTGCTCAAGTTTACACGAGGCCAACCTCCGTGGGGGTCATTCATTCAGACCTATGGATGGCACCTGAGGCTTCCCAGAATGAACTGCTGCAACTTTGCGCTAGAGAGCGGCTGTGCAGCGGTTGATATTCGGCGAGAATACCATTGTGAACCTCGTGCCAAAGCCCCGGGGCTATCTGGAACTGCAGAGTACTCGGTTTAGGAAGCCTCGGTCTCTTCAACTTCATGGTCAACCTCGGAGTCTTAGACTTATCCCCATTTCCCGAATCGCGACCCCATCATCCATGACACCCTGAAGAATGGCTTACTCTGGAGCAGTTTGTCTGACTGTGTTTGGTGTTCGACCAAACTGGAGGTGACCAGACCGGTGCCCCTAATAGTGAGGTGCAATTATGTCGAAGGTCAAGGGTCCACCAAGACCCTCGTGTACGAAGGTTGGTGGAAATTGGTATAAAATATACCTCGGTCATTCCATATCACTAAAGTTGCCGCTCTCTATATGAACAGATCTTCGGACCCTTGCTCTGCTAATTCTCGTAGTATCTTGAATCCATTGTCCTTGCCAGGGTATTTCTCCTGCACACAAAATCTTTTCCTGACTTCTGACCAGTGTCACTGTTCCCTGGGTGCCTCCAAGGACCACATATCTCTTATGCATAAGCACTGCTTCGTGCAACAAATTATTTGAATCTGAATCTCCATCCGAACTTGAATTGGATCTCCCATTGGAGCTTTTGTCCGAACTCAATCCTGGGCCCTTCCATCTGCCAGTATATTCCCTTGCGTTTGATGCGTGTCAAAAGAGCTTCCCCGAAGCCGATATCATAGGGCCGAATTCCCCATAAAAAACCACTCACCTTCATATACTAAAATATGGAAATTTCCATCACTCAGCGTACAAACTCTGTTTATAAGTATGAGCACTACTGTGATGTGGCTAAAATAAGACTCCGAAATGGTATAGGGTTAAACTAGCCAAAAAGCGCACACGCTTCAGTCAATATGCTGTTTCGCGGATCCAAAACTCAGTTCGTCTGGTTTTCTCTCAGTCCACCCCGCCACCCGCCACCCCGCGTGTAGGTAATAGTTTGACCTCAGTCCAGCCTAAACTGCAGTTTAGCGGTTTAGTCTAGCCTCGGCGTATCTCAGTGTAGTTTAGTGCAGGGTATCCAAACCGCAGTTTAAAAACCCTTTTGCAAACTGCAAAATTTGTATGTAAACTGCACTAAACTGCACTAAACCGTTGTCAAACTGCAGTCTAACTGCAGTTTGAGCCTTTTCTTGCCAGTTTAGTTTGCCGAATCTAAACAGCAGTTTCGAATTTGGAGGCTGGACTGCAGTTTCAAACTGCAGTTTGCACTATTACCTACCCTGTGACTGCGGCGGCCGGTTGGTCGGAAGAGTTTTGCCTTTTGCCGCTGTTTATCTATATATATATTGGATTTTTGATCTCAAAAGAGTCCTAGCATTGAGCGAACTCGCATTTTGCGCTTACCCCCGAGAAATTTAAACTAGTTTGCTTTTATAAAGGTGATTTGATTATAGTGCAATGCGAAATCTAAGTTATTGTATAAAAAAAATAGGGTGGCCCCTATTTAAGCGAGAGTCATTATAACTAGAGAGGATAGAGACTTGTATTAGAAACCACAAGAACTTTGTGAGAGCCTCCTTAAAATCCGAATCTCCTTATTTATATTTTTTGCACTTAGCCTTTTTTGTCTAGAATTTTCCTCCTGCTTCTATATTGCTTTCGCATATTGTGTTTTGAAAAGCGAGGCGACATTGTGCGCATTCACCTACTCTTCTATTGCTAAACGAAATTTATTGAAGCGGAGCCTGCTTGTAAAATCGCCAAAGCCTCGTCTTTCAACGTCATCGCTTAGCTCCTTAGCGTGCTTTATATATATGCTACCTTTCCGCCGTCTTCGACCTTCCTCCATCCTTTCTCAACAACATCGCGATGTCGAACACCTTGCACAACGACTCCAACCACTCGGCATCACGCCCTGACAACGACATACCATCGTGCGACAACTATCTCAGCTTCGTCTGTGGTACCCCTGTGACAATGGACAAGTCTGATAACACCACCATTCCCCTGGTTTGGGGCTTCACCGACCTGAGCAAGGAATACTTGCCCCGCATGGAGGAGTATTACGGTCTCGGCTTCATTAATAAAGAGGATAAGACTATCGAAAAGTGCCACTATAACTTCCTTGGTATGTGTTCTTGCTTTCTTGTCTTCTTCGTTGCTTTCTGTAATGCTTGGCCTGGCAAGGACCGCGACGCTCCGGCGTCGCTTTGGCGCCGCTTTGACGTTGTGTCAAAGCCTTTGGATGGCAACTATTGCAGTTTTGTCCAAGCCGCCGGAGTCTGCTCCTTGTCTATTCTCTCTGCTGTCTTCTATTCAGTTTCCAGATGAGGTTGCCTCTCTTCCCCCATCCTCATGCCTTGTTGGTCGTCACCGGCTCGTCCTAACTCTTCCTCTATCATATTTGGGTGTTGACCTTAGCTTATTGATTATCTTATCCCACCTTCCTGCTCTCAATTAAAATTTCGGCGTCGCTGCCGTCTCGACATATTCTTCTTGTTGAATTCACATTTCAAGTATAACGGCTAACAAGGGCAATAGAATACACCTGCGGCCACTCAACCTCAGACCCCAGCCTTTCGTACATAACCCACGTCTCTACCTGTCCCAACTCTCAAGCCGGCAATGCCATGCTGACCTGCACCAACATGGGTATCTCCTCTATTTCAAGCAGCACCAGAGCATGTAAAAAATGCCTCGAAACTTCCCGCAATGTTCGATGCCCCGCGAAAGCTGCTGGACCAGTCCTGAAGAACCCACCTGATGATAACAGCGAGCGAGCAGACCATTCTTTGGCTGAGCTCGATGCCAAAATCGATGAGATGGAGGAGAAGAGAGAGCTTAGCCAGAAGCCATTCGTGCCCTATCTTTATAGTGCCGAATACGCAAAGGTGTGTGCTGAATATGAAAAGCTTTATGGTGAGAAGCCAGGAGCTGAAGCAAAGCGTCTGAGACTCGAGTTCGAGGCCAAGATATCCGAGACTAAGAGAAACAAAGTTGAGGAGAATTATGGTGGCAAGGGAAGAGCTGACGGAGAGCTGCGGAGACTGGCGTTGGGCATGATCATCAAGCCATCCAAGGCCGCGTTGTATCCCTCTGACGACTCTGACGCCAAAAAGAAGCATACACCCCTTCGAAAACGCGTTGAGAAGTCCGAGATGGCGAAGGCGGGTCTAGATTCTGCTGAGAGCGCGAGCAAGGATGAGCTCGGATCGGAGAAGGTAGAGAGAAAGCATACCAAGGCGAAGGAGTACCCGATGCCAGTACTGACCAACCTGCTCGACCAGAAGCCAAAATCGACAGAGCGAGAGACCATGGGTAAGGAATCCCCTGGTAAGCCGTACACTTTGAAGGCACAGCCACGCCTGGAGCAGCAGCGTGAGAACGCAACCGTGGTTGAAAAATTGCCTGTTGAGGCCAAAGGTCCGACCCGACGTGCGTTGCCCTCCTACATTGGACACCCGAAGGCTTCTGAGATCTTGAAGAATGTTTATGAGAAGGACGCGAAGTCGAGAATGGTAAAGGTGGTGTCCCAGGGCACTCAGACGCGAGGTGTTAAGCTTGTCACGTCCCAAGCAACTCAGATGGCAGAGCCTATCATCGTGTCTCAAGTGATGGAGGCATTCAAGCCTACCATGGCATCCCAAGGCTTTCAAACGATCTCGCAACCTCACCCCGATACCACGGCTCGAGGCGCTCAGACCATTGAGATCACCAAGTCTACCATGATGTCTCAGGGCACTCAGACCGTTGAGGTCGCTAAGCCTGCCATGGTGTCTCAAGGCACTCAGACCATTGAGCAGGCTCTGCGTGCTACAATTTCTCGAGGCACCCAGACACAATATGCCAAGCCTGCCACATCTCAAGCAACCCAAACTACCAAACCTACGATGGTCTCTCAAGGAACCCAGACCGATGAGATTGCCAGTGTTGAGATGAATCCTGCCGTCAAGGGAGAGAAGGAACAGGATTGGGAGGACTTGGATCTCGAAGTTCCCGTTAAGGATACGGTCGAGGATGATGATTGGGAGATTTTAGATGTTTAGGTGATGCATGATGCACGGATGGGGCTTGGGTGGGATAATGGATTGCATTTGGGAGTATTTGCGGAGCATAGGGGGGGTTGGGGAGCAAAATGATTTTTTCTTTCTTTCTTTGACATGAAGCGGAAGAAAATGTGCCTAGACTTTATTGGGACATTCACCGTGAATGCGCGCAGAGAGGGGAAGCATAATTTGCTTTCTTTCTCCTTCTCTAAAGGCCAGGGATATGCGCCTACATATGAGGCATTCACAACCAAAATGGATACATGCATGGAGAGCAATGCATAGGTAGATAGGGAAATGCATGACTCTCGTCATAATGAATTTTCCAGGTGAAACATAGCAATTAGAAAGCGTAGATGATTCTTCAAGGATGATTGTTGTGTTGTGTGCCAAATTATAGAGCGAAGGTGAAGAGGGGACGAGACTAGCCTCGAACTATTTTAGCCTCCTCCACTAAGGTTAGCCGGACTTCACAGAAAACTTTGTTTCATCGTCACAGCAACGAAAAAGCGTGAACTTATCATGCATTGAAAGAATGCTTCTTAATTTTCGTTTCAATTGGAGTCCTTCTACCTACGGCAATTGGGCAAGTGTGCATAGCCAGGTGGCTGAACTCGCATGGCAGACTCCCCTTTTTGCATTTTCCATGAGAAGCGTTATCCTTGCGAATTTAGACTGCCTTTATACAGCACCTTCGGGGGCCTGCAACCGATCTCGCAAAGCCACATGTATCGGCCCTGCTCACCCGGACGGACAAGCATGCGCTTGGTGCGGACCTTTCCCCTCGCATCAGATCAAGTGATCCTGTGAAGCTAGATTCTTGCTCTGCAAGTCAGGTGGCTTGTGTCGAAGGATTTGGAGGGTATTTCTTGGTGCTGGAGGAGGGAGGAACAAGTGGAGTTGATCTCTTGATGTTTGCAGCATTTTGAGGGGTGGACGAGTCTTTCACATCCTGGGTGAGTGAAAACACGTAGCGCGCGGGTCCTGCGAAATCTGCTGTGAAATCTGCAAAATTCATGCAATTGAGCAGTGACGCTATTCTATTTCTTTGTGATTACAATTGAACGCGTTTCGATAGACTCTCGTGGTGCAGCACCATCAGATGCCAGCGGGTTGATAAAAGACACATGAGGGCAGACTTGGAGTGTTTGTTAGCTACTGCTTATATCGCGTAGGGGGCGCTGTGACGTACATCTGGCATGACTACCAGCTTTGGTATCGTACATGACAAAGGCGAAAGGCTCCACGGGGGTCTGCTTTTCAAGCCAGAGCCATCTGTGCTTTGGGTTGTAGGTAAGATAGTAAACTTCTCCGACATGGGCTGGGATTATTCGGTCTGCAGCTACAAGATCATCAGGATCAACAGAGCGGCTATCGCACAGAGCAAGAGGGCGGTCTTCAAGGACTGGGTTGAGTGTTCTCCATGTGCTGTGAGAGTCAGAAACATATTTTGGCTTCGAATGAGCTTCAACTCACTTCACAATCCGAATGCGATAACCAGGCTTCAAAAACTTCTTCTGGATATCCTCGGGGAGGTATCGGTTGATGACCACAGGGCCGGAGCTATAGGTGATATCTGCTGACATTAGTAACCGTCTGGTAGGTTGAGCAACCTCACAGGATCTACCATTGTGAGCTCCACGAGCGGGACCTTCCGTGAGCAAAGGATCGTTGAGATCTAGCTGGGTTCGCTGGAACATAGCGTTCTTTCGGAGCCGAGAGTCATAGCATTTGACATAAACCGCATCCATCCTCTCTCTCAGGAGCTCTTCCGTCTCGGACACATACTGGAAGACATCATCTGCTCGGTCGAACTTCGAAAACTTGCTCTGGTGGCTCAAGACTTCAAACCCGGAGTCGTCGATTTTGGGGGGTTCGTTGAGCTCTCGTATGTCTTCGATTTGGATGTCTGGATAATCCTCAAACTCGAGGTTGTCAACCCGTTGAGCATCCGGATCGAAGCTCTCAGAGGGAGGGAGAAAGCACCAATATGGTTTCTCCTTATCATACAGGGAGAGCTTTTGCAGGTACTCTATGTTGGCTTGTACGGACGGCATTGGGGGGTCGCTGAGGGATAGGGAGCGCCTTCAGACCGCAGCAGCCGTCGAGGAGGCTTTGTCCGGTTGTTGAAGGTGGCCACAATACCGTGTCCGAGAGGGCAGCAGTTATGGAGGGAACCGCTTCCTGTTAATTGAGGTGAAGATCTTCAGCTCGAAATCGAATTGTTTCTATGTTTCTCGGGTCACACCGCGTTGCGGCTGACTGATCTCGCCCGGACAGGGGTTGCAAGAATGCCCGAGAGAACGCCTGTAGCAGTGACGGTTACCAGTATCGCACTGTGCAGCGGTGTGGACCACTCAGCATCGCTTGCCCCCCACCCAATGCTGTCCAACCGTGGGCCTCGAGTGCAAGGCAGATTCCCTCTCCCTCCCCATATTTTAATATCTTGTCTCGAGCGCAAGCGCGATCACTTCATGTTCTCTTCTCCTACAAGCTGATCTGCTCTGCCCAGAGAGAGTCGTCCAATTCTTTAAATCCTAAATGGCACCAATGTCTCCAGAATTGCCTCCGCAGGAGGCTTCCTGTTCCTCCCGAGCAGTTTCCCCAGAGACGTTATCGCAGCGACAAGTATGATACTCTGACCCCATTCATTCCTTGCACCACAGCTAATTCTTCTGCCACGCAGGCCAGTTCGCGATCGGTCTCCCCCGAGCTGGCCTCCTCCTCCCTCCCCATCTCCCAGCTGCCCGAGTCTGTCAAACAATTCTTCATGTCTGTACCGACAGACGGCTTTCCTACCCCGAAGAAACAAAAGTCTCAACCGTGGAAGAAAGTCTGGAAGGGCCCCCAAGAGCCAACGGATGACGGAAAGCTACTTGTTGCTTGCCCCTCGATATGTACATATGGTATGTCGCTGCTTGGGGTTACGGTCAACAAAAAGCCAGAAGATCAGGAGCTAATTGAGAATTTGTGTTATAGGAAGTAATAACCTTGGTGGACTGTGACCCGGCGGATTTATTCGAGAGCCTAATGTGATACGAGCGTTTTCTTTCTTTCCACATGTCTCGTGAGGATGATTTGTCAATGCGCGAGGTACATTAAATTCAGAGAATTGCCAATGAGGCCCTACAATTCAAGCGCTTTGCTGCAACCCCGAACACTCTCTCGTAGCACACCCACAACCCGCACCAATTTACTAACTTGTAGCCAAGCCGTTGTTCCGGCTTCCCGACTGCTCCGTGGTGCTGATGGAGTTGGACGACCACTTGCAGGCAGACCCCGGGCTGAACCCCGGTTCTAAGGGGCTGCCCGTATCTGCCATTTTGCAGGTTGGCAGGAGAATGCGGGGGTCATGCATCCCGCCAAAACAGTGGGGGCAGAGCCTCGCCTGCGTGAGGCTTGCTCTGATTGCATAGAGGGCGCCCTGAATCCGGGATGCTGGCATCCCTCCAGATAACGGATTCTGCCTTTGGGGTTGAAACGGATGTAGAAGGTTTCTTCGATTCTTTGCTCCTCTCATCCCGAACTCTCTCCCATCTGATCTTTTGGGCTCCTGTTCATTCATTCCACTTCGTCTTCACAATCTACACTTTGATTCTATTGGCAAGGCTGAGTGCACAGTTCCCACTCTAACTGGTCAAAACGGGCGACCGAGTGTTTCACCCACTTCGAGAAGACGAAGAAGACATCGATTTTAGGTGATTCAAGTCCTCCACTACTGGCCTTACTGGAACTAATGATCACGATCAGCGACACAAAAGGATTCGTAGCTCAGAGATATGAGTTTGCGGTGGCTGCTGTCAAGCAAAGTTTATCCGTCGCAGGTAGGCACCTGCTTGCGCCCACCGGCAAAGAAGATATAACCAACTAACGTTGTTCTGCCAGACCGAGAGAGCGTCAACCAGCCTGGAGATTGGCAGAAAGCGCAGAGTTACATACGGCAAATCATAGCAGATCCACCAACACCTCATCCCATCAAAAGACTGCTAGCACACATCGACCCACTGCCTCGATCACTCTACACTCTTGTGGGACAGTTTGAAGGCGCCATCCACCCTTCTGTTCCAGATGTTAACATTATTTGGGGGTTGACTGAGTTGAATATCAAGGTGAGAAGACGCCCGATCAATCTTGGCTCTGAGATTGCCGATATTGGTGAAAGCTGTCATGTAAATCCTCAGAGAAGCTCACTCAGACTGTGGGCTGGATGAAGCGACTACGCAGCGTAGTAGAGCTTTTCAATAGGTGTCTCGATGTTTGCGAAGATTTGAATGAGCCTCGAATTGCCATGGTCGAGGTCATAGGTATGGTTTTATTCGCCATCTGCTGATGAAAACTAATCGATGGTCCAGACTGTCTTCTACAGATACTCAGTGAATTTGTCAAATACCTTCGAAGACCAGGTGAGGCGCACGCCTTATATGCTGGCCCAGCTGGCCAGAGGTTCTAGAGTCTATGCTAACAGGTTCAACACAGACTCTGAGGCTGCATCTGGCTGGAGAAGTCTAGAGAACAAGATAACTGGCGACCTCACTTCCATGGATGCTTCTACAAAGAATCTCAACGGCATCAACAGTTATTCGAAGGTTAATCTTGAGCGGGCCACCAAGACTCTCAATCTCAGCCATGGCCCGGCCCAATACCCCGAGGAGCACGTCACATTCCCAATCGCAATGATAACCAGAAACAAGAACGAAAAGTTCTTTGGGCGCGCAGACGAATTGAAGAACATAAATGGGTTCTTAGGCCACAAAGATACGAATCTTCGAACATACACCATATATGGGCGTCGCGGGGTTGGAAAGGCCGATATTGCGCTGCAATATGCTCACACAAATCCAGCGGGCTTTGATGCCATATTTTGGGTCAATTGTGAAACATCAGTGGCTCTGAGAAAGAGCTTCACCGACATGGCGGTTGCACTCAATATTCCCGGGGCTGACAGAAATGGTTTGGAGCCAGACTTCTCACGATATATACATGCTGACAATAGGTAGGTCGCCACGAGGAAAATCAGCTCGCAGTACTGAAATGGCTCAAAACCACCAGTGGGTTTTGAATTATGAGCCAGTCTCTTGAAGTATTCTGACCGAGTTCAAACAGAACGGCAGTGGTTGTTGATTTTTGACAACGCAGGTACGAAAAGTAGCTATCATTACGTGGATTTCTCTTACTAATAGTTGATCAGAGCGCTAGTCGATTCTGAAAGGGTACTGGCCTGTATCCGTCAAAGGCTCCATTCTGTAGGAACAGCTCTCTCAACTATGACCATGAAATACTGAAAGCTCACGATTGATAGGATCATCTCCCGGAAGTATTATAACTTCACAAACGACGCACACCGTAAGGGTGATACAATCAAGCCGTTCACGCCAAAGGAGAGCTGGAGTTTGCTCATGAAATTGCTCGGGTCGCAATGGGCTGAAGAAGACAGAAAAGGTCTTATCAAGGGGTCCGAGGAAAGGGCTGCCACGGGGCTGTTGAAGAACTTGGGCGGGGTAAGCGGAAATGACGCTTCAAAAATCGATTTCAACTACTAACACAATGGATTAGCTTGCTCTTGCGATCGAACGCGCGGCTGAATTGATCAAAAACGATTCCATCGGAGGACCCAACATTGCATCGACATACGAAGAGTTCAAATCACAACAGACCAACCTGCCAAAGTGCCCAGCAAGTGCTCGCTCCGACGTTGTCCTCGCTCTCAACTCACTTTGGAACATGCGATTTACCAATCTGTCAAGAAACGCTTTGGCGCTGCTGAGCGTCCTATCGCTCTTGTCTCCAGGCAAGCCTGTCCCCGCATGATTCTCGATGCAAATGGTAACAACCATAACAGATGGTATCCTAATTGATCTCTTTCTCCCGCGAAATCAAAAAGCATTAGACGGGAGACTTGCATTCTGCAAGCAGATTACTCAACACATGGAGGATGCGGACTCGAACACGGCGCTGTCCAGTGTCATCACTCCTCCACCTCTTCTCCGCAAAGCAATCCAAGCAGGAAGGACGTGAGCTCTGGGCACATCGTGTCGTCCAGGAGGCAATAAACTACCACTCCTCTGAAGATTTGCAGGAGTACTTTGACGCCGCGGTAGCTTTGGTTATGAAGCTTTTCCCAAGCAGGTTCGCGGTGACTATTTATTGACTTGCTTGCCAATTGTGGATGGTTCTTGTATGAAGTTTCTGATTACCCCCTGTGTCTTCGTCTCATGGAGACTGCACGAGTGGCATGTGAGGACAAAGGGTCACTGCAATACGGCACACTCTGTATGACCGCGGGCAGTGCTTACTATGAGCTGAACCAACTCACCGCATGCCGCGAGAACTGGGAGAACTTCATGCAAATTCGAAAGGTAAAATTACCCGAAGGACACCTAGAAGTAAGTATACACCGCTTCAAGCACCAGCCCACTTGATCTATTCACGTACAACTTGCTAACCCAGGAGTCTTCTAGCTGTCTAGCTCCTACCATAACATGGGGAACCTTGAGGCCGCCGATTCGGCAGCTGCTGACAATCTCGAGAAAGCAGAAGCCTACTTCAAGCGCGCAATAGATATCCGCGTCGCAGGCGGCGACATAGCAAACAGTCTCCTCGCCAACTCGTACCTCTGCATGTCACGCGTCCACTTCCTGAAGAAGGATTACGACGAAGCATTAACCATGCTTGCTCAATCTGAAGCTCTGCTCTACCGCATCTCCGGCGCGGATGCACATTTCATGGCTCAGTAAGTCCTCCTTAACATAATCTTGCAAGAGTGTGTGATTGAACGGCTGGTATTGACATTACTTAGTGTACATTATGCATACGGCAACGTCGATTATGCCCAGAAGAGATGGGAAGCCACCAAGCGTTCGTACGAACAAAGCCTCAGGATCGGCCTGGCCAATGCCCCAATCCATCCTATCACTGCGGCTGCATACTACAGTTTAGGTTGTGTGGAACATATGCGAGGCAATCTTGACAACGCAAAGTAAGCCTTCATTCCCCTTTCCCCTCGAAATCCCCGGGTTTCGTTTGTTGAGCATTGGTTTGTTCTATTTACTGACTAATTGTCATTAGAGCATACCTCGACAGAGCGATGGCCATCGCACAACACCGCAACCCTGACCGAGATGACGGCACCATGGCACGCATCATGTGGAAGACGCCCGTGGTGCTGGAGAGCGAAACGTTCGGTACTTTCCAGGAGGATGCCACGGAGCTGCGAATCAGAGCTGAGCTGGCGCTCAAGCCGCTGACTGCCAAGGGTGAAGGCGGTATTGTGTTTAGTGTTGATGAAGAGGGTAATGCAGATTGTGATGAGATGGAGGAGGCGTATGATTCGCTGGTGCCGGGATACTTTAGATGAGTGATTTGTCCCTTGCGAGAGTTTTGGCTTTGGCGCTATGGTTGGCGCTTGATTGTGTTCATGTGGCGGCGATCAGGAACGAGATATCCCCAACTTATGCTCTTTCTTCAGCGTGGCTGTGGCCATTGTGAAAAGCGATGCATTGGCAGTGTTCAAATAGGCGCCATTGGCTGTTGCAAATATTGTTTCCTGGCATAGTAAACCTGATAGCCAGCAAGTATCGTCTTCAATCACAGAACATTAGCCCCTTTCTGTTTACTCGACATCACTTCTCCCCCTCGAACTTACCTGAAGAAATCCAAATATCAACGCAAGGATCAGTGACAAACCGCCAAAGAAAATCACCGCCTATTCAATCAATTGTTAACTCGAGTTCCCAGCCGTGGGATTAAGATGGAAGGGCAACAAACCCAAAACGTCCACCACCTCTCCCGATTCCTCCTATCATTCCATAGACTCCGAAAATCATTCGGATGGAATCCCTTAACATGAGTCTGGATATCCAACAACCTCTTCCCCAGAAACGGGAAGTGGATCGAAGCGCGATATTGCGACGACGGGTCTTCGGCTACGATTAATTCGTAGACCTCTCTTGCTTTGTCATTCGTTGGCCACTTGGCGCCACAGAGGGCTGGGAGCAGAGGATCGTAGAAGTCGAGGGGAAGCGGTGTGTCTCGCGCGAGGAGTAGAAAGTCGGCTGCGGAGGACAGGTCTTGCCCAAATATGAGGCGGTAGGAGAGCAGCACTTCGCTGTAGAAATCCGAGGCGTCTTCGAGGTCGTCGGAATAGCCTTCTGATTCCCCGGTGGCGTCGTAGAATATTCTGTCAACCAACTTTCTTAGCACTGAGCTACTTACTCCTTGATGATTTTTGCACGTTGGGTAATGAATGGGATGGTGGAACGAACTGGGATAAAGGTGATACTTTCTCGCAGCAACACATAAGTAGACATAAGCTCGGTAGCCGAAAGACTTTCAGCACTTTTGTCTTATTGTCAAACTCCAGATGCAGAGACAGACTATCCACCCACTCAATCTTGACATTTGCTACCTTGTTTAATGCGTGGAAACAGAGCAGTGAGAGCTCGATCCAGTCATCGTCATGCCGTACAGGGTTTATGGAGGCTGGGCTCACGCGTCCAGAGACCCACTGTCTCTGCCGCTGCGGTATCACCTTGCCGAAACTGCCGAGGAGAGTGTTGAGAGGCTGATCATTGTTCTCTTGCGTATGGGAGAAATGCGTAAATGTTTCTTTTTTGGAACGTCGGCGGCGGCGGGCTGTGTGTGGACTCTCGGGTACAGAAGACGTAGAATCTGGGAGGTTTATTTGAAGCTTCATGGGATCTGGGTCATGTCTGGCGGAATATAGGGAGCCTTTTTGTTGTTTTGTGGTTAGTGTCCATGCAGAGAAAGGGGGCAAGATGACAGGAAACTCACTTATCCACCCCAGAGCAGCGAACACAAGCTGATTTGCGTGTGAGCGGTCGCCGTCGGCTTCCTTGAACAGATTTTCATTGTATAGCTTGTCTAGAATATCTGTAAGAGCCAGATTCTCGCGTCTGAGTGCCTCGGCAATAGTCTTCAAGATCTCGAAGGTCAAGGAAAAGTCTTCGCTATTGGGTGGAGGGGCCTGCTCATTGCCGATTGTGCCTCTTAGAACTGGAATAAACAAGGACTTCCAGGCTTGTCTAATTTTGAATTCTAGGAAATTCATGTACCAGGCGCAGGCATCCTTCAGTTCCTCGCGGGGCTTTTCTCCCAACTCCAGTCCCAATATTTCAGCGAGGAAACTGTTTTGAGCGTCTGATAATGACTCTGGTGAGACTTCCTCGGCGATTGCTCGATTTGATCTTGGAACCCCTAAATGTTCTCGTTCAGGAATGCCACTGCAGGGTAAGATTTCTAAACGCTCAAGATACCTACATCTGGCAACCCATTGAACTGACCAGTGCGAGATTGCACTTGATATGCTTGCAGCGCTCAAACCAGGACCAACTCGCTGGCCCTATGTGAGGATATATTCAGTATTCTTTCACTTTAACTGGAACAGAGATTTTTCGTAATCTTACATGTATTTTCCACCCCAGGCCCCGACGGGGTGGCTGCAGACTCTCGACGTCCTGAGCCTCATTCCCAGCCTCGCTACCTCTATAGCCCATTTCGATGTCCTGTTGCATACGAGGAGCCATATCGAAGAGAGATTTCGAGATTGATATCCAATGAGTTTCGCACCAATTTAAACGATGAGTCTAGAAACTCGAGGGTCTGGTCTCCATTTTGTTCAATTTCGAGGTAAGAGCCGGTTCGGGATCGATTATGAGGCGGGCGTGAGACTGCAACAGATGCCGAGTGGTTCGTCCTAACCATGGCTGTCTCCATCGCCCTCATGTGAACATGGAAAACCATGCCGTCGATCCAATCTGCATCCTGTTTTCCTCAGCTGGAAACTCCCAACCTGCAACCAAGACATGACGAATTGATATTCACTCCTTGGAGGTTGGTTACCAATCGCGGCACACCATAGCGGTTTCCCTGCGCCTCACTCACCTGCAATCTAGAATCCCATCACTTGGACTTCTGTAGGCACGGTTCTGGCCACCGAAGCAATGTCTCTTGTTTCCACGCGTTGAAAATTTTCAGATAGTGGCGTTCGAAGTTGCCCAGCTTGGTTTGATGAGATACAATCTGCCTGAGGATGAGACAAAAGGAGAATTCGTCGAAATAGCCGCAACAGACAAAAGTCACACCCAAACGATTGTCGTTTTCTCGTCCAAGAAAGCAGCAAGCAGACGGCGTGCAGGCGCAAGTCAGCCCGCATCTACGCCCGATGGCTGTGAGAGGGCGCGGGGCAGTGTTTGTGTCACCCGAGTGGCCGGTAAGGCAGCCGTTTGATGAAATTTATAAAAGTTGCAGATAGGCAATTGAGATAGGGAAGCAGGACGAAGTACCTCCGCAAGATGGAAATGTTGAAGGAGTATGGAGTAGAAAGGCACTGCCTCAAAACTTCAAAAGCACAAAGGTTCACCCAACCTCTACAGCCCTGCAAGTCTTGCAAACTCGATGTTCTATGCTTCCCTCGGACGGGATGAGGTTGAGAAAATTAAAATGCTTCATAAAAGATGGGAAAGGGGGGTTTCTCGTTCTGCGGGATGCGCGCACTCGCTTGTTATTTCTTCCTGTCAGACCAACTTCTGATGGACTGGGAGAGTCGATTCTTAATCGTATCCGTAAATACCCATCTTTTTGAGGCTGTTTGACCATCTTCGCATAGTGAATGCATATTAGTTAGACAAAAGGGTATTAGAGTGTTAACCTGGGCACCTATCAGCCATATCTCTGCAGGCACCCTGGTAACACAACTTAAGAAGGGCTTCTTGAGCCCCCAGGTAGAGCACTACGTGTCTCATGCATGCCCCTCGCCACCACTCCCGCACGGATATTAATAGTGCAACATCGGGCGGCATCCAATAGGTGTACATTGTAAAAGGCCAATACGAACGGCGTTAGGTGCCGCAGGCTCTTCCCCCCAATGCGTGCAGGAGCCAGAAGCGCAGATTGCATATATATTATGGGCATATCCTTTATAAATTCGGAGTTCTCGGGATAATTCATCTACCATAATGCGAATGTCGTCGCGCTGGTGGGATTTGCCATGCTTCGCGCTCATTCTCTGCCAGATCTGGGGTGGCCAAGTCGCAGCCCAGAATAAATTCCTCCCGCCATGGACGCAGGGTCCAGATAAGAATTATTCGCGGAATTTTGCCTATAACACCGGCGAGATTGTCATCCTAGCATGGGCGGCAAGCTTGACGAACGCAACGCTGGGCCTTTGGCAGGACAATTATCCGAACAATGCGCAAGGAGGCCCTTCGGTAACACTTATCAGTACGGAAAAGAAGACATATATACCTTCTATCTTGGGATAGTAAAGACTGATTACGATAGATAACCTTAATGGTACGACACAAAACTGGAAGGTAACCTACGGTGGTATCAATCCTTCCTTCCATAATGTATACTACCTTCAAATTGATAATGCGGGCGACAACGGCGCAACATCGCACTACTTCAATATTAGCGAAGCACCGCTCTCGACGAGCAGCTCCGTAACGTCTACGCCTATATCGTCCATCTCCTCAACTAGTACCCTATCTACCACGGTCACGACTACATCCCCACCTGCGACTGTTACCGTAACAAGCAAAGGCAGCAGTTTGAGTCCAGGAGATGCCGCTGGAGTGGTATTAGGGTGTGTAGTTGGGGTTGCGCTTGTGCTCGGTACACTTTGGTGGTTCTGGAGAGCGAGAAAGCAACGAGTTCAGGCGGACGGTGCGAACTCCTGGGCAATCACTCAGCAAGCGACAAAGCAGGGGCATGAGTTGGCCGGATCTAGGATAGAACATGAGTTGCCTGGGACTGATAGGCGGAGAAGTCAGGTCCATGAGACATTGGGATCGACTACATTTTCGAACTAGAAAAAAATCAAAGGTTTAATAAAGGCAGTGCGTGTTTGGTTATTGAATGTGAAGGGGGCTATTGGTAGATAAGGTTTTTAATATGCAAACGGATTCCTCCTTTGGACTTTTTCCATCTATCTATATCTATATCAAATCCAAAAAACGAAATAAAATATAAGGAATAGTGTATGACTCTACCACTCATGTGTGGGCCCCACACTTATGTATATTCGAGCGCTGCAGGGCTACGGGCACGCCCTCGATCCCGACCTTATGTCTTCATATATCCCAGCGTTGAATACCATGTTCCCCTTTAATGACCTCTTCTCACGAACAGATCTGAAAGACATGGCGAAGACAATATACACTCGAGCATTTTCTGGATATACAACTGTCTGAGTAGCTTCGTCGGACATATATAAAGACCCCAGAAGGTCGGTGTCACGGGCGAGCACCTGTTGCCACGTTATTATGGTCCTCACAGACCGCCGTAAGGGGAATAGCCTCAAACCTAGCCTGTTTCAAGTCCGTAGCTATAACCTCGCCCTTACGGCGTCGAACACTTCTCTTCTCCTTTTCTCCTTAGCTTTAGCTCTTTAATAGAACCGCCTCTTTTCTTCTAGTTACTTCCGCTATACCGTGCCTAGCTACCGTTAAAGATAACGTACGGAGACTAGTAAATTGGGTTCATGTGGTGGGCACACGTAACGGAGCATGGGCGGACATCAGGTATCGTGGATTTAATTTCCTATTTTGGGTATTACTTATACCGGAATTATACGGATTATACCGGATTATATTTCCTAATTAAGTAAAGAGCTTCGTACGCTTGGCTAAGTACTAGGGAATATATAAAGAGACGCACATAGTTCTGGAAAGGGGCATCGATTAGTCTCTTGTTAGAATTACTTCTTGGAACCAGTTACACTTGCAAGCGTCACTCTGCAGTTTACTTACCTTGACTACTTATATATCCCCTTGCTATTACGTGCCTCACACCATTACAGCTTCCAAATAAAGGAAGTCTCCTTTATATAGTCCACAGAAGATACTATTATCTCGGACGGTGTAAGGGAGCGGTTTGGTTTAATTAAAGAAGACATTTTGAGGATATACTCAAGGTAAAATAATCGTACGAGGGGAGCCATAGTGGGGGAATAGCTGTGTTTGCTTACCCCTGCCATTTTGGAACGATTGGAATAATCCAATACCAAGTATTACCTAACTCTTATTGATACGGGCTGGAATGTTCCATGGAACGTTCCAGGGTGGATTATTGCCAAGCTTGCTGGGACATTTAGAGGGGCAGTCTTCAAATATACAATAACACAGGTGTACATTTGGAGAGGGAGCATTTGCAATGTCCAGCTTTAGTCAGGGGCATTGGAAATTGAATTGTATGATCCCCTTTCCCCCGTCCAGGCTGTCTTTGCTCATGCTCATCCAACTTGAATACCCGTCCATTTCGCTGAGCGAAAGCCTAGGATATCGCTCCTTCGTTTTCAATAAGTCATAATAGAATCATCTCATCATTTTAAAATACTTTTTTACGATATATCGACCGTCGGGAGGAAAGTGAAGAACTTTGGGTTGTGGGAGGCCGCGGTGGGAGCCGAACCGAATCTCCATGGGTGGCCTGGTTTTGAGATGGGGGGGTATAGGTTTTGTTAGCGACATTATTGTGTTCTTCGGAACATGTACGTGCCCACCACTCCACCCCCAAAGTGTATCACTAACGAAATTTATAGTTGGTCAATTTGAAACGATACAGAGAAGATTAGCATGGCCCCTGCACTAAGGATGACACGCTCAATCAAAGAGAAGCTACCAATTTTTTTTGATTCTCTTTTTTTTTTTTGCGTTCGCTATTAATAAATAGGTATGAATTTTTTTGGGGCAAACGTTAAGCGAAAAATAACATGTCACGTGGGATTGCCTGAGGAAGCAAATGGTAATCGTGTCACATGAACGACTTTATTCAAAGACTTGATTGCTCGCCTCGCCTTTATTAGACAGCCAAGCACTCAAGCAACAAGAGAAGTTCGCCGGGCCTCAGACTCTCGAGGATGATATGAGAGAGCAGCCACGGCCACTAACAACAATCAGCGTGCGCAGAACGCAAGTCGCCCAAGTCTGTCTAGCTATATGCCTCGTTAGAGGACAACAGGGAAGAACAATGGTTATCGCAGGCAAGCCGTGAAGACATATTTTCTTTGGCGGGCCAGGAGCCGGCGCTTGCTTGATCTATCGTACAATAACCCCAATGAATACAATCCTCCTCCCCTCCCCTCGCTCAGCCTGCACCCTCAGGTTCCAGCTGAAGCACTATGTAACATGAATGCTCATGCAAACCACCATTCTCGCTCTTTCGCTATGCATGCCATGCTCACGATCCCTTCCAATCTCCCATATCTCCCCATTCTTAAGTTCCCCAACCCCAACTCCTCAAAGCAAAAGGAAAGGAAAAAACGCCATCCATGCAATGCATCACCACAAAACCGGCGTCGGAAAGGTAAGTTTTGAGGAGGGCACGAAGAGCCTATTTCATACTCTTCAAAAACCCCTCCAGATCAAAACTCTCCTCGTACTGTTTATCATCCCAAAGCTCGCCAATCTCATCCAACCAGCCCTTCTTGCCCCTCTCCCTGACCTCACCGGTGGCATCAACCATATCCTCTTCTCTGCCGTCCCCTGCACTCGCTCCATTAAGAGTAGGTTTGTCTATACCTTCAGCTGTCTCGCCGAGGTTGAAGAGATCGAGGATTTGATCGGTTTCCATGGTTCCCAAGCCGGCGTTTTGCTGGTTCACGACTGTGGAGGCAACGTCGATTTTGAAGCGTTGAAGTCTGGGGGTGTTAGTTGGGAAAGAGGGAGGGGGGAGGGGTGACATACGACATGATCTTCTCCTCCAAGGTACCTCGAGTAATCAGCCGGTATACATTAACCACCTTCTTCTGCCCAATACGATGCGCTCGATCCATAGCCTGCAAATCCTTCTGCGGATTCCAGTCATGCTCCACGAATATGACCGTATCGGCACCTGTCAAATTCAATCCAAGACCACCAACAGATGTGGTAAGGAGTAAGACGTCATAGGAAGGATCCGAGTTGAATTTGTTAACGATATCTTGGCGCTTGGAAGCATCTACAGAGCCATCCATACGCAGATACTGCACAGAAGGAAGCATCTTCTTCAGAACGTCATTTTGCACCATATCAAGCATTTCTTTCATTTGGCAGAAGATGAGTGCGCGATGTGGTGAAACGTAAGATGTCTCGGTTGTCAGGTCGTTCTCGGATGACGGTTCGGTGCCGATGCCGCAGTCGACGAGCAGGTCTCGGAGGGCTGTGAGCTTGGGTGCGTGGACTGGGTCACGGAGACTGGTGCCTTGTTTTGCAAGTAGGCGTTGGGTTTCCTCGTACTGCTTGTGGCCTTCTTTCATGACTAAGGCAGGCGAGTTGCAGAGTTTGCGCATGTACTGGAGGGCTTGGAAAATGTGTTGTTTGGCTTCTTTGTCGCCCGATGATGCCTTCTCTGCAAGGGTCTTTCCTTCCTTCTTGGTGAAGTCTTCAAAGAGCTTCTTTTGCAGGTCGCTGAGATCGCAGTAGTAGTTCTGCAAGATCTTGGGAGGAAGATCATCCAAGACTTCTTCCTTGAGACGACGGAGCAGGAAGGGCAAGACTTGCTTATGCAAGGCTTCGATCGCCAATGCACCAGCTTCTTGCTCCTTAGAAGATGACTTGCTGAAACGACTCGCGGCAATTGGCTTAGCAAACCGATCAAGGAAGACCTTTTCTGCTCCGAGGAAACCAGGCATCAGGAAGTCGAAGAGTGACCACAGTTCCAAGACGTTATTCTGAATCGGAGTGCCGGACAGAATAAGGCGATGATTACTGAGGAGACGCTTCACAGCGATGGTGACCTTTGCGCGAGGATTCTTGATCAAGTGGCCTTCGTCAAGGACGAGGTAGTTCCAGTTGTATGGAATGAGAATATCGGCATCGTTACGGCAGATATCATAAGAAGTAATAACAATGTCTGTCTTATCCAACTGGTCTCGTAATCGAGCTCGATCAGCTGGAGCGCCAACGTAAGCTGTGCAAGTAAGGAATGGTGCATAAGTGTTGATCTCCTGTTGCCAGTGACCAGACAGGGTTGGGGGACAGACGATGAGTGAGGGAAGTCGGCGAACATCAGGAGCTCCCGTCTTAGCAAATTCATCAGCTCGTAAGTGGTGATCACTTGCAACAATGCAAAGCGTCTGGAGAGTTTTGCCGAGACCCATATCATCGCAAAGAATGCCGTGGAGGTGATACTTGTTCAAGAAATTGAGCCAATTGACACCTTCCTGTTGATAGGATCGAAGCTCTGCCTTGATTGCCACAGGGATGTGGAAAGGTTCGACTTTATGAGGGTCCAGTAACTGGGCAATGAATGTACGCTCACGATCACGGCCCTTCAGAAGCTCTTCGGAGAGACCAGGAGGATCTGGAATGCCTGCCTCGAGTGGTACAAGCTTGACGAGGGTGGCGAAGGTTGTGGTGGCAATCAGACGAACGTCGTTATCCGAATCACTCATACGACCAAGGACCGGTACGATCAAGAAGATTACGTACGGTAATATATTATCTCCCATGACGTGAATCAAGTGATACACTGCCTCGATGGCGCCTTGTCGGAAATTGAGGTCCACAGGGTTGCTGATTGAAGGCAAGACCTTCTCAACAAGCATTGTCATACCTTCAACAGTGATGACACTGCAGACTGTGGCAAGGCATTTGGCAGCCATGTATCGGAAGACCGAAAGCTCTGAGTGGAGGGCTTTGATGACCAATGGCAATAGGTGAAGAACAAAGCGATGGAGCTCCTTGCTGAGAGTCGGGGTCAAAGCCCGAAGAACAGACATTCCATCGATTGCAGCTTGGCCGACGTCTTGCTCCGGATCCTTGCAGTCCGGTGGCAATTCTCCAGCAAAAGCGTGTTGCAGAGCATCTTCCATGATACTTTTGAGTGTTGGTACTTTCTCCAGGAGATCGGCACCGAAGATATAGGATAATTGCTCCAGAGCCTCCTTGGCACCTCTTCGGACAATCCGAGCCTCCTTAGCTTCTCTGGCGAATTTGGCTGCATCGGGGTGATCTCGTCGGTCTTCCTCCTTTCGGAGTGACAAGATATTACTGGTAAAGCCGGCATTTGGTACAAACTCGGGGGTCTCGGATGTATCGATGCAACTGAACTTCGCTAAGTTCGAGACGACCTTCTGCGCTGGCCCAGAACGGCCACCCTCGGCAAACAGCTCCACCAACCGAGCGACAGAAGCAGCAGAGCGTTGTTGTAGCTCCACATTCTCCTCTTTCTTGACGCTGTCCATCATGCCCTTGATGATGTGGGTCGGCTTCTTAGGCGAGACTTTCATGGCAACGAGAGCGCTGGCAGCAGCGGCTTTAATTCGGATGTCTCGTTGATCTTTGATATTCTTGGCATTGCTGATGACTTCGACCACACTCTCACGGGCCTCAGTCAAGGCTTGTGTGGCAATCAATCGTTGACCAGGAGCCATGGCCTTCTTCAGTCTTTCGAAATCCTCATTGACGCACTTGTCAGCTGTGACAATTGAGAATGCATCCGGCCCGGCCTCGGGCTCGCCTTGAACGACGACAGCAAGAACAGGCAATTTGCTTTGTGAGACTTTGCCAACATCTCGGAAGGTGTTGAGAAGTTGAGCACATTGAGCACGGACGAGTTGAGTATAGCTCACGAGGTCTCGGTAATGCAATGGTCGGTCGGTCTCGATAATCTTTTGTAGTGGATCGACAAAACGTGCTGGCTGGTTTTTCGAGGTGCAGTTCTTTGCATATTCATCAACGATCAACGCCGCAGTGAGTTGTGTCGATGAGTATGCCGATGACAAGCCGAGAACGATACTGCCATCGTATGCCTCAAGCACAGTGGTTGGGACGAGAGACATGATCAAGCCCATTGCCTTTGCTGCTGAGATCCTCGATCTGATCAAGATCTCCATCCCGACCAAATCGACATCTCCCTGCATCATGTGACCATCAACGTCGTGAGAACTGCTCGTTGGGATTGGCTCAGAAGTCTTTGTAGACTTTCGTCTTTGTTTCTTAGCTGGAGGCTCGGTTTGCGCAACTGGAGATATTTGCCGAGATGTTGTTGTTTGCACGAAACCAGCAGGCAAAGAGTATGTATTGCCAGAGGGCTTCTGGAAGAGTGTTGCATTCATAGGGATAGGATGTCGCGAGACGCCAATAGGGTGAAGTGTGAGTTGAATGAGAGGATCCACGTGGGCCGAGAATTGCTCGGCGGGGTCCTCTGGATCCTTCGCCAAGTATCTCACCAATGCTGACCAAACTTGTAATGAAAGGTTCAGCGTATCTTGGTTTCGCTCGACGAGGATATTTTGATAAATGAGTCTTAAGATCTTGCCATTGAGCCAGTCTCGAGTGCCTTCACCCTCGATGTTGACGAATGTCATGAGAGCCCTCAATACTGCTGACCGAACAGAAGTAATAGTATGGCGAAGGAAAGGATATAACCGTGGGACGAGAAGAGCAAAAGACTGATCAGAATCTCTGGCGGCATTCTTCTTCATGGCCTCGAGGACTTCTGGGAAGCTGCACAGCTTTGCGAGAAGATCCATGATCTGGCCAGTGCTTGCACTGAGATCATCACCCAGATTTGAAAGGCAGTCCCAGACAATGTTGATTAGGCCGTCCAATGCTTCGGGGCGTAGATTGACGAACTCTCTGGCGATTGGAATGAGAGTTGCAGCACTGACTGAGCGCACATCGTCATCAAAGTCTCCAAGACCCTTCATAACCGCACGGATGACTCCATCAATCAAATCGCTGTCTTTCAGTAAGAGGTCGTTTCTCACTGCGACCAAGTAGCGTAAACCGATCATTCCACCATGACAGATGGCCCATAGGGGCTTCGAAACTTGGAGATCTTCTTGCATCACCATTCGATACAGTATTCGGTGGACTGCGTAAACTGTACTAGCAGGCAGATGAATCAGGAGAGCACCGAGTGTCTGTCCAACTGTCTCTCGAATTGGTGCAACAACCGTGTCAGAGACGTAGTCACCGAATCGATCCAGCATGAAAACGCAACATAATCGGCAGGCAAGATCGTCGAGATATCGCCGATTGAGGACATCGTTCTCGGCTCGCGACTTTGCTTTTAGACGACCAGCCCCAGCGCCATGGACTCGGAAAATTTCTCTCAATCCCATCGCTGCGCCATGCCGAGTCTCCCACTGAGGATCAAAGAGATCGATCATGAGAAAATCACACAGAACCCTATAGGGCCACTCTGCTCCCTCAGCTTCCTCATCTGTTTCCAGTTCGGACTTGATCGGTAGGGCAGGACCTTTGAATTCTGAGATGACTTTCGAGTCTTCATCAACCTCTGTCGTACGCTCCAACGAGAAATAGTCGGACATGCCATTCGCGCTCGGAGCGTCGTCTACAATGTCAGACATGGTCGTGTCAGAGCTAGCATCCATAGTGCTCGAACGTCGAATCGATAAATCCACCAGTCTGTTCTTCGCTCCGGAACTCAGGGCCTCACGCTTCCGCTTCCGCTTCAATTGGTTAAGTTGTCTCGCGCTTAAACCAACTTCTTCAGCAGGAGTCGGAGGCCGTTGATTGCCATTGGTGTGCCCGTTCGAAGTTTTGATCTGGGGAGTGGTAGTCCCATTCTGCTTAACGACAGGCATGTCGATATCCATTTCATCATCAAAATATTCTCCAAGTAAGCCAAGCCGACCAGGAAGCGTCTTCTTCTGGTGAGCAAGCCGCTGCACCGGATCAAGTTGCGAGAGAGCATAGTCGACCTCCTTGCCGCCACCTCTCAACAACTCTTTTCCCCATCTGAGGACCGAAACAATATCGAGGGAATCCAGACTCAGTTGCCCCTCGGCAAGAGGGGCTTCATCGACAGCTTCCTCTTTCTTAATGGGCAAATCGCTCTCTTCCTTCTTCGCCTCATCTTTGGTGAAGCTATCATCGGCATTGGGATTGTATCGCTCAGCATTGTCGACGATTCCACCCAAGGCCTTTGCCGCTGCAATTCGTGTATCCCAGGTCTTGTGTCGGAGATAAGGTACAACTCGCGTGAGCAGGTTGAACAGCTCCTCGGGATGGGCTTTCTGGACGTCAGCTAGCTGTGTCGCGGCGGTGTTTCGAATCAGTTGGGTGCTTCCCGTCTCCAACAGCCTATATCAGCAATGTTAGCGTCTAGTCAGGACGGGGCATGGAGCTGTCTCAAGTGAGACCAGGATGGGTTTCAGAGATATTAAAATACGCACGTGACGAGGCGATCGAGTCTGTTTGCACGTGATGTTAGCGGAGATTTGTTCCTTGCGGGGCGCGTTCTCGGCCCTGCTCACCTTGAAGCCATCTTCAACACGCGTCAACATTCGTCAACATTATCTGGTAGAAGAGAGTGGGTGAAGGGTGGGAATCGCCATAAATAATTGGGGCCGCCGGAGCGAAAGCTTATTTACGTGCTGGCAGCAGATACCTCCCTCCCGAATGGGAGAAGTCAAGTCGCGATGGCGACGCAGGGTGGATCTTCTGGGTTCGCGGTTGCGGGTGTGTCGTTCAGCCTCGGGCGCAAGGTTGCAAATGCGAGGAAGGTCTGTCGCCAATAAAGTACCAATAAAGCACCACTCACGCTTTTGGCGGAGGGGGCGTCGCTGCTATTGGCCGGGAGCAGGGCAGCCTTAGAGTGGTGGTGGATGCGCGGTCGGTGTTGCGCTCGCAGGGGTGCGGATGTCTGGCCTGGCTTGTTGCACGCGTGCAGCGTCGGTCACTTCTTGGGGCGATCCAGCTGCCTTTATTTATCTGCGTCGGTCCTTCCAAATTCGCTTAGCCACGCGCTAGCGCTAATCCGGGATTAGCGCCGTCCTCGACTAAGGGGAGATCATTTTTGGAGAAGCCAGAGGCCAGAAGCCACAACCCGAGAACTTAACCGTCATCGAAAAGGGGCAAATGGGCAAATTGACCATGGATACCGAGTGGCAGTGAATTACACCCTGTTGTTGATGCCGGTCGTTCACAGGTTAATGGGTTCTTTCGCCGAGCACCGTTTGAGGCGACAAACATCTTCTCAGCTTGGATGGCGATCCCTGCCCTATGGAAAACAGCCCTGCATATCTGTTGCAAATATTACAATACAAGACGATATGCCCTCTGCTGTACAAGGCTGCATGCCGTCGGAAGACAGAGGCTTGGCTTGCAACGTGAAAGGCGATCTGAAGCCTCATGCTATTCTGTTCTGATGGGACAGGCAGAGGCAACCTGTGCCGTCCAGACATGAAACTGCGGCGAAAAATGGATGACTCGACAGAAACGAAGCTGATATCTGATGTGACCTTCGCCTCACATGACCCTTTGACTCGTAATCCGGAAGACTTCAATGATGCCTATGCTCTTTCACCATTTCTGTTGTGCCTCTCTTTCAACAAAGGTCGGGGGCTTGCTGAATACAAGACAAGGCTGCAGTGGCTTGAGCCGAATCGTGATTCGTTGCGGGATTTGATTGGCCAGAGCAGGCGCCCCGACTCATCAAGATGTATTGAGACAGAGGTATGATTGGAGATCTGACCGCAATCCAAGCTTCACGATAAAGGAAGCCTACGAATAGATAGTGGGATGCTTCCCCACGAACGGGACAGTGGTGAAAGTGGTGCAATGAGATGCATCTGCCTTGGCAGTACTCGCCAAAAGAGGACTAGCCTAGGCGGTGACGCCGACCTTGACACTCATCCGCCTGGCTGGCATTGAGGCTCGCCAACTTGAAGCTCCAAACTGCCAACACTGCTTCAGACCAAATTGCGCCTTCAACCTGCTCTCAAACTCTTCGTTCCTTGCCCCAACTCGTCCTCCACTCCCTTTTCAATGCGGTGACTATCTACCCTTACGTTCTAGCCTTCTCCTCCTCCAGCCCGCCGTCGCCCAGGCGCAATGACCTCCTACAATCCTGCGATGCCTGCGACGGCATCCCGACCTGTCTTCGGGGCCCCAATCCCCATGACTGACCCTTCCGCTCCGGCTGGTACGTTTGCGCCAGGGACGAAGATCCAAGTCGGGAGTCACAAGGTGGTTATCCAGAAGTACTTCTCTGAGGGCGGGTTTGCCCATGTGTATCTGGTCAAGATGCCCAAGCCCATTGATGGGACCGACATCGCCGTCCTAAAACGAGTCGCCGTACCGGACAAGGAACATCTGGCCAATATGCGGACAGAGGTGGAAACGATGAAGAAGTTGAAGGGGCACCGGCCGATTGTCACATACTACGACTCGCATGCCTCGCAGCTGAAGGGTGGGGGGTACGAAGTGTTTTTGCTGATGGAATTCTGTAACGGTGGAGGGCTGATTGACTTCATGAATACCCGGTTGCAAAATCGATTAACGGAGCCCGAGATTTTGAAGATCTTCTCAGACGTGGCGGAAGGTGTGGCTTGCATGCATTATTTGAAGCCTCCCTTACTACATCGAGATCTGAAAGTCGAAAATGTCCTTATAACATCTACAGGAAGTTCGAAAAGATTCAAACTCTGCGATTTTGGGTCTACAGCACCTCCTCGACCTGCGGCAACGACAGCTGCTGAATGCAGATTAATCGAAGACGATGTGCAGAAACACACAACGATGCAATACCGAAGTCCTGAAATGATTGATGTATATCGAAAGCAGCCGATTGACGAGAAATCGGATATCTGGGCGTTAGGAGTTCTGTTGTATAAGTTGTGTTATTACACTACACCATTTGAGGCACAGGGACAATTGGCGATTTTGAATGCGAGCTTTAAATTTCCGAACTACCCAGTCTTTTCAGACAAGCTAAAGAAGCTGATAGGTATGTGGCATGGAAACCAGAATCCGATCGATGTTAATATCTATAGCCTCTATGTTGAAAGAGAACCCGAAATCTCGGCCGAATATCTACCAGGTGCTTCGAGAAGCGTGTCTGATGCAAGGAATCGAGGTTCCGATCAAAGATGTATGTCTAGACGTAGATGATTACGGAATTGAAGCTTATTCTTGTAGATATATGCGGGAAGGACGCAATCAGAAACTCGACGAAACCAACAATTGCCGTCGCCACCAGACCATACATCGACACCCCCAATAGTTGGAGCTGTCTTCTCGCCACCTCCGCCGCAACAGCAAATTATTCCTGATGTAGTTCCAATGCGGAGAGGGCGCCCTACCGCAAGCTCACAAGGGCATGGTGCGAAACCGAGCCCCTCCCCCCTCCGAGGGACAGCCAATGATCCTTTCAAAGCCTTAGATTCGAAATCTCCCCCAGGCCCAGTAGACGAGATCTCGAACCGATTCCCTAGCTTGGATCAATTTTCCCTGCTTCATGATGGTGGGAAATTTGATTTTGATAAAGCCTCACCTACGAAGGCTACAGCTCCTCGTGATCTTGGCCAAAGAGTTACAGAAAAGTTAGCCGATGATGCATTTGCATCACCTGCATTGCCTGCACTTAGAACTCCGATGGGGACGTCTTCCAAGCTCCCAACTACTGTAGTTTCCAGAGCCCAGCAGATCATATCGAGTAATCCCGAGTTGAAAGCGGTGGCTTCGTTGCCCAGTGTTGTTCACCAGCCAACACCAACTCGCCCGCTCAATCCCTCCTACATCTCCCAAGGGACTATGACTTCTCCAACACCTCCTCCCACCGGACAACCTGTCAAATACAATCCTTCACCTGTTCAGAGATTTCCAGCCGCAAATGATCATCACCGGTCATCGAGTCTGCCTAGAAATCAAGAAGCAGCCAACTCCAGAACCCAATTTCTCCGTCCAGAAGAAAATGTATCCCTGCAATCTTCTGCTCCTCGAACTCCGACTTTCACGCCACAACCCCATCATGCAAGACATCCATCTTCCTCTCGCCCTTCACTTGAGGGCGGTAGACCCAGCAATGAAGTTTTAGACCCGATCGCAAGGACAAAGTCGAGTAATTCTCGGCCTCGACCTGCCAGTACCTATCTGGAGAGCCATATGGATTTTCTTCGTGAGAAAGAGGCCAGTGGAAGGCCTTCTCTATCAGATAAGCGACCGTCATTCTCGAGAGACGGTGCTGTCAAGGATGAGAGTTCAGATGATGAAACCAATATTGAATCAAATGTTGATTTCCTAAAGACGATGGAAGACAGCGATTCAGGGAGACATCACCATCGACGAAAAAGCAGCGGTCAAAAGAAGCGCTCCAGCTTACCATCTATGGCTTTGTCGGGCACTAAGAACCTCCTCGCCGGGAAATTCGGCGACGCCTTCAAACGCTTCGAAAACAATGCAAACGCACCACCTCGAACGCCGAGTCCATTACAAGAAATGGAGCGAAAAGATCTCACGCCCATCGCCGGCTCGGAAGCCACAGACGGCCGAAGCGACGATGGGAACATGTTCGAGGATATGGAGAACCTTCCTCCTGAACAACGGCGCGAGATCGAACGAAGACGCCTCTCAATGGAAGAAAAGCGTGTCGCGAACGCTGCGGCTGAGTACCGCCAACGGCTCGCAGAGCGCGGCTCAAGCACGGCACCGAAGAGCATCGGCGGCGTCTCACGCGCAACATCCATCCAGAACAAAGTCAAGTCCCTCCTCGACGAAAACCAAGGCCCCTCACCCATCAGGAAAACAGCAGAAGGGTACGGGCGCTTTACCGACAACAACCCCCCTCCACCAACACAAAATCACAACTTCGACTCCACCTCGGGAGCAAATCCTTACACAACTACTGCTAAACCTTCCATTACCAAAAAACCAATCCAAGCAGGAGGATCAGTGGGGGTAGGAAGTATCATCCATCCTCGCACCGCACCGTCAATTTCAAACGACATCACATTCAACAAAACCCGCACCTCTCAACCCTCTTCATCATCAAACTCAATGCCCCTCCCTATGCCGCTTCCGGCCACGGTCTCCAAAACAGGGAGTGCAAGACCGAACGCGCCGCCGAAACCGATGCATTTGAACAGCATCAGCACCGGTCCTGGCCTGGCTTCCGGCTCGCCGCCGAAGAGAGAGAAGCTGGTTGCGAGGCCGGATATGACGTCTAAAGAAAGGGAGGATGTCATCGCGGACTTCAGCAAGCGGTTTCCGAGTTTGAGTGGGATTGAGATGGTGGAGAGGAGTATTGATGCACCGAGGGAGGAGAGGGTGGGCTTGGGTGAGCGGGGCGTGAGGACGAAGGAGGTGTGATGTGGGTGTACATAGATATGGTTGGCGATTTGAGAGGCAGAATTGAATTCGATGTTTAGAGTTGACTCGAGTTGGCCTTTTAGTCTTGATGTTGTGCCTGTGCTTGCCAGGCTGGACGTGAGTCATGTGAGGGACGAGTGTCCATTTAACAACTTGTCTCTCGTTTCTCCTTGAAGTTTACGTCCCAACGGATTGAACATTTGAGCCCTGTATTTTTCTTTCTCTGTGATAGCGATCCTATGGCAATTCTTGAACGGAAGTTCTTTCGTGTTGATTGCGTCGTTTGCACCATTCCTATCTTTCTGATGGAGGAAGGCTGCAAAAGTTCACATCGGGATGTATAGGGCTAGCAAGGATATAAGCACCGCCGCTAATTCATCTTTGATCGCTCGGAACTCAAGTCAGAAAGAGCACGGGCAAAGAATTGTCCAGAGCTCAAGGAGTCTACAAGAAATGTTCGTGCGCCCCGTATGCGGAAGCATACGGGCAAGCCTAAATCACCTCTCTTTAGCACACCCGCCGCGGCGTTGGGGTATTGTAGCTCGAACTGACGACTCATCCAATATAATTCCCGCGCCCCAGTGCAGTACCAGCAATGCTGGCCAGAGCACGCTCTACTCTTCGTTGCCACAAACTCAGTCAGCCCAATGCTTGGGGCTAGCGAGGAATTCTGTCCAAAGAGATAATGACAACCATCTAGAAGTGACAGCAAGTTCGTCCGAATATTTCTAGACCAGATGAAGTCTGCTGTCAAAGATGGCTCTTGTACAGCCACCTTTTGCTATTGATGCATCCATCGGATTGAGGTCCAAGAGCTCTCCTACTGAGCCTGAACCCTTGCCGATGGCAGAGGCGCTGCTGCTGGGGATGGCCGGCAAGGTTCTGCTTGAGCAGCGGGAGCGATTCAAATCTCATACATCTCGTGTCCGACGTTGGAGGAAGAGGAACGATTCTATATGCACTGAGAGCAAGATCGGGAGAAAATGGCTTCAATGTCTAAGCGTTCGCCAGGTAACGTGCATATTTTTATTTTTTTTAACGCTACGAAAGGAATTTTCATCTACGTTTATCAATCGAGCTTTAGGTTGATTATCATTATTTAGCCTGGGGAGATATACGCGAAAGGGATAGTCTACACCAAGAAAGCCTTTGTCCACAGCCCCAGACTAGCCTAGTACGACCACCTTTTGGACCTCCAGGCCATCCGCCTCGGGAGAAAGCCCGAAAACTCCCCTTCTGGATCTCGATCCGGTTATCGCTCCTCCAGGATGAGTAGTTTAACGTTCAGGGACGGACTCCGGCCGTAGACGCTGACGCTTGAAGGAAGAGGGACGAAAACCATTCCACCAAAGTCTTCTTATTATCCGCAAATAATCCTCATATAACCTCCAAGCCTCAATATGCCTCCATAGCCTAAGCCTCTTGATAATACAAATAAACCCAAGTGCAAAAATGCCCGTTAGATGTGTCCCCAATATCTCCTCAACCCCGGTTAAGGGTACGCGTTATCAGCGCGCAAAGGGTGGGACTCCCTTCGTTGGCGAGCGGAATAAGGTACCGATTTCTTATGGAGTCTCAGTCGATTAGAGACTGGCGGGCGAATCTTGTGTGTCGATATTGAATAATAGAGGAGACACGAGTCTCGAGTCGAGGGGAGGAGTCGATTCGAGTCGGAGCGGTGGCGGCGGTGAAGGAGGAGGAGATTCGATCATTGTCGCCAGTTCGGGACTCAATCCTAGCCCTGTACCTCTCTAAAGAGATAGAACAATCGGTGGACCGATTGCTACAGGTTACCAGACCGCACCACGAGGAGGTGTTGAGTCGTCGCGGTCCCATCTACGTTTATCAATCTCGAGCGAGATTGGCTTAGTGAGCGCTGACTGAAGTGAAGTCGAAGGAGGGTGCGAAGTTACAGAAGAAGCTGACGATGGTCGGACTTTGACGTCACTCTCCAACTGTTGTGGGCCTGCCTGCATGTTAAGTCCGATAATCATGCACAACTTCCAATTAAGAAGAAACGCTGCAGGGGTCTCGCCATCGGTGCCTACGGCTTTTACAGTAAAGTTATGCCATAAGTACCGCGTAAATTGAGGTTCTGACTGCATGTCTCCGAGTTGAGAAGAGTATAAAAGGGTCAAAATACCAGCAAGTACTGGTGTGTAAGATCTTACGATTGCCCCTGTTGCGATGCGCCGCATGAGTCACTCGGCATTCTTCGCTAAGCTCTTAAGCGAAGTCAATATCTCCCCCTTAAAGAGAAACGCCACAGCGGTAATGCAGCTGAACACTATACTTGTATACATACAATGAAAATTTGTGACCGCTGAGCTGTAAGTTATCCTTTGCACATAGCTGTAACACAGATTTAATTGCCAGACGTACAGCTGGCATTCCTCCGATTCATCATCACCCGCACACCCCAGCACGACCTGTGGCTTCACATGCAATGTCTCCAACCATTCAAAACAACACCATTTTTCTCTCGCCAGAAGAAGATGCTCGTCTGCGCAAGAACTTCAAAGACAGGTTACAGAAATGTCGCGAGCTTTCAGGCCAGCGACGCATCCCTTCAGATCCACAATCTCTTCGAAGTCAAGTGATATACGCGGATCTGATGTCCGATATGCAGCCTGGCCCACAAGCACAGAAGGATGGAGCAGGCTTAATTGTTGCTTACGCCGTCGGTACTCCGTACCCGCCGTGCACTGTTCCCCTGCAAAATCTGAAGCCGATGGGAATGCATGAGTTGAGGATAGATACGCATCATCGCGGACGTGTTCTTACTGTCAGGCGGTGGGGGGCGACGCCTGTGGTTAAGCTTAAAATTTGTTCTTGGACTGTCGTGCAAGAAGTGAGGGAGGAGGGAGAGGGAGGTGGGGAAGTGGACAGGCTGGAGGTAGGGTTGTGCAAGGATGTGCATGGTGTGGATATATTGGAGAGCGGGGAGGTTTTTAAGGTCTTGGAACCGTGGTTCACCGTTGGTGAGCAGGGAGAGCTGACAATCCGTATCGACCATCGTTCGGACCTTGTTTGCATTGATAGCACCCCTTCCAAAGCGGATAAAATTGGCCGGTTGAAAAATACGAGGATGGAGGTCACGAAGATAGCTAGGGAGTACAAGGAAGAAGGCAATGCAGCACTCAAACAACGAAACCTGCCACTGGTCTATTCGAAGTATACCCAAGGTCTGGAAATCATCGGGGCAGCAAAAGAAGACATAGCCTGCGACCTCTTCCGCAACCGCGCACATGTCAACCTTCTGCTTGATCGACTGGATGGAGGAAAGAGCGATGCACTCGCTTCTCTCACTGGTCTTCCGGACCAGAAACACAGAGAGCTGGATGGCAAAGCATATCTCCGCGCCGGTACTGCAGCTTATCAGTCTGGTGACTTTCAGGAAGCGAAGCACTTGTTTGAGGAGCAGCAGCGCTTGTTGCCAGGTGAAAAAGAGGCGGCAGCGAGGATAAGTAAGACTGAACAGCGTCTCAAGGAACGGGAGACTGGCTGTTATGACTTCAAGAAACTCAAGGCCAGTCTCCTGCTATCATCGTCTCGTCATGGGGCAAGGGTCGACGCAGCAAGCTTCACCCGCAACGTGGAGATCAAACCGAGTCCAGGTAAAGGTCGTGGACTGTTCGCAACGAGAGGCATGGAGGCTGGCGAGGTTATAATGGCCGAGAAGAGTTTCTGCATCGTGTGGGCAAATGAAGAGGAAGCGCTGACGAGTATGACGTATGATTTTCGCGATGACAGGATCCGTGTGTTCCCTGCCGGTTTGTGTAAAACTGTTGTTCGAAGACTCATCGACAACCCCTCACAAGTTTCCAAATTTTTGGATCTGTATGGTGATTATCGGGGAACTGAGAGTAAAGGGCAGAGCGGGCGAGACGGAGACCGGGGAAAGGCGATCGATGTATTCCAAGTGCATGATGTTGTTGCGAGGAATGCTTTTGGTCCCGATCCTAGGAGCGCCAGCGCAGGCCTCTGGATCCTCGCATCGTATATCAACCATTCCTGTCTCCCAAACTCGGAGAAAGAGTATGTCGGAGACCTCATGCTCCTCCGCGCTACTCGTTCCATCGCTGCTGGAGAGGAAATATTGCATGCTTACGATTTATCATCCGACTACGACACGAGGATGGAATCGTTGATGAGGACGTGGGGATTTTCTTGTGATTGCAAGCTATGTGTGGCAGGTAAGGCAGATAGTGAAGAGGTGAGGAGCAAGAGGAGGGAGCTAGAGCGCGAGGCGGATGCTTTAATCGAGAAAGGAGAAGGTAGTAGTAGGCTTGCTGTTGTGAAAGCGAGGAGGTTGGTGAGGGAGATTGAGGGGACATTTGATGAGGAGAGGTATAAAGGGTTGCCGAGGATGGCGGTGGCGAGGGTGCAGAAGTGGATTAGTGAGGCTGGGAAGAGATGAGGATTTTGGGAATTTTAAACTGTTTAATTTTGAGGATTACGGATGCTGCGAGGTTGCACACACACTTCCCCATTGTAACTGCATATTGGGCATTCAATCAAGGATAAGTCACCATGACACATTGTCGTCGATGGGTGCTCATTCTATATCACGCCGAACTTACTCTGAGCCTTGTGTCACATCCGAGATGCAAAGGGTGTTACAAGATCTGGGCCGATGCAATGTGTATTAATCGGCTAGGCACAGCGTAATGCAATACACAGGTGCAACAGATGGGAGCCATATATCCTATCGCCCGTCATACGATCATCTAACTCGGTGCGGCGTCCAAGGAAACCGACGCTATTTACGCCGTCTTAGAGTCTCTGGCTTATGGCGGACAACTTGCTTGTTCCCGCCGAGTGGTTATACCACAAGTACAACGATACAGAACTTGAGAACCTGTGCAATACCATTCACAACCACATCGCCAAACACATACTACACAAGATATTCATTCAAGTGCTTCATTTATGTTAATTGAATGCGTATATCAAAACATCACAATCTACCGAGTTCGAGGATCGAGTTATGTCTCCACATAGGTTTCAAACATTTTATCTAATACGTCAAGGTAACATGTAGATTTCAGACTATCGAAAGTATTTCATTTTTCTTGTCGCTGCGAGTGCTCATTCGCCTGCTCACTGTTATTCTTCCACAGCGTCCTAAACTCACTACTTATAGTCTCCGAATTTGGATCCTCCAACACCTTAATCTGCCCTTCGCCCTTAGGTATTTGCCATACTAAATCGTTGCAATTTTTGCGCCATTCGGGGAGACGTGGCAACATCACATGATTATCTCTCTTCGGCCTGCTTTCACGGAGAAAATATGTCAATCCCTCGTCTGGAACGCCGCATATCTGTTCTCCAGGAAGGAAGCTGCGAGGCTCTAGATACTCAACTCAACATAATGCTTCTAATATTAGAAATTTTTTAAGGCCTAAAGCGTCCTGCAGTTCCGTAGATGCTTTCCAGTCTTTTTTTTACGGGAGTTCTTTAGAACCTTTGCACCGCCACCGTTGTGTCGATCTTTTAAGCTCTTCTTTCAAGCACCCAGTATTGGAGTATAAACCTATGGTTGAAGTAGGTTGCGCGATGGGTACCCATTATCGCCACCACAGATTTGCGATTTCGGATGATATGATCAGCTTCATGCGAACGCTTTTCCGTTGAGACTCGAAGACGACTTTAAATTTACGCGATTCAGGGGTGCGAGGTAAATTCGCTTCGATGCGGGGTAAAGTAAACAGTTTCTGCTACCCACCAAGGATACTCTTGGCTCTCATATTAAACTAGATGATCCCACGCTGGTTCTTCTGCACCCGAAACTGTGCTCATTACTTGTTCTTTGATACTTCTTTTTTGTCGTCTTCCCGGATTCTGACCGATTATCTGTAAAGACTCTAGGGCCTCTGCTTCAGCTCTGCCCGTCCAATGGTTTCTCATCGCCATGATTGTGTACAGATTCACATCATTTGTTTTCAATTACTAATTCTAGGAGTCACTACAAAACCTTATGGAATCAAAATAATTACCATTTATGTCCCATTTCAAAGTGTCACTTGCAGGAATAATCTCCCCACATCGCTCAAAGTGGCGAGCAGAACCAAAGATACCAATACTGTCTCAAATCATGACCATACCGTCGAAAACCTAGATGCATAATGGATCAAGGATAAGAGCCAAGTCAAAAGTCTCCCGATTTTCAACAATCGGATCAAGTGCACTAAAATTCAGTGATTCGCTACGACAGAAGACTATAATCCTGATGCTGGACTTCCTACGAAACGTCTTCATCCGTTTCTGAAGAAGAAGATGATAGCCACGGCGATCCCATTGCGACCGCAGAGCCACTCGTTGTTTTCACCCACGGCGTAACTCCACCTTAGAGGATGCACATCTCACTGCTTTCTGTCAAGGTTTTGCGCGTGAAGCTCCAATCCTGCTGTTCGAGGATACGAGGTCAGAACTTGAACGCATTCATGTGTTTCTTACGTCAGGAAATACCTATCCAAGTATCAAAACATTTGCTCGTCAAAGTGCTAGTGCCAGAAATGCAGCAAAAGCTTCCAGTAAGACCTCTGACCCCTGACAATCCCAAAGTTAGCTAACTCTCAATTCTAGTCCACACTCCTATCAAGCGCCTAATCTCCTTCATCTATCCTCTGGTCCAAGATCTTGATTAGAGCTACGCGGATCTTCTTGCCCTGAGCCCGGACGTCGAAGTGCTTTTCGTTGTTGGAGACGACGGCCCCTTGGCAGTCGAAACCCACTTGGGCGAAGTCCGCGAGCGTATGTGTGCAAAGTCCTGGATAAAATTGATCAGAGGCAATCACGACTTAACATGTGGACCCCAGAAGAGATTGAGAACACGCTGGGTATTGTCTGGCAAACTGCTGCGCTTTGGGCTAAAACGGAAAGCCTAGATCCAGACTTATCGGAGTTGAGCTTGCAGACTAAGTACGACACGAGCAAGGCCGAATGGACGTCTTGGCAGACACCTGAGCCCGATACCCCCCAGGCTGCTTCGAACTTTAAGGTACAAGCTGAGGGCGGAAAATGCCGAATGGTGGAGGGAGTTTTCGGTTCACATTGCCGGGGAACAAATCCAGAAGAAGGGGGAAGAGAAGTAAGGGAGTGAAGAAATAAACAAAGCGAATCATTTTACTGGGAAGCCGTTTCTATCTATATTACACAAGTTTTAATTACAGTTGCACTGACTAAAGCTCAATCTGCTTTCGGAATTTGGCCAACCAAGCTTATTGCCTTTGTCTCATTTTTGTGACGTTTTTAGAACGGCTTTCTTTATATAGGTATCTGTATAAAAAAGATTTAATAATAAAGAAAGCTGATGCAACTTATCGTTAGCAAAGCTCACAGGACGATGGAGATCAGTACAGATCGTGTTCTTGCTCTATCTAATGGGTCAAATTTAGCTAAAATTGTGAAGACAAGCACTAAGAAGTGCAGAAGTTAATCATGAGGGGTAGGCAAGGCAATGGAAAATCCCCATAATAATAGACAACATATAATTTCAATCCCTTAGCATCACCGTTTTGCGATTTATTATGGAAGGAGAACCCCTTGTTTTAGAACTACTAGGCCATAAAGCTCAGCTTATTCACAGTGAAATAGAGGATCGGGCTGTATATCAAGTACATCCGCAGACAGGCGTCACAATAGCGGCAAGTTGGCTTTCAATTCCAAACCATCGATTGAATATCTTGAGGCAGCGAGCTTCTCTACTGACCTATATTAACCCACTCGGCTTCATCCCTCCATAACTTCTTCTCCTTCCTCTCCTCATCACTCACGGCCTCCCAATCCGGATCATCTCTCACCTTAACCCACTTGCCCTTCCCACTCGTCTTGCCCCCATTCTCAGCGCTCTCTTTTCCCACCTTATCACCCTCGGCAATATTTCCCCCTGTAATACTCTCAGGAGTCGAGGCTTCCTCACTGTTCCCAAACGGCCACAAAATTGTCGAAAGAAGTCCCTTCTTGCCCACTCTCACGGCCAGAGGCGCCTCTCCATTTGGAGCTGAAGGCCCTGCAACCGCCCACCTTTCTTTCTTTCCCAACGTATCATCCGAGACCTGTGAGTCTGAAGGTTGTTCGAGTATTTGTTCCTTTGCTGGTATCTGGCTGACGTTTTGAGAGGTGAGCGCTGGCTCAGATTCAGGCATAGCTGGAGTCTCTGTCAAAGTCAGGGCCTTCAAGCCCCGCTCAATCTCATCAGAACTTCTGCCCCAATCTTCAGTCATAGTTGAATTCAACACCTCGTTTCCTCTTACCTCTCCGTTGTCCCCTCTATCAGGAACCAGCCTTTCAAAGTCCCTGAGCTTTTTCTCGGCACCGAGATTATGAGGACGACATTTGCTGCAGAGCTCGTTGATTTGTATTTCCCTGGGTTTGGAAGCCATGTTGTTGCAGCGTTTCTTGCTGGCGTTTAACTGATCGTAAGGGGAAATCTGTGAGAGGATTGGGCTAGCGGTGGTACTCGAAGAGACCCCGTAGAGACAGGGCGAGATGTGCATTATGCGGGGTGATTGAGAAAAGGATTTGTGGGTACAGGTGTAGATGCGGAGGGTGTAGTGGCACTTGCTCGGGAAATCCGGTGTTGAGTTCACGCCTGGCTGGTTGGATCTGTTGGGGTGGGGCATGTCGAAGTTGAGGAGCTTCTCAAGTTCTTTGGGGTTGAACATTGGTGCTTTGGTGGAAAGTTTCGGGCGATTTTAACGTTGAAATAGATGGAGAAATACTTGCAAGGGTGGAAAGGAACGGAAATCACGTACAGAACAGACGGTGACGACGTGTTGAATCATCCTTTTAGTCATGGTGAAGATAGGAGTGCAGGAAATGAATGTTGGTTGCGAAGATTGAAATATGTTTGCGTGCATATGAAACGTTACTCGAGTTCTGAATATAGTTCCCCTCACGTAGTGTATGGAAATTTGATCTGCTTAATTCACCCGCTTCAACGCTTCTAAGCGCCGAGGATTCACTGTCCACTTCGAGGACAATCTCAATGTACCAGCTCAATGTGCGAGAGATTTGGGACACTGAGCCGAGTTGCAACAAGGCTAACTGCCAGGACTGCCAGGATTCATTCTCAATTTCAAGGACAATGAAGTTGTCCCAAAAAATTCGGAACATTGAGGTTTTCGACGGTATAACTTTAAGATCGTATAATCCACTAGAATGGAGGCTTTCTGTGTGTTTTCGTTTTCGAGGCAGTGTGGCTATTGCAATTTTACCAAACGATCACGGAAGCAACTCCTGAGAGCCTCCCCCCACGTGGATCTCCACATCCAATGGAACCTCACAGATGCATGTGGAAGAGGGGTTGTGGCTGCCTTTTGATAAGCCATTCATTGGCGAGAATGATTAGGCTTAATCGGCACCAGGTCACACGAGCAAGAACAAACGTGCATATCGCCCGAGACTTGCAGTGTTATCAGAAGCCATTTATGATTCAGAGTATGGACACGTTTTTAGTTGCCTACTCCAGCCGCGTCCTTGTCGTCTTCTTCCCCGCACTTCCGGGGTCTCCCAACTCAAAGCCGACTTCGAAGAAAGCAATACTACAACGCTCAGAGTCCTAGAACACGATTAAGAAATGGAATCTCCAGAAAATGGATCAGACTCGACTTGCCCGAGCTGCGGGACTGTAGGTGTTGAGGAGAAACCCTTTCCTATTTTTGACTGTTTCATAATTTGCTCCTTAAGACAATGTCCTCTCCCGAAACAAACTATTTTTGGGCAATTGCTAACCCCCCCTTCATCCAGGGAGACTTCCATGGTTTCTGCCATTACTGCCAGTATGGCCTTGGTTCATGAGACTTTGCGTGGGGGGGAGGGGGTTTGGTGGGAGCATACGCTTGTAGGGTTTGGAAATCCTTCGTTCTGATGGACAGAGGGGATGCCGGATTGAGACTTTTTCACCATGCAGTTGCATAGCAAACCGATGCTGTATCAGAAACCTTGATACCTGGGTGCAGTGAACAAAGACGAACATCAGAAAGGATCTTGATTGTACGACAAACCATCGAGAAAACATTGCCTACCTCGAGGCACCCCCCAACCCAACGAATGTTCGAGTACAGCAACGTGCAATATACAACGCTTCCAATCAGCAAGTAGACCGTACCCCGGAGAACCGTCTCCAATTACTTCTTTCTTCGTGCAAACCGACCGCCAAAGTTTGCCTTCGATACGTGGTGCTCCGCCGGCTTCGACTCATCGACGATGATATCTGAATCAAGATCCAACGCCTGATCTTCTCCATCGCTCGATTCTGTTTCCTTTCCACCACCGTGCGCTGTAACTTTTCGATCACCAGGACTGACTATCGATCTCTGCCGAGCTGCTGTCGCTTCTCTATGTTTGTACTTGCGCACAGAGATGGGCTCATTGAGTTGCGCTGGGACTCGGTGGAAGTAGTAGTCTTCCTCGGAGGGCTCGCCTTGGTATGAGCCGTTCTGGAGGTACCAGTCTTCTTGTTGAGGCTGATCTCTGTCATTGCCTGTGTCCCAGCGACATGACACGCTACAGTCGACATGAAGATATGAGAAAAGTTGCTTGGGCTTGCAGGGCCGTCGGGACTCCCATGATGAGCAGCGGTGAATGTTGTCGGATGGCTTTTGAGCAATGCAGCCGCATTTGTATTGCCTATAAATTAGCGCTGTATTGTAAATGGATGGTACAAGGGGGCTGAGCGTACCATGCGTAGGAGAGACACATTTTGGAATCAGTGGGTTTGTGATCTGCATGAAGTTTGTCTTTGATTATGAAATCTGGAAACAGAGCAAAAAGCGACAGGTCAAATTGTTAAATGCACTTATGATTTCCTGCTCCTTTGTGAATCACCGAGAGGAGGATGCTGAATCAAAGCGAGTCCTGACACGCAACGCAAACCCAGCGCTTTTGCGCAAGCATCACGAGAAGGCCACGTACAATTGATACTACATCGAAAATTGAAGCAGCAGTAAGAACCCATATTCTCCAGAGCACGGAGGCTGCTGTCTCCCAGATTTGCCAGATTGCACAGGAAAGGAGCTATCCCTCTTGGTCCCAGGTTTCTTGCCTTTATTTTCCAACGTTATATCTTTGGAGAATGAAAGTTCAGTGAACCTAAACTTCGAACCATCCGGCATCATCCATTATGGGTGAGGCAGGGTCTGTGAATAATGCAGAGAAACTCGTCTCTCAAGCTGAATGCAAACTTATGAGTGAGGACAGACATCGAGGCCAGTTCGTACTGCAAACTCGGTCGCAGGACAACCAAGGATGATTTACAGAGCCCTCATGATAAACCACATTATTTCCGCATCTTCGTTTCAGGCATTTTCAAGAATTCGGATCGAGATCTTGCCCATCCTCGATTCACTCAACTCGACGAATCAGGGAGCACTCTTGACTTCTCCCTAGATGATGGAATCGAACAATATTGATAGCATGACACCACTTGGTGTAGCAGTGGAGGTTCAGAGAACACTCTTGTCTCTCCTTTGAATTTCGTGTGTGAATTGGAAATCCGACTTCGCAACGCACGTGACCTTCTTTTTCTAGCGCCTCGATCCGCGCCTATGCTAAGCCAATCTAGAAAATCGTCGACTCACCTCCTCTTCTTCCTTCCCACAATCACTATTTCACAAACATCATCCACATCACAAAATGGCGTGGAGACAGCAAGGAAGCACAGGTTCTAACAACATTCCCTTGGGAAACAAGCGCAGATTCGGCGGTGCCGGTGACAGCGCATCCCCTCAGCACGACAGCAATGGATACCAAGGTTCTGGCGGAAGCTCCGATGGAGGCTTCAAGCGTGGTCGCAGCCCCGTTAGATGTAAGTTCAATACTTCCCGTGGACGCGCATTGATTAATGATTGCTCTGCAGCTGAAGATCCTTCCGGTGATGGAGCCAGGAGACGCAAGAAGAGAAATCGTTGGGGCGACGCCACTGACAACAAAGCTGCTGGCCTCATGGGACTTCCGACTGCCATCATGGCAAACATGACAAGTGAACAACTTGAGGCTTACACTCTTCATTTGCGTATCGAAGAAATCAGCCAGAAGCTTAGGATCGAGGATGTTGTCCCTGCCGATGGCGACAGGTAAGTTTTCCCTCCAACTCGCAACATTGCCGAGGCTAACATTTAATAGATCCCCATCCCCTCCTCCTCAGTATGACAACTTCGGTCGCCGTGTCAATACCCGGGAGTTCCGATACAAGAAGCGCCTCGAAGACGAGCGTCACAAGCTGATTGAGAAGGCGATGAAAGTCATTCCTAACTACCATCCGCCACAAGACTATCGCCGTCCCACTAAGACACAGGAGAAAGTTTACGTGCCAGTCAATGACTATCCAGAGATTAACTTCAGTATGATTGCTAACCCTCTAACGTTTCTAACCTGTTCCCCCCACCCCCCCTATTTCATTACTGTGTGGCCTTGCGCGGCATTTGAGAAATGCGGCGCCCTGTCATCACTAACCCGTCACTCAATACATTTTGCTATTAGCTTTTGATCATACACTAACACTTAGCTTGCGCTTCACTAAAGTTGGCTTACTTATCGGTCCTCGTGGAAATACCTTGAAGAAAATGGAAACTGAGTCCGGTGCCAAAATTGCCATCCGAGGAAAAGGTTCCGTCAAGGAAGGAAAAGGTCGTTCTGACGCCGCTCACACCAGCAACCAGGAGGAAGATCTTCACTGTTTGATCATGGCCGATACCGAGGAGAAGGTCAACAAGGCCAAGAAGTTGATTCACAACATCATTGAGACTGTAAGCCCCCCGCGAATGTTTCATAATTCAGCTCTAACCATCATAGGCTGCCTCGATTCCTGAAGGCCAGAACGAGCTCAAGCGCAACCAACTTCGTGAGCTTGCAGCACTCAACGGTACGCTCCGAGACGATGAGAACCAAGCTTGTCAGAACTGCGGTCAAATTGGTCACAGAAAGTACGATTGTCCAGAGCAGCGCAACTTCACGGCCAACATCATCTGTCGCGTCTGTGGAAATGCAGGACATATGGCCAGAGATTGCCCCGATCGGTATGGATATCGTCGCTACTGTTGACAGATGAGAATGCTGACTTGTGGCAGACAACGTGGTGCCAACTGGCGCAACGACGGTCCTGGAGGTCCCCCTGGCCCTGCACCTGCAGCTGGGCGTATTGGGACTGGCGATGCTGTTGACAGAGAATATGAGGCATGCCATCCTGCCTTTCTTAATTAAACCAAAACTAACGTGATCTAGCAACTTATGCAAGAACTTTCTGGTGGTGCACCAGCCAACGGAGAAGCTCCTCGACGCATTGAAGGCGGACCTGGTGGAGGCTATGATCAACCACCTCAAGATGATGTCAAGCCATGGCAACGAGGACCTACTGGCGCAGCTGCTCCGTGGCAGAAGAAGGATGACCGTGGATTCGACTCTCGTGATGCGGCTCCTGCTGGATCTGCTGCTCCTTGGGCTAGAGATAGACCTCGCGGCGATGGTCGTGGTGCCGATCCTTATTACGGAGGCGCTGGCGCTGGTACTGGCTACAATGCCCCCGCTGCTGCCAACCCGGCTCCATGGGCTCAGCAGGCTCCAGCTTACCCAGCCGCCGCTCCATACGCAGGATATGCAGCTCCTGGCTACTCCGGCGGTTATCAACCTCAAGGAGCTCCACCTGGCCTCGCCGCTCCGCCTGGATTGAGTGGTGCTGGGCTCAGCGCTCTCTTACAGCAATTCGCTGGCAGTCCCCCACCACCACCCCCAACCTCGGCAATCCCCCCTCCGCCACCTGGCTCAGCACCCCCGCCTCCTCCGAGCGACCAACCTCCTCCCCCACCACCTGGAAACTAGGGCTTTACTGAATCTGGATCGCTCACCACTAACACATGATGCCCGTTTCATAGGATGGACTCTGGATGTAGATTGCTTTGGGCTGGCTTCAGGCTGGCTTGGTCGCTTTGAACTTGCACCCTGACTTTACTTGCTTCCTGCGGATGTGCTGACTGCAGTACATAATTTGTAGTTTTAGAAACAGAGCTTGTTGCTCCCCTATTTTCTCGTGATATTGCTTTCCAACTCGATGTTGATCTCTCGTTCATTTGCAGAAAGATCTGCATGTGGAATGTAAAAGTCCTGCCTTATTTTTGCCACGCTATGCTCTCCTTGATCCAATGCTTGAGTAAAACATAGTATAAAGGCGGCCAAAAATTTGAGACATTGAAGTGAAGTCAATTAATGTCCAGTGGTTGGGGATGGGGAGGAGGAGGGTGAGTTACTTGTCAAGCAATGTATAGCTCCCAACGGGACACTCCCATCCGCCCTTCAGGTTTCTTTGTTCCTGTTAAGCTGAGATATCAGGGAGAGGCTACTCTCTCATTATTCATGTCTTAGTTGGGATATTAGAAGTTCAGTGCCAGGCGGCGTCGATACCGCCTCGACGGCCACAGGCTGTTCAGTGCACAGCAGTGAAGCTGGACATCGCTCAACATGATTGTGACTGTTATGCAGTTGATGATGCTCCTCCCGGGTGATACCAATCACAGACACTTTCTGCAGGCAACACACAAAATCAAGATCAAATGTGCTCCCCACAAGAACATTCGAGTGACTCGTTGGCTCTCGAGGTTTTGGAGCTAATTGGGACTGGTGCGATTAAGGGCAACGACATTGCTCTTCGATGCAAGGGAATCGGCAAAGCAAGTTAGAGGTAGTCTGTGGGAAGCTGATTGAGGGTGGGAAGGATTGAGGGTGTGGAGGGAAGTCTGCTATACCCTGCCAATGCTGCACATCGGGTTCCTAGTCAGAATGGAAATTGACATCTCTTCTCGACATTTAAAAGTCCCTTGAACTGTGGTATATTAACAATTAACTAAATACTGAATGTCCCTTGAGATAAGGTACATTTTAAAACCACTCCCCCTTGAATGTCCCTCGAGTTGCGTACACTTGAATGTTGTTAGTCCCTATATACCTCTTAAGGTAGGACATATTTAAAGTTCATTCCCTTCTGAAACCTCAAAGTGTGGTACATTAAAATCCACTCCTCCCCAATGTCCCATAATGTATGGGACACTGAGAACCCGTTCCTTCCTAGATGTACCCTCAGGTATGGTATATTCGAAACCGCTCCGACCCAATGTTTCCATATGCAGGGTGCATTCAATATCTGCTTCATCTCAAATGTCCCGAGAGTTGTGGTACTTTCACGTAGAGAGCGGGAACAAAATACAAAAAAACCAATAGAGAGACAAGGGTTCCATTGTCTGCAGAATCTCAAGCATCAAAACTCCATACACCTATCTAAAAAGTGACTTTCATTCCTACCCCCAATCACTTCGTCCTCCGCCGTTTCCCAGGTCTATCCCGCTCCGACCTCCACCACCCGCTTCTATTCCACTCCTCAATCTGAGCAAGCGCCGGATCAATTCGATGAACACTCGGGCCTCGTGGGCCCCTATTCGCCGCCGCCAAGCTCCTCATCCTAGCTCTACGCTCTTGCCAAGTTTCAAAAGCGCCTACGCATATTAGCATATTTCTATAAATTTGGGGAACAAAAAGCTTACATTCAAAAAGTCTCGTTTGCAAATCCTCCAGCTCTGTTTTCAGCTTGTCAATGAGAGCTGAGAACTTCTGATATTTCTGCGACTTGTCGGTGTTGCTGTGGTTCAGGGCGTCGATCTGCAGCTTATCATTTGCTGCTTGCTGTTCGAGAGCAGCGATCTTTTCTTTTTGGGCGATTATTTGGTTGTTCAATGCCTCGATCTCTTCGTTGCATGCTAGATGAGGATCGAAGTCGTTATCATCCATGGGCAGGGGGCTGTTCTCGCCAGCACCGTCACTTGCGTTCCCCTGTTTCTGGGAATATTGTTTGACGTCGTCATCATCGTCTTCGCCGTCGTCGTCTTCCTCTTCGTATGCGTCCACCTGCTTGGTCAGACGTGTTATCTCAACCTCAAGACCAGCGATCTTGTGCCTAAGTCTTGCGACCTCAGCTACACAATCCTCTAGGTTCTCATCCGGCTGGTTTGGAGCTGGTCTCTTCCGACTTCTCAGTCCTGTGCTGGGATATTGAGCATTGAGATCAGCCAACTTCTCTTCGCACTTCGTTTTTTTCAAGCGCTCTTCTTGCCAGGATTCGAAATTCTTATTTGCAGCTTTCCGAGATGACTCCGCCCTCTTTTTCTCCGCCTCGAGCTCAGCTTCTGCTTGAGCTAACTGGTTCTGGAGCTCCTCGACACCGTGAGAAATGGCGTCCGTTTCTTCAGCAGTGTTTGCCTTCTTCACGAAATACTGAAGCTTCTGGCGGAGCGCCGCCTTCTCTGCTTCGCACTTTTGCTTCTGTGTCGCGAGCTGCTCCTGGAGTTTGTCTTTGTCTTCTTGGCAATAGTCCAGATCCTCATTAAGAGCATCAATATACTCATCGTTAGTAGTGGCATGTTTTTGGCAGTCTGCTAACTCTTTCTTCAGTCTTGCAACTTGATCCTTTAGTGGTTGCACCTGCTCCGGGACGGGTTGGTCTTGGCCCGCAAGCGCAGCTTCCAATCGTTCGATTTCTTCGCAGCGTTCCTTCAAACTTTCTTTCAGGCAAGCCGTTCCCTGGATACCCGTTTCCCGTGTTTCCAGGCAGTCAGAAAGATCTTTGTTTGCCTGCGCAAGAAGATCGTTGAACTTCTTGGCCATTGCTTCGTGAGCAATTTCACTGCTACTCAGCTTCTCCGTTAGCTCCCAGATGGTCCCTCTGTAGCTAGCTTCTTTCTGCGCCTGTTCCTTTTCTAGTTCTTTGTCTGTGTCCAAGTCCCGCTGCCGAATGGCTACTTGGGCTTGAAGCATTTTTATCAGACGGTCTACTTCTTCCTCACACTTTTCCAGTTTGTCGGTGGCATCTTCGCGTTCATCCCTAATTTTTTGAACTCCCTTCTTCAGAACAGCCATGGATTCAGCTTCCTCAGGGTTTTCAACCTTCTTTTCATGCTCTTTCTTGCATTTCTCCAGCATTGTCCTGACCTCCTCCAGAGTCTCTTTCAGGTCCCGGATCTGTTGACGGGGATTTTGGAATTCCAAGTCTTCGTCAAGCTCGGAGTCACTGAAGAATGTTTGGTCGTTCCTCACAGCTTCCTCATACTTGATCCCAAGAGCCTTCAACTTGCGTTGCAGCTCAACAATCTCCTCGATAAGGGCCTCGTTATCAAGTCCTTCCAGGTCGTGGGGTTCCTCTGGTTCTTCGACTCCAAGTTTGAGGACATTGTCTCTGAATTCCCGACAATTTTGCAACTTGATCTTCAAACTAGCAAGATCAGCTTTCAAACTGGCGACCTTCTCGTTCTGCACCCCGAAGGCCTCGTCTTTCTCGGACATCTCTGACGCATGTTTGATCCTCAGCTGTGCATTTTCCTCGATCCACCCACGTTGCCGAAGCTCGTCGCTCTGCATCATTAGGTCTCTCTGATCGGTCAGGAATGCAACTTGAGCTTGAAAGAAGGTTCGCCTCGCCAAGAGCTTGATCAGCTGATCCCTTGACAGATTCTCGTAGAAGCGCAGCAGAGCATGGTGTTCTTCCTCGTCCTCGTCATCCGAAGCCGACTCGTCCACGTCTGAGCCTGACTCTTCCTCCTCAACTGTATTGCCCCGAGCCTCCTCACAGATCTTCAACCGGTTCTTCAGATCAAGGTTCTTAGCTAAGATAGCTTGGTATTTCCATGTTCCCCAATCCATGTCGGGCTCCGCACCCCATACAACAGTTTCGCCCTGTCGATAGGCGTCCAGCTCCGCCAAAAGTTTCATCCTTTCCTCAAGGAGCGATTCTTTGTGGATCCTGTCGATCTTCCCATCTATAATCTCGAGATTCAGTCTCCTGATCTCCTGCTTTAAAGCTGTGACGGTTGGCTCCAGTATATCAAGATTGTAGTTGTAGCAAATATCGCGACGTCGTTCCACCTCGAACTTCTCTTTCTCGAGTTTCTCGACCTTGGCTCTCAAGGCTGCGATCTGGTCCTTCACTTCCTTAATCCTGGAATGGGTTGGATTAGCACTTTCGAATTCCTCATCGAGGTACTCGGCAAAATCGGTGCGCAACCGTTTGGTTAGCTCTTTGAGCTCATCTTGCTTGCTCTTCAGTGGGGCAACAAGAGACTTCAACTGCTTCTTCGCCTTCTCGAGCTCTTTCGGACAGTCCTTGTCGCCGCCTGTTGCTACAGGGGAATGGCTCTTGAGAGTATGAAGTTCAGACTCGAGGTCGGCGATTTTGTTAATTAGGTCTTGGTTCTGCTTTTTCGCCTGCTCAAACTCTCTTGGACAATCCTCTCCAGCAGCGGATCTTGCTTGTTCTTCTGATTGGCTGTTGAGATCAGCAAGTTGAGATTCGAGGTCAGCGACTCTGCTGTTGATCAGATCTCTTAATTGGGGCCCCTGAAATTCTGCTTCAAGTTCGGCGAGTCTGTTGGTAAGAATTTGGATTTGCTTCTTGGCCACTTCAAGCTTCCTCGGACAATCTTCGTCACCCCCCGGCGCTCCTGAAGAATGAGCTCTGTGATTGTGGAGTTCGGATTCCAGCTCGGCGATGCGGTTAATCAAGGTTTCTCCATTTTGGATGTTGGCCATGTTGATTTGAAGTAGTGCATGTGTGTCAAGATCGCCGGTGTTGCTCATCTCATCTCCTTCATCCTGCAACCCTGAAGATAACTTCTTCTGAGGAGATACATCTCGAACCCGCTGTTCCAATCTGGCCCTGAGAATAGTTAACAATTCCCTGATCTTGGCGACGAGATCGGCTTGTGGTGGTATCTCGTCCGCCAAACGTTGAATGAGGGCTTGGAGGACTTCGGGGCTCACGCCAGCATGGTAACCATCGCAGGCCCGTTTACGCTTGCTGTTAGTTTCGCCATCCCCGATGCAGCGCTCTAAACATCCGAGTCTACCGATGAGGATCTGACCGCTCGCGATGTTGGACTTGGCCATCTCAAGGTATGCTGACAAGATTATCTCGTCAGCGTTAGTTTGGATAGTTCCATTGGCTTGGAATTGCTCGAGCTTCTGATTACAAAGGTCGGTTTCCAAAGTTTTCGTAGCAAATGCCAGTTCTGCTGTTTTGGCTTTGACTTTGGCTTCTCCATCCCAGGCTCTCTTATCTGCGTCTCTCATGACGGCGAACACGGTTTTTGAAGGTCGTTCTGCGTATTGGGGAATTGCTGGTAGTGTTCGAAGGATCTTGCCTATGGTTATCGTGTGTTCAACTGTCTTGCGGAAACTATCAAGCACTTGGTCGAGCCCATAAGTGTTGACTATCGGCTGTGTGTTCTCATCTTTGGCGGCGTCGGCAGCATCATCCTCGTCTCTTGGTTCGATTGGCTTCATTGCTGTCTCCAGGTGAGCGCCAAGAGCCTGCAACTCCACCAGAGCGATTGCGACGGTTCTATCAAGGGATAGTTTAGCCTCCAATGACTTGAACTCATTAGGGTTATGTACATTGGCAATTGTCTCGAGCGCGGATCTTTGGATTGCAGCAAAGGCTGTCTGAGCGATGTCCCTCTCGGTTCGGAGGACAGCGGCCCAATTTCTGTGGATGGCAGTGCGCTTCTTTTGGTGGTTGAATTGCGTTTCGGTATTGGCATCGATATAGAATTCAAATCGCACAACCTTTTTCTTCAAAACGCCGAGTTTCAGAGCTATCGAGGCGAGCCTTGAAATGTCCAGCCCTGGATTGTCGTTCTCAACATCATCCAGAGCTCTGCTGAATTCTTCATGAAGCTCTTCGAGAGCCGAGCAATTGTCACTACGAATCTTGCGAGCTTCCACATTGTTGTTTTGGAGTTCCATTGCCCCTCCAAGAGAGAATGAAGCTGGTTCGTGGACTTTCACCTGCTGTTTCAAGGTTACCTCGATCTTTTTCCTCTCTTCGACTTCTTGGAGAGCATTTTGAAGCTCGCCCAGAAGGACTTGGACTGAATCGGTGCCGTCATCTGTGATTCTGGCTTTGATAAGTGCGAGTTTATTAGCAACATCTTTGGACGGCTGCGCCGAGACATGGCCTGGTACAGACATCGTTGGGATCTGGGTTCTCGATCTCAATGAACCGAGACAACTTATATTGAGCTGAAACGATATAATTCTATCAGGGAAGTGCAGACTGTGAGACGAAAAGATGGTGATATGTTTGAAAACCGGCGGTGTCAACATATGAGTACTCTGGCATGCTTTGTCAAGGCTCACAACCCTTCTGGGGAAAAAACTCAACACTCCTGCTTGCGGCATGACTTCAATGCTAGAGTCATAGAGCGTGTGTTCTTTGTTCGGGGGAATGTGAACCGCTATTGCCGAGTCGTTATGGGAGGATGAAGACATTGTCTGAAATCGGTCAAAGAAAAAAAATGAGGTGATGAAAGAAACACAATGTGATGCTATCGCGAAGTATACCACTTAGGAATCTGAAAGAAACTCCAATATTCTGGACTAGGAGGGTTTTGGGGGAAAGCTTGTGATAGAACATGGCACATGGTAATAGAAAGCTTAAGTACTCTTGAATGCCCTTCCAGAACATGGCATTTGGACTTGACAGATGGCCGCTGCAGGTGACTCCAACCACAGTTATGGCGCCAATTCTCAAATTTAAACTCAAGATGCCCATATTTTTGGTAGACTGCTGTCTGCGTAATCGTTCCGGGTTTGAAGACTGTTGCTGGGGTGGAAAAGGGGCACGCGGACTGGAAGGATAGTGACGGCTTGCTGGAAATCCAGCAGACTTTTATCCCAACGACATCTCCTATCCGAAGAAACATGACACTTGTCTGTCTTCCCGCTCTCCTTGATGAAGCTGGCACTTTTTAAGATGCTGGATATTAATTGATGGAGGAAGCGAGGTCGGTGAAGGAGTTACCCCGGATCGCCGACGGGGCTTCATTCAGGATAGGTCGATGATGGCCCAGGATGACCCGTCCCTGGACCTCGGCACAATTCAGCAAGGCAAAGGGAACGGACAACCACAACTCTCGCACCCGGGGACGGACAGCTTGTCTCCCTTTTCCGTCTGACAACTTGCAAGGTATAAGACCCAAGGTAGGCCCAGCTGTCTTCTGCTCACTTCGGACAAGAAGCAAGCAGGAGCCCTGAAGATGTCACAGTCCCAAATCCCTCCGGGACTTGAGCATTTCTCTCGTCTCAACGCGTCTATTTGGTACCACCAGCCGGCCGCCAGAACACCCTCCAAAGATCCGGATTTTGTCCTCCTGTTGGGATGGATGGATGCGAAACCTCGACACATTGCGAAGTACACTTCAGGCTACGAGAAGTTGTATCCATCTGCCTCGATCTTGGCTATCACGACAAGCTCCTACGACGCTGCGCTCTCCTCCAATGCCGCGAATATTAAACGCATCTCGCCTGCGCTCGACATTCTTTACACGCTGCCACCGAACGCGAAGCTCCTTCTGCATTTCTTCTCGAACGGCGGAGGGTTCACAACAGTGCATATTGCAAAGTGTTACATGAAGAAAATGGGGAAAGCTCTGCCCATGACAGCGACTGTGTTTGACAGTGTGCCTGGATATGCACGGTTGCAAGCACAGGTGCGAGCCTTTATGGTAACCCTGCCCAAGAACATGATATTAAGAGCCATTGCGGCTCTTATGCTTTACATCGCGTACCCCATCTTCAAGCTCAGGTACTTGTTGACGGGGACCGTGGATGTTGTGGAAGATATGCGGTTAGCGACAAATGATAAGAGCTTGTTCGATCTTGATGCGCCAAGGCTATATATCTACAGTGAGGCAGATGACATAGTCGAGCCGAAGGATGTAGAGGAACATGCAGACGAGGCCAAGACACTTGGTTACACGGTTTCTAGAGAGAAGTTTCTCACAAGCGGGCATGCTGCACATATGATTCAAGACCCGGAGAGATATTGGGGTATTGTACGGAGGCTTTGGAGTATGGTTTCATAGAAGAAAATTGATAGATCGATTGTGGCGTTGTTCAGGAAATGATAGAACGTTGTGGCTTTGTTCAACTCTCGTGGGCGTCGGCATCTCATCGTCGATCTGCCAGTTCTCCAGTCTGCGTCTTCTTCGGCTTGAATCTAAGCCTCATTTTGCTTTGGGTACTTTGTGCTACATGAAGTTGTACGTGGGGATAAGGAAGCTAAGGCAAAGTTGGAGCTGGATCTTTCTTATTCGTGGAAAAGGTGAGATCGAGATCTGAGGAGCGCAGCATCCTATGCGAATAAACTTTCTTCTTCTTCGAGTCTCACAAGAGATCCATCTTCCTGTTCACGCCCTCATCTTCAATTGCACCTTTCCCCCATTGCATCTGTTTCCAAGCTACTTCTCACTTCACAACAATATCACAAGGAGCAAACAAACACCCCTTCAAAACATCGAAATGGGTTCAACAGTTGGTCTTCCTGTCTCCAAGTTGCTCCGTAAGTCATCTTCTCCCCTCAACGCATAAATCCTATCGACCTATCTGCCCTATCATCGGTTCACCTTACCATTTATCCGCCTACTTCTGTACAATAAACTAACAACTATCCAGCCATTGCACCTTTCACCCTCTACTACCTGCTCCTCTCGGGCCGCAACGTTGCACAACGCTTGAAGACCGAAGTCTTCATCGGACATACCAGCACTTTTGTCTGTTCCCATTTCCCCTCCCTCATTCCCCGCCTATCACTTCTCTAACAATCCAAATCCCCAGACCGCAAAAGACGCTGCCAATCCAACATACAGACCCAAGCCCGATCCTCTCCATGGGTAACTTATTCTTATACTCTCTTACAATTTTTATTCTTTATAAAACAGTATTAGAACTCTGAAGCAAGACTAACATCCCCAGTCGCAATCCGCTGCCACTCCAACTTCCTCGACACCGTTCCCCTCGCCTTCATCTTCCTCATCACCGCAGAACTGAACGGCGGAAACCGCAAGACGCTCAACTATATCATGGCCTCTCTCCTCGCGCCCCCTATCGCACAGGCTGAGGGTAGATTGAGACTCCAAGGTAAGTTTGGCAATAATGGGATCGGTAGGCCGGTGGGGTATTTTGGGAGCATGGGTGTCCTTGGGGGACTTGCGGGATATGCGGCTTTTCTGGTGAAGGGTTACTGGGAATTGTAACATGAGAGAGATGGGGTGATGTGTAAAGGCAGTGGTTGGGACACTGGCGTGGAGTTGGTTGTGAAAGCACTGATTTGTGGGAAATTGATATTTGCATGGTAGACGGCTGCAGGAACGTGGTTATAGTATGCTGCGGGCATTGAATAGGGATAGGATGCTTCTCCTCTGCCGTTCTTCACAACGGGCCATTCCAGGGTCGGTTAGGTGGAGCTTTTTGCGTTGCTTTGCCTGGAACATCAATACAATAAAATTCTTTGTTTTGCTTTGCTTCCATCATAAACACGATGCTTTGCATTGTTTACATTACTAAAATAAAATAAAAAGGGGGCGGGGGGATATAAGCGAACTAATGTCCAACCACTTTCCAAGATCCACCCCCTTCTCATCCCACCTCATCCGGATGAAACCATTTCCCATGCCTATATACCGAATCAGGCGGTAATTCCTGACTCTGTAGCTCAAAGCCCTCACCGCAAACTGCCTGCCTCCTCACTGCAAAATCAAAATACAGCTTCAACCAAATCGCCCGATCCCTGCAGTCGCTCGCCCCGAACCATTCACTCTGTACACACTTCGGCATATATTTATTCAACACCTCTTTCGTCGCACGCATCCACGGCTTCGGAATCGGCCAGTCTGAATAATGCAAAAATTTAGCTTCCGCAAGAACGAAATCCGGATCCCATTTCTGATTTCGCGAGGAAGGTCGAGGATGCGAACGAAGGTAGTGCGCATGATTTTTTCGTCGGAATTCGCCAGACAACAGGTTATACGGTCGTTGCGGGATCCGCAGGATATGGTTTCTGAAGAGCGAGTTCAGGATATCCATATCGTAGTCATCCGGCGTTGCTTTCTCGATTGCAGAGGAGATTGAAGCAAAGGAGGAGGCGGATGGGGTGACGAGCAGCATTTGGCTGGAGAAGGACCAGCCGGTTGGCTCGCCCCAGTAGACGAAGGGCATTGCCAGTGGTGCTTTTTGGAGCAGGAAGAGGTCGTCGAGGTTTTGGAGGACGACGGAGTCCGAGTCCAGGGCTAGCACACGGTCGAAGGATGTGAGGTTGAAGGCTAACAGCTTGGTGTAGGAATCGGCCCAGGTTGATTCTTTTGTGCCGTTTTGGTGGAGGACGTCGACAGGTTGGAGTTTGACGAAGTAGTCCTTCTGAGCTTGTTGGAGGAGACGTGCGATTGGCGTGAGGTCTTGCGAGGGGGAGACGTCGTCGATTTCGTTGGGGTCCCAGGAGGAGGGGTAAAGCATGATCCTATGGGCAATTAGCTCTGGAACTGTATATTTGAGAGTCGCCTTGCCTCTGCGCACGACTTCCAATGTCCTCAATCTCGCTCCATACCATCAGCGCGTTGCAGAGGTACTCGGCTGATGTGACATATTGCGCGTAGTATAGCTTGCTCCAATCGATGCTCGGGTCCTCCACCTTTTTCACCGGCCTTGCAATAGGGGCGCGATTGCCATCGTCGTCATCATGATTATGCTGCAGCACCCAGCGGATCGCAAAGAACAAAAGGCAGCATACTGAGAGGATCTGGATGGGAGACTGCGAGACAAGGCGCCGGATTCGTCGTTGGTAGTAGTGATAATTGGCCATGGACTCATACGTTTCCCGATCGCATTGAACCGACACTCCCTCCGCGCATAGGGTACACCGGAACGGTCCTGTAAACGGGGATTTTCCTGGTGGGAGGCATCTTGGTGTTGTCGATACATGGTGCGGGCGAGAGATGCGGCCCAAGACTCTAAAAATAGACCCTTGCCGTCCGTTTTTTTCTTTTTGCCGGTGGGGGTGTCATCTTCAAACCCAGCCAAACAAGCACTTCACCGTGTAACGTGAAAATACAATTCCACCAGCATCTCGTGGAGTTCACGAAAACATGGTTACAAATCCGATCTTATTTAGATCACTGGGAACAACATGGAGTTCGATGTGCGGTCCTTATCGACACGATTATCCGAACTTGATGGCATTCCTCGAATTCTGGGAGCAATTGCCTCCTTGGAGACACGAAAGCTAGCCTCCGTTCTCCCTCTACCCGAGCTCGAGCAACGCCAAAGACTCGAAGTTCCACTTTCTAAACCTTCCAATTGAAATTCAGATCCTCATAGTTCGAGAATATGTGCAAGACTAGCCTATTGGCCAAACTCCAGACCTGATCAAAGCTCTACGGCCGGAATCTGGAATCTATCAACAAGCATTGGCGGTTTTCTACTTCTTGAGAACCGTCTCTATTTCAGATAATAACGAGCACAAAGTTTGGGCAATGCCAAAATGGGTTCTCAGGAAGGCGATATCTGTTGATCTTTGGTACGGGTAGGTTCATTCGCTTTTAACCTCAAATGTTAGCCCCTCTCTCTGATGGTCGCAGAACAAAACTCCGCAAGGACAGCTTTTCATTCTAGTCTGACCTTCCGGCTCGAGTACTCTCAACCTTTCAGTATTCCAACATTCGCGCCCTCACGCTATTGTCCACCTTCCGAGACGAAAGACTCTTGTTGGATGAGAAGCAGCTTTTGTTGTTTGTACGAGTCGTCATCGCCCTGCTTCCACTGCTGGGAAAATTAACTCTTGAGATCCCACTGGCTATTTGTAACTGGAAAGCCTATGCCCCAACCGCGAATGGATCCTGGATCTTGAGTACCTTCTGAAAAACACCAAGAGGGCCACTGACGTACTACACTAATGGGTAGAATCTCAGAACTCGCACCACGTAGTTGTCCTCTGGGATACAGGAGGCAATGGAACATTGACATGGACAGACGCCATGTACTGGCGCAGTATTAAGTGGGGAATCGTGCTTGAATATTTCGCTGCCAAGTTATACTTCAACCACCTTTACCATGTGCTCTTTTTCTGGGAAGAAAACTGTCTACAGTTTCTTGACCTCAATCCACGATAGCTGTTGCATAGCTGCCGTGGTAGGTCCTGTAAATGCTACAGGTTCATCCCAGCAAGGGTGACAACTTTCGATCCGGAACCTGATCACCACCTTGGGCCAGAGGAGGAATCCGCTTCGCAAGAAACGCGACCCGAATCCAATAACTATCGCGTTCCAGACGGACTTTTTTATCGTCCTCGTGTACCGAGTAGACACATGCGGCTAAAATCAAGACACCGCGAAGCTGATAGGCCTTTCGAATAAAGATCAGCCGATCTCGAGGGACCTTGCACCAGTTGCCGATCACTTTTACTTCTGTGCACCAAGCATATCTCAAGAATTGTGAATACATCTCCATGCTTACCGTCAAGTCGTGTTTTTGGTTTCTCGAAAGAAATCCATATTTGGGGCTGCAGAACTTCAATCTAGGTCTACTCCTTGCTTTTTGTTGGTGTTTCGGCTCAAGCATGCAAGGGCGATTGATTGTGCAACGATGAAAATTTGCAACGCGTCGTCCGGAATAGTCTCCTTGTTTGCATTTCCAATATGCCGTCCCCAAACGTAACCATGAACTTGAATGCTCATACGACGAAGTTTTCTCCCATGATAAGGTTCTATGCAACAAGTTCTCGGAGCTAATGGGGAGAAAGTAGCAGTCATTCACGAAGTCAGGCCAAGGGAATATCACCCCAAGCAAGCACCTCGAAAAGCAAGTCAAAAAAAAAACGCGATGACAGCTCTCCAAAGTTTGATATCATTAGGCTTCCAGTTGAGCTCCGGGAAGTTGTATTTAGATAGGATCTGCTAGAATGGACAGATGGCAGACCAACTCCGAATTTGATCAAGGCATTGCGACCGAACTCGCGGTTGTACAACCAAGCGCTGGACCTTTTTTATTCCCTCAAAGTTTGTCCGATTTCACCAAGAAACTGGGGTGAAGTGCTATTGGTACCACAATCTATTCTCCCGAGGGTGCTTTCTGCCGATGTCTCCACAGGTCCACAGGCTAGTCAAATGTGTCCTCTCGTACACCATCTGCTTAATTCTAAGTGACATAGTATTGCTATCTATACCCTGCCAGGGCTGCCAGGGTATATTCAGGTCCGGAAGTTGCGGCAGGGCTCCCCTATCATCGGCTTTCTGCAGACTCAAAACTTCGGTAGTTTCATTTTAACACAACCTTATTAGACGGAGATGGTTCCACGACTAGAGACATCCAGTCTCTCGCGCCATACGCCGTTGCGAAATTATCCACGCTTGTCCGTCCGACAGTGGATATACTTGTCTATGTCGCCAAGTCGAAAAAAGATAGCCCGATCAAAGAAATCAGCAATGGACTGGGCGTCCCTCGCAAATGGGGCTTCTAGAGAGCGTCCCTACACGCTCAGAATACCGTACATTATACAACCGGCGTATGCTTAGCGAGAAGGTGTGAGTTCAAGCCACGAGGAACAACTTCGTAAGGAAGGCTCACAAAGCAGCAATTCTGACATGTTTCACATTTGACATTTGCTATAAAATAAAACACCAGAAACATGTCCAAACCACCAAAATCAGCCAAGCTGCTCTTTGTTTTCTGTTTTCAGATACTCGCAAATCATTCTAAGCATGTGCACCGTTCCTCGTTCTCTTCTTCTGCGCTGATGACTTCTCTTCAACCTTTTCGTTGTCGATTAGGCTGCCATTCTCACCACCATCAAGACGAATCACACTCTTAATGAAATCGTGATCCGAGAACTCTTTGTACGCTTCCGCTGCGTCCTCAATCCGCAATTCTCTATCAAAAATGAAGCTAGGCTTTGCCCTTCCGCTCTCGATAAGTCGCTTGAGTGCAGGTTGATACTGGCGCAGCTGGACGATACCTGACTTTATGCTCTGGCCCTTGAGCCAAGATTCGCCGAATGGGATTTCGAAGATGCCTTTCTTCAAAGCTAGAGTAGCACCACCTGAAATTTCACGCCGTCAGTCGTGTCCCTCATGGCGATGAATTAGTCAAAAGAGACATCACTTACCAGCATCCTCGGGAATATAAACACCAATCACCCCAATTCCACCCCCAGCTCTTACGACATTAATAGCTTGTGTGAGTACAAGGTTACCCTCGTTGACGCCCTCCGCATTTACACATTCGTAGCCGATGCAATCACAGGCACGGTCAACACCTTCGGGCTCGTACTTCATAATCTGGGCAACGGGATCTCCTTTACTAAAATCGATGGGTATGGCGCCGATGTTCTTTGCTTTGGCAAGGCGTTGCGGCACACGATCAACGCTATAGACCTTGCTAGCCCCACGAAGGAAAGCAGAATAAGCACAGAGTAACCCAACAGGACCTATACATTCGTCAGTCAACCAGGAACCCACGATCCCAATCGTATAGTCTCACCAGCACCAAAAACAACTACTACATCCCCGAACACGAAGCCAGAACAGTCCAACGCCCAATTCGCTGTCGGGAAGATGTCCGCCAACAGAACATAATCCAACTCATGCTGCTTCCCCGTCGGCAGCAGCAGCAAATTTTCACTTGCGAACGGTACCCTGACGAAATTGGCTTGACCGCCGTTGAACTGTTGCAGTCCAGGGAGGGTCCCGACCCCCAGGCCGCCGATCACGGGATCAACGCCTTCGAGGCCGTCTTCGAAGACTACAGCGGAGACGATTACGCGGTCGCCGATTTTGAGGTCGTGGACTTTGGAACCAATTGCGTGTACGACGCCGACGATTTCGTGGCCCATTGTCATCGGGGGCTTGACGGGGAAGCGGCCGTGGAAGGTATCTGGAAGACGGATTATGGGTTTAGTACACGAGATGAGAAATTGGAGAGAGTGCTTTGAGGAATGAGGACTTACGGAGATCAGTGCCGCAGATTCCGGAAGATGTTACTCGGATTACAGCATCGGTAGGCTGGGTGATCTTGGGGATGGGCAGGGTTTTGACTTTCATGGAGAAAGGCTTCCCGTCAAATTCGACGGCTTTCATTGTCTCATGATTGCCGTTGTGCGGATGGGAATGCTTCATGTTAATGAATTGGATGTGCCTTTAACTTGAGGAAAATATTCTTAATGGAAATTCGGCCAGAAGAGATGGTTTGATGTGAAAATGCAGCTATGTCCTTGACAGCAGATGACTTTCAGACAAACCAGAAAACTGAGAGGTTCTTTTTATTTCTTTTATATTATTCAGAAGACCCTGACGTTCTCCCAGAATAGAGGCAGCCACAAGACGCAGTCACAAGACGCTTGAGATGAGATGAGATGAGATGAGACGCACGATTACTCTGTCACGATCTCTCGTATTCCCTCAGCTTCAGGATTCCATATTTCCATTCCAGTAGGGGTGGACAATTAAATTTAATGACTACTCGATTAAGATACAATTAAATATAACGCTCTTGAGCCGATTAAGCGTTATATTAAGGGGGTCCGGAGGAGGGTTTGAATCAAGTCAACCAAGGGCTAGAAATTAATGCCCTTGACATATACTTCTCTCGCCTTGGAGAAAGATTCTTCCTACATATCAGGTCAGATATCAGTGCTTTTATTAACTAGATATTAGTATTAGAGGATATTAATATGAGTGGGAGGAGAGGAATAGAAATATAGCTTTAGTCCTTTTCACTATTCCACGTCACCGTTATTTTCAATAAAAATCATAAATTTACGCATAAAATAATGCAGATAATAAGGGTGAGCCCATTATTATATATATACGCTAAGCCGATTAAATAATAATTAATTCATTAAAAATTTGCTAACCCTACATTCCAGAGACACAAACCCCTCTAGTTCTTGGGCAGCCGGGTGTGGGAATCCAGGGGTTATAGCCTCAAGCTGACAGATAATGTCACGCATCAGCCCTCAGCCCTACGCATTCGCATAGTGTCGGCCGAAATGTGGCGACATAGGCTTCCTCAGTCGGGCGGAAAGCTACCCTTGCCGGCGAAAGGAGTAATCGATTCGATGCAACAGTGTATGGTGATCATTATTGTAGCCTCAGAAGCCGTTCTTCGTTCCTCGTTTAAAAGGATTGCCCCTTTTTACAGCAAGAGCCAAGCGAGGAGGGCATGGTCAGGGCAGGAGGCACTCAGGAGCAGGGATCCGCCGTATCGGTGCATCGGAGGCGTACCAGGCTCGTCAATCACAGCAGGAGAAGTTTGAAGCAAAACAAAACCTGTTCGAAAACATGTTGAGCTATAAACTTACTCGAGTAATTTGCACATCGCAATTTGTGGTTGAGACAAACATGCATGCCACAACGCGTTTTGCGCATCACATACCGGACGGTGTGGCGAGTGGCGGGCACAGCCCTGCCAATCACGGGCCGATGTCCTACATAGGTAAGTTAGACGCTACTACGAACCTTGACTATGCAATTCCCTTTCTAACGGCCGCGTGTGTCTCCTGTCTTTTGTTCATCTGTTCCCAAGAGTCCTCGCGATATGTAGACCTCGCCATCATGAGGGGACGGCCAGTTGCGATTGTCACTCTCTCTTGCTTCATCATTTTCATCATCACTGCGACGACATATTGGTGGAGGACAATCGATGACGATGGGAATCACCGATCCCTCTCGAGCCTGCTTGCTCCGTTGAGCCATGGTTTAACAACTCCCAATTCAGCATCTGGCGATTTATTCCCAATCGGCAAGAAAGTCGCTGTGATCGTCGAGACACGTCCTCTACAAACCCTCATCCCACTTATCCTCCACTTCGCAAGCATCCTGGGGCCCGAATGGCCCATCCTCTTCTTCACGCGCGCCTCGACTGTCAGCACACTCTCAGCATTCGGCCACGGCTCACAGCCCTTCAAACGCCTTGTAAATTCCGGACAAGTTAAGATCATCGAGCTTCCCACCGATCCCTATCTAGGGAATTACCTGGGCCTCAGCCACTTCCTCGCGTCGGAATGGTTCTGGGGGCAAATGGGACCTGCTGAATACATGCTCAACTTCCAAACCGACAGTATATTATGCGCAAACAGCGGACGACAGGTAGAAGACTTCTTCGGGTACGACTTCGTCGGCGCGTGGCACCCTTGGGTTCCAGGGGCTTTCAACGGCGGACTCTCCCTTCGAAATGTGTCCCTTGCGCGGAAAGTCGTCAGCACGTATAATATTGCGGACGATGTGGGTGGAGGAACAAAGGATGGGGAATACGAGGATGTCTGGTTTTGCAGGAAGATGAAGACTCTTGGTGGACGATTTCCAGATGAGAAGAGGGCTTCAGAGTTTGCAGTCGATCTTGTGTGGGGTGAGAGACCGATGGGCTACCATGGTGTTAGTAAGGATGTGCAAAAGGATATCCTTGGAAAGGAGAGGGTGAAGCAGATGTATGAGTGGTGTCCTGAAGCTAAACTGGCGGTCTCTCAAAAGGAAATCATAGAGTTGAATGAGGATGAGAAGAATAGCGGCGCCATTGTTGAGGATGTCCAAACTACAGGCGGAGGAAGCTTATCTTTTGGGTAGGATACATAGAATAATGCTAATCAAGGCGATACGGTTCTATTTGCTGATAGCCCTTTTACGAGGGGCAATGCTTTTGTTTCTACTTCACCGGGTTTTTCTGGCCCCATAGGCTGAGATAGCCATCAACAGGCTTTTGACTTCAACCCTTCAACCCTTCAGCCCTCACCTAACTTCTATACCTCCGCAGCAGCAGCGAGTCTTCTATCCTTCCTCCAAACCAGCAGCCACGACAACAGGATCGCTGAGATCGCCACAATAAGGAAGCAGAGACAAATGACATACGACTCATGATACCCCGGTCCGAAAATAGTGCTGTAGACATGTGGACCGACGATTCTACCAAACTGAGCACATGCATTGGTCAAACCGATGCTGATACCAGCAGCCACCGTGCCGTCGAGGGCTCTGATGCGTTCGGGCCAGATGACTGGGTACGCAGAACCGGCACAGGACGTTGCGACGATGAGGCAGAGGTATTTGACGGTGGCGTTTGGAACAGTAATAAGTAGTATGTAACATATTATGATGGTGGATTCAACTACCTAGAATTAGCAGAGAGAGCAAAGGGAAAGCTGGGACACTTACTCGCAACGGCGGTCGTCCAAGGTCTGATCCACTTCTTGTGCAACATGTAGCCCATCAGGTTGAGGAAAAGGAAGCAGCAAACATAAGGGGGCTATGGGCAAGCCAGTACTGTAATATTCGGATAGGGGGGTAGACAAATCTCAACTTACGATGTTCATCAACTGAGAGAGCGAAGTAGTGGTGAAGCCAAGCTGATAAATGACGGTAGGCAGTGCATAACCAACACCGAATCCACCAATTCGATGAGCGATCCAGTAGACTGTGAATGTGTATGTAGTCGGATCAGAGAAAAGCGCTTTGAGGGTGTTGAAATCCCAGTGTCCCTTCTCCCCCGATGGTGCGGCATCGGACAGTCGATGCAAGATGAAAGCTTTTTCTTCGGCATTCGGAAAGCGAGCTGTTTGGGGGTAGTCTGGAAGTCCAAACAGTGCCACCCAAGCCAAGAGAATTGCAGGAAGTTCTTCAATGAGAAAAAGCCATCTCCATCCTGCGAGGTGTCCTAATCCATCCAGGAAACCGATTGCGTAGGCCAAAAGTCCACTGAGAGCGCTGGCCAATTGTCCCACAGAGTAGAAGGTCGCGATACGCCAGCGCATTTCAATTGGCTTGTACCAGAATGACATATGGTAGAGAACTGCAGGGTAAAATCCAGCTTCAGCCAAGCCAACTGCAAATCGTACAACCATCATCCCTTTGAAGTTCTGAACTGCTGCCAAAGAGCAAGCACAGACACCCCACATCACAATGAGGACAAACATCCATCGTAAACGTCGAAAGCTTTTCAGAAGCAGCGTGTTGGTGGGCTCGAAGAACAGGTAGCTGTAGGAGAAGATGGAAAGTGTCCATGCCCATTGATTCGGGCTCAAGTGCAGTTGCTTCTTGATGTTAGTGCCGTTTTCGAGATTGATGATTGCAGCATTCGAGTAATTGGAGGAATCGATGACTCGGAAGATGTACACGAGGGAGTAGAACCAGACAAGCCAGAAATCGGCTTTCTTCAGGACCTTCTTTTCGTATGCTTTGCCCAAGAGCCTGTCGGCAGATGCGCCATCCTCGAGATCTTCACTTCGCGGCGGAGAAGTAGCGTATGAAGTATACCCCCCGTTCTGATCTTTCTCGACGCTCATCTTGCTCTTAGACTGGAAGGGTATCAAGAAATTTGATAAATCTACGGAATCCGGAGATATTGGGGGCGAAAGGACTCCCTTGGAGAAAAAGGGAAAGAGATCTCCTATTAGAGAGCGACGGTTTATAAATGCTCAGAAATTATACAGTGCTGGATGACGAGTGCGTTGTCGGTAAGACGACATAGCTGCAGACTGGCTCAGACCCATTATTACCACGAAGAGAACTACTCATTCAAGGTCTCAGCGATAAACTTTTGGCCTCCAGGGACGGCATTTCACTCTCCCCTTTGAAGGTTGACTCGGATTCTTTCACGATGTAGGTAGATTGGCTGTGAGTTGCTAATGGTGATGCTATTGACAGCTCTTGTCACGGAATTGTACGATCCCACTTTCAAAGTCATTTCAACTCAACTTCTTCTTTTAGAGACGTGATTTTGCAGCATGCAAGAACCCCTCACGGTGATAAACTGGTCTCCTTTCCGTTCCCAAGAGATAAACGAGAACTGCACTAATGCGGCACTATGGCACTGGAAGAACATGAATCAAATAAGATCGGCTTTTAACAGTGATGCAACGATAAGTATTATCACAACATAATCTTATTGTGGGGTTTGCCAATGATCTAGGGTGGTTCGTTGCTGGAAAGTGGGGAAGAGGATGATAGCCGCTTCCAAGCCACCCGTGCTTTGGCCAAGCCCCTATATACAAGGGTAAAGTATGACAGAGCGGGGTATTTGAACTTCAATCTGTGCTTGTCTGGGCAGAAATGCTCTTTGCAGCAAATTAAAGAATCCTTGGGGCAATGGTCTAGAAATCATGTGATAAATAGCAAAGCACGCAATCGATGCAGATCTTTGGCAATGTTGTTGAGTTGCCGAGTTATCCATTTTCGATGTATTAAGCGGCGCGAAAGCTACTCGACGCCTCAGAACATCTATAGCATTGTCGTTATTTGGGTGAATTGTTTGATCTAGGCTCTTTGTCTCATCATGGCTCCATCAGCTACCGAGCCCTTTGAATCTCAGACAACAACTACCAACCGAGTTTTGGTTAAACCATGGAGTCGTCCACAGCCTACAACTGAGAACCTTGAATGGGCGCCACTTGTGAAGATTGATCTGTCTCGTTTTGATGAACCAGGTGGGAAACAAGAACTTGCGAAGCAACTTTACGATGCTGTCACTCGTGTTGGATTCTGGGTCGTTGTCAACACAGGTATTGACGATGAGCGGGTTCTCAAACAATTCAGCATTGGCAATACATTTTTCAAGGAGCCTTTAGAAGAGAAATGCAAGAATCCTTGCAACTTTGCTGAGGGGGAATACTTCGGATACCGAGAAAATTCGCGATGGATCGGGGATACTAGAGTGAAGGAGAACATCGAGATGGTATACTTCCGCCTTATCTTAAGAACCATGTGCTAATAACTTGAAGCTCAACATCCCTAAGGCAATCCCGACGTATGAAAATGAGCCCAAACATGAGATCGTGAAAGAGAACTGGGAAGAGATTTCAAAATTTCATCGCGACGTTTGGGAGAAAGTTGCACGCAAACTTTTTGTGCTTATCGCCATTATTCTTGAGCTCCCGGAGAACTACCTTGCGGATGCACACGCATACGATGAAGACTCAGATGACCATTTGCGATACATGATTTATAATGTCAGAACTCAAGAGGAGTGGGATCGTGCCCAGGCCTATTCGAAAGGCGGCCATACCGACTTCGGCAGCTTGACTCTGCTCTTCTCGCAACATGTTGCTGGTTTGCAGATCCGGACTCCAGGAGGAAAGTGGCAATACGTGAAGCCAATCGAAGGCGGTATTACCTGCAATGCTGCCGATACCTTGACCTTCTTGACGAAGGGTAAGTACTACCCTCTCATCCGGACAGCTTCCCAGCTCACATCCAACAGGTTTCGTTAAATCTACCGTTCACCGTGTCGTGACGCCTCCAGCTGACCAACTCAACATCGCTCGACTGGGGCTGCTCTACTTCAGTCGGCCTGGAGATACCACTCCCATGAGGCCAGTTCCCTCGCCTGTTCTCGACCGGCTCGGCCTCCTGACCCCTGAAGACAAGGACCTTAACGAGCCAGTTGTCAGTGGCATCGAATATGTTCGCGCCCGAGTGAAGGACGTTCATCATAAGACCGTAGTGGATAAACGCGAGGGGACTTCGTTCGAGTTCAGGGGGTTGAAAGTTCAGAATTATTACGATTAGGAAGGAAGGTGTGGGTGACGTCGGCGACACAAGGCTTCGGAGCCATCCTGTTCGGGACTAGTTCAGAGGCTCCTCCTTTTCAATCCGGCTCCACGCGTGCTCCTGTAGACTGACCGTAACTAATTTCCCGACATCTTCCTTCTTTGTGAATGGGAACATTTTGGATACCTCTCAACTCTATATCATTTGAGAAGACCTTAGTATTGCGTGGTCTAAGCAAATAGGGACTGGGATCATGTGACCATGATCTTTCCATGATGTTTTGATATTCTTTCATCTGATTTTGTACTTCTGGTAAAAGTCATAGTGTTGCACTTCTGTGGAAATCACACTCTCTACACACTCAAGTTTCTTTGAAGTCGTTGGTCGAATCCCAATTCTGCTACCCAATTGTTGAATCCTGATTCCTTACACTGCAACCCACATATCAGACAAGAAGCGCACTCTTGTTAGGACTGCACAGGAAATATAATGGATTGTCTTCGTTAGAAAGCTTTTGTGACTTGATTTAATGGAAGATCTATTTCCCAGTCGCCATCCCAGATTTGCTTCCCATTGTGCCTTACCCTGAGCTGTCTGCACCTTGTTGAGGTCAGCGGCCACAGCGCGGTTGGAACTGCCAGCCTTCCTGATTCTGGGTACAATCGCCAACGGCGGGGGAGAAGGCACCCTAAACAGCATTGATACTAGCTTAGACTTAGGCAAGAGCGCCGTAGTTCTATTCAGTGCTTTAGACTATCTGAAATGCCGCTATGTCTTGATTGCCGGCTGCGAGGTTCTTGTTGTTCCGTCAGGGAAGGCGTTGTCTGCCTGGGCGGGCATCAGGATTGCGGATGCGAGAAGGGGAAGGAGGAAGACGAGGGAATGATGCATCTTGAGTTTGGTGATTGAGAAAAGAATAAATTTAGGATTGTAATGAAGGTGTTACTAAAAGATTGAATGTGATCAGCGCAGCTCATGGAAGAAAATGAAGCAGAAACGAATGTAAGAATTGAAGCTGTGATGATCAAGAAAGGTTTTCGGAGAGACTGCTCTTCTTTATCTTATTCTCACTCCAGCATATATCATACGCATGAGATTGTATACTCACTCTCGCCTGAGATGTTGTCACTGTCAGCCCATTCGATTATGTCTTGTACCTCCGCATCCTGTCAAGAAAACCGAAACGTTTTTCAAACAAAACATGAGCAAGAGTGCCCTTGTCCAGCAAGAACGTAGGCAGCAACCAACAACTTCTTGAAAGTATTTGCATGTATATTTTGTTTGTCGTAAAGGTCAAAGGATAAGATTTGATGGGGGCGTTGGCGGCAGGGAAATCAAAGCCGAACCCCTATTTCCCTCGGCTAATCGCAGTTTGGGTCCTGGGAACCAATCAGATCATTGGGATCGGATGGCCCATACGATTTCAAGCATTCGGACGTTGATCTTCCTAGGGCCCGGGTCGAGTTGCGCATATCAGAATCAAGAAACGACATTGTTGCTGACGCTTAGATGCTCGGTCTGCGTCGCAATGCCTTGATTATGCTGCATGTCATGCGATAAACGGTCGCCGTGGGGCAATCAAGTTGCTGATGGTTTCCAGATTAATAAAACCTAGAACTCTCGGATCTTATCACCCATCGTACATTCACCTTTTCATGTTCGTTTTCACAATGTCACTTATCTCCCAAGCCCAATGATTTTTTAGCAATCGTATGTATCTTCCTTCCACAAAGTGAACTAGCAAGTCGCATCACTCAGTCTGCGCCCCCCCCCAAGCTTTCCGCCCCCGAATGTGCATTGTCTCAAAGATAGGCGGAGCGCCAGAACGTACCGTCATAAAGATCAAATCAAAGAACTCGGAAGTATCACCTCTATCTGACAAACTCATGGTTCCTGACCAATTCAACAAATGTGGATTTTCACAGCTGAGCGTTCCGCTGTCTCTTGCTAACCTCGTTAAGCGATTATAAGGGGCAAGGGAGGGACGTTCTTCTTGCCCGCCTTTTGTGCGCGTACCAGGGGCTAAAGAATAGCCGAAAAATAAGCCCTACTTTATGACAAAATTATAAAATTTAGCCTTCTAAGCGTGGGGAAATGGGGCTAGAAGGGAATGAAATTCTTAATTGCATAAGCACCCTGCCAGGGCTGCCCTGAAAGGGTGCTTACACGTATCCTAATCAGAGTTGGCCTCCTGTTTTACCCCTTTGGGCGGACAATCCTGGTTTGAGAATGCTATGCGAGCAGAACAGAGTTGTTTGCAGGGGTTGGCAGGGGCACCTGATATGATATGTATGGAGCTGCACAGGGGAGTGGTGCTCCGCACTGCCACTCTTGAGACGCAACACGGCTTGTCTCGAGAAAAGAGGGAACTTCCTTCGTTGGAATTGAATAAATAGACAGCAACCACAGCCGGTCAATCCCTGGCGATCTTCAACAACACTTATGAGAAAAGGACTAACTGAGGAACGAGTTAGTTACGTGACCATTTTTTAATGCCACTAGCTCTGGCTTCAAATGCGGTCTCCAATGCGGATTCTCGCAATATCATGAGTCCGAAATTCTCGATTCCGGCCTGGAAATGAGAACGAGGATGTTGCAACGACAGGAGTGTAATAATATGAAGAGCACAATGATTGGACCGAAAGAACCCCACGAGGCTGGGGCTGAGTCAAGCCACCTGACGCCCGACGAGGCTCAACTTGATGTATTTCATCTTCACTCTCTGCTCATGATATCGCCAAAAATGAAGATAACGAACGTGAAGTGAGATCTGCTCGTGTCTCTTAGCTCGTGTTGTGAGCTCGACTTCTCCAGAGTGTATTCAAGAGGAAAAAGGTGTGAAGGTTGCGACAGCCTCGCCTTGAGCTTTCCAGAATGGAAGTCCTAGCCACAGCCTCGAGCGTCCTTGCCGTCGTCTCCTTGGCCTTACAACTTGCTGACAATGTCCAAAGACTCGTTGACTTTTGGGATTCTGTCAAAGAGGCTCCAGTCGAAGCTGCGGAGATTAGATCCCAGCTCCAGATACTTGGTGCACTTTTAAGGAGCATCGAACGAGAGGGTCGACGCTCACCAAACGACGATGGAAGCAGTCTGGGCCATGGTTGTCTTCTCGTTTGCAAAGGGAGCGTCGCCAAGCTGGAGAAGCTGTCGAATGGATGGGAGCAGGAATTGAGCCGTAACGGCTCAATTCGGCGCAAATGGTCGTGTTTGAGGAAGGCTTTGAAGGGGAATGAACTGGATCGCTACTGGTGCGAGCTTGAACGGGCCAAAAGTACACTGATTATGTATTTGTGCTTGAGAAATGGGTGAGCTATGGCATTTATGCTTTGTTCACTTCAAATACTGACTTCGAACAGCCAGCTTCAAGACTCGTTGCATCGACTTATAATGAGGGTGAGACCGGCACCTCTGGAGGACTGTAAACCATCAACCATCATTAAAACTGTTGGATCAGTTGTCCCGACAACCATCGGTAATCGATTCAAGAAGCTGCATCTTGGCACAGCGGTGTACGAGTTGCACCTGAGCTTTGGGGTCATCCGCATACGAATGGTCAGGGAGACAGTCATCGATAAATGCTCTCCGCCAACGCACTCGCAGATGATCAGACACCCTAAACATTGGAATATCGTTGCCACCCTTTTGCCCAAATTCACGCTGTGGAGAGTACTCGAATTTTCTTTCACCCAGAGATTCAACTCTATTGGCGCTGGACTTCGGACCTTCAACATTCGGCCGGGCTGGTCTCCGATCTTCGAATACTCTGGTCGAGGGGACCTACAAAGCGTCAGAAGGCTCGTCGAAGATGGTCTCGCATCGCCCAATGATGTGGATCCGGATGGGTGGACTGTACTACACGTAAGCTCCGCCTTTCTTGGGAATATTGTACATCAACTGAACTTCCATTTTAGTGGGCTGCAGGTGCTCACCAAGCAACAATGTGCCAGTTGCTTCTTGCTCTTGGTGCTGTACCAGATCCTGTGACTAAACGTCAGGAGACACCACTTCTCGTCGCAGCACGGGCAAATGAGCGACCTCTGGGCAGGGGCTATCTTCATCCAAGACATGACGAAAGCACAACCCTAGATACGATGAGGGTCTTGGTTGAGCAAGGGAAAAATGACCCAATGCAAAGTGGCGATATTGGATACAATTCCATCTTCATGGCTTCCAAGAATCGTTCTGGTAGATCGCTACTATGGCTCATACACCAAGAGGAATATGAGCTTGACCTCAGTTATACAACACCAGGGGGGACCACAGCAGCGTCTTTGTTTGTACAAAGAGAAGACTTGTCCCCAACACTATTTGAACCACTTCTCAGTAAGTGGACGGCAATTGAAGCACCCTGTGCAAAATGGTGGCGCCCTCAATTTGCCAACCGTCACGTTAGAATCCTAGGTATGGTCCCAGGCGATACCACGCAGAACTTTCACTGACAGAAAGCAGAACCTTCAATGATCCAGTATGCTGTGTGGACTTGGTACGACAATCTTCTGAACTCTTATGACGAACGTTTCCCACACCACGGCCCCGTAGAGGAATTTAAATCGGTTCCGTCACCGCTGGCCACTATAGAAACACTAATTGCCTACGGAGCGGACCTTTATTGCAATGGTAGTTTGGTCAAAACGCTCTTGAGAGGATTGGTGCTAAATATAGTTCAATTTGATGGAGAGGAGCGCCCTCTGAACGTTACGAGATACTGCATGTCTAGATGGCTGGAGCTTGTCCAACAGCTTGGTTTCGACCTCAAGGATTACCTCCGGATTGAAGCCGAAAAGCAAAAGGGGCGGTGTTATAACATTGGAGCTGGAATTATAATGGGTGTGTGCTTTGATGAGGATACTGCACCACATATATGGACCGTCTTTCAAGGGCCTCCAGAAAGAGAGAAGAATGTGGTTGTGGATCGCATCACCAGTTGCGCAAATTGGAAAGAGTGGCAGTTCCTTTTTGCGCTCCCAAAACCGCCACCTCGATTAAAAACACAAGAAATCCTGGAGCAGTCGGTAGGAGTAATCGCGTTCCAGAAACAATGCGCTTGTCCTGAGTTCGGGGTTCATTTGAAATCCTGCAAGGGTCCAAATATTGAGAACATAAACGACGGCTCTAAACCCTCACCGGGCACACTCGCCTCCGCGATCCCCTCAAGGAAACGCAGAATTGTTTCTGCGATACTATACTACATGATCTCTGCGACGCGATATCGACACGAATTTACTTTTTATGTCTTCGTTCTGGCGTGTTTATTTGGATGCAGCTACTTTGCTCGATTCTGGATTGCGGGTGGGGTTTTCTTGGCTTTGAAACTATTTCAAGATACCATTTCATACTGGATTTGATATGAATATTTTACAGTTGGTCTCTTTCTTGGGAAAGGCTTGGATGAAAGGGGTGAATGTTTATTTTCCGATGACTTTCTCTAACATAAGATACCCTTCAAGTTCAATTCAGCAGATATCATCTCCCTCCAGATATCAATAAATCCCTACAATGACTAACGCCAAGGAAACAGAGGATCAGACGCTGCTACGCCAAGAAATATCTGAAGCCCGAATATCAACTTTGGGGATAGCTTCACCAGCCATGTCTTACATCTACATTCAGCTCCAGCCCGCCAAGAAACATTAGTTTTGACAACCAACACAAGAATTCAACGTCCCCTCAAGATCTTCAAGTCTAAACCACGAACCTAAGATACAATAAACTGCCCTCCACACTTAAAATGCATCTCCAACCTCCAAGCCTTTTGCTACTCGCGGTCTTCATCGCAACTGCTTCAACAAAAGCTCTCCCCTGCACCACCACACACAAACCGGAGAAAACCCACACTCACACACCGTCAAAAACCTGCACTCACAGCCACCAAACAATCATACCAACCTGCGACCCCGTCTTCACCTGCGGCAATCCAGTAATATGTCCGCCGCAGGACCCTGTCGTCTGTATTCCAACGGATCATAAGTGCAAGATCGCGACGACTTGTACATGGTTCGTGATCTGCGATAATGTTGCGACACCTTGTGGCGGGGATAATGTTACTGAACTATGTGTTGATAAGAGTATTCCTTGTCGCTCACTGGCGGGATACGTGCCTTGAAGATTTTTTTTATTGTGTAAGGGTGCGCGGAGGGTGGTCGTGGGGAGATGCGGGTTACTGAATTTGAGTTTGGCTCGTGGAGTTGTTGGGGAGGTGCTTTGGGAAGTGGAAACGAAATCAAAGACATATGTATTGAGAGCGGATTTTATGGGAAACGGCGTCTTCAAAAATGGTTCAGTCAGTTGCAACACTCACCTCGGTAACAGTTACTGTATGATGAAAGGAGCGCGCTTGCCCGCCACGAACCATAATGATAATACTCGCTCCTCGTCTCTACCCAGCCCCTAATGTTCGCTGACCAGTATGTAATTCTCCAGCGGGCCGTGAATCTGGCATTTCATCTACTTCTGGGTTGAGGGTCGACATGACCGTTCATATTGACAACACTTCTTCTGTGGCCAGAAAACGTCCTCCGCGGAATCAGGTCGGTCCTGCTCGGAACTCAGTGCCGAACTCTGACCTCGACTCCCATCACACAACCAGCAATTGCTGGCGGTGGCAACGTGCGACACAGCAGCAACCCATCGATGACCCTGCATACGCTCGTCGTCACGTGGGTGTGCAGCCAAACGACAGAAGCCATAACCTGGTAGCTGCTCCTGCATCTGCATCTCGAAGCAGGATTACCAGCCGATCGCAGCCTCAACCTGAACCACCTGCCAGGTATCAGCTCAACCCGCGCCTCCTCACCGGGGAAGTGGACTTTCAACTTCCCCACCGTTCACAGACCACAATCGCCATCATCAGGAAATGAGCTGACCGCCTCCCGCCCCAAGCTTCCAGCCTCGAGTCTATTCGAGCAATACGTAATCAAGACGGGAGGCCTTTGATTCGTTATATTCATCCGATGATCCAATTCCGTGGGGGCAAGAAGGAAAGGGTCTGAATCATGGATTCATGGTGATGACCACGGTCAGCCATTTGGGCAAGGTACTTCGCGATGAGTTTCCCACTCCGTTTCATCGCATGTGGAGATGGGGAGAGAATGTGAGACCTGACGTTGGGACATGCTTTGCAGGTATGCAGCAAGGGTTTTTCTGCAGATCGGTAGAGGGGCCGTGCAGGTTTCGGGGGCGAGAGGAGATCGTTTTTGCCCTGTGTCACCGTTTGCGGTTGTGCGATCTGCCGGGTGGCTTGCAGGGGGATATTGGGCGATGTTGAGGCGAGCTGATGGCCGGTTCCAGCGGCCTTGACCAGAAGATGAAACGAGATCGGTGGCTGGGGTGAGGCAGCGCGGGCGTGATCCCGTGTCGGATGTGGTTGAAGCTGGTGCTTGCTTCTTAACTACCGTATACGCTGTCGCACGGCTCGGAGGGAGGTTGAGGCACAGCATCGGGATTTTTCTCCAGCCCCGGATTTCAGCGACCTGGTGTGGATCCCTTTACGACCAAAGCGTCCAGCACCGCAGGGCCGGTAGGGTTCTCTTGAGATCGTTTGCAGCAATGTGTCGTACAGCGCGAGCTCGGCTCTGTCATGCAGGTAGCCGTCAGTTTGCCCCTGTCAGAAACGGCTGTTCACCTCTAGCAGATGGGCCATGAGGGAGCAGTGCCACATCTGCAGAATCATGAGACGAGCGAACACGTTCATTCGCAGATCTGGTCTGTGTCACCAATGGTCGGACACGTGCAGTGGAGCTGCTGGTAAAGTCTAGCCGGACTGGCAACCTCGCCTGCTGCAGAAGCCACCCCATGCACTGGCCAATCAGAGAAAGACCGAACTCATCGAGGATCAGGAATGCTATTGGGAGACATTAGCAAGTGTGAAAGATGACAGATATAAACTTTTGCTGCTTCAACAGACCTGTCCGTGTCCATCCATACTGGGTAGGAGACGGGAGGCTTGGTGGGGCCGTGACTTTTCACAGTTCTTAGATTGAACAAGCAGGAGAATAGCAAGCAATGAGAAGGAAAGATTGATAGCAAATGCGGAGGAGGAACGGTCTTTCCCGCCGGCTTCTTCGGTACCTCTAGAAGTCCAGCGTCTCATGTCTGCCTTGGAGTATCACTCGGATCTACCATCCCTTGTGGATAAGTCAGTCCCATTTGAACTTCTAGCCATATAAGTGTATGTGGGTCATCCCACAAACATCATGTAGAATACTTTCCACTTGGTTCTAAGTTTTGCTTCATATTTTTGACTTTTCTGCAAGTATCTGTCCATAAGCAAGTGGAATTAGTGGGAGTTTCTGGATATTTCAAAAAGTTTGGTACCGTGGTGGAAACAGGCTTCAGTCTAAGGTAAGCAATACCGCCTTCCTGCTCTGCTGGCGGTGAGGCGAGCCCAGTTTGGTAACTTGGAGAAGTGACATGCTGTGGCAGTTTATCTTTCGAGCGTCTCAGACCAAGCGACCCTGGGCAGGAGATAAGCCGAAGAGCGATTCAAAGCCACGAACCGCAGTGTTCTCCGCTTAGATTGTCGCACTCTTGAGAAGGAGCAGTTATTTGAGGTCTCAATCCTGTACGGCGCCAATTCTTCATAGACTGACCGCTTGAGTCTTCTGAAGGTTTAACTTGACCGCTTGGAGTCGGCCGTTTGGAGGTCTCCCTGCATTGCATGCGCAGGAGGCTGACGGCTGTTCATGTACATCGGGCGTTCGACGTGGAAATAGAACATTCGCAAAGCTACGTTGAGCTAAGACAGGGTAGCGGTGAGGCGTTACCAAAATGTTTATCAACGCAGAGCCCCGGATTGCCCCGAACGGCTTCGAAGCCTTTGTCCCATTCCACAGAGCGGAGTCAATGCATCAAAGACTTGTTGAGATGACGAACAACGACGTGAACGCTTGGAGTGTCTGCCGGCCCGTGGCCTTGTCGACTTCCAGTATCTGGGATCAACAGATAGATGACTTCGGAAACGAAAACTTCTCTGTAAATCAGCTCTCGAAGGAAAAGATGCAGGTTGAGCTAATGATCAATAGGTTCAAAGCCCTTATGCTGGATACTTCCAAGAAACTTCCTTGGCCGTTCCAAGACAGGCTGTCGATTGCCCGAAGACTTCTTCGTACACAGTCGCTCACAAGCCCCAGTGCCAGTCAAACAAGAATCCAACCGCTTCTGAGCAGCCATACCAAGACTCAGCATCTGATATGAATTTCATTCAGAAGCAGAGCCCAATGCTTGGACATGACTATTCTCAGTGGAGTCTTGGACGTGGGCGTGGCAGCTTTACGGAGTTTTCGAATTCGAACATGCGAAATGTGCTCAAGGACTTTCCATGTCAAACCTCGATCGAGTCAAACCTCACCACGTTCACGCCAGTCTCTTCCGCTCAACATTTGCAGGCGTCCTACCGAGACGAGTCCTTGTCGATGGGCACCAGTTTCAACATGGACAGAACCAGCCCCAACATAGCCTACAACAGCTACTCGCCAATGACCACATCTGTGAACCCTCAGTCACTCATCTCTGGCCTCGACAACGGTCACGGCTCATCGAAAAAGGTGGGATGGTGGCCGCAGACTTTGGCCGATAATAGATACCGAGATCAAGTTACTTGTGAAGTCCCACTGACCTACGACGGTCTTCCAAAATGCCAGACTCAACAACTTCAGCAGCAATACTGTGATCTTTGGAACACCACCACACAGGGGACTGATGATTGGACAGCACAGACCATCGCCTCAAGCACCATTTCTCCAAAGGTCCTGACATTGAACGTCTCTTCCACTTTGTCATCTTCATCTGGTTCTAGTCAAGAGGCTATGATTGGGCTCTCCGGGCTAGGCACTTTTGCAAGCAGCAGCGAAGAATCATCTGACCAATCTGGACCGGAGACCTTGGCCGTTGTAGAGCCGCCGCCGTCTCGTCCTCATAGACAACGTCAGAATCTCCCAGAATCGGCGCCAACTTCACGCAGAATCATGCCGGTCCTCCCCAGCAACGACTTTGCGCAAGATAGAAACACCAAGAAGAGATCAACGAAGTTTGTCAAGTCAGCAAACAGTGCCCGCAGAAGATCCAGTCCTGTGCCAACCAGTAATCAAAGCACCAAGCATTCATCGTCCTGGAGAGCTGGAGTATCTGCTCCACGGCCGAAGAAGATCGAACCAAAGTATGTGAGCCCAGAGCCCGAGCCACTCTGGGCCACGCTGGCTCAATCATCAACAACGGCGCAGGCAATGCATCACCGAGACGGAAAGGACGATTTCCTGGTCCGTTCGAAGCTAGCTGGCATGTCATACAAAGAGATCCGTCGTCAAGGTAAATTTTCCGAGGCAGAGTCGACACTGCGAGGGCGCTTCCGTACTTTGACCAAACACAAGGCCGCCAGAGTGAGGAAGCCCGAATGGGATGACAACGATGTAAGTCAGCTGTGCTCTACGACTGATACAGCTGACCTTTAGGCAGATTCGACTTCTCAAGAAGGCAGTCCGCAAGCTAACCCACGGTGACCCAAAGAACTGCAAGGTTCCCTGGAAGCAAGTTGCTGAATATATAGCCAACAATGGGGGCTCATACCACTTTGGCAATGCCACCTGTCGGAAGCGCTGGGATGAACTTCAAGCCAGATCGGACTGCTGATTAGATTGAGCATGGATTTTAAACCTACGGACGATCGAGGGCGTGTATGAATTTCGGAGAGGGTTGCATACTTGCATTTCGATAGGTGATTTTGTGCGCTGAAAATCGGAGTTGAACTGCATGGCATGTGCGTTTGGTGCAAAATGGTGTGTTTTTTATTCTGGTTGGATTTGCTGTTATTGATTATAGACCTTTAATGGTAGTCGTATAATTCATGGCCTGGGCTATAATTTCCCTCCTTTTGCATCTGTAGCTGGCGGTACACCAATTGCCAGGAGAATATCTTTCAACTTCTCCTCGTCATTGCGAAAGGCATCCCATTCTTGCTCGCTTTTCACTAAAAGAGTGCCTCCAAGAATGGTGCCATTGAGAAGAATGGGACCCACAAGGTCTCCATTATTGGCCTTTATCTTCGAACCTTCTGACAGTCGTGGACATAGTACCATGGCCTGATTGGTGAGGCAAAGATTGTAGGAGAAAGGCATCTTCTCTGGAGATAGGCCAGAATTCATGTCGTCTGATCTCTTGGCAACGGCTACACACCGCTCAAGTAACGACGTATATATGTCGTGCAGGTCTTTCGGGGTTGGATCTTTGGTCAATGGGTTGGCAAAGTACGCGAACGGGAGGACTGCTTGAAATTAGTCGCATGTTGGTCGGACAAGAACACAAATCATACCGGGTTCGAGAGTATTTATGAGCCTATCAGCTAATACCTCCCAATTGCCGCCTTCCTGTATGCCATTACGCATGGACTCGACGGGAAGGAATTGAATATGCCGGTGCGGCTGGCTCGCCCCCGAAGCTTCCCCGCTGTTGAAGAAGCCAAAAAGTTCTTCTCCATTTTCCCTGTATGCCTTCATGCAGGCGTATGCAGCTTCAAGATCGTCTTGTTCTAGTGGGTCTGTCTGTTGTTTAAAGGTTTTCGTAGCGAGAATGAAGTGATTCGGAATTACGGGGAATTTGTTGAGGACGAGGAAGTGGGACGGAGATAGGTCTGTTACGAAGAGGCCTTTGGGAGGGTTCTCAAAGGGGTCAATTGACTTGGAGTCCGAGAGTTTGTTGGACTTGGGCTTGTTGGCAAGAGCTGGGGAGAAACGAAGTTGGAACTGAGTGATGTTAGTCGCTTTTTCGAGGATTCGAAATGAAGTTTCATACTGGAAGGCCTTCGCAATGGAGGATTGAGACCCGCGTTTCGAAGAACGTTATATCTCCAGACGCTTGAGCAGCTTTGAATTGTTTGCAAACAAGCGCTGGCAGATTTTGGATTGTGGACATCTTATCTTATGTTCCTGAATTGATGGAGGAAAGAGGTGGATAGTCTTCGTCATCCGAAGGTTCGGAGCCGGTTATAAGTTTTTCCGGTGCAATTCAGCTGGGAAGTATCTCCAGACTTCTTCAACAGTATAAGATTGAAATTGGATCTATGGAATCTTGCAACTATTTGTTGTTTCTTGTTCAAGTCAAGCGTCAAAAATTTGTACACGTTTGGATAAAGACATCTTCTACTTTCTGATAGATCGCGTTCCACCTATTTTGAAACAGACATCTTGTTGTCACAGCACTCACCATCATATCTCCTCCCCAAAGTTCGATTCGAGCTCAGATTTGGTGACCCCAGCACCTTCAGCAATTCCATCCCCCATCCCCTCCATACACAGCGCCAGTCACATAGGAGCTCTCAGGTCCCAACAAGAAAGCAATGATACTCGCCATCTCTTCTGCGGTTCCGTTCCTCTTGATGGCGGTGGGATTGTCCTTCCCCTCATCGGGATTCCCTTCCTGTGCTTGAAGCAACAGAGGCGTCATGATAGCTCCTGGAGCCACGGCGTTCACACGAATCTCCCGATTACCAACTTCCTTCGCCGTACATCGAGTCAACCCAACGACGGCGTGCTTGCTCGCCGAGTATGCTGCACTTCCTGGAAAACCTGGAGCATATCAGAAGTTTGATCACAAGATAATAATGGGAGAAAGATACCCATGACTCCCTGAATGGAAGAAATGTTCACGATGGAACCTCCATCCGAGATCTTCTTCAACTCAGTTCTTAGGCAGTACATCAACCCCGTCAAATTGACCGCCATGATCCGATCCCACTCCTCATCTTCCACATCAGCCAACTTGGTAACTCCGTGATATTTCCCTATGATTCCAGCACCGTTCACAGCTCCATCTAACTTGCCATATTTCTCGATGATGCCGTGGATCCAGGAATCCACATCAGACCGCTTGGTTACGTCGACTTTGGTGACGGTGAAAGGGACGCCGAGGGGAGTGAAGTGTGATGTTGCTCCTTCCAGAGCTTTGGGGTCGACGTCTGAGATACAAACTGTTGCACCTCGAGACGAGATGAGCTTGGCAGTCGCAAGACCAATGCCAGATGCTCCTCCAGAGATAGCGACGACTTTGCCTTCCATTGCTGGTTTGTCTCTCAGATCATCCGGATGGCTCTTGGGCTGGTTCAATGTGAGATTAAAAAACCTACCAGAGTTCTCAAAAACAGCTGTCACGCTTTCACACGGGCTGTGACACCCCGCTGGTTCTCCTCGGTGCGTCGTCCGGAGTCTTTCCACCAACCCCGCGTTGTGGTGGTCGTCATGATTTGATTTGCTCGTGAAGGAATGCGCCGAAAAATAACCTCCCGCATTAATGCTGCACTAATGCTGCATAAATCTGGCAAGGAATTTTTCTTAGTGGGGCAGCAGGGGTGCCGGCTTCCCCATGTTTCAGGCGTATGACCGCGTGCTGCTTTGCGGAACAACGACCGCTTCTCTTAATCCGCGGCACTTTCTTCCCATTCCTCCTCCAGCTCCTTAAGTGTTTTGGGGACACTCCATTATATCTTGATCAACTAGTCTTCATGACCTGTTAATTCGACCTCCCTCTCCTCATCTTACTACTTCGCTGCGGGGTCAGGAAACCTCCGCGCTTAAATATGCGCTGGACGACTTACCTCCTAGCTGCGGCTGCAGCCGTGAGGACCGAGGCTTCTTCGTTGCACCCACCAGTTTTGCCTCTCTTTATTCGGAATCCTTACTTGAGCACTTGGTTGGGCAGAGCCAGAGGGGATCCCTGGGATCGCTGGCCGATATTCTGGACTGGGCAGGAGGTCTGAAGATATAGCTCAAGACTGTGGTCAGAGAGACTAATGTGGTCTCTAGATCGGATTCTCCGTACTTGCAGCAGTACCAAAGTCCGACACAGTGTTCCCGCTAATTGGCAGACCCCACGACTCCCTTCCTAAGAATGGAGAAAGGTAGCGTCCCTCTGCTCGATATTCGGGATCGAAGCTAATGGGTTTGCAGTTTCAATGTTTCATACCCAACCTACCTAGGAGCTACCTTCGATGCTTCGACTACGAATCTCACATACAAAATACCTGCTCCTAGCTACAACATAGATCCTGCCGAGATCACCCTATCGTTCCTCTCTCCCATTACTCCAACGTCGACCCTACGACAAGCCATACCTGCTTCATACTTGACAGTACATGTTACCGGATCCTTTGATATCGATGTATACATTGACCTCAATGGGTTATGGGTCAGCGCAAATAGGGGCAATGAGATTGTCTGGGAGCTCAGCGATACCAAAACTTCTACCTCGAAAGGCTTGAAAACCTGGAAGGTCAAGAGAAGAGTGGAACAATTACTGACTGAGGATTGGGATCGAGGAGAATGGGGTACATTGCACTTTACTGGCCCTTCTGATGTCAACCATGAGGCCGGGACTTCGGCGCTCTTGAGAAACCGCTTCTCTCGCACAGGAAAGCTGCAAAACACTGTTGATGGCAACTTCCGCGGAATCATGGATGACGAGCCCGTCTTTGCATTCTCTAAGTCTTTCAGATTGAATGGTACCTCATCAGCTAGTGGTCTGTCTTACGACAGCGTGCTCTTTACAGTTGCCCATATTCAAGATCCTGTCATCCAATTCGCTTCAGCACGCGGCCTCACTTGGATGAAACCATTATGGGCCTCTTACTACCATACGGCAGATGAGGTGCTCGAATGGCATTATCATGATTTCGACACTGCTTTCAAGCTGGCCAGCAATTATTCGCTCCAGCTAGAGGAAGATGCCCTGAAGTCTGGATCGGAAGACTACAAGGATATTCTGGCAGTCAGTGCACGCCAAGTCTTGGGTGCCACCAGCTTTGCTGGTACACCTGATGACCCAATTATCTTCTTTAAAGAGATCTCGTCTGATGGTAATATGAATACCGTTGATGTTATTTACCCAGCCTTTCCATTCTTCTTGTACACCAATCCTAAATGGTTGGCGTGGCTGCTGGAGCCGCTCATCGAACATCAACTCAGTGGTCAATATCCGTAAGTCCAAAGTAACTTTCCCATGAGGTTCAGTATCTAACAATACCCCAGAAATGATTACAGCATGCATGATCTAGGTGCAAGCTTCCCAAATGCTACCGGGCACCCAGACGGCCGTGACGAATACATGCCTGTGGAGGAATGTGGAAATATGCTCATCATGGGTCTTGCGCTGGTCAATTCATTGAAATATGACACCGAACCCGCTAGTATTTGGTCTGCTGAAGGAAACCCCAGATACATCGAATCAGAAGGAGGAAAATTATCCCTCTACATTGATGCTGATAAGATGGATGACACTTTTGGTGGACCAATCTCAGCAAAGGGAGAAAAGCAAGCTCGTCAGTGGGTATCGAGATCATACAAACTGTGGAAGCAGTGGACCGGATATCTTGTCCGGGAAGCCCTGATTCCAAGCAATCAACTATCAACGGACGATTTCGCTGGCTGGCTAGCAAATCAAACGAATCTTGCTTTGAAAGGAATCATTGGCATTCGAGCAATGTCGGAGATTTCAGAGCTTGTGGGAGAGACTAAAGATGCAAAATACTACCGCAACGTTTCCGAAAGCTACATCAAGCAGTGGCAGGAAGAGTTTGCTGTCTCTCGAGATGGGACACATGCTAAGCTGGCATACACCTGGTTTGGCAGCTGGACAACGCTCTATAACCTGTTTGCAGACTCGTTGCTATGCTTTCATCTACCAACCTCTACTGTGGACTTGAATGATGGCCTTGCACAGAAGCCGATGGCTACGCAGAAACCTATCAAAGATCCAGTCTCGAAGACAGCTTTCGTCGGCGAGAAGATTTACAAGATTCAAAGCGATTGGTATCACAACGTTCGGCAAAGATATGGTTTACCATTGGACAGCAGACATTTGTACACGAAGAGCGATTGGGAATTCTTTGCCGTTGCTGTTGCAAGCAAGCAGGTTCGGGAAGAGGTAGTTCAATCAATCGCGCTTTGGGTAAATGAGACTTCAACTGGTACGCGTATCCTGGCTTCTTGGCTCCGTTTTTAGGCTTTTATACTGACAAATCGAACAGATTCACCACTTACCGACTTATATGACACAGAAGGAGACGGCGGGTTCCCTGGAATTGCATTCAAAGCTCGTCCTGTGGTTGGGGGTCATTTCGCCTTCTTGGCATTGGAGAGAGCATGTGGTGGAAAAGCGGTACAGGCATTGAGCTTCCTGGATTCCGAGCCGCCTAAAGACCTCTCTTATCTCATGGACGGCAGGAGTGACGAATTGTGATGTGGATAAATGACTGCTACCGAGAATCCAGAGAGGCAAGGGTCATGTTGATCATTGAACTTTGCTGGATTCCGAGCTCCATCAAGAAAACAAGATCATACAGTACTTCGAAATGAGCTCGACATCAATGTAAATGCATGATTCAGCCGCATACGACATTTTTTAGAACTTTCAATACTTTTTGCCCCCTTTTCCCAAAGGGTGGTGGCTCTCAGACGTCTCAGCTTTGTGGAAAGTTGCCTGCGTCTCATTTGAGTTTAGCGCTTACGCTAGTGTGACTCTCGCTCGCTTAAGGCATGCGTGAAATAATATTTCGATCTGTTCCCTCGCAAACACGACACCATCAACCTTCCATCCGTGATATCCTTCATCAAACACTTTCCATTCTCACATCGCCTTGAGATACCTCCTACTTTACCTGTCCACAATACCCGAGCGGCCTCTAGCTCAGTGTTGTTCGGACAGACACGACAGCTTTTGTCAATACAACAACCTCCCTCAACCTCAGCTTCACCTTCCACACCCCCGATTAACAACTCCACCATCATGGCTTCCATGGACTATGAGAACGAGAACGGCACTCGTTATGATGGTAAGTCGACTAATTTTCATCTTCCACCACTTTGCGCCCTATTTACTGGCCAAAAAACTTGGTGTTAACTTGACGCGCAGACGAGGCTCCCCGTTATGAGCGCGATCGCAGCGCATCTCCCCGTCCAACCCGCCGCAACGACAGCCCTCGTGGTGGTCCCCGTCGCTCTGCATCTCCCAACGGCAATGGCCATGCCGAAAGCCGGTCAGTATCTTTCGCCTTCGCCACTGACACATTTTTCTGACATCTCCCAGCGGTCCTCCCAAGAACGAGCGTGGCCCTCCCCAAGATGACGGTGCAGTCAACCCAGGCTCCAACCTCTTCGTCACCGGCATCCACCCTCGCCTTTCCGAGCAAGAGGTTACCCGTCTCTTCGAGAAATACGGTGATGTTGAGAAGTGCCAGATCATGCTTGATCCCCACACCAAGGAGTCTCGTGGCTTTGGCTTCGTCAAGATGATGACCGCCGAGCAGGCCGATGCCGCCAAGGATGGTCTTCAGGGTGAGGTTATCGAAGGTCGTACCTTGAGCATCGAGAAGGCTCGTCGTTCCCGTCCTCGTACCCCAACTCCGGGCAAGTACTTTGGTCCACCGAAGAGAGGCAAGCAATTCCTAACCCTTTGTCTTACACAATTAACTAAAACACCAGAAGATGACCCTCGACATCCACCCCCAGGCCGTTATGGCGACCGCTACGATGATCGTCGTCGTGGAGGAGGAGGCTACGGAGGACGTGATGATTATCGCGGATACCGCCGAGATGATCGTGACCGTGGCTATGGCAGAGACCGCGACGACGGATACGCCCCCCGCGGAGTCGATCGCTATGCTCGCGATGACCGATATAGCAGCCGTGGTGGTGATGACCGACGTGGAGGCGGTGGTGGCTACTCCGATCGTTATGAGAGAGGAGGCGACCGTGGCTCTGCTCGCGAGGCTCCGCCAGCAGCCGCCTATGGTGATCCAGCACCTCGTGGAGAGGCTCGGGAACCATACGGAGGTAGAGGCTTCGATGACGAGAGATTCTCCCGTCGTGATTATTGATTGCTGACAGACCTAGGTGGTGAGCGCCCTGCTCGTTAAACTCGCACGATCTCGACACCGGCAAGGGCTTTGGATCTGCGGTTTTCATTGATGCAGGTGCACTTCCACTTGTGCATTAATCTTTCTTTTGTCTTCATCATGGTCCAAAGCTTCGAGCGGCGGAAAAAGCGGGTGCCTTACACTTTCATCGGCGGATCGAGCGAACTCACTGTGTCGATAATGACTTTCTACGGATGCTTGGGATTTCCTTTTGCTTTTCATCATCAAGTCTCTTCGGCACGACATTCGGTCAGTCGGGCGGGTTCAGCACAAGATCAGCTCCTTCATTGGAGTTCGGGTGTCTTTCCCTGGATTATCGATGGGCCCTCACATTCAGCACCTCATGTCCCCATGTACCACTATGCAGCTTTGCGCAGAGCATCTATCACATCGCACCATTGAATTTCGGCCATTACGCCTGACGAATCTGTCTCGACTTCGTCGTCTTTAGTCGCCTAAAGCAGAAATTCGATAAGCACACAAAAAACAACCCACTCGCAACCTTCGTGATCAACAAAATTATATCTCGCATTTGGACGCAGTACACTGACTGATCAGCAATCTTTCCAACGTGCTCGCTCGCTCGTTCGTTCGTTGAGACTCTCTCGAAGCTCGAATATCTTGATACACTTGCCAATATGCCAATCCGCTCCTCGTCACTATACGCCGTAAACAATCAAACAATACAATCCATCCATCTATCAATAATGAGGCAACTAATCGTAAAACGCTCAAATCAATCACAATTCCGTGCCTTACCAAAGACAAACAATCAAACATCCGCCACCGTTCAGCCAATACTAACCAGAAAGCTGCCGGCACATTCCACACACAAGATCCCACGAAAAATTGAACGCCGCGAGCGGAAGAAGGTAACACCCTGAAATGGAAATATAGGTGGCTGATATATTACATTTTATAGGTCTTGTTTCAGTCCTAGGTTGAGCCGATTCCTTGCTATACAAGCTTTCCTTGCTATATACTCGCTTTACAGCTAACATTCTTGACTTGATTCTGCAAAGGACAGATAAGGGGAAATGGGGTGACTAACTAGGATTCGATGGCGCTGGAATGGAATGGGGAATGTGGCGTGTAGCCAAGATTCCCATTATGGGAAAAGGAATATTGTGGCGTTCAGGGGGCGTGAATTTCTTCCCGTGCCGCAAAGGGTGTTGCCCTGAGAACCGTGGCGGTGGGTGACTTCAGTTGTGTTCCTTCATGTGATGTTTTTGCTCGTCCGCTCTCTAGATTCCAGAATATATACATTTTCAATTGAAGAAATTTTTTCCAACTTGAGACGTCCTTGAGTTTTATGTCAAAGACCACCCGCCCATTCAGAATTCCCAGTCCTAGCCAACGGGCGTATTGCAAAAGTCAGCAAGCATCCATAGTCTTCCGGGCCACGCTACCATCTCAAAACATTTCCTCGTGGTAAGCAAGCAACACGATCCAGAGTGTCGAGGTACAGAGTGGTGTCACGGTGCCATGGTCTATCACATGAGCAAGATCTACCACACAGAGAAACCAACCCAATCAGGCTTCCTTGAGGTAGTACAAACACAATCTACCAAGCTTCGCCTAAGGAAAGGCAGCTTGTGAATACGGAATGGCGCTGCCTTCATAGTCACCCTCAAATCCTCCTTCGGCAGTACGAGCAAGGCAGAGAGCTGCTCAGGCAATGCAAATGTCAAGTTGAATCATTCTTTTGTGTCTTTCGTTCAACACCGTGATTCGGAAGCACCTTGTAGAATTTCCTTCTATGATTCAAGACACTGAACTATACCCCTAGAAGCTCGGATGTTCCTTTCTCCTACAAGGGTTCAATACTCCTCTGGCGTCCAGCTGTTCTCGCGTTTCTCTCTGTTTCTCAAACATCTGAGCATCTCCACTCTCCGCTTCGAACTTATCGAGCTCCCAAAGAACACAATACAAAAGAATTCACTGAACATCAACATGTCCTCACTAGACCGTCTACACACTCCCCCAACAAGCTTTTATCTCGCTCTGCGGGGGATGATGGCTAACAGTAAGGCGGCTGAAAAGCTAGAACCCGTTGAGGGGGGAAAGAGAGAGGTACTGGTGAGAGGAAGGAAGTCTGGTGAGAAGTGGAAGGAGACTGTAACACCAGAGTCGAAGGGGACGAAGGACGAGGTGGTTAAGCAGTGTAGCGCCGGTAGGAAGAATTGAAGAGGATTGCTAAGTGTCATGGCGCTGGGAGGGATAGGATAATACAGAGAAAAGGGAGGAAGAACGGGGTATTGAGATACAGTGTTGAAGGGAAGGCGTTCTCCTTAAGCCGCGAGCGAGACTTTCGCAGCTTCCACGTGGAGGTGGAGGAGGAGGTCATTGCATCATGCAGGGGTTATGAAACAAATGTACATATTCTACATACTCCCTTCAATCTCCTTCCTTGTACTGCTCTATAAGTCGAGCGTGTTGGTGAATCATCAACCACAATCATCTCCAGGCATACAATACCCGCCTCCCTCACTGTCCCCGGTAATCACAATCTTTCCCCTCGAGTTCAACACCTCTCCTTCTCCAGCGTCTCCTTTACTGCTCGTAGGTCTCGAGTTAACATCTACATCCATAGGCGTGAATTTTCTCTCTGCACTGGGGTGCGATTCTTCGACCGAGAGGTGCTGGAGACGGTTTAAGGCGCGTGGGATGGGTGGGTTGCCCATATAGTTTTGGGGTTTGGTGGAGCTGCTCGCATTTTGAGGTGTTGGATTTTGGGGAGGGGCGGAGGGTATTGCTAGAGGGCATTAGTTGGGTTCAAGATGGGAGAGGAGTGGTGAGATGGAAATGTGGTGGGTGGTGGGTGGTAAGCGGGGAAGGGAAGGAAGGGAAAGGAGAGAAGTTACATTTCTTTCCGTCGACATGACCGAGGTTACGGTTTGGGTCTATAATGTCTCTTACTCGGCGCTTGAGCTCTTTGGTTTCTGGGTATAAAAGTTAGTCCATAGTTCGTGACCTGAATAGAGATATGTTCTCATAAGAAGAGGCTTGGAGAGGGGTTTTAGCGGAGGTGGAATAAAGAAATATTCATACCCGGAAAACCACCTTCCGCTTTTCTATCCCATAACAGGTACTCTTCGATAGTTGCCTCATCCTCCTCAGTTGGACCAGGCTCTTCGTCATAGAGATGAACCTTGAAGATACCTCCCGTTCCTGGCTGCAGCGAGACTTCTCCCAAGTCCGTACTAAAAGTTTGCAACAACTCTTGAGCAAACTATGTACACCAACAATCAGGTATGTCCTTGATATCAAGTGACTTGGAAATATTGTGGGCTCGTTTCACTCGAAAGAACTGCCGGATCGGACCGCGACGGAGACAATTTGAGACTGCGGGGAAATGACATGAGACCCGGACCGAAACCAGGCCGGCATGAGATCGAGAGACTGGAAATAAGGAAATGAAGGTGTTAACGCACGTAGGCGGCTCGCAGATTCCATTTGCAGGCCGTACAGAACTCGATGACAATGCGCGGGTATCGAGTCGACAAATCCGCCATCGCGTGCTCGTTCGTGCTCTGCCCCGCTTTGGCGCGATATTGTTCAAGGTAAGTGAAGAGATGGGGGTTGGGACAATGAAATGAGGTTAAGAACCGGTGGATCAGATCAGAGACTTTCGTTGAATATTGCGGTCGGCTTGTGTTGATTCACGAAGTTGATACGCCAAGTTGATGCTAGGATATCAAGGCAAGGTTGGTTTGGTGGAGCGGCTGTTCCTGGCCGATCGCTTCAAGCTTGCTCCTCCGGCAAATTGGAACCCGCTCTGCTGGGACCGAGTTGCACAGCAGCCAAATTTTTATGGGATGATTGTCTGTCCAAATCAATTTTTGAAGGCTCTAGCCTGAAACATCCCGCGAAAGTCCGTAACTATACACATTGAAAGGTTGCTCCTGCGAACATTACAAGCGTCTCCCCAGCCTCCTAAAGGCAGACCACCTCCCGACCGCTGATATGTACGCTTGAGGTATTATCGTAGAGACTAATCCGAATACGCCTGTGAACGCCCTCATCTTCTCGAATATCGTATCGCTCTTGACTCATCCCTTGATTCTTCACATCACAGTGCAGCAGCCTAGATTGTAGCAAGATCAGTATGTCGACAACGTCACGATCCAACTGATTTGAACCCACCTCCTGAAGTTTGGACAACATATGGGTCTTCTCCCTTTGGAATACCACCCCAGATAGACGGAACCATGAAATCTTTTGTGCCATTGGTGTAGGAGATGGTGCTAGCGAATGTTTAGCCCGAGGTTCTCTACTCGATCGACGGAGCACTAAGTCATAGAGGGGCAGAAGGGAAGAAAGCAGCAAACAAAAAGTAAATGTAGATCAAAACTTTCAACGATTTGTGAAGACGAAGGTGAAGTACCGTACCTCTTTGCGGCTTGAGAAACGGGGATGCGCTCTCTCTCCAAATCCTCCCGAAGACGAGAATTCAATTCTGTGAGACGTCGTAGCTTAAGATCTGCCATCGATTGCTTGTTCTTCTTCATCTGACCGGGGTCTTCTCGGGAGGAGTAACCTGAAGGCATGGTGAAGGTGTTGCCGGTTGATGTGTATCGCGACTCCTAATCATTACAGCAATTGATCAGCAGGCTGTCCGAACACGACGCGAAGGAGACTGATCGACGGACCTTGGCTCGTGTGTGCAATTGCAATTGCAGAGCTTGCGACCACTCGCGCGACCTGTTTTCGAGGTGATTGAGGTGAGGAGAGGAGGTTTGAGTGTGCGCCGCGGTGAGGTCCTGAGCACAGATTCGGAAGCAATTTGGGGGTGCCGAAAGAGGAACAGCGCTGATTTGCTAGCACAAACTTTCGCGTTCACGTGCTCGTCTATTTTAGCCCCATTTTGATTCTGAGCGAGATCCCACATTGAGAAAATACGGTGATCCTCATCACCAGCGCTCGACATCGATCCGCCATTCTACCACGATACATAGAACAACCAGAATCGATCGTCGAAAAGGCAAGCCTGCCTAAAATGGCTCCACCACCCCATCAGAAGCCGGAAAATGTTCTCAAGCGCGCCCAAGAGCTCATGGGCGTCGGCCAGTCCCCCGCGGCCTTAGTTTTACTACACGAACACATCACATCCAAAAGGTCACGAAATGTTCCCATCGCCTCCTTGGAGCCGGTTATGCTCCTCCTCGTGGAGCAGTCCGTTGAGCAAAAGAAGGGAAAGCTAGCGAAGGATGCCTTGTATCAATACAAGAACATCTCGCAAAACACAAATGTTGGCACGATTGAGGTACGTGATGGCAGCTTTGGGTTCACCATACGTGGGAGTATAATGCTAAATACTGTACAGTTGGTTCTCAAGAAGTTCATCGAGCTGGCAGAAGAAAAGGTGAAGACAGCGCAAGCAAAGGCAGACGAAGTCCAGTCCACCCTCGAAACGACTGCATCCACCGTCGATGATTTGGAAGCATCTGAGACACCAGAGTCTATCCTCCTATCCACTGTATCCGGCGAACAGTCCAGAGACCGCACAGATCGCGCTATCGTCACGCCATGGTTGAAGTTTTTGTGGGAGACATACCGGACCGTTCTCGACATCCTCAGGAACAATGCACGATTGGAGATCATGTACCAGAGCACTGCCATGCAAGCATTCGAGTTCTGCCAAAAATACACGCGAAAGACCGAGTTCCGCAGACTGTGCGAGTTGCTCCGAAATCATGTTCAAACTGCTGCCAAGTATTCTGCTCAAATGCATGCCATCAACCTCAATGAGCCGGAGACACTTCAACGACATCTCGAGACACGTTTTCAACAATTGAATGTTGCAGTCGAGCTTGAATTATGGCAGGAGGCTTTCCGAAGTGTTGAAGATATCCACAATTTGCTCAACCTTAGCAAGCGACCACCGAAGAACATCATGATGGCGAATTACTACGAGAAGTTGACCCGAATCTTCTTGGTCGGGGAGAACTATCTGTTCCACGCTGCTGCTTGGTCGAGATACTACAATCTTCTTCGCCAATCCGCCGCTATGGTCGCGTCAGGTCAAAGCAAGAAGGCAGACAACCCAGCAACCTCGGAAGCTGATCTCTCTAAGGCCGCCTCCTTCGTTCTTTTGTCAGCCCTCGCCATCCCTGTTATCAGCACTTCAAGATCTCGAGGTGCGTTGGTCGACATTGATGAAGCTAAGAAGAACAAGAACTCCCGCCTCACTCACCTCCTCGGTATGGCTCAAGCCCCTACTCGTGCCGTTCTCTTCAAAGATGCCATGAGCAAGGGTCTCCTGAAGCGTGCCCGCCCTGAGATTCGCGAGCTTTACAACATTCTCGAAGTTGACTTCCATCCTTTGTCTATCTGCCAGAAGATCTCTCCAATTCTGGCTCAGATTGGCGCCGATGCCGAGATGGAGAAGTATGTTCTCCCTCTTCAGCAAGTCATCCTAACCAGACTCTTCCAACAATTATCCCAAGTTTACGAGACTGTTGATCTCGCCTTTGTTGAGAATCTTGCCAAGTTCCCCGAGCCATTCCAAGTCACCCGAGATACAATTGAGAAGTTCATCATGAACGGAAACAAAAAGGGTGACCTTGCAATTCGAATGGACCATGCTACCGGAGTTCTCAGCTTTGATACTGATGTTTTCTCATCAACTAAGGCTATCCAAGCTGGCTCTAGCTCCGGATCAGCTGAAAGCGAAACATCTTCAGTTCAACGACTCCAAAACACCCCATCCGAAATTGTCCGCACGCAGTTAGCCCGCTTAGCCAAATGTCTTTATGTCACATGTCAATACATTGATCCTTCGTTCAATGAAGCAAGAGTCAAAGCTCGAGAAGCAGCATATGCACGAGCCAGGGCTGGTGCTAATCAAGAACATCGGGAGACACTGGCACGAAAAGAGATCATCCAAAAGCGGAAGGAAGAAGCATCAGAAATCCAAGCACGGAAGGAGAAGGAAGATGCCACCCGGAAGCGCATCAAGGCTGCACAACTCCAAGAAGCTGAGGATAACCGTCTCAAGTTGGAACAAAAGGAGCGTGAAGAGAAGCGTATGAAGGCTGAGCTGGACCGGGTACGGAAAGAGGAACTCAAGAAGCAAATCGCCGATCTCAAGATTGGTCCCAAGGCTATTGACATTGATGTCGATGACCTGGACAACCTTGATGCCAATCGTCTCCGTGCTATGAAGCTTGCCCAACTTGAGCGTGAGAAGAACGACATCAACGAGAAACTCCGAGTCACTGGCAAGCGAATCGACCATCTCGAGCGAGCTTTCAGAAAGGAGGAAGCCCAGAAACTGCCAGAAGACTATGCTCAGCAACGTGAACGAGACTTGGAAGCTTATGAGAAGACAAAGGCTCAGACTCTGAAAGAAGCCGAGGCTAAGCACAAGGAGAATGTTGAGCTCAAGCACAGATTGAGTCGATTGGTCGACCGCTATGAGAGCTACCGCGAAAACATCGTTGAGCGGAGACATGATGAATTCGAGAAGCGCCGTCGTGATGCCGAGAGAGAGTTGGAGAAGGCGAAAGCAGCTCGCAGAAAGGAGTTTAGAGATCGCAAGGCTCGTGAGAAGCGTGAGCGTGAAGAGAGAGAGCGAATGCTGCGGGAGGAGGAAGAACGAGCCGCTAAGGAAGCAGAGGAGAAGGCTGAGAGAGAGGCCAAGAAGAAGGCTGAATTCGCAGAACTGAAGGCTATCCGAGAAAAGGAACGTCAAGAAGCTTTGGAGATGGCTGCGCTGCAGGAGCGACGAGCTGAGGAGGCTGCACGACGCCGAGCAGACGCAAAGGCTGCACCTCGCGGGCCACCAGCCATGGAACGACAAGACTCTGGCAGCGGCGTACGACCCCCATTGCCTTTGGCTGGAGCCAAGCTCGGCTGGAGAGAGAAGGAGAAGCTGCGCGCGGAAGGAAAGGAGGTGCCATCTGCTCGCACCGAGTCACCCATGGCCCGTGCCTCACCAATGGGTCGCGCGGTCCCCATGGAACGCACCGATTCCAACGAGCGCCCCGCCCCCTCTGGCCCGCCACGTCTCGCCCTCGCGGGTGGGAAACCATCCTGGAGAGACCGTGAAGCTGCAAAGTCCGGCGGCGAGCCTGCGCCATCCTCTTCCCGTGTCCCGTCGTCATCCGGCGGCGCCCCTCTCTCCCGCGGTCGCTCTGGTCGAGGTGAGAATGGCCGTGAGGATGCCGGGTCACCTGCTGCTCCTGCTTCTAGCGAGTCTCTTCGACCCTCGGCGGCGCCTGGCAAATTCGTGCCTCCTCATCTTCGCAACAAGACTTGAGTCAGGTGACCTGACAGATTGGATGGGTGATGGATTGATTTGATTGTAGGAATTATGCATTTGACTGGCGTTTGCGTTTCCCTTTTTCTGAGGTGGCGACTGGATGGATGGATGCGATGTTGCTCCGAAGATCTGGTGTTTCTTAGATTCGCACCGGGAAGAAATAAAGTCATGACTGCATCTCATCATCGCTGTTCACTGCTTGCCCACTCCTGAAATGATCTGGCGCAAGTGTAGATTCTTTTTAACAAGAAACAATGTAGTCAAACTTCCTGGATGTGAGACTTTCCCTCCTCCTAATCGGGCCAGCGCTCTTCTCAAGTCATACATTATTGGCCATCAAGTGGGCTCTTCTTTTATGCTCGGCACCACTACCTCTGATGCCTGCTTGTAATGAAGCTAAGCCGGCTCAATCCAAAACCACCAAATCCCCCTCTGAACCAATTCATCAGACCTTCCATTGTTTACAATATCGTTCCATAGCGGAAAGCATTGATGCGGCCGTGAAAATTGAAGTGAGTAAGAAATGGAGTTTCGAGTCTACTATGTGCTGCCTGCTGAATCACCCGAGAAGATTATCGCATAGAGGTTATGAGGCGCGCCACTCAGCGAGATATGTCTGTCGATTTTTCTGCCTTGCACATTAAACGCGCTGAAATGAAGGAAGGTACGAGGTAAAACGTAAGACTCAGATGGACTTAAGTATGAATATACAAGAATCGTCTTATTTGGTCCATCCAGGAACAATGGAAAGGCGTATGGATGCGCTTCGCATGGATAAATCCCCAGTGAGTCTTAAGAACGAGGTATAACACTATTTCTGGACTGTGGACAGAGTTGTTGTCTCCGTAGACATCTGCTTGGGTCTGCAACCCATCTCTCGCGGATCAATCAGCACTGAACCACTCACCCCAGGAAGGCTCATTGTTCCAATCCTGCCACCTGAAGGTATCATCTTGACTATCTGGTCCCCCCTGAGGGCAAGTGCTATCCGCGGCTTTTCTCTGAGAACTGCTAGTTGCTGCTGTGTGCTCGCTGCCGTATCCGGGACTGGAGAGTACAGTTTCGCTCAACGATGAAAGAGAGGCACCAATTGTGTTAAAAGCCTGTGGGTCGTGCATTGGCTCGTGACTCTGAAAATTGGGCTCAAATGCCGTATCTTGAAGAGGAGGCGGTTGTTGAAATGCTGCATTTAAAAAGTTCGAAGGTGTGTGCATCGACATTCTCTCAACGGAGGGATATTGGGGGCCGAGGGACAGATCCCGAGGACTTGGAGACGGAGGGCTTATCAGAGCATCTGTCATCGAGATAGACTGAATGTCTGCTTGTTGATCCTCGTTCATCCTCTCCGAATAAGACCTGAACAGCCTAGCTTGGCATTCTTGAATGGTGTCAACCAGATTCGCAATGAGCGATGCCTCAACTGGTTGCATCTCCCGACTGAAGACCTCCAGCACACTCGCCCTTACTAGACGTGGCAGCTCCCGGCGTGCATACTCTTCATAGTTTGCGAGGTCCCAAGAATCAGGCGATAAGGGAGCTCCGTCTTGCATTGGCTCAAAATCTGATTGTTCAGCGCCATGACTTCATTTGATTGAGGGAGTAACTTACAAGGTGAGGGAACATCTTCATTCGGAAACAAAAGTCGATACATATCTCTCCATCGATCTTCATCGGTCTGATCTCGGTGAGCCTTCTTCCTACTCCTCAACTTCCTCTCCATCTCAGGCGTGAGCCCATCAGGTGGATGGCCAGGCTTCACCTGGCAGATTTCAGTGGCGTCGACAGTAATGTGTGCGTTCAGGATCTGCTGATTATCGAAAGTCTGCCAGCATCGTTCGCAATATGGTGCCATTTGGTGCTTCCTGTTGAGATGTTCCCTTCAAGTGATTAGTAGCTAAGTGAACGCCGATGATGGGTGCAATACTTCACTCGAGCGATGCTTGGCCAATGCGACAACGCGCAAGAACGATGAGAGTAGATACTATACCGGCACGGGTCATGCTTCCGAAACATGCAGGCAAACTTGGGGCGCTCGGTAGGGCCATTTGCTGGTGGTGTGGACTGGCTTGGGGGCTGATGACTTCTGTCACTACCTCTATCAAAGTCTTCCCCGTCGTCCTCCCTTTGTCTCTTTCTTTGAAACTGCTGCGATTGTGCGGAGTGTTGATTTGTAGTCAATCTCCCGAGTTGCCCAGGCTCGGGGTGTGAATCTCCGGGGTGCTGTCGAATATCTGATGGCCATAACTGATTGAAGATCACCCAAAACTCTGCCATAACTCGGTCCACCATAGCTTGACGAGCTGGATCTAACATAGGTGTGACAAATTGCTCTTCGTCAACATGGGCATCCGCAAGGCGTGAGAGAAGCTCGTCGGAGGTGTCTTCACTTCCACTTTGTTCTGATTCGCTGCTGTGGTAGTCGGATGAAGTAGAAGATGACATGTCTCTATCCAAGCCTTCGCTTTGGTTGGTATGTAAGGCGGTCTGATCCGCACGAACACGGGTTCTTTTGGAGACGGGAGGATCGCAATTGGTTGGAGGTGAGATTTCTGGCTGGTGAGGCTCCTCGTTACTTTCGAGAAGTTCATTTAACGCTTCTAGGCCGTCCAGCAGCCCTCTGTCTCTAAGTTCTATGATGTAGTGTATGATCATATTCCTGTGCTTCTGAATGAGAGGACTTGGGAAGCCTTCCTCTATAAGTTCCTTCCGAAGCTTCTTCCAAATTGGTTGGTCGTCTGTACAATCAGAATCAAGTGTTGACCCTTCATAGCCTCTTAGTTTTGCTATAATCCAGCTAAGTGATTCTCGAACTTCCGGTAGTGCATCACCAATCTCTCGTTCGGCTCGTCCTTGGGACCCTGCAGAAATCAGGTTGAGTTGTAGGGTAATAGCAAAAGTATATGTAGATATCTTGACTCGAAACTCGCTCGGGCTCTGTATCTTTCTCTTCCCAAATTGAATGTAGTTCCATAGTTGTGGTAGTGGCTTGTCCACACTCACAGTGTTATATTTTTCAAAGATATCATGGAGTACAGAAAGAACCTTCCTGCAATGTTCGAGTGATGTTTTCAGACCTTCTTTTCGACTGCTATTTTGTCGGTTCAGTAGCGATTCTGGCCTTGTGGATTCGTCTTCTAGACGGCGAAGCACCTCCTGTAGGCTCTCAATATCGCTGCTTAACATAACGTGGCCCCCACAAGCTCCGCGACAACTAACACCAACGTTATAGGCCAGCTTAGAAACTTTACGGATGTCCATCATGCATTCGATTGTGCTTTCACTAGAGCCTTGTGCGCTGTGGGCAGCAGCATTGCTCTTCGCAGTTTCACTGAGAGTTGCCAGTATTCCAGATGATCCTGGAGTAGCCAAGGATGGTTCAGCATCGCAAACATTTTGGATATCGCTCTCTGAATTTTGCCGCTGGATAGATTTATCATCGATTCCTTCACTGACCGGAAACTGAAAGGAATTGACAGTTGGTTTCCAATAAGAGCGTCCCTTAGGATCGGTTACGGGAGAGACATGGCTCTCTGAAGCCGTACGGTGCGTGCTACCCTTGGAATCGCCGCACGTAGTATTTTTAGTCTCGAAGATGCAATCCCATGTTTCTAGCCTGGTCGCACACCTCCTGCACGGCTTGTTCCCGTCGCACTGCAGACAATTAGTTCCAAGTAGCCCGCTAGCGCTGTGGAAGTACAGTGGTGTATAGCGAGAGCGCATATTATCATCAGGTAATGGAGACACGAATACTGACCATTGCTCGAGCCTTCTTGCAATTAAGACACGTATATCGTGAGCCCAACTTAGGATTCTTTCCAAGAATAGGTCCGGTAGGGACTTTAAGTCGACCCGCGCTGCGATCTTCTTTGACAAAAGCACTGCTTCGCCATCTCATAACGCCATATTTTTGGATTCCACTTGACGTTCTCGCCTTCTGTAACGTCAACTCCTCCTCAGTACCCCAGTCCTTGTCAGCAATCTCGGAGAAACTTTCGTCCTCATCGGGTGTCATTTCCCCTTGGAACCGATACTCCGTTGTATCAACGATTGACTTTTCTCTTCCTGGTCCGCTCAGTAGTGGGCTTGGAACGTACGGTTTTGAAGTTAAGTTGTGGAGGACGCATTGCGGGTTGAACGCGATCATGTCCCCGACTAAGGCATTAATATCACGGATATGGCTGCTGGAAGCCTGTCGTTGTACGTTAAGTTGACGTTGCGGTGGGCGACAGGCAAGAGTGCCGCCTCGTGGGTAAGGGGGGGAGGTGGAGTCCGGTAAGGACTGTGTAGAATTTGATGCAGGAACAGCGGTCATCCCACGCGCTGTCGATACACAGCCAATACTTGTTGTATTTGACGCACATTCTCCACTTTCTAGTGCTCGCGATGATACCGTACTCCTTCCACTGGGTACATCTTCGTCCAGAGGGGGGTCTTCGCCTTCAAGACCAGGATTCACCGTCGCAGGACTCCGATGATTCTTCTGGTATATCATTTTTCTGAATGAAACCAGCGAAAATAAGCGGATATTCAAGTCTCCAATCAATCTTGGGTATTGTGTCTTCAGCTGTATCCTCAAGTTTCGTCCTTGAAGCTGTTTTTGGGCAAGGCTTCGACAACAGTGACCGTCACGTGGTGAGAGTGCACTTGCCCCGGCTGAGGTTATGGGTGTGACGATTACACTAGTAGAAGATCACCTGGTCATATGAATATTGACCACAATGTAGAACTCCACGGCGACGGATAACCTGTATTCTCATTGTCGATGATGTTAAGGTCGGCAAAACTTTGCCCAGCGGAACTCGCAAATGCGCATAACTTCTGCAGCCATCCCGTCCGCGTATATGATTGGCCAGGCACAGCCCCCTATGAGACATTGCAAACTTGCGCGACATGCGCAAAACTCGGAGAGAGAGGATTTGCAACGGTCTGTGAAGTTGAGACTCGTGACGAGAGAAGAAAACCGAAATGAACATTTGAAGGATGGGCTTGTCATATATATTTGACAATGACCACTGGGTCTGTGGATCTGGTATCCGGCAAAGCGTTGAACAGACTTCGATTGTACATTGTATTACTGGGAGATTGTTTACAGCTGAGTTCCATTCCTAAAGTGAGATTGCGTGACGAAAGTTTAGCGTCCTCGCACTGACGGCTGATGCCCTTTTATTAGCGAACCAAGAGAAGCGGGTAAACATGCCTGATAGAATTAGCGGCAGCTCAGATCAGACAACTAATGGAGTCGAGTAAGATGTCCTGTTCATGTCTATTTCTAACTATATTAACACGGTATTACATTAGCAAACCTGCAAAGGGAGAGAAAGCGTTGTCGTTGAACGCGTATCTTTACGCAACGGACTCGATTCAGGAACGCATGGTTTATGGCCCCAGGGAGGTACTGCCTGTCACTGTGAAAAGAATGGGGACGGATTTGAAGAAGCTAGACAGGGAGATAGCTGGAAACCCAGCTCATTCAGAAAGAAGTGCAGGATAAGTAACCGTAACGCAAACAATTTTCTTTCATAGACAAGGTTTCCAGGGTTTAGCACGGTCGCGAAGACTGTTGGATGATGTTGAAGTTGGGGTTGGAAATCATGTGAGCGGTCTGTGAACAGGGGAGGGGCTCGGCTAGTCACGGAGCTTGTAACAAAGAGGAAGCTCAGTCTTGAAACTCAAACTCTTCTGCTCCTTCTACTTTTGGACCGTTCCAATAAACCGTGCCGCCATGGTTCAGTGCTCCATGATTGGGCCAAAATAGGGGGAAATGCTCAAACGGGCCATGGCAACGTCTCAAAGGCGGCTCACTTTAGGAAGCTTACACGGTTTTTAGAAGACTTCCACAATAGTCACACTCGACTTTTTCTTTCGATGGTTCTGTTTTAGTCCCCTGACATGAGCTGCTGCTGCTTTACCCTGAGCCGAAGGTGAGCATGCCTGAGCAGAGCCTGAGCCCCCGTTATGGAGCCTATTTTGGCCACCTGTGCGCCACGGCTACAGTTACCCTACCAAACTAGGTCCGCGAATCTGTTTCTACTCCCTCGTAGGGGTTTCTACTAGAGCTGATTTTAGATCCATCTTGTCAAAGACTATGTCAGTAGCAATTTGGCCTTATAATTTAGGTTATCGTGTATAACCCCATTTTTGCTACTTATTTAATATTTGTAACGGCACGTGTGAGCTGAGTCGGGGAACAGTTTAGTAAAGGATGTAATGTCTTAATCTTATATGAAGTAGCTTATATATAAGGATCTTAAACTAGAGAAGAAAGAAGAAGAAGAAGAAGAAAAAGTAGCGAGAGCTATAAATATCTTAACGGTTAGTTACGTAAGGGTTTGAGCCTCAGTTAATATGGAAAGTAGATAGTAGTCACACGACTAGGTAACGGTTTGTCTAAACCGTCACAAGCTTCTTATCTATACACGAGTAATTATAGTATTGTGAATTTGTGATAGGCATTGTTTTAATAACTTTATGAGAATAATGCCCTCTCTGATAACGAAACCTGAAACTATAAATTTTGATAATTGATAAAGAGAATACCTGGATACCCAGGAAGCATCCACAACAGCATAAACGCTCACAATATATGAACCACACCCTCACTCAAGCCCCTGGCATTATCGACCAGAGACCAGTCCCTCGCAAGTAGCGCACTTACACAACATGGAATGCATTCCCCCGTCCTCAGAAGATAAGTAGTCTTACGCTTCCCCTGTTCACGAGTATTATATAGAGTAGCTAAAGCAGCGCACCGCGCAAAGTCATCTCGAAACTCCCATACGCAGCAATCAATTCCGTTTTGGTAATGGAGATTGTCGTAAAACTCTTTATCCATCTCCCATCCTTTGCTGATAAAAGTGCAAAGCCATGGCAGTGAGAGACAGGAAATCTTGTCACAAGACGTGCGGCCAGTCGAACTGATGATGTGTCGACCAGAAAATCCCGGCTGGATGTAAACAGTTCCATCAGAGATAGACGCCTTGTAATAGAAGTATTGGAAAGTGATCGATTTATTGATGATAAATCGATATATTGGAGGTTGACAATCTGTAAAATGACTAGATACAGGAGAGTGAAGAGTAAAAAAGGAGAGGAAGGAATCTAAAGTACAGTTCTTATATACCCACTAGTGGGTGGCGATTTCCTCCAGTATATTATAAATCAGATGACTCATATATATTAGTGAGCGTTCCCTGAGCTTCCATAGTGAGTCATTATAAATGAGAGTGGCGAAGCTAATATTAGTAGTTGAACCTGGTACTGGAAGGACTAGTAAGCTAGTACCAATTCAACAAGAAGGCTACTTCACGTTCCGTTGATCGCTCTGTAACCAAGGATGTGATGGAAGCCTTATCATTCCGTAATGCGTTCTTTGGAGGAGTTCCCACCGCCTCCTCGAACACAGCCTTCGGGACTTTAGGGATGAGGCTGTCGTGGTATAAACCGTCAACAACGGTGTCGTAGCTTCGGCCTTGCCATTCGATATGACCTGGGATGATATGCACTTTCTGGGCAAGTTCTGCACTGGAGCTCAGGAGTCGCAAACTGTCCTGATAGAAACAGAGCCCCATAGAACAAAGTGCTGTACAGATATCTGCCGTGTTAATGCTTGCACTATGTTGCGGCCAGATGCCGACGAAAATCAGAAAAGCAGATGCTAACGATCCAGGTACGGGCTCCTTGAATTCGTCCGCTTGTCTGCGGTTTATATCATTACTGTTCAAGGTTCGGAGTTGATCAAGACAGTATTCCCAAGTCTGATGGCCTTTTGGGGGCGATCCTATGCCGCGGTATCCCCATATGAAAGTGCAGTTTTGGTATATTTCTTCAAGACCGGAAAGCGTTGGGTGTAGGTCTGGCGGGTACTCTACGCCAGAAACGATTAAGACCAGGTGATAGAGGGTGAATGCCATAACAACCAAGCAGCGACTATGGTATTTCAGCATATGCGGGTGACAAGTAAGACAAGAACAAAGCGATTGTAACGACCGCAGTTGAAATTCGATGTCTCGGCGAGCAATGTCAAGAGTGACCCCGATAGCTGTGTCCAGACTGTCCAGAAAACCAATCCCGCATTTGAGCTCTGGGAAAGTCGAGATAACGCTTTGAGCGAAGCCTCGCCCGTATACAGTTTCTGAGAGATATTTGAAGTTGGACTCTGTCACTGATTTCTTTGATTCTGATTCAAGTTCCATTTCGCCCTTGGCAACAGCGGCGTATATACGGGCGATGCTCCCGAGAAAACCGCCAAATGTTTTGGCGTTCTTGATGAGTCTGTTGTTGAAATCCGCCACTCCGAAAAGACGAGATAAGCATTCATCCCAAGGTGCCCTCAGTGCAAATTTGAGAATACTCTGATCCGGGGTTTGGATGAGTAGTGATGTGTGCGACCGTAAAACGTAAGTTGTATTTGCCAAGAGTAATGAATGCCGTTGAAGGTCGACTGCAACATAGCGCAATGTTACTTGAGCGGTTTTATGCTCAGGCGTATTCGTGTAAACCAGACGTCCGTTCTCTTCCTCCACCCGAACAGTAAAGTTGAATAGCCACTGCGCAATCCCGGCGATAAATGCACATTCATTGTATCCGAGCACCGTAATGTTATCTACTTCACCACGAGAGATTTTGAAGAGCCCGTTCAACACTCGGGCAATATCCGCTGCTGGAGAGACCATGATAGAAGACTTCTGCCAGTCATCCCATACTTGAAGATGCATTCCAGCCACCGTGTTCGAGAAAGAAGTTCGAGTAAGGACACCAGCGCACGCTTTCGCCAAAGCCAGGAACTGTGAATGAGGCGGTTTATAGTCGTCTGGAAAGCCTTCAATAGACCAAAGTTCCCGCAAGACCCAGGCAGTAACGGTCTCGCTATGCATCTCGCCCAGACAAGAGCAAAGAGCAACAAGGTCAGTCCCTTTCGGGTCTTCAGCAAGCAGCTTAACAAAGCTCTTATGCCCAAACCCAAAGTAAAGGATCTGCTCGAACCCAGGTACTCCCCGTAGATTCTGTAGAGCGTCATCTACCCGTTTCTCTCCAAGACCCCCAACCTTGAATCTGTTCGCCAACGCAATTCCTGCCGCATAGGTGGCTGGCTGGACACCCGCGGATGAGAAGCGCTGAAGCGTGGAAGCGGTCAGTGAATACAAAGCGTTTCCAAATGACACCCAATCTACCTGGCCTTGCTGAGGAAAGGCTGTATTAGTCGAGACCAGAAATGATGACGGATCGTTAGACATGGTTCTCAAATGCCACAGCAATCAAAAGTTGGTTAGGGAAATGGTTCTGTTTGTTAAAAGTTTGGGGTTTTTACCTTCGAACAAGAGGCTGCTGCCTTCTCTTTCCAAATGTGTTGTCATGTTGTGGCTGCGCCTGCAAGCCACCATCGACAAGTTGGCCAATCATAGCCGCATATTTGTTTCATACCTTTTTGTTGCCATGCCTGAACTGAGGCACGCGTCTACCAGGCAGCCTTTTGCCTTAAGCTTTCAGGTAAGCCGTGTCTCTCTTACTAACTACTCATGGTTTCAGGATTAGTTAGTTGACGATAAGAATATGCCGGGTGTGGGGTCTGATAGCAAGATTCTCGTCAGAGTGGCCGGACTTCCTAGTTCAATGTCAAGGATTTACCTAACGGACAGATGTGAGGAGTTTGGCGTTGAAATGGCTGGGGTTGGTGATAGAAGGGCCTTGGAAGTACGGGATTGATGGCGCTTCGATGGCGAGGAGTTGACCTTACAAAGTGAGAAGGGTGAGGAAACCGCGAAAAAACTCGGTTGATGGCAGGAGGGAGAATCGCCCCATTAGTGGTTCAGTTCTGGTGCATTTGCATCAAAGCCGGTATAGCTCGGCAGGGTCAAAATTGATCCACGATCAATTGCCATGGAATCTGCTTTCCAACCTAGAAGAAACCATCGAAATCGGGGTTCGGAGGGGTTTAAAGCTGAAGGTTGTCATACCACCTCTTTGGTTTTCTACCTCCGTGGCCGATATGGGTTTGACCTCACGGTTCACAGATGTTTTATCCCTCCTACCTCGTACAAAATAGATACAATTCCTCCGTTCGAGCTGCCGGGACCAGTTATAAGTAGTTTTCCTACATTGTACTTGACGAAGACTCATTTTTTTTTTTTGCAGAACTTTGTGGACTGAGAGCCGACTTTTCAAGTGGAGTCCGTAAAATTGGTTTTGAGGATGAAGGTTCAATGGGAGCACCTAGTCAGGTCAACGGGCTTAACTCAGATCTAGAGCCTGTCTCGAATATGGCAATCCATGCCAATTTTGGATTCAACATCGATTTCTCTGCACCAGTGGAAAAGGCTCCACTCCAAATGGTCCTTAAACAGCAAACCGAAAATTATTAAACTGCTTCTAACATAAGTTTGCTTAATATATATATTCCTAACTTCCTCTATTTTCGACATTCAAAGCTTAGATTTCCCAGATTGTCTCCAATGTATAATCTATATTTTATAGCATTAATTTCTTGTAGATTTTGTAATACTTGGACAAACCACGTGATTGTTAGTGCCGTGTTAGATGATGTCCTCAACCACACAAAACCAACTTCAACAACGCATCCATCCTCATGTCGAGCCGCACCTTAATTATGATCCAGTTTCAAGTGCTTAGAAACATAAAGATATAAAAGGGTTAGACTCAATTTCCCTACAAGAAACATTCGATTCTATAAAGTTTTAGTATCTAGGTTTGGTCTAAACTTTTGGCTGGTGGGAGTGTGGGTAGTAAAAAGTGGTTCGGCACCTTAGTGCAAGATAGTAACCAAAAAGTGTTGTGCTTAAATTTGTGCGTATTGCCTTAGGCATAAATATGACTTTTAGTGCTTAAGCATTATAATTTAGTATGCTTACCCTATAAATTAGTAAGTAGAGGCCTATAATTATAGTGCCCTCACTTACTAATTAATAGTACTCTTATTAACTAATAGTACTCTTATTAACTAATAGTACTCTTATTAACTAATAGTACTCTTATTAACTAATAGTACTCTTATTAACTAATAGTACTCTTATTAACTAATAGTACTCTTATTAACTAATAGTACTCTTATTAACTAATAGTACTCTTATTAACTAATAGTACTCTTATTAACTAATAGTACTCTTATTAACTAATAGTACTCTTATTAACTAATAGTACTCTTATTAACTAATAGTACTCTTATTAACTAATAGTACTCTTATTAAACTAATAGTACTCTTATTAACTAATAGTACTCTTATTAACTAATAGTACTCTTATTAACTAATAGTAACTCTTATTAACTAATAGTACTCTTATTAACTAATAGTACTCTTATTAACTAATAGTACTCTTATTAACTAATAGTACTCTTATTAACTAATAGTACTCTTATTAACTAATAGTACTCTTATTAACTAATTAATAATACCCTTACTACTTTTAACTAGATAAGAATCTCCTCTTTGTAAGGCTCAAAATTAAGATTAAGAGGCATTTTAAATACTATATAATATGTAGAAAAATGGAGTAACGAATAGTTACGATTATGTAAAGAAGAAAAAAGTCGCTTATTCGCAAAACTCTGTTGTCCCTTTTGGTCATTGGTGCGCGCCGGACGGACAATTAACGAGGAAGCTACGAGCACAGCCACTACGTAATATTCCTATTTCTAAACGTCTCTTCTACACTTCCAGAATTCTCATCTACCTACCTATCTCTGCGCTGCCCCAACATCTCTATTCCCGACGCTAAAAGAAGGATCGCATCTCGTCGTCTTCCTCAACCATATTTTCTATCCCGCTTTCTAGGAAAGGGATTTCACTAGCACACATGAGAAAACTCATCTCGTCCTAGCCACACACATCACACGAGATGGCACCCTTCCCAGCCTGGATGGGCGGATTCCCCTACATATCCTCTTCTGGTTCATCGCCATCATCAACCTCTAAATCAACCATGACAATCCACATCGGCAAATCGGAAACCACATCTTTACGCTCCATCTTCCCCCGCCGCTCCCCGCGCTCTCCATTCGGGTATTTTTGAAGAGGTTAAAGTGAAGAACATATACCACTTTGATCCCGATCACAAAAGAACAACTCACTCTTCAATTCATACCCACAACCATAACTGCCATGCTCCAAAACCAAAGCCAAAACCAGCGACTTCAATGACTGAATTTACTAGGTTTTTCCAACGGGAATGGAAGTGCATAAATCGAGGACGATGGGGGCAGTCCAAGATTGCGGCATTCAGCTCGGGTCCAGTGTTAGTTATTGGGTCGGTGATTTTGCTGAGTTCGTTCTTGGAGCGTCGGGGCAGAAGGAAAAGTGAGGGGCAAAGGGCTGCAGAGAAGGAAGGGGAAGATTGGGGTGATGGATTTCAGTACAGGTTCCAACCGAATTCGAAACTCGAAATACATGTCTCTTTTCTACACTTGCAGTACCCCACCGCTTCTAATAAAATCCTATAAAATCGTCGAAAACTGTCCGCCAACTAATCCCGCAACTCTCCGATGACTTCCATGCTCCAGCCAGGAGCGTCATCCGTCCAGGTGATTGCCTAACCCCACCTAAGCCCAGATCTCAAATCCAACATCTCAAAACACTACAAAACATATACGGAAAATAACTCAGCGCCCTCCCCCCCCCCACACTATTCTCCCAATTAGTGGTATTTGAGACACTAATCATAGTTTCTGTCATTCAAAATTGAGCTCTGCCTGATCTAGATCACCGTATCGTCTCAGACACCTCTTCCTGACTTGTGCCTTTCCTGAGTCCTGCTTTCTTGCTCCTCGTACCTGCATCTTTGTCCTTCTGGGACCCGTACAGTAATGTGAAAAGGAATTTCAAGGCGTGCTTTCTTATTCAATCCAAGTGCGGCCACCAGTGTTTGAATCAACTATCCGTTTTTTGATTCAATTTGAGTGCAGTGTGGCTAAAGCGACAGTTCGTTTACCGATTTGAAGTAGCCGACTCGTCACAAAGGCGAGTGAAGTGTACTGGAACTGTGGAAGTCTTGCTGATGCGTGCTTGTGGTTACCGAGAGTTGCTTGGTAGACTTAGCCATGAGTCTTGGTTTGAGGTAGACCGAGAAAGTTATTCGTGCTCAAGTTCGTTGTACTCTACGAGTGATAGTGGTGACAGAAATTGTTGTGAATACCATCTTCAGTCCATATCGATTGTGGTAGGATCGGTGTTTTACATAACGCCGCAGAGGTCGGATCCCGTGAAAGTTGAGCGGGATTGAATTGCGCTCATCAGCATGGCGAGACGTCAATTCAGGGGCTTTTATTTGTGAATTCGGTCGTTGTGTAAGCCTTTATCTGACCGGGACGGCAGGTAGTGCAATGATCGGGGCCGAGGGAGGGTAAGAATCTCTGCGTATTCTTATCTGGCTCTTTTGTTAGTCTCCTCGGTCCTTGGTGGCCGATTCTTAATCCTTCTGGGCTCTCGTACCGTTATGTTGTCACAGCCTTCTACCCTTTTACTCTCACAACAGCAATTATTCTCCCGGAATCCCCAATACCCATTAGGAAAGAAATTCGTTGTGTACTCTTCGCGAAATGTATACTGTGCGCCTGCTGATGCCAGGGTAGCTATTTGGCAGCTGTCGCGGAGTGTCTGAAGCGCGAGGACGAGTTGCTGAGTGAGAAGCTTCTCCAGCGGGACCCCATGGAACACATGAACTGAGGGGTTTTTTTTTATTCTGGTGAGATATGGATCGAGAACGTCGTCTGGGAGGACCAAGAAGACGAAAACCCAGGCGGGCGGCCTTGAACTGAGGGGTTTATTATTTTCTTTTCTTTTTTTTAAAAAAAAAAATCGATGTCGTAAGTGAAGTCCAATGCAGGGAAAGTAGAGCCGCAACGCAGAGATGCGATGTGCAACGAAAATCCTTGGTTGTGTCACCCTCTATTCACCTGAAAAGTAAAGCAAGCAGGTTCGATATTAAAAGCAAAGGCGAGCCGGTTCGACGCAGAGATGAGATGTGCAACGAAACCCCTTTGTGGGCTGCGCTATATTCACTTAAAGGCATGTTGGTTTGACAACGAAGTCGAAGGTGAGTTGCAACAGGAGAGGTTGGACGTGCAACGAACCCCCTTTTCCATAAAATAGAGCCTTTGATACAAGTGTTTACTTCTTTGAGTGCTTTGAGCGTGGAAGGTGCCTGGACTACTGTAGTCTGAGGACTGGTTCAGAACGTGTGATGTGCAAAAGAACACCCATCCATGGTACTCACTCTCCCCTAAATCTTCAGATGAAAGCGACTTCTCGTCTGGAGTTTGGGAGAAACTATGCGACTTACAACAAAACAATGGCAAGGGCAATAATGACACGGAGTGGCTGGCGAACAATGGTGAAGAAGTTAATAATCGAATGATGGAGCAAAATGGCTTCAAGAAAATAAGTTGTTTAGACGGTCCCTCGATTGTCGCTACTGGGGGGATTGAAGATGAAAATGCGAGGGTACTTCGAAGGATTCCAACTCCCTCACTAATGTGAACGAGAAGAGAATGTGGATACGAAATCGGTGAGAAGTAATTGCATAGCCCAGACCCAAACTCAGTCCGATGAGTGTGATTCGAAGACATTATGTAAGACAGTTTAACCTAAGTCTAAAGACTAGCTGTTTCTATCCGTAGACTCAACTTGAGCAAAAACAGAAAAGCTTGCGAGATATTTTCCGCAGATCTCGTACTTGTGGACAAGGCACTTGCATGTTCTCTCGAAGGCGAAGGGCGAAGGGAAGTGGAGTGGACTTTGTGGAATGTTGAGAAGTGAGTGTACGGGTAGATGCACGTGGGAACTATATCTGCGCAAAGAGAAGGAAAATGGAAGGGCGATGTGATGTCTTGTAAAATGATGAGGAATGGCTTGGAAATCCATAGCGTCGGGGACATGTGCAGTTGGTTGTTTTGCTCGGGAAAAGGCATCCCCGAAGGTCAGTTGGCGAAAGGCTTTTCGAGGTTCTACGATGCTGTCATGAATTATTAGTTCTCCCGAACATCTGCCACTGGCGTGTGCTTAGAAGTGTCGATCAGAGACGCAAAGTTATTGAACTTTGAGTCCAGGACGTTAATTGCCTGTAAGTTAGACCATTTGGATGAAAATAAGGGTGCTCAATGTGGAGTTTGGTTTAGTAAGCCCACCTGGTGCACTGTGACCGCAGCTTGTTATCTTTAGGCTGGGGTTGTGGTCCGTGGCGTTGTTGATTTGCGTTTCACAAGACACTTTCTTTTTGAAGATGACTGTTAATTAGTTGATATCGGGTTGCCCGTGAAGGGTTCTCGTGGATTGTGTTCATCTCAATGATTTGGGTTTTACCTAATCGATAGTGGTTGCGGCTGGGGTCGACGACTCTCAAGGCATCTCTCAGGAGCTTGGGATTTTCAAATATTGATTGCACGAGAACCCATTGGAGTTCGTGTGAGGCTGTACGAAGACGAGCACGATGGATCTCGTACCTGTGATATGTCGTATCGGCACTAATGTGGAGTCTGGACCGACAAACACCGTACATAGCGTGAAGCTATCACCACCGGCCTCCAGCACGAATTCAGGATGTCTAATTATGATGACAGCTGTAATGCTTGCCTGAGGGAGCTGCAGAATTCGAATCTCAAAGGCCTGCAGAAGGTAGAGAGCAGCGTCAAAGCGCAACATGAAACGAAACATTCGATCTCGCTCCCTGCTCAGATCTGTGCGGTTGCGGCTGGAGTTGTCGTCTGATCTTTCTGTGGCGTTTTCGAGCAGGGGAGACGAGTTCTCGCGGTTTCTTGCAGGTGGAGCGCGAGAAACATGTTTTCTGCGTATGACTTGCGGGAAAAGCTGCGGCTGGCTCGGTTTAGAGCGCAGGAACGAGTGGCGTGCAGTTTGTACAAGCTGTACGGTGCAATCTATGTTGTGAGACGGGAGTTGTTGTTCCCCCGTTATTTTGGGATCGGAGAGTTCAAGAGTTCCAGAACCCCACCTGGTGCACAGGGGCAGTGGGCTCGCTAGGGACTCCATTGGTGATCTCCCGGACTTCTCCCTCAATCCATACATGCTGTGCTCTTGGTTCTGGGATGCTCCCCTTGCGTTTCCATCCGTCCTTCAAAAGATGCAGCTAGATGAAGTGTACAAGCCTATCTCCACCATCACGAGAACCCAAACACCCCTTCATGCCCATAGCCACGAGCCAAGAAGCTCTCTTCCACTTGTTCCTCCGTGCCGGACTCTTCAAACTCTGGATCTTCAATGGGTCCTCTCCATTGGCATCTTCCGATTCGCTGGATGGCGTCGAATGGAGTCACAAGGCGCAGTAAGCCTCGCGAATTTCGTCCAAGCCTTATGCACGCTGTTGCGTTACTAGGCTCGGGAGTCGGGCACTTCTGTGTTCCTGACTAGGCCGTATCGGCCAAATTACGCGCAGGAACTATTGACAGGGCCTCCCAAAGGGGAAATTCTGTGGTCTTAGCAAACTTAAGCGAGGAACGGTCTCATTGAACAATCGCCTCCCTGAACAACGCAGCCAATCGGCAGCCACCTGCGGATATTTGTTGTCAACGGCCTGTCCTTGGCACGGCTGCGCTTCTCTCAACTCCACATCTTGAATATACCTTCGTCCTCCGTCCACCACGAGAACGGGCTCACAGCAAAATCGTCCGAAGTCTATTGCACTACTTGAACACCGCCAGCGTCGCCCATGAGCGATGGACGTCTCCACGAGCAGTCCAGCTGGGTTGCACGTAATTTGCCGATTTGGCCGACTTCCAGAAGCGCTTGGCAGTGACACGGCAACATCGAGGCCAAGTTCTGGACCCTTGACATGCCCACTCTCGGGTGGAAGTCCTCAGGACCGATGCCTTTCACGACTTCCACGCTCGGATTACTCGAGGTCCGACCTCCTGGTTGGCTTTGACCCTTCGCTTTCTCCGTCCGGCAGCCAACCTGCGCCACGCGAATCTGTTCCTGGCCATATTGGCAGCATGGCATCGGCTGGCTGGCCAGGATAGATCGGACCTACCATCTTCCCTGCTCAGGTGCCCTACCCCAAGCTGGACAAGGGTCGGCCGGGCATCATAGCCTCGTCCGAATATATCGGTGTTTGACAAGGGTTATGAGGAAGGGCCTCGTCGTGGGATTTATATATTATGCCCTTCCTCCTCTCTTCCTGTTTTCTAGGTCAGACTCCGCTTCAACAGTGGGCAGCTCTTCTCTTCTTCTCAATCTTTCTTTCATCCCGTTGCTCAAGAGAGCCTTCCATCATGTTGAACCTCAACTTCTTTACTGCTGCCGCCGCAGCGTTCACGCTCGTTTCCGGTGTCAGTGCTGGTGGTTATCCTGTCAATATGATGAGGAGAAACCAGGAGCCCTCTCAGCCATCTTGCACAAACTTCACTCCTTTCAAATATGCTGGATGTTTCAAAGATCTCAGCAGCCCAAGAGCTCTTCTTTACACCGGTCCCTCCACCCAAAACATGACGGTTGAGACTTGTGTGGCTTTCTGCAAGGGTATGCCAACGACCAACTTGACATTTCAGTAACTAACGGCATCCAGGAAATGACTACGAATACGCCGGTCTGGAATACTACCGGCAATGTTTCTGTGGCGCTTCAGTCAATGGTCCTCAAGTGGATGAATCATACTGCAGCTTCCCTTGCACAGGTAATGTTGAAGATGGCAACATTAATGCGATTTGACGCTAACGGGACCCCAGGGGACAAATCCGAGACTTGCGGAGGCAACGACTACATCAATATCTACCAAGATCCTACTTTCCCAGTAGTTGACGACTCCACCATTGCGGACTACCAACCACTGGGATGCTACTCCGAAGGAACGAATGGCCGCTCTCTCGCCTGGAGACAAAATCAACTCAGCACGACCAACTTGACTGTCGATGAATGCCTTTTCGCTTGCAAGGATGGTGGATATTCTTTTGCGGGTGTCGAATATGGGCAAGAATGTTATTGTGGAGTCGTTTTGGGCAACGGCACTCTGCCTGTGGACAGCTCCAGGTGTAACTTGAAGTGCACGGGCGATTCAAGTGAGATTTGTGGCGGCCGATCAACTCTCAATCTCTATGTTGCTCAGGATTTGGAGTCTTCTCAGCCATGCGATGGCGGATCTTCATCATCGAGCTCGAGCTCTGTACCTCCCACTACGTCTTCCTCGCCCCCCTCGACACCCCCGAGTCCTCCTACGACATCCTCGAGCCCACCGACAGCAAGCACAACTCCAACAGTGAGTTTTGTCGTTCTCTTGTGTATTACTAGTAGCTCGTACGCTAACATCCGGGCTTTCAGACTTCAAGCACTCCCACAACAAGCTCGACCCCAACCGTGCGAAACCTTCTCTCACATTATCCATTCAAATTTGGCTAACCTTGGGAATTCAGACCTCCCCCACGCCCACAACCTCATCGACTCCTACGGCATCTTCAACACCTACAGTGAGTTGATTTCTCTCCTACGTGTCAATTATGAAACGCTAATATGATAACTTCAGACGTTATCTACTCCTACAGCATCCTCAACACCAACAGTGAGTTAATTTCTCTCCTACGTGCCAATGAGGAAACGCTAATGTGATAACTTTAGACGTCGTCTACTCCTACGGCCTCTCTTTGCACGTCCACATACGCTGTCACTCCAACACCAACCTGTGAATACAAGTGTGGAAACTGGTGTTCAACTCCACTTCCTACATGGAGCGGCAAGACCTCTTGTCTGTCCGCCGTTGCCAATTGCGAGGTTCAAATTGCTTCCTGCTTCAAGAACGCCGGCTTCCCAGCCAGCTTGAATTGCTTCGCCTTCTCCTCGTGGTGCTCATCAGTCTCAAACTATTGCGGTGGCTACTGCCCAGGCGGAAGCTGCTCCAAGAGTGGTTGCACTTCTAAGTACCCACCAAGTGGCCAACCATCTCAACCAACCGAAACCTACTCAACCTCAGTCTATACCTGCCCGGCAGCGTCAACATCATCAGCAAAGCCAAGCACCACGAGCTCCTCTAAGCCGTCAAGCACTAGCTGCGTGCCGATTCCCACGAACTCCAACATCTGCTCTCAACCACACAACCCAAGCAAGGGTTACAGCTCCACGTCCCCGGTCGGCAGCATCCCTCTTCCATGCCTGACTTGCAACAATGTTTACTCGGATTACAAAAAGGGTAACACCCTCAAACTTTATTCCTTTGCCGACACCAATAAGTGCCCATCATACTCCAAATCGCAACCCAAACAAGGTTGCCAGGACGCATGCGACAACCAATACGACACCTGCATGGACACATACGCTCAAGGCTGCAAATCCAACTCCTGGAGGCGCGGCGGATCTGACACCTATTCTACCGCAAGCACCAAGTGCTGGAACCAGTGGAACGACTGCTACAGTGTGAACTCTAACGTCAACGCTGGTAGCCGTTGCAGAAGCTGGAACTCTGGGTGGTCGTAGAAGTATTGATTTCTGGGATGGTGAATAAAATGGTCTGCTAGGTCAGACGTAATTACGAGAGATTTTGCAAAGAACTATACTTTATGTCGCTCCTTAAATGACCCTTTTTATGTAATGTTTGGATCACAGTATGAGTTGAGGTGGGAATGGGGTGGTAGTGTGATGAGTAGCTGGAAGAGAACCAAAAAGATATATATTCAAATTTCATTTAATTTCCAATTGATGCGTCTACTGAATTGACGACAGTTGAGGTTGGGCCTCGAAATTGGCCAGTGCCAAAAAAATCCAACATCAACCAACATCCTGTCTAGCCTTTCTGAACACGCTCCTCTATACTTCACAGAAGCGATAGTATTACCTCCTCATCACTTACATTCAAGCATCTTGTTCAGGTAACATTGTTTCTGTACGTTGCGTGGATATTTCGGGATAGCTGGGTAGTTAGTGGAGTCGTTGGTGTGTTTGGAATATTTTACTAGACCACGGGATTGGATGCTATGGGGAAGATGCTGCAATGATCATAGCGTGATCGTGGATAGGGGGAAGATGACAGGAGGTCTACAGTTGTGATCACGTGACAAATATCTTACTTTCTGGGCTCATTTAAACTCAAGAGATCAATCTTCCCAGAGCCAATCAGAGTCAAAGACAGCTTTCCCATTTATCTCTCCATTTTTGGGGATATTTCCCAGAAGAAAGAGACTTTGGTCAGTCAGCATTTCGTGATTGCAGATTACCAAGCATTCGGCATTTTCGAGCAGTGTTACCCGAGGGGTGAGGTCAATGTGGGGTAACATCCCATCCTTAGTCCAAATTATCCTACATAAGACGGCGTAACTTCTCTTTCACACCACTTCATTCTCAAAACTCTATCTTTATCTGAGGATAACTCTATATGACAAGCCGCCTCACACAACTCTCAACTCAACTCACCACCATGGCGTCACGACCAGACATCCACCTCTACACAACACAAACCCCCAACGGGATAAAAATTTCCATCACGCTGGAAGAGCTCGGGTTGCCTTACACAGTCCACAAAATCGAAATCAGCAAGAACGTACAAAAGGAGCCTTGGTTCCTTGAAATCAACCCGAACGGCCGGATCCCAGCCTTGACTGATACGTTTACCGATGGGAAGACGATAAGGTTGTTTGAGAGTGGTAGTATCCAGCAGTATTTGGTGGATCAGTATGACAAGGATTATAAGATTAGTTATCCGAGGGGTACGAGGGAGTACTATGAGATGAATAATTGGTTGTTCTTTTTGAATGCTGGGGTTGGTCCGTAAGTACTTCCAAGTGTGAGGAGAGTTGAGGGAGGGGAGAGGCTGACGGGAAACAGGATGCAAGGCCAAGCGAACCATTTCAGCAGATACGCACCAGAGCGCATCGAGTATGGTGTTAAGCGCTATGTGAATGAGTCGAGGAGGTTGTATAGTGTGTTGAATACTCAGCTTGAGAAGTCGACATCTGGGTATTTAGTTGGTGATAAGTGTACGATTGCGGATATTGCACACTGGGGGTTTGTTTCTCCTCCACTTTCCGGCTCCTGGGACTGACCAGATTTCCAGATGGGTCACTGCGGCATTCTGGGCCGGCATTGATATTGATGAATTCCCAGCGTTGAAAGCTTGGGATGATAGGATGCTTGCTAGGCCAGGTGTTGAGAAGGGCCGTCATGTTCCAGATCCGCACCGTATGAAGGAGCTGAGTAAAGATCCGAAGGAGATGAAGGAGCAGGCTGAAAAGAGTCGAGCTTGGGTGCAGCAAGGCATGGCAGCTGATGCGAAGAAGTGAGGCGCCTCATGGCTACAAAAAGTGTATATTACCACGGGAAATATGCATATTTTGGTTTACCTTTTAGCTATTTATCGTGAAGGGCATGCTTGGGAAATCCATGGTTGCTTACTTCCAGGGTCAATAAGGGGAAGGTCAAGTATCGACGGAAGCTCATCATTCTGTCTAACTTTCTGATCTATTGGAAATCAAGTAGTACTCTCCTCCGATGACAGCAAGTGCTGTAAGCCACCGCCTTCATTCTAAAGGAGAAAATCCCATGCCTTTCAATCATAAATGCGCTCCTATCTTACAGGCAGTAAGCGCTGAAAACCAACTCCTTCGTTCTAAAAAAGAAAATGCCTTGCCTTGCCTTTCAAATCACCAATGCCCTCCCACTGTACAGCGAGTGCTGCAAATCCATAATAATTCCACTTCCGAGAGAAGAAAGAGCTGTCAGTCTTCGATCCCGAGCACCTACTCCGTATCCTCATCGTCCAAATAAACAACCTTCAACCCACAATCCGGCATCACCTCCATCTTATTCTTGAACTCCGCCCAAACATCCCGAAATTCTCGCTTGATATGCTCCATCAGCCCCTCAACCGTCGCATTCTTCTTCTCTACCATAATAATAGGCATCCTATACGTCTCCTGGGGATCATTATGGCAATTCGCGGGACACCCAGGGAATGTCAGAGTCTTGAGGGCAGGCCACCCACGCTGTGGAGCGAGGACGATGAGTGCGGCAATCGAGTTGTACTGACGCATACGTTGTCCAATATGGAAGGGTATTTCAAGATGGCGAACACGCTCTCTGTCTCGGACGATCGAGGGGGTCTTGGCGCATGCCACGGCTTTTGCGGTCTCGACGCTACCGCCGCTGGAGAGGCGCAAGACGTCGATTTCGAAATTGAAGAAGGTACAGGCTCCCCGAAGGAGTGTGGTGTTCTCGAATGCTGGCTGCAAGGTGCGGAGAGCTATGGCTCGGGCCTGTGGGCAGACTTGTAGAATTCCTGGTGGTGGGTTTTTGGGCTGGAAGAACTCGAGGCCGGGACGGCTCTTGGGGGCTGTCAGGCAGACGGTGCGAGAGTTGGGGACAGAGAACTCCCAAATTCGGTGTTGGAGCTCAGTGGGCAGGTTGTTGAAGAGGTGGAATTCGGTGAGTGATGGTGGGGGAACCTTGAGCTTGATGATGGGTCGTGGAAGTCCGATTTGAGAAATTGGCACGAATGTAACCATGCGTTGAACCATGGGTGACATGCTCTGCTTCACTGATTGATAATGTTCCTTAGAGAAGAGAATTAGTCGTTGTTTTTGGTCCTTCTTAAGTGCTGCAACTACTCCAAGTGATCGTGGTCCTTGCTGGGTGTGGGTGGTTGAGCTAGATAGTAAACCGACCATACGGATCTCAACTTGATCGAGCATTTCCGAGGACAGTTGCTCCATCTCCCTCAGCAAGAAGTCGAGATGTTGTTGATCGAGAGCGGTGAAGACGTACTTCTGGCCTTGGCTTGCGAAGCTCTCCTGCGAGAGGTTGCTAGAGGAGGCTTGACCATCCTTGCTGCTCTGGAATGAGGTTCTTTGCTTCTGTGTGTTGTTAGAGCGCAATGGAGGACCAAATATGGCAGTTGTAGGTAAGATCGGAGTGCTTGGAGCTGTGGTTTCTTTGGAAAACAAGCGGCTCTTCTTAATAGGACGGTTATCGGCGACACGAATTTCCTTTTCCTGCTCTTTCAAAGGTGTAAAACCGGAATTGAGTTTCGAGAGATCGATCGTTTGTTGGTCCTTTGGACCGAAGTCGAAGTTGATGCTATGACCTGTGCTGAAAGGTGCTAGTGCCGCTTCACCACCATATCCACCACGCTTCTTTGGAGTCGAAGGTGCAACGCTTTGTGAAGTCTTGTGATATGTGTGAGTATGAGAAACAGCCCAAGAAGTAGATGCCAGTGGAGCGAAACTGATTCCAAGACCAACAGGCTCTTCGGCGCCGAGAGATATTTCGGGGTCCAAGTCGAATCCGACGATCCCCAGTCCGGTAACATGGCTTGAGAGTTGTCGGCGTACCCCATGGACCGAATCGGATGGGATCTGATGGCTGGCTCGATCTTGTGAATCAATTGAAGTAGAAGTGCGACTCGGGGCACGAGCAAATGTAGGCAAGATCGGGGAGAATTGATAGCTTTGGGTGAAGGCGTCTACCTCAGACGGGAAAGGAGACTGTGGCTGGAACCGAGAGATTGAGTCCATATTGTCCTTGAGCGCGAGATCGACAATCGCAAGGTTGTTATTGTTCTGCTCAGAGTGACGTTGTTGTGGAGAAGGAAAAATCTACTGTGCGGTTCTATTCTGCGATCGCTAAGAATGGGAGCGAAAGTGCCGAGAACATATTGCTCACAGGAGTGAATCTCAAGGCCGGCTGGCACGAGTCCCATGCGAGCCAATATCGTCCCCAAGTGCGGAGAAAAGACGGCTTTCAGGGGTGAATTTCGAGGTTGGCTTGGGCGATTGGTTTTGTTTACGCGAGCCGATATCGACCCCTTTTACCCCTTTTGGGTCAGCGGTGTGCAGTTGAGAGCACCTTCGTAACATGTAAGGACTACATCTTTTGAATGTCTCCGCAACTCTGATATAGCGAAGACCGGTCGTAGATGCACGCCTAGCATTCACTAGGGATATTACAAATTGGTGCTATTTTTTTGATCCTTCGTGAGAGGGTATCGGCACTTGGGGATGCGAGGAAGTGACGTCGCCATTTGAGGTCCTGGCGGCATTCTTCACCACTGATCATTATTATTGTTTCTAAGTGTAATGAGCAAGCGAGTACCCCTCGCGAGAGAACAATCTTCATTATGAGCACCAGGATATAAGGGGTAATTCATACAGAGGGCCCAAGTTATCTTACAAGCTCATGACGCCGGTCTCTATGCTTCCCTAGCCCTATACTCCCGCTCAAATACATCAAACCAACTCATGTTGTCATTCCAATTCTTCAGTGATCTTCGTGTTCCTCATCATTACGATTTATCGGCGGGGCGTTGATGAGCCATCCAATGCCCGAAGCTAGACTACCCACTGCCGCATTCTTCAATTGATCCCTCTTCCGGATAGGAGCTTTAACTGTTGATTGTGATGAGGAATCGCCGGTGGATCCTCCTGAATCTATGCTCTCCCTTGAGGCATTTTGCGCTTTCTCTTGGACGGTATGGTTGCCTTTAAGCATAGAAAGTGCTGAAAATCCATTCTGCGCACGAGCCATGCTGGCACGTGAGAGATCGAATAGGGACATTGGAGCTTCCTCCACTGCACGAGAGTTTGTTGTCTTCTTCGCTGGCGTTGGTGCATATCCACCTGGCATAACTTGCTCATCCCCTTGAGCATCCCATGCTTCTTCTTGTTCCGCTTCTTGTTTAACATGTGACTCGAGCTCCTCTTCACATCGTCGATAGACATTCAAGATCTCTTGCAATGTTGCCTTTGGTGCAATTCGCAGTGCCTGTGCCAAGCAATCCATTCGCTGCTCCAAATGGCGAATCTCGAGATTTCCACTTGCATTCCCAAGATGAGTGGGCTTCGTGGTCTGGGACGTTCGTCGGTACTTTCCCGCTTGCAGTGCTGCCCGCCAAGACCAGTCATCAATAACCTTCGGCGGCGGTTCAGCAAAGAGGCCGGTGCCTCGACGCTCAAGCTCGGGCGTACGAGCATGCGCAGGTCCAGCAATTTCTTTCAAACGAGTCACCACGTAGGAATAAGCGGTCTCGAAGTCGTCTTCGACCAGGGCTGCATCAATACACATGCTCACAACTCGCTTCTCGGCGACGGACTCCTCTTCGATGACCTGCTCGGGTTTCAACGCAGTTTCGCCGTCAACTCTTCGAACAGTCAGGCCTGCTCTAACCATGTGCTTCCCCATATCAACAAAGTCGCCAATTTTGGTATAACTTCGGGAATTCTGGTCGAGGATCTTGCCGATGATTGATATGGGGTCCCCATGAAGTCGGAGACTGACGGGCTTGAAAGGCTCGCCCTGCTTGAATACAAGGCGATATGCTCCCATATAGTGCGTAACGGTAATTAGATGTTCAAGCTGGTCCTTATCGAGGGAACCATCCAACGTATCCGGGAAGGCTCGCAAGCTGCCAACCTGCATCAGCTGATATCAAGCTCAAAACACTTCTAAAACTTACATGTCATCACATTTCTTTACTCCCCCTCGAGTTCTATTGGCATTTGTTGCATTGTCGTAGGCATTCATCGCAGCGGATATGATGGCGTCATGGAGAGCCTTTTTAGACAAGGGCCGTTCCGGTGAAGTCTCGTATATTGATCGCGCAAGAGTATAACCTATATGCGCCGATCAGCGATTGAATGTACAATTTATTGTGTAACTTACGTGTATTCGCTAGAAGTGCTTTGAGAAGTTCTGCTTCAATTGACTCTTTTGGAAGTTGCCCCAAAACGCCCTTTCCGTTTCCAGACTCGCTCCCTTCAAAAAGCTCTTCAGCACCCCAGGTGCGCAGCCAGAGAATTTCGCTCCTTGTTTTCATCCAATACCTGTCATCGCTTTTCGGGCCGTCTCCAATCCGTGACATCAGCTTGCTGAAGAGGAACTTCTGATCACGCTCATCTTGCAGAAACACAAGTTCTCCAGCCCGCCTCACGCTGAGACTGCAGCCTGCCTTGGTACACAAGAAAGCACTTATCAACAAGACATGAAGCAACTTTAGTGACTGCTCGTTTGGTGTAGTCAAAATATTGTGGTCCTCCAGAAAATCATTCCGGAGGTAGGTGGCAGATTTGGAAGACAAAATGTTGTCCTCAAAATCCGGTACAGGAGACAGTAGAGCGGCGGCAGCTTGCAAAGTCGGAATTCTGTCTTTGTCAAGAAGAGTGGTCATCCTGGTCAAGATACGCTGGATACCATTCAGAGCCTCCTCTGATTCCTCGGAGATCAAATATGCCGCCGCGAGCCCCGAACGGGCAAATCTTCGTTCCAGGTGGATTTCGTCTTCCTCTGCCAGCCATGTTGTCCCATCTTCATAACCACCAAGATCTACATCTGCCGGACCATCCCATTGCTCTACAGCTTCGACAGCAGTCTTCCATGATGTCCCAGCCTGTCCCAGAAGCCACTTGAACACTACTTCCCAGCCAACATATTTGGGCTCCACTGAGGGGGTTTCATCCAGCCGCTCAAGAGATTGTAGACTGAAGGAGGAGTTTTCACGGACTTTCCTCCGCTTCCATCTTGTATCTCCGTACAGCCATGGCCCAACTAAGCCTTTCAAGTCTCGTCCAACGGTTGGATCAGGTTCCGTCGTCGATTCTTTTCCCGTTTTTGAGAGCAGCAGTGACACTCCAGCCCGGTCGTCTAGTGTTTCGAATTTGGCAATCGTGAGGGCGGCCCCATCGTCAGGGTGATAATCATAGTTGAATCGTACCAAGGGCAGAATTGTAGATATCATCCAGGTTCGTAGGTAATCAGAGTAGTGTAGGAAAGGCGTGAGCAGCCCAGGAAGTTGAGTTAATAACCCAGTGTTTTCGTCAATTCGTAGGGCTCGGTGGATGAGAAATAAAATAACAGGATCTGCTGGTGCATCTGCCGGACAATTCGGCCATTCTAGAGGCAGAAGATGCAGTTTCCGGACCTTCTTCTGCGCTTCCACCTCGGTGAGTTCGAGGAGCGCTGAAGAATCGACGGGAGTTTTTGAATCTTCCACGATCCGCCCACTTATGAGATCTTCAAAGAATAGCACATATGCTGAAGAATCGAGGCTTTCTGGAAGGTGGCTTAGGAGGATACGTAAGACGAGTTCGGTATGGAGTGTCTTTCGATGCTGGGAAACCAGAGTTCTAAGGGTTGAGAGGTCGGATTTGCTGGCTAGCTGCACAGCCAGGAGTACGGCTTTGGCTGGAGATATCCCAGTTCCTGCCATGCCTCAAGATTTCCCCAAGGGGCGCAAAGTAAGGACGTGGGATATTTCTAGAAAGTTGGCCAGCTCTGGACAGCTTGTTTGTCGTCGCCTGATTTATAGGGCACCCATGCATAACCTCGTGCTAGTGCATTGATCCGCGTTTAACATCACCTCTCCAAAGCTTCACGGTGAACATTCGGAATTGACTGCGCAAGATGTCTTCTGGCTTCGGACTCAATGGAGGTATGTGGCAATAATACGAAGAAGCTCTAATATCATGTTCTGGACCCAGCTGCGAGGTTCAATGGCTGACCTTGCTCTGTGCAGGCCCCTCACGCTGCTTCCCCTTCTGGCAAGAGGTTCTAGCTTGCTATGTTGTCAACACCACATCCGATGATGATTCAGGAAAGCGGAAATGTGCTCCGGTGCTAGAGGATTACTATGAGTGCTTACATCACAAGAAGGAGGTGGGTGAAGCTCTTAAGCGAGGAAGCATTTCAGTGTCAAGGAGCAGGCGCTGATTGTTACTTCTTTCACAGGCCACAAGAGTACGAGCATTACAAGCAGCATACCGAAAAGCAGAAGCAGCCCATCCTCGAGATGATGCACCAAAGGCGGGTCAGATAAGAAATCTGGGACTGTTGGACAAGGGTGATGATACCAAGGCTGTGCTGGGCAAGTGAGCAATGGTCATTGGGGATTGTACATAAGGCATGAATGGACCATATCAGGACCGTCCAAAAGATGTTTTTCCATGGGGATGATCTAAAAAGGGTTCTTTCTCTCGACGTTTGTGAGTATCGGCATTTTCTCATGGTGGGAGTGCCAATGGGCCCTTCCTATGTTTCTCGATCCTTTGTATGACTTCTGAATCTACTGCAAGCTCGATTGTGGTTAATTCGGACTTCTTTATTCATTGAATCTCTCCCTGTTTTTATCCAATCCTTGCATGGAATAACGATTAGCTCAAGATACTTCACCGTGGACAAGAATTCACCAAGGCTACAATTCCAAGCCTCGTGCAACATTGACGTGGATTATGCATATCTTGCAGCTCGTCTCTCAGTTCAATACGTTTCGTTCACTACGCATCTACTCAGCCAGCATTCTTTTGGGGTAGCTTTAGGTGCAGCATTAGCCAACTTCGCGAGAAGTACGCACCATTCTCATCTAACAGAAGGATAGCCGCACACGAGAGCTGGGTTGAGAAAACGCTGACAAGACCGAAGTAACTTTGCCCCATATCATCCTTGCCACTGTGATGTCTCCACGTTTCCCACTACCACCTGAAAATTGCATTTTTGATCTGCTTCTCTCAACCCTCTTTCGCTCCTTCCGACGAAAGCGAAGCCGCTTTAGCCACATCATAGCATTCACCCCGAGCAAACCACGTTAAAAATCGCCTTACATGTTGGAACCTCGCTCTTTCCAAAATCAGGTTCTCGTGTTCAACTGCAAAAGACAGGATCATCCGTCAAAATGCCCGAGCATAACGGCATCAAGCTGTCCATCTTCTCTCAAGTAGCGCAGACCCTTCATCCTGAGCTTCCTCACTTGCATCCCGAGTTCAATCATCCAGAAACCTCGCAGTTCGTGAATTGCGCGTTCAGGTCGACCGACCTGCCGCATAGCGTTGACCGGACTCCCCCATCTGCAGGTTCGGACAGCAAAGCAGATCGTATCCTTGGGAGACAGCCATGTGTCGCTGTCTATATCCCGTCTGTACCAGGTCTGCTCCCTTGCAGCTTAGTCTTCAAGAGTTTCTGCTAAGGTGTAAAGGAACGCGTTTCTGGATTCGATACAAGATCGAAGAATGGGCCGCAACTCAATCCCAATGGTACTTCTTCAAGTTACTCATGAACGGGAGGCAAGTCACGACGTGGGGTGCGCATTCGAGAAGAGACTCCTGCGGGCAAATCATGAAAGGTCTCTTCGACCCGAGCGACCTCTGGAATTACGAACACGACGGAGTCATGTATAAGAACATGGGATTGGAGCAACGTTCCTTCTTCTTTACTTTCGAGAAACAAGACAACGAACGCTCTGCGGCAACAGACGGAGGTCTCATCGAGATCAAAGTGTACCGTGCGAGGGGCCGATGCAGAAGGATGCCAGCGCCAGCCGAGTTCAGGAGTCAGGACGACTATGGAATCACGTAAGGGCAACACATAGAATGCGCCGAATGCTTACTGATACTCTCTTCAGGATGCCTAGTCAAGGACTTTTCGACAGACCGCAAGATGCAAAGTTTTACGACTGGCATCTTAAGGATTCGAGTGATTCGCCATATGCTACATTCAAGTTCCACTATCGCAGTTGGGAAAGCCTCCAGTCCCTCAACCTAATTCCGGCGGACCATGCGCGAATCCTATTTCCACCATCAGCAAGCGTGCTTTCTCTCGTAGGCCTTTCTCGAGAAGAACAAGAAAAGCTTCAGGAGGATGCAATGCCAACCAGTGAGGAATCACCTGCGAAGGCCTCCGAAACCTCTGAATCTTCAGTGGTACCATGGCTCACCTCAGTATTCGATGACAGCCCCGAGTCTGGAAAGAGTTGCGACAGGAGAGAGTTCGTCGTCCCGCCGGAAGTGCTGGAAAATTATTCGCTTCGATTCCCTGTTCCAACATCAAAGTTCACTTCTGCCGTGATCGACAAGCGTTCATCGCCAAATGGTAGCCCTGTACCACTCAATTTAAATCGGCCACTGCCACCGATCCCGAGCCGCAAGAGTTCCCTCAGACATAGGAGAAACGTCTCCTCGGTCTCGACGAACGCCCCATCTGTCACTGCGTCCTTAAAGTCTTATTACGAACGCGACTGTGAGAGTCCGGAACCAGCAGACATTGGCATTGCACAAGCCGTTCATGTTGCCTATTCCAGTCCAATCGTAGCTACTACAGAGGGAAGCTTAGACACCGCTTCGATTTCATCTCTGTACATGGATGACCCGTCAGGGAACTCGCCTCTGTCAGAATTGGCAACTAAGAGACAAGGCATGGCTTTAGAATCTGCGTCCGGCACTTTCTCCCTTCCCAATGTAACGATTCGGAAGTTCCGGCTCTCAGGCAGCAAATTCTCACCCGCAAACAAGACAACGCCTGCAAACAAAGATCTCAAAGAGAACGAGCATACCCCACTACTTGATAACCAAACATCTCTCTCGCTAACGGAGTCTGAGTGGATGTGTCGAACTCCTTCACCAATGAAAACTCGCCAAGACGATGGGTTCCCAATATCCAAGCTTTGGAGCCCAGGACTAGGTACAAACAAGAAGAGCCCCGAAGGGTGTGCGCCACGGAGGAGATCATCGCTGCTGAGTCCCAAGGTTATTGGTATTCCTGAAGAGGCGGCTGATAGTCCGGCGCCGGATGAGTTTGATGACGAGGAGAGGATTCGGACTGGAAACTGGATTTGATTTGAAGCTTGCCCTCATTGCAAAGCAGATCCTGAACTTCTTCTTCTTTGGAGTTGTATTGACGAAGATGGTGCGAGATGCTGGCATTTCTTGTTTCTCCTCCTGGAAGGCTCGGATTTTTTTTACCGCGTACGATCGTGGGTGAGAGGGTGGTTGAGATGTTAGAGTACAATGCTTTGTAATGTAGAGTATTATTCTGGGGTCAGAGAAGGGACCTCGAGGATTGATCTGGCGTCGCATATCGAGTAATCAGTGCTCGAGACCCTCTTCAATAATGTAGTAATGCTTAATAGATAATCTTCAATGACAATATTCCGGTGTGAATGCACTTCTTGAACACACTGCTCTCCTCGTGTCCCATTAACACAAGCGGAAGTTGTTATAGGAAAGGTGGAACTGTGTGACTCAATTGAATGCCGCTCTGAAGTTGGTGCATCGACTTACATTTTGAGTTGTCGGACACTAGATTTCGAAGTGTTCCAAAGACAACTCCCCTTCTAATCCATCGACGAGGGGTGGCAAAGCTTGGGTCTCGTCGCTGTTTGCTACTAGGCCATGCGTATTTCTTCCTTCAAGTAGTGAAGGCACAAAGAAAGCACAAGGACTTGTAGACAACTTTGTCTGGACGATTTCAGCAATTGGACAACTGGCAATCAATTTCATAGAGTCTAACTGCTCTGGCTAGATACCGCGGTTCTTGTAGAAGAGGAGTTGGACTTCTTCAATGTCTCAATGATGTGAACTTTTGGGGACATCACGAGCCGGGAAATAGGGGGAATTGTCTAGCTGTGTTGACTCGCAGCAAACTCTACGGCAACGAGGGGTTCAAATTTCAGTTCAGTTGAGTCTCTCATCCCCGTGGTACGGGCCCGTTTTATATTCAGTATGATGTTCTAAGACGTAAGTAAGGGAATTGGCGGGATATTGATTGTGGAGGGTTCTGTGAGAAAGAGGGGTTGTTCTGCTTAAGCGAGGCTGAAAAGGGGTAAGCTTGGCAACTCGAGAAGGATAAATACAGGACTCGCAACTCTCTCGAGGTCCCTCACCATGACTATGTTAAACAACCCTAGAATATAAAATTGTTCTCCTCCACAAGTCCTCAGATCTGAGCACTAATGGATTCTAGACTCATGAGCTCAAGGAGAACGAGCCCAACAAGTTTTGTTTTCAAGTTTTGTTTCCGCGGATGTGGAGGAGGCGGTAGACGATATCTTAGCTGTACATCACCTTTAATAGCGTTTATGTGGGGGGAAGTGATATAAAAAGAAAGTTTGAAGGCGTAGAGCAGTAAAAGGAGAGACCAACACCTTTCGGTGCTATCAAGTATTATGAAATGTCTTTGTCATTGGGACTTCCGGACACATTTAGGAGAGTCGAACATGTATTGTTCTATCACTTTCAGGTCCATTCACAGAAAATGGAAACATGGGGCAACAAGTCACTTCCTTCGTTCTCGAGATTCAATATTTATTGTTCATTGTTCTAAAACAACTTCTGGTCACATTGGACTGAACGGAGATTTGATTATTCCATGACTTCCAAATATACTCGCAGAAGTCATCTCCAAACTCAACACTCACTCGCGCAAGTAAACCGAAACAAAGTATAAATTTCTCTTTTATTCCAGGGTGAAGAGGATTGGGGGATAAAACACTATGAACTCAGTCTCAATGGGGAGAAAGGCCGCTATAGCCACATGGATTAATTGGCTAAGGGTTTTCCAGAGCTTTTGGAAGGTAGAAACAGGTGGGATTTGTGCTTCTCGAAAAAGATCTTGCCAGCCGAACTGGAGCGAAGACCGAAGTATAAGTTGAATGAAGAAACTATGTCAGAGTCCGGTGCTCACTGGGGCAAGAGAAGACCATATAAACCCATTTCGAGGTAACAGAGAGACCAAGAAAGAATCTGGTATCGCTGGAAATACAATAGATCACCGAGGGGAACCCGGCGTTGATAGCTTAGGAACGTCCTTCCTTCCTACCGCTTGTGACTCCGTCGACTATTTCAACTCTCACCTTCCTTCTTCGCATCAGCGCGGCGCCGACAAGTCTGCCTCCCCTTCTTACTCCGTCGGGTATAATCCCTTCATTTCTGGCTATCTTGAAACTTTGATACCCCTCTCCCTAGGCGTCGACGAATAAGATTGAAGTACCTACTTCAAGTAGAGAGAAGAGTAGCTGCGACTGGGCAAGTTTGTGTTGAACGACTCACTTTCTAAACCACATTTTGAATTTTCCACGCTGGCTTTCCCAGCAAGCGAGAAGTGTAAAATAACCCACTCGAGGCAAGGAATAGACCAAGAGAGAAGGAAGTCTTCCTATGCCAACGGCAGGGGGTACCAGGACTCGCACTCCCGTTCCACGGCCGGGTAGCCATGTATATAAAGAACGCCGGGTAAGCACCCAAGGAAGCACACTCTCTGAAGAGACTCGCAAGTGGTGTGGCAGGACTTTGAAAAGGGCCGAGGATTTCCTTTGAATTTGCTACGATTTAAAGTTTTACCATATGATACAATGGCAGGTGGCAAGACATATTGATGCAGAGGTGAGACGAATCGCTGTCACTGTCCGGTCTTGTTGTCAACGTCTCGTCCGCTATCAATTTTCGGCTCAGCATTAAGTGGCAGAGAATGGACCCGGCAATGCTTTGTACTCCCCGGGGAGAACAACATAAAAAATATTTCTGAATCGTCATGGCGGCCCATACAAAATAATTGCTGTATACCAGTCCATGGTATCTGGTTTTGTTTTGCTTGAACTTCGTGCCTCTTCTTGAGGGCTAAGGGGCAGATGGATATATCGAGAGAAAAAATGTGCTTTAGCAGCATAATGAAGCAGAAATGGGAAAATTTTACAATCTTTAGCTTAAGTAGAAATTCAGCAGCCACGCAGGTCATATGAAGCATGCAAACCCTCACTCGAGGGAATGAAATGAACATAAAGGAAGCAAAGTGAGGCAGGGTGCTTTCAGGTGGTCATGGGAAGAGGTGCGGCTCCCGCACTAGCAAGTGGAAGAAAAACCTTCCAAAACCCAGAAGGATGCGAAAGGAAACCTAATTCTGTGAGACCCTCAAACTGCCTTGGCGACTGGATAATAGTAGAATCAAACTGTCATTGCCAAAGTCTGGCTTGTTGCCGCCTCCTTTCCCGCTGTCAACTACCTCGCCTCTTATCTCAGCAAAGACCGTTCTCATTGCGACCACCCTATCAAGTAATCGGCGGCTGACGAAACTTGACTTAGCTCTAATCTGGAAACCTCATCCACAACGCCCCATAGAACGTGGATAACAAGTCAAATTGTTGATCTCCTCCTCTGGCTGTCCGCTAGCATCTCGATTACTGTATCGTGATTCAAGAGAATCACTCTGTGTGGAAGCAGGAGATAGATATATGCTAGCCTTGTCTACTGAACGAGACTGGATTACTATGTCAGGTAGGAGTGAGTGTATAGTTATCGTTATAATTTAAGGTGAGATCGAAGGTGGAAGTTCAAAAGTAAGCCGGAAGCGAGGGGGAAGGAACTGGCGTGCCAACCTTCACTCGAGCTCTGTAAAAGACCAAAGTTACAAATCCCTAAACGCCAATTCTTCGGGTGAGGCGTGTGGCTCCAGCACAAGGAGAAGCAAGAGGCGACAACCATGCACTAGAAGAATGTAAAGGGAAACGTCACTTGTGCCCTCACTCCCCTAATTTGCATCGGCAGCTACACATGGCAGATTAAATTTCTTGTTGTCAATTCCCTACCTGTTGTCATCCTGTTCCCCATTCTCATCCGTATAACTAGCGAATTAGGATCTGAATTTGCGTTGACTGGGAAGTACGTCCACGGCGGAGCTGGAAAACTGCTGCTGCGCCTGCTAGCCAGGCAGTTAATGCTGGGGCTAAAGCCAGGGACCACAGCACGCTTGGCTGTCTGGAGATCAAGCCACAGATGGCGATGCACAAGATAAACATGAGGATGAGGGGCCGTGTTCAAGCCAATTCATGACTGAGCTGGCTGAAGAGCAAAGTTTCTTTGAAATGCCAATGCATCTAATTCTCCCCCCCCCCTGAGAGCAAAGGAGTCTCCGTACTTAAATAAGACGGGGGTTGAAATCTAACTGCGAGGCGGGGCGCGAGAGCTAGATATAGGGATTGTCCATGGGGTGGTGGTTGGAGAAGTGGAAGCTAGGAGCAAGAAGTATTCAATCTTACACCCCTATTCAAAGAGCCTCAGCCCAAACACCATCGCTCACTCAAGACACCTCCCAGAGTATAAATCTCACCCTCTCGCTCTCGTTTCCACTACAAAAACAAAACCGATCTCGGATAAGAAGAATGTAACGCGCATCCAACAGGCAGGAGTCGCTGCCTTTTTGCTTTGCCATCACCACTTGACGGGGTGGAGCGTACACGCAACCTTTTCCAACACAGTGGGGCCCTGGTTCGTAAACACCGTTCTCATTCAGTTGTCGATGCCACCCTTGCTGTCACGTCCGCGTCTGCTGTCACTGGCCCTCCTCGTCATAACAATCGCTCTTGCTCCCACCGTACCCTGTACCACGCAATACTTGGGAGTCGACGGCGCACAAGCGCAAGTCTGCTGGCCTCGACTTTGGATACCTCGAGCACAACGCTGCGAGGACGCAGGCGCCATATTACGTATTCTGATCAAATTCTCATTGAGCTCAACAGCGATGGAGAATTGGAAGATAGACATAAGACCAAGCCAAACTCCAGTACGAATTACGTTTGGTGTTCAAGCATACCCCTCCGCATTCACTTGAGCCGGGCGATTCAACCCCTCAAAGAAGAAGGGACCAGAAAAACGCGGCCGTAGGACGTAACGCCGAAAGGATCAAGCAAGCCGAGAATACTTTAAAGCTCCATCATCCCCGGAACCAGAAATCAACGAGACACAGCAAGCGAGTCCTTTCTTCTGGGAGACCAATTCCGACCTCACTCGGGGAGCAAAAATTGGGCTTTCTTAGAAGCAGGAAAGTGAGGCTTATGAGGAGTACCCCGAAATTGATGAAGAGAGAGAAGACACCTATAATCATCTACCTAGACGCAGTTTGAGTTGTGTTGTCAAGGCCTTGCTTGTTGTCACCACGCCCCACTCATCCCAACAATCCTCCACTCGCACTCGACCCATTAGCTGCGACTCTCGAGAATACATGAGCCTGGAAAAGTTAATACCTTATGCACAGCCGTGGGAAGAAGAAAGCGAGGAACGTAAAAGGCGTCGCTGTGTTTGCCGAGTAGTTGGGAGTGTTGGCATGAAGGAAGGTGCCGCTTGTCTGGACGGGGTTGTAGATAGGTGATGGACATGGACAAAGGGAGGGCGGGAAGGAGAACAGTCGGAGACTGCATGACAAACTGAGAAGTTTGGCTTAGGTGGACCAGTGGAAGGGCTATACCAGTTCCGATATCACCAGGCACGCCAGTGGGGGTGTGCGTTCGGGAACATAGTGGGATGGAAGAGAGGGCTAATATCGCCGTGAGGTAGGTTTGGTGGTCCCGGCGCTGAGATGCTTGCGGCCTGCTTATTGATATGCGTTGTCTCCTCTATATATGCGTTCTCTGATGCCATGGTAACCACCGTGTCTGAAGGCACGCGAAATTCCTCCATGAAGGTATGATGATGTATAAATTTGTGTGAATAGGAAACCGTGCTATATCAAGACGAGGGGGTACCTGCGTAGATATAAGCCAGACCTGCGTGTTAATAGAAACGGGATTGCTATATTAGGATACAGCGACGGCTTAAGTTGTCGTATCAGAGATCGAAGCAAGAAGTTCAACAGTAAGCGAGGGAACAAAGTATATATAAGCCCTTACTTGAGGTAAGGAGGAGACCAGCAAGAGCATGGATGGAAATGGTGGTGGAAACACGGCCTCGGGGAGAGGTGCGGCTCTTGCAGCAGGAAAACAAATTATCGAATGACTGTCCAGACTCAAGAAGTATGCAAAGCTGACTTCATCGGCCATGGATACAGAGTACGGCAGGTTTCCCGGTTGGCCAGTTGACCCCCCCCCCCCCCCCCCCCCCCCCCCCCCCCACCAAGTCTGAGAAAGAGAAGAACGACGACTTGTCCCATTATCTGCAGATTCAATCCTTATTGTCCCATATGCAAGGAGGCATCGAGAATGGGGAATGGGAAGAGCAGTTGCAATTGATAGCAACGGTCAAAGTCCAGCAGCTCCTTGTTAACTAGCCCATCGCGATGACTGAGAAGAAGAAACACAGTCATCCCCCGGAAACAAGAACAGGATGAGCGAGGAACCCGAACACGGCAAGAAGAAGGCCGGCGGTTCGCGACGAGAACGTTCCAGATAACGAATCGTCCGATGATTCAGCCGATATCCCTCGTGTTCCAAAGTCAAAGTCCGACAAAAAGAAGGGGGCAAGAAAACGCTGTAGTCGCCAAGTCTTCCCAATTCCAAAGGCAAGAACAAGGAAAATCGACGCGTCTTCCACCAAGAACGACGAAAAGCCAACGAGAAGGGCCACAAGTTGAGGTTCGACGTTTCGCTTTTCGTGGAAACAAGGACGAACGAGCTGGAACAGTCATCCGACGAATCCGATCACACACACTCAAGGCAAAAGCACCGTTGAAGAAAAGGACATTTAGCTGCACCTTCTCGAAGCAGAGCCTACCGTCGTGCGTCCGATGCTATGAAGGCCCGGTGCATCTCCTCAAGAAGACGACCTACGCAAGCTTCTCAAAGTACATGAGCGGCGATTTTACCACATCGTGGAAGCGCAAGATGAAGAAGTTCGTCTCAACCCCGTTGTCAAACCCTTGCATGCCGTCATCTCCCTCTTTCCTGTCCCCTGCCCTCCCCTCCTATCCACTACCCCTCCGTCTCAACATACACCGTCCCCTCGCCTCCGCACGTCACGACCGCAGCTCCGTCAGCCTCTGATCGAGAGACACAAAGCTGCGCAAGGGCGAGTATTATAAAAGAAAGCTTCTTTGGCCGGAAATGGATTGGAATTGAATGTTGGTTGTGAGGACTGCGAAGTAGGAATAGATCGCCTACTCAGGGGATCTGGGGGTGGGGCGAGGTTGAGTATCGGAGGGATGGAGCGAATAGAGGGAGGGACTTGGGCAACTTTGCTTGTAAAGTAAGACCAGGCAAGATCTTGCAAGCTGCGGATCCTCGATAGCAGGATATCATATTACGGCAGATCAGAGAAACGCTCTTCTTCAGAGCATTCGGAGATAGTGGAGAGAGGAGCCTTGTCCCATAAACAAACAATAAAGGGGGAAAGGGGTTCACGGAAGAGCAGCATATCAAACACAAATACCAAAATATAGTGGAGGATCGCGAAGCAGGACACATATCATCATAATGTAAGAAATTAACTTTCATTCACCCTTAACAGATCAGCGTCAGCAACTGTGGCATGCATACGGAAGGCTATGGAAAAGGACGCCACCACCCAGACGCCACCACCACCACCACCACCACCACCACCCTCACCGCACAATCATCATTCCCATCAACATCAGCATCCAGCACACCCCAGAGATCCATCCATCTTCCAACGTCAACAAGCAAGCCAGTCGAGAGCTACACAGACAAAAGCACCACCAGAGCATAACATTCGCGCAAAAGCACCCTCCATTTGATTGGGAAGGAAAGAGAACCCCTCCTCCCAAGCTCTCGCACATCGCAAGTCTCATATACACGCAGAAAAAGGTACGGAAGCAAGGTCGTTTCCACCTCCACCCAAGTCTCAGTTGAACGGCCATTGAATGTCTAGAAGTACCCCCCAAAAAATGCTCAAACCGTCTCTTCTTTTGTGTATAGTCGTATCGTTTCGTAGTCGTGTCAAAGTCGGATTCTCGAGCGATTTTCATGGTTCGTTGGTCGGTCGTATTATCTGAGGCGAGGAAAATAGGAGATGTGTACAGTCAGGATGCGTTGTGTTGAGAGGGAGACTGCTGGATTGCGAAAAGTATGCTGCACGCGACCACCAAGTAGGTATGTTTCTGACAAGGAAGGAGTTTCGAGATCGAGAGATATTTCGAGTTTGTTGCAAGTTCGGGACGATCGAGAGGGAAAGGAGACAGACAGTGTCGAGAGAGGTAGCGCGTGGACGATTCTTTGTCATGAAGACTCGAGAGGAAAATCGAAGATTTTGCTTATCTGCGGAACCTGCTATACACAAGGAAGTTCGTAATTGTTCATCTACTTTTTATTCTGCTTCCTCGGAGGAGTGACGGGCCTGCTGGCACCAAGGCCACCGTAAACGTACTTTGGTTTCTTCTCCGCTGGTTTCAGGATCTGCAGGGAGTCAATGGATGTAATTTTTGTTGAGATCAGGGGAACAAACCTGGAATGAACATAATAGACTCTCATCCACGCTCATCATCGCACCTGCGTTGTCAAACTCTCCACAGTAGTTAGGCGCACTGAACAGCGTAACCAACTGCCGCTTTGAGAAGAACTCGTAACCGTCTTCGACAACTTGATGAGCTCGGCATATCAAATCCATATCATGCTTTTGTAGGAATCGAGAGACGACATCGGGTCCAAAGGTGAAAGATACACCACGGTCGTTTTCACTCCAACCGGTGATATCTTTATCTGGATCAGACCAGAGAAGATCGCAGAGGAGACCACAGTCGGGGATCTAGGTGTTATCAGCAAGAGCTCAAGCCCTCTCTCGGTACGCCGAGAGATGGCAAGAAAAGACAATTCATAGACTTACATCCGTTGGGCGCATGACACGGCGGATCTGCTCCATGGAGTTCAGGTCGGGACTCAAACCACCGTGCATTGTGAAAATCTTCTCGTCAATGATTGCTGCAATAGGCAAGCAGTTGAAGCAATCAGTGAACGTCTTCCACAGCTTGATGTTGTACCGTCTCTTGCATTCGTCGTAGAAGCCATAGATGCGGTTGATGGAGGCGCATTCGTGGTTGCCGCGCAAGATGAAGAAGTTTTCAGGATATTTGATCTTGTAGGCTAGGAGCAGGCAGATGGTCTCGAGGGATTGCTTGCCTCTGTCGACGTAATCACCAAGGAAGAGGTAATTTGCCTCGGGAGGAAAGCCGCCGTACTCAAACAAGCGGAGGAGATCATAGTATTGGCCGTGAATGTCACCGCAGATCTGCGAACAACAAATGTCAGCTCAGGGTCCTTCTTCGTGTTTTCGACGATCCACAGCGCAATATGTGTACCTTGATGGGAGCTTCCAGCTCTAGTAGAATAGGTTGGGAGATGAAGATCTCACGAGCTTTGGTGCACAGATAACGGATCTCTGCCTCCAAAAGCTGGACCTGTTTGCCGGGGCGGCTTCCTCTGACCTCCAGCAGTCTGTCGATGATGGAGTCGAGATCAACGTCGTTTTGGTCCGCCATTGCTTCTATCCTCTCGTGGAAGGTGACGGGGGGTTTGTTGTGGTTTCCGCAGTGAGAGGGTATGGAGGGGTTATCTACTTCCTAGATTCGAATTCGCTGTTACGAGGACTGTGATTCACTTCTCGATCTGGGGCGCGTGTAGATTCAGTAAGAGACTAAGCAGGTGGGGAAAAGCAAATTCAGACTGGCGCGTTGAAGAGGACCTCAACACGTTCCGCAGGAGCTGGAACACATACAATGAAGTGAGATCGGCCTCAATGGAGCTTTCTGCGAAAAGCCGCGTCTCCCTGGACCCTGCGAAAATTGTATTCCGCCTGTGTGGTCGTGGGTCAAGGGTAAGCCGGAAGAGTGTCTATCGGGGTCACCTCTTGTCTATGGCGACTTGACGCAGAAGTATGTGTCGGTGGGCTGATTATTCGCCGCTGTCGACTTCGCTGGGTGATTCACGGATTGCTCGTCGATGAATGGTGGGGTGGGCGTGAGTGTGTCGAGGGATTCAGAAATCCGAGGCCCGCAACCAACTTGCGTTTTCAAGCGCGCTTGATAAACGAGAGCCTTAAAAAGGTTCTGGAACGCTGCTGGGCGGTGACTTCGAATGCACGCAATGGCCTCGCAGGAGTGCGCGAGGGTTGACTCTGCTCGAGTATGGCAGGATGGCGCTTTGAAGGGCAACTTTCGTACGGTGCTTTCGCAGGCAAAGGGGGCTCGGGGGCGGATGGTGTTTGAGGTTCGTGTGGGCAGGAAGCTGCTCGGCGTTCTGGAATGCTAATGTTTGGGGGCTGACAAAAATGTCAAGTCGTCAAGATGAGGGCAGCACAATGAATTGTTCGGATTCAAAGGGTCGCTGTCGCGGTGTCGTCGTCTTTGTGAGTGATGTTGGAAGGGGGGAGGGAAGAGGCAACAACCTCTTGGCCTCAACTCCTTGCGCTTACCAACAGGGGTTCTCAAACACCTTAAGCAGCGATCCGACCGGCGCTTATACCGCCCATAGCTGCCGTTTTCTCTCGCCGCTTCTAGATTGGATTTCTTCGCTCGGCCATTGGCCAGCAGCACTACATACCAAGAATATCTTTTTACTTTTTGATATCAGTGACGCTCCTTCCCCACTTAATCAGTGCGCACACTCCACAACGAACACGAAACCATACACCAGATACGTGGAGATTTGAAGACGTCCAAGTATTGACACTAGCTGATCGACAGCCTAAGTTGGCTGAATGTTGGGATCGGGGTTGGAAGACCACGGCAGGCAAATCTTGATCTGGATTTGGGGAACGAATCGAATGTTCTGGCCTTCCGCAGGGGGCTCAAAAACGTTTTCTGATCCAAGTATAAAGCATTCAGTATTGAAGCACTGTGGTTGTTTGAGCTTCGTCCAGGAATGTATTGTTCAAAGCAAACACTGCAGGTGGAGTGATAGAGAATTGCTTTACTAAGTGTGGCCTGTCCTCTCGTTCTAGTCAAATATGTATATCTTCGCCCGCAATCTTCTTTCATACCATATTCCCAGCCGATGATAGTGCATGGTCGCAGACAACATAGTTTCAAGTTAAAGATGCTCAGATGCCTTCACATTCTATGTACTACAAACACTTAAATACCCCACCCGTTTCCAGCTTCCAGCAGTTGATTCAACTATCTCAAGAGTGCCTCGACCATGCTCCCATCAACCTCCCATTCATTGCCAAATTCTTTCTTGCCATCAACGGCATGACTTCCACCGCCAATAGACGAAAACCCGAACCTCCTCCTTCGACAACGACGACGAGCATTTACAGAGAGCCACTTTCTTTCACCGTTCTACATACGTAAAGAAAATGAGTGAACGACCCTCTATTTTAAGATCAGAAGCAGACCTTTCCTTGTTCATGTTTTCTTCAGTCGATATGCATCCTGTTCACAAATCAGCTATGTCGACGTCCGTTTTATCGTTACCAGGTCGTGGATAAGAACGGGTTAGGTTTAGAAGCCAAGAGGAGCAGGGAAGTGGCTTTTGGGGAAGGGGGGGGGGAGGTGAATTATAGATGTCAAAGATTTGTAGGCATATCGTTTCAATATCCCAAAGGTTTCCTGGTACATTTCGAAGTCCGAAGTGCACTCTGAATTTTCGGAGAATCGGGGAGTCTTCGGCTTGCCAGACGTACGTGATGTTCCTCTCGATTCTAGGGCACGACTGACTTCTATCGAAGCGTAAGAGCAGTTTAGGGGATTAAAAGTATAGATGCGATGGGCAACAATGATCGACTGAGATTGTATCCACACCGTTCTATTAAGAGTGAAGCAACGAGCTCCAAGGGGATTAAAAATATACTTGCAAAGTGCAACAAACGTAGCCTAAACATAAGCGAAAGAGTGAATACTGCCAGCTCAAGCTTTTCGTTGCACATCGCTTCCATGTTCAAGGGATTCTGGTGCATTGAGATTGTCCCGATGATGTCTCGAGGTGGATTGGTGTCGAGGGACAATTCAGGGGCTCGCTCGGTAACTCGGCAATGCGCACAACATCAAATCACCACAGCATCAAGACACAAGAGATCTGTTTCCAGCAGCTCGAAAAGGGATTTCATTATACCATCCACCCACCCATCCCCATCCAGTCATGAACCCAGCCCGCTCGGTGATGCAAGTAACAAATGCCATCGTCCATCATAAACGCCCCACAGACCAACCGTTTAAAAGCCCCCATATTTTACACATAAAAGGTCCATCAATCAGAAAAAAAGAGGAGAAGAGGAAGAATTTCCCAACCCGGAAAAAGAGATCTAGTTTGGGCCGAAAATGCTCATCATAACGATCTCCCTCACAATTGGCATCATGTGGCATGCATTAGGCAAAAAGAGAAACACACAAGAAGAGAAGAAATGCAGAATATCAAAGTGACCCTCCGACCCGTACGCTATGCTGATGAAACGACAATGATGAGAAAGAACCCGGAACCAATTTTTGATGGAGATGATGCCGAAAATGCAAAAGCCTGGAAGAAAGGAGCAGAGTCGCGAGGATACAATGCCGCTTTATAAAGACGATGGGTATCAAGAACAGCCTCCCAATGCAACTAATTGCCAACCGCCTCTCCGAATATAAGGTACAATCATCCCAGTCAAGGGGATTGCGTATGGACATGTTCATCCTAATGTCCGACCACTATGTATTGTTTGTTGAGAATTGGCGCGAGGTGTGGTAGGGCTCGGCCGTATTGTGCTTGCAGGACTGTAATCGGGTGCTACAAAGCCTTGGTGGGGGTTCTTCTGTGCATCCCACCCTTCTTCGCTCAGCACACTGAGCCACCCATTTCCAACCTCGTTGCGAAGTGCTTCGAGTTTCTTCTTGTAGATCTCACCGCTTACCTTCCAGTCCTGCAAGTCGTTTTGAGATTTGATCAGCGGACCATTGTAAGATAGCGACTCGATGGGAGGTAATCGAGGTGCCACTGACGTATCAATCCGAGGGATATCTGACGAGCTTTGAGTTTGACGGGGTTCTGAAGGTACGTATGATGGTAGAGTCCGAGGTGAGGGGTCGGGACTGACACCATAACCGCTATCCGATCCGGCAGCAGTAAGAGTAGCTTCTTCTGCCGTAAACTTGACCGTAGGTTTGGAAGGAGAAGTTTCGGAGGTCGAGAGATCCACAATCCTCCGCTTGGGGGTCCTTCTTCGCCGCCCGGAGGAGCTGGTATAGACTTCGCTCGTTGTGGATTGGGGCGCCGGCCGTTCCTTGTGCAGCACGGCAGGTGCACGCTGTGTTGGGTAGTCAATGATGGGTTTGTTTACTTCTACCGCAGACAAACCATGATCTTGTGGAGGCGGCTTGACGACAGGCACATTGGGCTTCTCCGCTGCACGTTCGACAAGGTGTCTTCGCTCCGTGTACCCTGGACCAGATGCATCAATGGAAATGTCCTCTGTATAACCAGGGGTGTTCCTGAAAAGGTTGAAGATGGTGATTCGGTAATTGCTGTGTGTTCTAGTGAAAGGGTTACCCAGGACCCAGACTTCTCGAAGATCAGGAATCCCAGTCAGTCTAGCCAGTTCCGTTGGATCAGTCATCCTATTGTCTCTCAGATCTAGTCTCTCTAGGGGATAGAGTCTTTCCACGCCAGCGATAGATATCAGTCGATTCGATCGTAGATTCAGTGCGGTGATGGCTGGTAGAGGATTTCTTGTCAATGAATGAAGTGAATCTATCATGCAGTTTGACAGGTTGAGCGCTCTGAGGGCTGTAAGTGTCGCCAGGCAATCAGGGATCTGGGCGAACAGGTTCGACGACAGGTCGAGGGAGTGAAGTGTATTGGCCAATGGGGCCAAACTTGACGCCGAGATCGAGGTGATACCATTATCAGCAAGACTAAGGTGCTTGAGGAATCTCCATTTCGACAACGGCAGTATGCCCATGGAGAGCAGATTCGAAGAACTGCCTCTGGGGTTGTGCCATCCTTCTGACATGCTTGAGTGGGAGCTTCCGGATCCGGAACGCTTCACCTTGTATGAACCTCTGAGGTGTCCGTGTGATGACCCAGTCCGTGAGCTTGGTCGCCGCACCGGAGAATTGCTCCTTGGTCTTGACTTGGTGGGAGATTGTGCACCATCCGAACCTGATCTCACCAGTGAGACGCCTCGCTCGGCCTCCTCCTCGATATGACTCTGTTGATCAGGAGAGCCAGGTGCCGAGTTGGATTTCACCAATTCCGCATGTGGCAATGTCGGACTCCGCTTGGGGCTTTGTGAAGCAGCCCACTGGGCCGTTGGGGACAGTTGAGCTTTCGAAGAGCGCCGCCGACGCTTGTCCATATCATCCAGCACAATGTTTATGAGAAGGTCTGCGGGGTCGTCGACTCCTGCGCGCTTCACAGTCAACGATCTCAGTTGTTCGGCCAGTCGATCCCAGCCAAAGAACTGCCGAATATCAATGTCACTTATTTCCAAAGCACTGATGTTCTTGAACGCGTATAGTGGAACGGCACTGTCGAATGGGAACTCCTCGTAGCCTTCGATCAATCGGGCCCGTCGGTCAGGAGCAAGTCTGAGACAGGGGATCTTGGTGAAGGCGGAGTATAGGTATTTCAAATCTGCTTCAATGGCTGCCTTTTGCTTCTCAGTACGTGCAGCGGCCCCTCCAGAACCGAGGCCAAAATTGGACCACAGGGAAGACATGCCAGACATCACGCTTCGAACACTAGACACCGAATGTACTGAGCCATGGTCAGAGCCTCGACCTTTGGGCCTTTGTGACTGACCCAGGAAAGAGACATAGTTTGCTGCTGAGGTATCTGCGTGAAGGTTCTCCAGCCTTACGTTCATGGGGCCAACAACGATGCCTAGATCTTCGAAACGGGAGAGCAGGTAGAAGAGATGGTGGGGTGTTAAGGCAAGCTTGGCAGGCTTGATGTTATGGGACGCAAAAGTCAGGTACGGTAGAGACAGAGCCGCTGCGAGTGTACTCGATGTTGTTGAGGACGACGCGGAGGACGGTTGGTTCGTGGTTGTTGGTGATTGTGGTACCGCCGAACCTCCAACCGCACCGGGCACAGTCTGAGACGAGCCATTCTTCGAAGCTTGTTGGCGTCGTAGTTGAAGAGCATTTGCCAATGCCTTCTCGTGTGTCCGGACAAAGTGGGCCAAGTTCTGCAGACAGACAAATGTTAGCACGCGCGGCTGAGGTAAAGTCGAGCCTCGACAGCGAGAACGAACCTTTATGAAGAACTGCCCATCCTCGGTGTCCATCATTGAGGATGCATAGGGTTCGATGTAGATGAATAGAAAGTCTAAAGCCCATCGGCGGATCCAAGACTCCCGCGGAAAGGCTCCCTGCTGCCTTGTATCTCGACCACGGAGAACCTCGTGAGGCAAGCGTACGACTCGAGCCGGGAGACGGGAGGATGAATGGCGGTCTGCACGTCACACAACATTAGATCGATCTGCAATTCAGGGTGCGTGATAAGGTAGGAGGACAAAGTAACGGTGTATCAAGTCGGAAGTCAGTGCATCTGGAGCCTCGAGTCGCTCATGGGCCTTGTGTTGTTGCTCGAGACGGCGAGGAGGCACGGAGACGGAGGCTTGAAATGATAGATTCTCAAGAGGCCTGACGCACATGCAATGCAGCGGCACACACAGAGGGAAAGTAGAACGAACGTACCTCGACAACCACCCTTCTCGTCGTCGTGGGAGTGCTCAGCACCGAGAGCAGAGCAGCTCCAAGGCACTCGCTCGCTGAAGCAGAAAGGGAGGGGAGGTGGACGGAGGAAAATCCCACAGTCCAGCAAGGACTTAAGAAGGGAACGATATGATATCTCAGTTTAGTTCAAAGTTCTGCCGCCGTCTCAAGAGATGGGGGGCACTGGGACCGGACCAATGATGAAGGGAATGGGAGTTTGGGAAGTTATGCAGGCGTATGCAGGCAGCGAGGTCGCTACAGGTTCGTGGAGGGTCCACCTCAGCCAGGATGATATTGGGTCGGTTGGCTCGTGTGGCTCCTGTTCGTGCAGGAGGAAAACGCACACTGCGAATGTCTGCTGCGAGTTGAGGGGGCAAAATGCGCAAAGAAGGAATGAAGAAATGAATGAATGAATGTGAAGAAATGCGAGGCTCGGGAGCAGCAGCGCTGCAAGAGAGGGAGGGCGCGGTGCGGTGCGGTACGGGTACGGGGTCTACGGGTCTACCGAGTGGCGGCTGCGTGAATGGGAGCCAAATTGGCAAATTGGCAATGTTGTGTTGATGCTGATGTTTGAGCGAGTGAAGCTTCCCTCCCGCGATCTAGCGGCTGGCTTGATAACCGCGACCAAAAAAGGCCGCCCGAGCCCGAACATATTGATTGAGATTGAGATTGAGATTGAGATTTCGAGATGCCCGCCGAGCTGTATCCTTGCGCTGCGGGTTACAGTACGTGCAGTCTTTCTGGCCATGTTCATGTTCCCTATTGGGAATGTCCCTCTTGGGGATGTCCCTGTTGGGATATACCATACACAGGCATGCATGGGAATTGATTGAGCACAGCTTGCCTCCTCCCCACGAGCCAACCGCGTCCAGAGGTTCTCCCTCTCTCATGCTGATGCTGGTGCTGATGCTGAATGCTGAATGCTGATCTTGTTCATCAACAGCTTGAGATTGCCCAGTGGACCCTGTGAACTCTGTGCACCCTGTGCGATCCCTGCTGCAGATGGGGTGGGGCTGTCTTGAGCCGTGCCAAGCCAACTTTGCACCGCCAAAGCGGAGACGCCTTCCCTCCAAATCTCCCTCCTCGGCCCAATCAGCTCCACCTTCTTGATCTCTTCGATCAACCCCCCCTCCCCTCCCTCCGCGAACACCACCTCGCCGTCGACATGAAAGGAATGTGAGAAGCGGCTGGGGTCGTCGTCGCCAGCCTGCCTCTCGCGACACCTTCAACATCCAGCCAGCGGCAGGCTAGTCGTCCATTCTTGCCCTCACCGCTTCGATCCGGCAGCCAAAGGGCCACCCAAAGGGCAGGCAGGCACTTCCCCAATACTCGTCGCCACACACGGTGCATTCGCACACACGCAACATCATACACACCCTCTTGCGCGGTCGCTGACCACAGTCACATTATCGCTGATCAGCGAAGGTCCGAGACTGGTTCAGCCTCACGCCTCGCGCACAGGTCACCAGAGAAATGCGGCCAATCGTTTCGATTCCTGATCGACACTCCTGACAAGAGCCATCGCAGCCAGTGCCCTCAGCTCACTCAGATCATGCTGGATTTGGCTGTGTCTCACGGGTGCACCGTGTGGCGAAGGTGGCTTATCAAACTCGATTGCGATTGATCGGTCATCTGAACAATTTTTATCTTCAGATGCAGAGAGGGAACGCACTTACCAGCAAGCGAACGGTGTGCAACAAAAGCAACGACATGACGCTCCGTTGCAGCGGCCGGCGGCCTGCGATTCGACAATGGAATACTCGAAGTGGCCTACCGCGAGCCTGCAGCAATGCTGCCGGTCATGGACTCATTGGGATGATTCTGCATGTGCTTGGCGTCTGCTCTCGGCTGCCAACCCACTGAAGCATTCAGTTTGATAATACCGCGCATCACCCAAGATGTGGGGTTTGGCCGCTGAGATTTCCGAGGCAGGACTAGAAAACAGAATCACAGACCAGACCAGCTGACATCATTTGCCCAGGTAATCAGATCGACTATCCCAGGATTTTCGGCTTTATTCTCCCAGAAGTGGCAGGTTGGATCGGCTTTGAGTAAGCTCGAAGATGGGGGCACAACTCCATGACGAGGTTGCCCCTCCAAGAGTCCAAGGATTTGTGGGATCCTCTGGGATTCTCTGACAGCGGTAGCGGTGAGGGGTGCAAGGGGGTGCAAGTTTGAATCGGACCCCCAAAACGCTGGTACAGGACAGTACAGTAGTAGGAACCTTATTTGATCAGGTTTATCCGTGCTCCGTGCACTGTTTGAGATGCACATCACTCGAGGCTAAGCATCATGGGCGGCTTGCGCGCCTCATCCAGAATGTCGTCCGGTGATTGTTCCGATGCCGCCGAGGAGGGGCCCAGCCAGTTCAACGGCGAGATGTACGAAATTTTCTCGAAACGCTTTCGAGAAATATCGTGGAGTGTGCATCAACCGACTGGGGTCGGCATCGCTCACCGATGTTTCGACAATTGACGAACACCAACGAAACACTTCCCTCGGGATCACCAGCCGCCAAGGCTGCATTTTAGTCTATCAAAGTATGTATATGCCGAATTATTGCTGCAGTGTTGTTTATGTTTGGATCAGACCACCACACGGCGTTTCGCCATCAGCGAAGGCATTGATTCCTCTGCGAGTTCATGGAGAAGTTTTGAATCAGTCACTCTCGGCGGTCGAGTCAGCAGCAGCCGACCAAGTTGGTGTACCACGACCCCAAGTCACGTTCTGTTATCTTCCAAATAATCAAGTTTGGTAGACTTGGCTGTCTTACAATCATCCGATAATCAAGGCAAAAGTGATAGAGTTTTGAAGAGCATACCAAGCTTTACGCAATCACCAGTGATACACCGGAGGTATCCCCGAGTTGGATATCGTAGGTTTGAACTATTCTTGGAACATGATCAAGGTTAGTCGACCAAAGATTCAGATCTAGTTTTGAATCGGCTTCAGTGGATACTATTTGATCAGCCACGTTTTCAGAGTTCGCACATGCAAAGGATACCTTCGAAAGTTCGAGCGGAACCAAGCTTGCAACGGAAGAAGATTTGAGCTGGGTCACATGGTGCTTCACGCCCTCTTCTTGATTAGTAAGAAAGGCCTTATATCCTCGGAGGAAGATAAGGGCGAACTTGTTGATTATTCTCATAGAGGACTTGAATTCAACACACCCTCAGCAGCCCTGTTGTTTGGAACTTCATGTATTGAATACTTACTAATCCACAGCAGTATTGCTAATGTGGTGTTTGATCAATGTTTCTTTTGTTACTAAGTTCATGTCATCTGACTTTATCTCACGGTGTTGCATTACGAACATTCTCGTTCAGGAATCATCCCCGAGTGTTCTCCAAGGTACTCCGAGAGTTCAGTCGTTCAGATCCTTTGAATGAGACCAAATGGTACGGAAATGAAAGCATTTCTTATCAAGCAGAATTGCTGATCCTTGAAGTTAAGTTACGCCTCTGTAGCTCCAGAGGAATTCCCAAGTAAAACTCAGCAGAATCCTCAACCCAGCGATTGAGATCTACAAAATGGCCAAAAGAACACAGCAACTCAGAATATTCATAACCCTCGACGTCAGCGCTTCATGAACCCCAGTTCACTTTGCACCCAATCCTTATTAATCCGATGATCGCAGCCCCTGCCCCGCAGCGTATAATTTGTACCCCGCCGGCTCATTGCCCATCCACGGCTATCTACTTGTAGCAACTTCGAGATGAGCAGCCCAGAGTAGGCGTACTAGACTTGTACGTTGCATTCTGAGGCATCATGAGTGATTTGGCCACTACAGTATTCAAGGTTTGAATACAGCAAGCTAGTGTCGGATATGCAGTGTTTTCGACATTGAGATCATGAGCTTAGGCGGAGCGGCTTGACAACAATAAATGAGTTGTCTCGTCCCGATAATTGACAAATTGCGGAAGTTTGACAGCAGATTTGTGCATGGAAATCCCAAGCCAATGTACTACTAAGGCGCGGGCTTTGAGAAGGTACAGAGTCAGCAGGCGTAGGATCAAACTTCTTTTGTTCTTCGATCGGCGCTTAGGGGGTACCTCCACAATTGCTTACGCATATGCGAGGTATTGTGAGCATAAATGTTTGTGAACTCAAGGCAGCGAAGCGAGCATTCAAGTATATATATGCGATATCCGATCTTGGTACGTGTTGCATGGCACTGCCGCCGCCCCCCAAGTGCCCTCTGCGTGCCTATGTCACGTGTTCAGGGGCTTGGCTCCTGGGCATGTTTCACCCCTATAAGCGCTCCGGAGCACCCAATTTATGCTCCTCAGAGAGCGCATTCTGCACTTGCGTCAGTATGCCTCGAACTTTATTCCTCGCTCGAAGCATATACAGCTCTCAAAATTGCCGGTAGCTGTATGTACGATTAGAGAGCGCGCCGGGACCAGCTACAGGAAACGACGCAAATACTACAAAGTTTCTTCCCTGCCAACCAAGTATACTTCATCGTCGAAGGGAAGGAAGTGCAGACGCAGGAGGAGGAAAATGGCCGGCCTTCTGCCTTAGAGTAGCCACATTCGCAAAAAGCTGTGTTGAAGTCGTGGGTCGTCCATCCATGAGCATTTATGTCGTGAGCCAACAAACGCCAGCGCGCTTCGGCGGATTAGAGGGCAGTATGAGAGTTTATTTCTGCCCTGCCACAAACGTAGGAATCAATCGAAGCCCCGAGAAAATCAATCCAGTCGTCAAAGCTCAGAGATTTACAAGTACTGTACAGTCCAAAATCCTAGTCACCCCATTGTATTCCTTCTCTCGATACTTCTTTAGAAAGCCTCACCCTATCTCCTTTCTCTCTGTCTCCTCCTCCCCATCTCCTTCGCTCCCCTCACTCATTCACTCACGATTCAGATCCCGATTTAGCCTGCTCATGTCTCCCTCCATCCCGCTCTTGCATGGAAACCCGCAGCTTCGCCACCAGTCTACCTCTCATCAGCATGCTATCCCAAGCCTTCACACACTCCTTTTCCAAGTTTTGATATCAACTCACCAAATCGTCATTCCCCGTCCTCCCAATGCCGCCCGGCTTCGGGACAAACGCGTCCTTCACCTTGCTCAACAACCCATACTTCTTCTTCCCTCCCTCGCCTCCTCCTCCTCCTCCTTCTCCCTCGTGGCGGTCCTCACCCTCCTCCATGTTATTGTCGTACCCCGCGCTCTGCGTCGACGGGTCCCGAGGCCCCGTTTCTCGCCTCTGCGTCTTGTCTGTGCGGGTTCACGGGCGCTTTTCTGCGGGCATCGATATCAGCATCGCTCTCGTTCGAGAGCGTGCGCCCTTGGTCGGAGGGCTTGTCTGAGCGGGACGGGACGGGGCGGCGGAGGGGTGGGAGAATGTGCCGCTGACTTGTTGCGAGTTCGTACCGGGGTTTCAAAGAGGGGGGAAGCGAAGGAGGGAGGGAAAGGAGGGACCTATACCAGAGGCGGTTGAGGCGTCTGGACATGAGGCGTCGGTGGTGTTGGAGAATATGCCGCCTACTTCGTTGGAGCTTATTTCGGTGTTGCGGGTTTGATTTGGATTTCTTTTGTTTGCTGTGTTGTAGTTGTTTGAAGAAATGTGTGAAGGGTCCCTTGAAAACTTTTATAACGGAGGAAAGGTAGGAAAGGGGAGTGAATCGAAGGGTTGCTGGATATAATGTTGCTCTTCCAAGAGAGGGGGAAGGTTTGACGTCACGGATTATTGTCACTTTGAACCCCGCACCCTTGTGCCGTTGAGTGATTTGCCACGATAAGAAAAAGGTAAACGGAAGATTGAGCCATCGAATTGAAGGCAAGGCTCAGAAATGGTTGTCCTGTAGGGATTTAATTGAGGCGTTTGGTTGGGCTCTGCTAAGGTGTCAGTCGAATAGTCGCTTAGGAATGATTGACCCCCTTTTGAAAGAGGGCACGTGCGTCGCCCATATACTTAAGCTCACCCCCGAGACGCAATCCGTCGGTCTGCATACAGGAAAGATAAGTTCGAAACCTCAACTCTGATCATCGAAACTTCTGTAACAAAAGAGCTCAATGGACAAGATTCAAGATTGGGACTTCCCAGGACATTGGTATCACGTTCTATTCGCACCTACTGTACATACAAGTATCCCCCCATTACAGCACAAGTCTCCCAGGCTCCTCCTCTAGCACCATCTTCACCCTGTCCAGGAACAGCCTTGCCCTCCTCTCCTCCCCCTTCGGCACCCTGACACTAAACACATTCACCTCCCCCGACAAACCAGGCAATGGCCTACCTCCCAACCCTTTCGACGCAGGCCTGCTCTTCCCCGTTAAGATATCAATGATATCCACCTCTTTCCTCTTCGGCAATTTCGCCACAGGAACCGTGCCGGACAGTGCCGTGATCTGAGGAAGGAAAGTGCCTCTCACGCCACTGGGGATTTTGTCCAGCCCGAGAACTTGGCTGAAAAGCTCATCAGCAGACGCAGCTTGCGTTTTCGATCTCGGGAGATTATCGTTGGCTACGTCCGTAGCTCTTGCAATGAAAGTAGAGAGGGGCATGAATACACCCAGCGTGCTCTGTATCCGTTTCTGCACTTCGATGACCGCTCTCATCGAGATCGGGACTGCGACTTCGAGGTCCTGAACAATCGCTGCTGGGATCGGTTCCGCAGCGGTTTTTTTGGGTGGTGCTGGCGCCCGTGCCGCGAGCTTGATGTTGCTCAGGTCGAGGTGCGTGAGTTTTTCGATTTTGGTGGAGAGCTCGGTGGGGTAGGAAGAGGAGATGGAGCCCATGTATGCTAAGACGTCGCCCTTGAGGAGACGGTTGTTTGGTCCACTGGGTGTCATTTTGTCGATTGCTGAGGGCGCGAGGCCGTGTTCGTGGATTAGGTGCTGGACGGAGGGTAAGAGTGGGTATGTTTGTTTCTTTGCCGGCCCGGATGGCTTCACAGGTTCGTCCGCAGATGCAGCAGGTTTGGGCGTAGGAGAAGCTTCTACTTTTGGTTCCGACTTCTTTTCCGGTTCTAGTTTTGAGGCTTCTTTTTGAGGTGGATGGGCAGCACTTTCTTCAGCCGGTATTTCCAAGGTACTCAGATCGTCTCCTGGTTCTGCGATGACTCCAATTCGTGATCCCACTTTAATCCCCTTGGCCCCATCTCCCTGAGTGATCTTTGCGAGAATCCCATCATCCTGTGCTTCCACATCCATGGACGCCTTGTCCGTTTCAATCTCAAGCAGGACGTCTCCAGCGGAAAACGAATCCCCCTCCTTCACAGCCCACTTGGCAATATTTCCCTCCGTCATCGTCGGTGATAGAGCTGGCATAGTGAAGTTCTGAGCAGCAAGACATGCCGCTGAAGTCCGGAACCCTGTTCAATGGATCAGTAGCTTTTCTTTGAATCCCCCCCCCCCCCCCCGAATAAGTCCCTACCTCGAGCAGTGGCATCTTGCCGCAGCTGCCTAGCGGTAAGCCTAGCTGACAAACGATAAGCTGTCGCAAAAGATGCCATGTTGGCCACAAGAAAAGGGAGCTCAATTGAGCTTTGCAGGTTGAAGGGCGCGGACTAAGACTCGTGAAATTGTCAAGGTGGTTGAGTCCCGCCAAAATCCGATGGTCGCGCTAGACAGGGGTGTGCTCGATTCGCCGACAGCTCCATGAATTTTTTGGACGACAGTGAACCGTGGACTAACTTCACGAGTTTCTTCAAGGTGAGCTCTGAGCAATCTTGAGGAGGCCAATTGGATGTGTAACTAATTGACTGCTATTACAGATGTCAGCTTTCTCAAGAGGATGCCTCTGTGCCTTTACTCCCCGAATAATCCACCTCTTCTCCACCAAGAGCTTCCAACGCACCCAATTCTTCTCTACATCTCCTCTTCTCCGCGCAGCAAAGAAGGCCCGACCTCCCTCGGCCATCAAAAAAGCTCTTCCAACCTCCAAACCAAGCTTCATAGCCCCAAAAGCCGTACCCCAAATCACACAGGCAGCGTCAACCTACCAATCGTACGCCGCAACCCTAGCTCAAAAGCTCCATCCTACACTCCTCTATACAGCGCCCTCACATACTATGTTCATGGCAGCCTGCTACACAGGCTCAACCTTCTGCTTCAGCTACGCCATCGTATTTTTATGGTCAAACATCAATACTGCCGAGGGTCTCGCGCCTTGGGTTTCCACCGCCCTGGCCGGCGTCGCCATCTTCATGGCTGGGTTCGGCACCTGGCTTATCCTCGGTCCTGCGAGGCTGATAAAAACCATCACCGCGATACCGAAAAATGCAAACGCGATATCTACAGCTGTAGGCAAAGCCGCAACCCCCGAGCTGCAGATCGAGGTAGAGTTAAGGAAGATGTTTCCCCTCCCTTTCTTCCCAGCAAGGAAGATATACGTCAAGCCCGAAGAGATAATCCTGCCTCTTCCGCTCGTACCGCCACCCCCGAAAGCCCTTACTGTAACCGAAATCCGCGAACTTCGCATTGCAGAAGAGGAGGAGAGCAGGAAGTTGTTAGAGTATGAGCGGAGCCATATCATGACGGCGCCGTTCCGGCATATGTCGAGGGGCTTCTTTCAACTGTTTAAGGCGATTGGGAGGACGTGGCATAGGGAGGGGTTTATGAAGGTTGAGGTTAAGGGGATGAAATATAAGTTGGATGTTACAGGGGGTTGGGCGTTGGACAGAGGACGGGCTTTGGATCGGTTGGCGAGAGTGAGGCCTGGGTTGTGACAGCTTTAGGTATGAGTATGAGGGAGAACTCACGTATTATATGTACATCTAAGAGACGTCACTCCTGTCTTCAGGTATGGATTCAAAGGCCGAGTCTGCTGTAGATTAAAGGTTACTCAATGATGACTTGGGGGAGCGAGTTGAACAAATATTTGAACTGGTTACCTGGATTCCTCGTTCTTTTCATTCCATATTCCTCTTCACCACTTCAAAATAATCAGACGAAATCGTAACATGTCAACAGCCTCATACAGTGAATACCATCTGTAGCAGGCCTCCTAGACCCCCATGCACTGAAGGGAGCATAGCGTTACTACTTGGTCATGTTCTGCTCTCCACCGAGGGAATGTGGAAAGTCAGCCTTCAACATCTCATTGTACCAAGAACATTTGGAACATTGAAGTAATACGCAACGAAATATAAATCCCTACCTGAAGGGTGAATTTGAGGGTAAACGTGAGGAGGGTAAATGTCAACAAGACCGCGATATTCAACAAACGCAAACAGCTCGGAGAAATTTAAGAAGAGTGAACATAGCTCTAAGAGGAGTGAGTACCCCAGTTGGAAAAGTGGGCCTCAAGCAACATTAATGGCGAGCCGAATCAGTCCACTCCTTCCCTCTCCCTGAGGAACACTCAAAAGAAAAGTCTGCAGACGAGCAACAGAACACCGGTTATATCCAGCGGAAATAACTCTATTCAATTCTAAGGTTCACATCGTTTCAAGAAAAAAAAGTTTGAGTGTATGAGACAAGGAGGAGCCGAATCGGGAACAGCGAGTCGGCTTCGTTCTTCGTAGTGAACATAAGATGAGTAAGAATACGAGAAGAAAAAAAGAAGAAAAAAAGAAGAAAAAAGAAGTCGTGATCAGATTTCATAGATAGGCAGAAGGGGAAGGTGTAAACGTGTGGGTGTCATGAACGGAGAGGAGGGTTGAGTCGATTCGGTCGATTTGCAAACCTATCAGACTCGTAGCAGTGCTAGCCGTTAGATGGGATATGCAGCAAAATGTGCTAATTCAGAAGTCCCCCCGAATTGCATCGATCAGTGACATGGATCAGTGACTATAGAATCCCCTCCTGGTGTGATTGCATCAATATTGTGCGTTGTCCTTAACCGAGAAGGATTCCTTTACCCCTTTCCATCCTTTTGTCAAACCCTAGCAAAAACGCACTTTTGTCCGATGCCCTACCCCTAATACTACCAAACTTCCTCTCCCATATCAATTCCCTCCAAACTCACCATTCCTCATCGCAAACAGCGGCACGCTACTATCACTAATCCCCTGAATATCAATTCCATTCGGCACGGCCGCCAGCACCGAACTCTGACCCGGCCCAAGTGTGGACGTCAATCCCAGGCCCGGCCCCAGGCCCGGCGTCAAGCCCGTCAACCCGTTGGAGCTGGGCCACTGCCACAGGGACTCGAAATCGATCTCTGCGTCGCCCAGAGAGTCGCTATCATGAACGCTATCTGTGCTGTGCGGATGGCTGGAGGTACGGGCGAGGTCGAAGAACGCGTCGAGAGAGTTGTGGCGAAATGCCATCATGTCCGGGTCGCCTGGGGAGAGAGTTTCGTTCGAGCTAGATGAGTTGCGCTGCATAGGTAGTTGAGATGTGACATTGGCCGGGCTCAGGCTTGCGGTCGAGTTGTTCCGACCTGAAATTGGGTCGGTCGCAGCGGATGGATGTTCTGACGCATGTGTGCCTTTCCCCTGGAAGAGTTTATCCATAGGGTCATTAGCGTCATTCACGGGGATCAGTTGCTGTTGTGCGAATGTCTGGGCCTGAGCTTGAGCTTGCTGTTCGCTGAGAGTCTGCTGATCACGTGTGGCTTGCTCTCTCTGGACAACGTCTCGGAAGGAGGTGAGAATGAAGAGTAGCCGGCTTCCTTGCGGATCTTGCTGAGCAAAATAATGCATGATGTTGATCGCATTTGTGATATTCGAATTTGCTGATGGATTATTATAGATGCCCGAAAACTCATTTGCAAGAACTATGAGAGCAGCTGCAAAAAGGAAGTAACTAGATTTGTGAGCATTGGTCAATCGTGCTCACGAAGATCAGACTTACAGGACGAAGGGAGTTCGATGTGGCAAGTATCGACCCTCCAAAGCCGTCTGAACCAAGGCAATGCTGTGACTGCTGGAAATCACACAGGCCTCCGCAAACTTGTCCATTCTGGAGCTAGATCTTTCCGAACGCTGACCGGCCTTGGTTGGATCTTGATGAATCTTATACATAACGAACAAGAAGAACGGTCTAGTAAGTAGAACAATTGAATGGCAGTACAGAAGGTTGACATGCAGAATCGCAATTCCTTGAGCTGGGCTGGCAGATTTTGCCTGCTGGTAGTGTAATGACGGATCTAGGGTTTTATTCCAGGCTTTGCAAGCATCTGCAATTTCCTGTGCGATCTTTGTGGAAATCTTCCTCTTGGAGTAGACCTTTTCAAGAATGACACCAATCACGTGACAACTACGCACCGACGCCTCAAGCCCGAGAGCATGAGGCCCAGTGAAGTTTGCGTTTGCAGCTGTTGGAAATGGCGCCTGAGGGAAAGGAGCTTTCTCTCTAGTAGATAAAGTGGTGCCTGAGCAATCGCTTTCTCGAATGGCTGTTGGTCGACCAAGTGAAGCGGCCAGAAACCGGTCGAGAACAAATAAAGAACGCCAAAGGTTCCTTCTAATGGACTGTTCAGCACTGCTGAAGATACACATTGTCTCTTCTCTATGGAGGCCTAAAGCGAAAGCAGAACGTACGGCCATGCCTGAGATATGATGAGATCAAGTGAATATTTGAAGGGCAAGGCCACTCACCGTAGAACGCATAGGCTGCGTTCCTTTTGGAGACCGCTAGGTTATACACGGCCATGAGAGTCAGTGCCTGTATGCTCCAGAATCCCGCATCTTCAAACCCTGCTGACGGATCTTTAAGGTGCTTAGCGTCTAAGTAGAAGACCTCGGCCCGATCTGCTCGCTCCCCTTTCAGCTTTTGTATGATTGCATCCTCACGAGTCCCAGGTGATGGAGCAGCCATGACGAGACCGATCGCGAGGACAAGAAACAACAAGCAAAGCCAATTCGGGTCCACGCTCAGTGGATCTGAATAGCACGTGTCGAGGGTGGTCATGAATGATTTTCGATGGAAAACCTCCACTAGTCCATTGATCTGTTCAAGCTTAGAAACGTTTCAAACAACAAGAGGACTGAGCTTACATTTGTAAAATACGATTCGACAAGAATATTGGCCGTTTGCCTATCAGGAAGCAGGTGAGTATGTCGAATGTTTTCTGGTAAAGTGATGATGTTTTCGACAATTCTGTGTCGTCTGGGGTCTAAAGTGAAAGGTGACGGGCCTGCAACATTGTCGACAATCATTCGTATCAATTGAAGGAACGACAGGGTAGCGGAATCGCCAATGTATACTGATGGACTCATATTAATGACCTTTCCACGTCTCCAAGTGCTGAATGGCAAGAGAGCATGCCGATAAATGACTTACACAATCGCCCACTGGGGTCTTGGAGCATTCTAGTATAATTATACACCTCAGCCTCCTCATCCTTCTCACTCACAGATCCCGCAGAGACCAGAGCCGAATCAGCGCCGGGAATGTTGAGTCCTGCCTTGGGCGCATCTCTTTGGCCTTCCAGGAAGAGGCCCTTCGGCGGAGCAGCCAACTTCACATCGTCATCCTGAAGCTCATTGACTATCAGTCTATGGCTATCAGTCACTGAAGTCCATTGGGGGGCTTGGGGGCTTGACTGGGTGTGGCCAGTTTCCGGGGATATCTGATGAGCAGGGCCGGATGTATGTCCGTTCGAGGGAGGGTCAACCATCCGACGCTTCGGTGAAGGAAGTATCCCATCGGCATCATCTTCGGAGGCTCCATACACACAACTCAGGCCTCGTTTTGCACAAGTCTGACAAGGTTTTACTCCATTGCACTGGAGTTTGGGTCAGTCTAACGACATATCTTGGAGAAACGGTCATGAAAGCCACCAAAGTGGGTGTTTCGGTGTGGAAGCAAAAAGCGGTGAGACATTGAGAACTTGGCAAGTTGACGGAAACTGTTAAGGCATCAAGAAGAAACCAATAAGAAACCCATCGTGTGAAGTTTTGACAGGAATTCGCCCACGTTGGCTAGCGCACTGGAGAAGGAAATATTGGTCACATGACCCGGTAGTTGAGGCACCCGTCGAAACGTCAAGGGGCCTCAAAGGAAACCATGAAAAAACATCGATTTGGATATGAGATTCCTGGCTCTCCACGTGTGACTGAAACACTGGAGCGGAGGGCCGAGCCGGCACTGGGTCTTCCCGACGGTGTCGATCAACTTGAAGCGGATGCTGCCCTCCCTGCGCCAAATGAAGTAATATCCCTCATTGTACATGAGATTCTAGACTACAGGAACGTATCATGTGATGGCGCTCGAGGGTGAGTGACAGAAGAGGGACTCGGATGGAATAGGTCACAGTCAAATGAGACCATTCTCACTCACTTTCTGTTTCCTCCGCTTGCAAGACTCGCATGCTTGGGCAGTTCGCTGCCTTTTGTCAGGGTCGACTTTGGGGCGAGTCATGGCGACTATCCAGTCATGTCATACTGATTCGACGGTGATCCTCCTCAAGGCCTGGCTCGTTCTGGCTGTGGCTCTGGATCTGGACGTTGAGTCGTTGCTTTTGCCGGGCGAGTGGCTTGGGAGCATGGGACGCCTTCTGGACACTGTGGTTCGTTGGGTTGCTGCGGGTACTGTATCTTGTACTGTATCCGCCGGTCTGAGGCTGCGTTCGAGATGAGCAGTATCGGATGAGGGCTTGAGGAGAAGCTCGAAAAGTTGGAAGTCGCGGATGCTGGCCGTCTTTGAAGGGCGCCGCACGCATCACACTTCCAGGGCACAACCACCACGGAGAGCGCCAGACACTAAAAAGCAAACCAGTCCCAAGCCGCTCCTCGCTCTTCAGCTGTCGCTGTACCACCCTCAGGTCGCACAAATGTTGATCGTATTGCAAAGCAATCACCAAGATCATTGAGCAGAAAAGAGTTCGGCGCATCGCCCCTGCCGCCACGAAACCCATTTTTCAGCCGGCGCAGATTGCTCTGTCGAATGTACGTCAATCCCCACCCTTGACTCCATCAAAACTCTGCTGCAATTGCCAACTTCCCTGCTCTTATGCTGTATCACCATCGGATGAGGCCCTCAGTCCCGAGTTCAAGAGTTCGGGACGCCCTACTCCCGTTTAAATCTGGATGTCGATGACTACATTGGCGCTCTCGAAGCAAGTGCTGATGCGTTTTGAAGGGTCCAAGGGGAGTGTGGCTGATGAGAAGGTGGCTTTCCAGAGACATCACCTCTCGGTCCTCCCCTTCAACTCCCACTTCCGGGGTCCCGCGGTTCCCGCCGACCTTTGCTATGGCTGACACAGGCCGTCCGGCCTGGATGATTGGTTTCTGGGACGGCATCTCTGATTGATCAACAGCTTCTTCTCCGGAAATGGCTTCGCAGCCCGCGACAGCTGTGAGCCACATCTTCGCCATTGGACAGCGTTACACTACACCAGCCCAGCAAGCTGACCGTCCGACCCCAGGTTTGACGCGAGCTACCCCACCTTGCTGGGACCTCCTCCACGCTGCGGGGTCTTGGGACTGCCAGCATTGACCGCTACGTCCCCTTCTGCATTGAGAAAGCCCCGAGGAAGAGTGACGAAGCTTTGCTCCTCTGTCGGGTAGTGCCCCAATGCCCAGACGGCGAACTAGCCTCCAAGCTCTTATTCACGTCCCGGGCCCTCGACCATATCTTATCATGGGCTTCAGGATCAGCAGCAGATGCAGGCCGAAGCATGCCATCATTGACACTTTGACCTGCGCTAGCAGTGACGACCAGGCCCCAAGCCGGGCTCGGGCCTTCCTCCTATCGATCTCAGACATACATAACAGAGCCGACGAAACTGCGGGCTTTCCTTTTTCTGACCAATTCAGAGACAATGACACAGACCAATGGCATTCGCACAAGCAGCCGGTACTCTGTCCTGGATGGCGCCAGGAAAGCCACCGGAGCTCTGCGGAAGGCTGCAGCCGAACAGCTCTCCCCAAGCATCCTCCAGCACCTTGAGGCCGTCACTTTGACGACCACTACGGATGGAACTCAGATATACTTCCCTTGCCCGTTCAAGGAGACTGAGGCTCTTGTCGCCTTGAAGTCAGTAGAAGCAAGCGTTGTTGCAGCTATTGCTGCCGAACGGTTCAATCAAGATGAGTCGAAGAGGAAAATCGAAATCGACCTCGAACGAACCGCGGCCTTCGGGTTCTCAACATACATCGCAACAATTGGAGGATTTGGAAAGCAAGATGCCAAGGTGAAATCGAAGCTAAAAGGTAGTCATGCGTCGACAGACCGTCGACAATTCACTCTGGCTGATACAAAGTTTGTAGACACCGATTTGCTGAAGGCGCAGTCCATCCTGTATCGACGATTGTCCGCAAACCTTTACGCAACCAAGAATCCTGGGGAATATTTCCACATCCATGGCTCGCTGGAGGCGTCGACGACGTTGCGAATGATTGGTTTGGAGCCATACCGACCCGATCTCACAGATTACCGAGGGTGCCTCGACACGATCGAAAGTCATGTGAAGCAGTTTACGACCGCAGAATTGGAGACCATGAATGCCAAAGAACGACAGGCCGGTGTCACAACATTAAAATGGGACGATTTTAAGCGCACGAACCATGTAAGTTGCTGCTCGTGTCTCATTTTTGGAGGAGCAGAACCTCATATCGTAACTAGGGCCGCGCTCTTCTCGCTCTTCCACCTTGGGAGGTCACCAAGATTAATGATTCTTCTCCTCCAGCTGCATTTTCATCTCCTCCAGCCCCAGCTAATCCCACCTCAAAACCGCAAATCCTCTCCGGCATACGGGTACTGGAACTTTGCCGTATCATTGCCGGTCCGGCTATTGGCCGAATACTTGCAGAATACGGAGCCCAGGTTATCAAGGTCACTTCCCCGAATCTTTCTGATGTTCCCTTCTTTCAAGTTGATGGCAATACTGGAAAACACACCTGCGATTTGGATCTCAAATCCTCTTCTGGACGCCGAACCTTCGAACAACTTTTAAGGACCGCAGACGTTGTGCTTGATGGCTACCGACCCGGAAGCCTTGAGAGATTAGGATATGGCCCTGAGCAAGTCGTTGAGCTTGTGAAAGGCAGAGGGAAAGGAATTGTCTACGTGGCTGAGAATTGCTTTGGGTCCGGAGGAGAATGGGCAGGTCGACCTGGCTGGCAGCAAATTGCCGATTGCGTGACTGGAGTCGCTTGGGCCCAGGGCAAGTTCATGGGTTTGGACGAGCCTGTCGTGCCTCCGTTCCCAATGTCCGATTATGGAACTGGATGCATGGGAGCTATCGCTGCCCTGACAGGACTTTTGAAGAGGGCAACAGAAGGTGGGAGTTGGGTAGGGAGGACCAGTTTGTGTCAATATGACATATTCCTGCTACAGCTGGGACTTTACGATGATGCGGTGCAGGAGAAGATTCGGACGGAGCATGACGCCGCATTCTTTGATCTAAGACATGCTGATAGTGTTGATGAGGTTGGTGGGAGAGCATTGCAGAGCATGAAGCGGGCTCATCCAGAGCTTTTTGATAAGCAGCTGATGCAAACGGCGTTTAGTAAAGGGTATCAAGAAGAGATATCATGGTGCAGAAGCCCTGTCACCATAGAGGGTTTGCGAGTGGGCTTTGACCGCACGAGCAGACCGAATGGGTTTGATCCTCCAACTTGGGATGGATGGGAAGTTGAGGAAGCAGTGGTCGATGGATGAAGCAAAAAAGCATGGGATCACGACCCGCGGACGGCATACTTGTAACTATGTCTTAACATTGCCTGATTTACCCAATTTCTTCAGCTCCACATACTCTACATTGCCAGAGCGTCTTTACTTCTTTCCACACGTGAATATGATGTCAATGTCAAGAGATCAGGAGCACATATCTCCAGCCGGTGAAAGTATCCTCGTACGTAACCGCCCCTGTACCCGATCTCACGCACGTGTTCAGCCTTGTGGTAGCCTTGTACTGTACATCGGCCCTGGCGATCGGTTACGGTCCGAGTTCCCGGGTTCGGTTCCCCTTTTCCCTGTGTCAACACCACATCAACCGACCAAACAACGTCACTCTCTTCCTTGCTTCCTTCCCTTTTTGTTGCACATCGCTCGGAGAAATTCCAGCCGCGAGTGCTTCTTGCTCTTGAGGTCGTTCGATGTGGCTTTTTTCCATCAGTTTTCCTGCTTGTTTTCCCCTGGGAGAAACATCACAAGGGAGGCCACTGATGCACAGCATCATGGAACGAGCTCCAATCATATCTCTCAAGCAAGAGATTGAGAAAACTTTGTTGCACTTCGCGTAGTTAAGTATCTAGTACCAACTCTCCATGTATATAGAAATCATCCGATGTGGCAGTTTTCTATCATGTACCTCCCCTCCCAGCTCTTCCCCGAAGGCTGATGTCGGTAAGCCTTTCACCGCACATTGCTTTTGGTCAGGTGCTTCGAAACCCCTCCTTGCAAATATTCTCTGCATGGGCACCTGATGGGAAGGCAAGGTGTCAATATTTATGCCCGCGGAGATCTTCAAACTCTCCCGTGTACTTTACGCAAACTGGATCAATGCCAAATCCAAGCACGCCAACTCCCCGCGAAACCATATGTATGGGGGATACTCCACTCTCTTCAAGGCAGCTATGAAAGGCCACTTGAGAATCGGCTGGAGCAGCGCCACGATCATCATATACACAGGGTCAATCCGCTTGGCACCATGATATCATGGGCCATGGCGAGGCAGATTCCACACTCTCTATTTGAGTTGAATGATCATCCTGGATGCTATTCACCACAGGATCCAGTTTCGTCGACCAACAACAAGCTGCGACAACAAACAATGTGAGTACAAAGTCCGCATGATGCGCTTTGACTAGTCCTTTGGGGGGATATTACTTGCTATGGAGCTAGGTTTCCGATGAGCATTCTAGCCAGCCTGAGAGTACAGATACCTGCCCCAATAGTAGAGAAGCGAGCTGTTGACCGCTTCGACACAAGCCACTTGCAGGTATCCATCTCAGTTGGAAAACACCCTGAGTGCTGGTTCAACCTTGATGACAAGTGCGAAAACGAAATGCGCCTTGGTACCAAGTCTGCCTCTGAGTTGGCGTCACCCGATGTGGCAGTTTTCGATCGTATACCTCCAGTATTATCCCTTGGAGAATGGCGTCGGTGAGACTTCCACTGCACAAGCCATTTTAATACAACTCCAATCACTTCTCATTATCAACATCTTCAAGCATCTTTGTTGCACGTCGAGCATCTCATGTGGAGCCGAAGGACCTTACACAGTTTTCTTTCTCCGGACCTTTTCTCCGATCCCTTCGTCCTATTCAGGGGTCGCGTTGTCAAAGTTAACAACACACACACACAGTCTCCACTCCACCGATTCCACATAGCCAAACAGAACCAGAATAACCAGTCACTTATTTGATATTACCCCCCTCCTCACCGCTTGCATAAATCCTAACCTCGAGATAGAAACATAACACCACTTTCTCCTCAAATAATCCATGCAGCTTCTTCAAGGGTTCACTGCACCACAAACTCATAATCAGTAATCAATCCTATCGTTAAAGCCTCACAACACATCCACACATTCTCCATCCCTTCAATAATTCTACAGCTTTGTTGCACATCGTAATCCGGCTCGCTCCATCCGTTTCCGTGCCGACTCGAAAATGACTTACAATCATGCTATCTTCAGCGCCTCATGTCCACATGCAGTCAATTCTTCCCATTGTCCACTTCAATGATCAGTAATCCTTCTCCCGCCCCCTTTCGCCATCACAATCCACCAATAGCAGTACTTTTCACACGAAGACGAGTTGGACAACGCTCCAGAAACGCGGAAATCGTACGTCGGTGACATTAATCGGGACGTATTATTATTGGTGGGGTCCATCTTCGGCTTCTGGGTTTCAGCCTCTTTGGAAGGTGGCGCGGTCTGGACCATGGTCGATTTCTAAGAAGCCCCTTGTGGAGACTGTGTGGGGGAGGGTTGTAGCCGACCCGAGAAATCGGGTATGGGATTTGTGGGTAATTGGAATTTTTCTTAATTGATTGGAGCTTTGAAGGAGGGGGTATGGATCCAAGGAAGTTGAATAAATGGATCCAGAGAGATGGGCGAGACGTGATGTAATTGAGAATCTTAAGGAAGGAGTGAAGTTTGCGGAATGGATTGTGTTGAGTGTGTGGTGTTCGTGTTCCACAAGACCCAATGCTCCCTAGGATCGTACCCGAGAACTCGGATCGGAGGACCACCTACATCATGCAGACCCCTGTTTGATGTTCTAGACTTTTGAAATTCGCCACGAGCTTGTTTTTCATAGAAAACACTTCGAAAGAAAATCTGATTGCGTCCTTGAGTTGAAAGTCTAAAGTCCACTTGAGGTGGGTCGGATCGCTGCTTATTTTCAATTGCAGAACACATTAAACACTTCGATATTAGATGACCTTCTCTAAACAAATTTCTTCTCCTCTAGAACCGCATTACGTATTTGATGGAATTGATCTCCTTTTACTTAGCTCATGCCAATAATAAATTACGTTGCTGCAAAGATTACTTGAAGTGTTTGGTGTTATGAAGCCATTCCGCAGTCCGTCGGAATACCACCTGGGCAGAATACGTTAGTAGCAAACAAACTGTCGAGATTTGTTGCACATCGTCGAATCTGAAACATTCTGCTTGCAGCCGTTGAAAGGGGGGGGGGGGGATTAGATATTTCTCGACTCTTGGAAGTTGGGGTGCCTCGAGGATTTCCGTTTGCGGAAGGTGGATAAGGAGGAGAATACTGGATTCGTTCTCGGACGAGCAATCGACCTCAACGATAAGGATTCCACCTCCTAATGAGTGACTGAAATTTCCCCAATTTTTTGGACTACTTCCTTGGGTTAAGTAATCTTCAAGTCAAAGTTCGAGTCTGAATAATTGCACTGCTGGTTCCTGTTGGATGCAAATAGGGGTCGATACAAAGATAATGAAGCCAAGAGAAGGCCAAGGTTGCCCGGAAATGGACTGCAAGAACATAACTTGAGAAAGCAATTGTGTGTATTAATAAATTCTCCATGCTGAGTTCATGAACAGAAGACTGGTATGGGTAAAGAATAAGCTTATCCTCTGGGTCTCTTACAACATTTCTTTCCACTTGAAATTGATCTTGCTGTCACTTGAGAGCATCCATATTGTTACCCCCCCCCCTTCTATGAGATCAAGAGTTTTAGGCCACCTCTTAAAATGTCTTCTTTGAACGAGACAAGATGGGCATCACCAGGAGCAAGGGGAGCTCTCCTCGCAAGCCCGCCTCCAAATTGCCACCCAAGTATCCATTCAACAACTGCAATCGCAGATCTCTTCATCAAAGTCTCCGTCCAATTCGCAATCCATCTCAGAAATCTCCCTCTAAGGAACCCAAATCCCCATCTAGACCCCCTACACGACCCCCCAACGAGATCCCCCTCCAGGTCTACTCTCCCGCACTGTCAGGGTCCGACCTCCACTCCACTCCCATACCAGATAGCCAGACACGCGGAGAAAGAGGCATGCAGCCCAGTTTGGATCTGAATCCTGCCGTGACTTCGAATTTTCACCATGTGCCTTCGTCATGCAAGCTATTTCTGCAGGAAGCAGCAAGCCGTTGCTCTTCAGATCCCTAAGTCTGCCTTCCAGATCCCGATACAGCTACCAGCAACAGGATCCAGACCCCCGCACCATCCATGTCACATTCGACATGAACAATCTCGTGTATCATGGCTTGCCAGTGCCGGTGCCCTACACCCTCTCCTATCCCATAATCGACGGCCCCTCAGTCCCCACTGCTTGCACCCACACCTCGTACCCGCGCCCAGACGACCTCTCCTCAGGGCCACTCACCACCGGCCGAAGACCGATTTGGATGTTGTCTTGTCGGGGCTGAAGAGGAATACTGTAAGGAGGGCTCGCTCGCCAGAGGATTGTGGTTAAGACTATTTCGATACACCTCGCGGCGTAAAATTAGCGAAGGTAGCAAGGAAGGAGCTGCACCTATAGCAAATGACATGCATTATCTGTCTGTCCACTCGCCGCGAATGAGTCGACCTCAACATGCATGGTATAGACGCAGAAATGCCCAATTTTGCCACACCAACCCATTATATACACAACTATTCCATCCTCTCCTTATCTAACAACTCCTCCCTTTCCATCACCGCATCCTCAAACTCATCCCCGGTAGTCACAGCATCGGTATCCTCCTCCGTCGCCGTCGCGTTCTCCGTATTCTCTTCGCTGTGCCGCAGCAAGCTCCGCATATCGTCTTCACTGAGGATACTCTCGATGCTTCCCCTTCTGACCCCAACTCGAGTTTCCCGCCTCCCTCTCTCTATGACTCTTTCGATTTTCAGGCGATTGGCAAGGAATTTGAGTTTCGGGAACGCGCTCTGTTGGCCGACGTGGAGCATCCTAGCTAGTTGCTTCGGGTTGGGATCACTTAGTATCCGCCAGAAATCAGAGATGATGGAGCGCGGCCAGATGGTGATTGTGCCTGAAAATTGCTGCAGCCAGATCTCGCTCCAGTCCTGCCCCAAAGGTCGAGGTAAAAGCTCGAGATGCCGGACCACTTTAAGCCATTTGTTGAGATCGAGTTTGAGGTATTGCTCGGTAGCACTTCCTAAGAACCCGCCTCGCCAGCCGCGTCCTCGTCTGTGGGTGACTGGCTGTCCGACCGAACCGCGGGAGGAGAAGAAAAAGAGGTTGATGTGTGGGTTGACTTGTGAGACGATGCTGAAGTTGACGTTGAAGTGGAGGTTGAGTGCTTTGAGTGGGATATCGGTACGGAGACTGCCGTCTTTCCATTTATGGCCGAAGGAGTAGGGAACGAGGCTTCCATCTCGAGTCTTCATCATTAGCACCACCGGATTCAAGATACCCGGTACCGCGGCTGATGCTAAGACTGCTGACCAAATGACACAGTCAGGGGCTGTCAGGTAGTTTGTTAGAATAGTTGGAGAATGAGGATCAGCAGGGACACAAGAGACGTTGAGTATTCTCCCTGTCCTCTCATATGCCTCTCGGAAAGTCATGCTCCCTCTTGTGAACCAACTGCATCTCTTAGCCCAATCCAGCGAATCGAATCTGGCACCTGTTTTCCACCATCTTGGCGCCCAAACGGTGAAAGGCTCTGAGCAGGCATTGATTCTCCCTGCTAGTGCTGGAACGAGCAACTTTTTGAGCTCGTCATTCGTCCTTGTCGCTACCAGTGCAGCAATCAACGCTCCACCAGAAGTTCCTGTGATAACTTCCGGTAATAGATCTGCGTCCAGGAGGGCTTTCACCACACCAAAGTGGTAATATGCAAATGACGCTCCCCCGGATAAACAAAGTGCTGTTCGGCCGTAGTTTGTATGCAAACGTTTGAACAGCGTTCTCTTCTCATCCGGAAGGAGTTTGTCCGTGTTGACGAGTATCGTCAGGCCTTTTTCGACTGCAGAATCGTTAGTTAGTTGATTTCTTAATTGGATTTAGAATACTCACCTTCGTCAACAAATTCCTGAACCAGGTTCTTCGTCCCGTAATAAGTTTGAGAATATAACCTCGAATTCTCCACCCCCACAAAATTGTTCTTCACACACGCCTCAATCAGGGCTTTCAAGTCGTCCACCGCTTTCGAAGGGCCCGAGTTCCCATTTCCCATCCCTATCTTACTACTACTCTCCTCCTGCTCAATCTTCCTCCTACACTTCCTAATCTGATCCAAGACCCTCCTAACAGTCTTCGAATCATAGTACGCAAACTCGTCCATATCCTTCCACTTATCGTTCCCCAGAAACGTATCCAGCTCCTTCGCCTCCATGACCCAATCCGAGTAATTACTCGTAGCATGAAGCTTCTGCCGTATACGCTCCCTCTTCCCCCGCCACGCAACAAAGTGCTCATAGAGCCAAATATACAACCGCGTGAACAGATAGCTGATGCCCAGGCCCACGACCCACGCTCCTACAACACCTAGGAACGGCCATTTCAGCAACGTATACAGATACCCCTCTCTCGTCTCATCCCTGCTCCTCCTCCCCCCGCCCCCAGTCTTCCCCTTCTCCTTTTCCTTCCCTTTCGAAGACCTCCCTCCTTTCCCCCTCCTGCTGTCCCGTTTCCGCCACCGCTTGGGCGTCACAGGCGCCCAATCATTCTGCGCCGTGATAAACAGACTCTCCCTGCTCCTCGCTCCGTCTCCCCCGATCACGCTGTCCCTCCGACTCACAACCGCGCTCTCCCTTCTCGAACTATCGAAGCTATTCCTGTTTGTTGTCGGTGAGTGTAGTTGCGGTGAAAGGAGAGTCAGGTCTTCGGAGCTGGGACTTGGATCGGGCGCCGAGAGGGCGTTGGCGAACGCTGCTAGGTCGGCGTCGGAGACGAACTCGTGGTCGAAGTCGGGGAGGAGGGAGGCATCATATCCTTCTGCGGAGTCTGGGGCTGGCCCGTCGGTCTTCTTCGACATGTCTGCCATCTCCTCATTCGGTCCGTACTTCTTTGTGTTTGGAATGGAGTTGCGGTGTGAGTAGAGCTAGGTTGGCAAATTCGGCGTGTGTTTTAATTTGGAAGAGGTGAGCATCGTGTCCTAGCTGAGAGCCTGAAGAGGAGTTATGAATTGAGTTTGGACTGAAGTGGTTGCTTCTTGAGGTGTTTAGGTTTGAGAAAGGTACTTTGTTGGGAATGTAACTTCAGATGGAGCGAGGCTCGGCCTCCCACAATCAGATGACGTATCTGGTGCCTTGGCGCGGCGAATTTCAAAGGGGCAACAGTTTGAATTATTTGTTGGGGAGGTATAGTTTAAGAGAGCTTGAACATTCCTTCACTCTTTAATCTTGATCAGGTATCTTACGTAGGAGAGTGTTCCTGCTAGAAATGGTGGGGTCAAAGTATGGGGAGGGCTGGCTCGGACATGGGTCCGAAATAAGCAGGGCGGGTTCAAGCCTCACTCAGCCCAAATGGAAATGGGCTGGCGATATCAGCCTCAAGAAGAATCTAGTAGAGAAATGTTTCTTGATCGCAATACTATGCTGGGTACAAACATGCTGGCAGGTCCAAATGACTCGGAATGGCAAAGTCTTCAAAACCGAGGCACGGAAAAAGACCTGTGTAAACGCCAATCATAACGTTCTCCCCCTCTCATCAGCCCTGGCCTTCTCTCTATAGCCTCCTATCTAAACATATTGCGACAACCATCTGATGCCTTCACCGTAACCTACTTTACGTTAGAATACTCCTCAGAAGAGGAGATTTTGGCAGCACTTACCCTGTCTCATAACAACGGAGCACATGAAAACCTCGATAGGTCTGATACCCTCAAGAGGAACCTTGCCCTTGCCCGTTGTCTGATATAGTCCCAACTGATGTCTCAACTCATCCTCACTGACCGCATCCGGGTGATCGATCTTGTTACCCAAAACCACGAACGGGACCTTGCTTAACTCCTCCATGCTCAACAGAGCGTCGAGCTCAGCTTTTGATTCAGAGAGACGCTCGTGGTCCTTAGCGTCAACAAGGAATACGATGCCAGAGACTTCTGGGAAATAGTCCTTCCAGAGACGGCGAGCTGGACCATGTCAGCCTCGTCTTACCATGCTGAGAATTGGAGCAGATTATGCCATACCTTGTTGATGACCGCCCAAGTCGAAAGTTGTGAATTTAACGTTGCCAATGGCAAGTTCTTCGGATGCTGGAGAGCTGTCAATACATGCGCACGTGCTTGCGCCTGCCAGCGCATCTGCTTGAGGACAACTCACTGGGATGGAGAGTAGGTTGGAGGATAGCGACTCTGTCATTCTGCACGCATCCCAACATCAGCCAGTGTTTCCTATCCCTCGAGCACGCAGCCAGCCTTCTATCCAAGCCGCAGATCTCGATGATTGTGAACGGGTCCATCTCAACGCACCTTCAACATATGCAGCAGCGTCGTCTTTCCCGCATTGTCGAGACCGAGAAACAGGAGTTTTGCATGCTTGTTCAGGAGTCCCAGCGATGCAAGAGTATCCCAAACTATTGAACAGATAACAATCAGCTCGCCATCCGGGCAATGTCCCCCATTTCTCAACGAGGGTCTGCGAGAGAGATACTTACACCAGTTAACAATCCACATCTTGAATATGTGATTACGGGGTGGCGATTTCGGTATTAAAGGTTGCTGCAACAAGAGTGCGAGATGGGGGGTTATTTTGTAGAGTGAACAACTTCCTTGATGGCAATGGAAACTTAATTTGGCGCTAAGTTTTGACGGCCTCAGTTTCAAGGCATGTACGGAGCGACCCGTGTCCAAGTGCTTTTATTATAAGAGATTGACAAGTTAATGACTGAGTATGCCTATTAGAAATGTTTTCTAGAACCTTTATAAACGCCTGACACGCTTTGTGTAAACTTGTCATATATATTTGTGGTTGAAATTCTAGCTCCTGGTAAAAATACAAGTGTCCTCACCTGATTTGTTTCAATATGTGATTGAGAACATCATAGGACACGTCAGTTGCTATACTTCAGTGGCTATCCGGAAAATATGTCTCTGGGAAAAACAACTAACCAACTTGACTGGCCCAAGCTGGTTTTGTTGTTGGTGATAATAGCCAAGTGTCCTTAGTCCACAAACGTAGCATAATGTGCTCGATCACACTGGAACATTGAGAAGACAGTTCAAATAACGAGCTCAAATAACGAGCTCAAGTAACGAAACTAAAATTCCGAAACAAGCCCGCTAAAAGCCAGATCAAAATTGAACGAGTGGCTATTCTTCGCCGCCCTCCCATCCCCTTGCCTTCCCCTCCCCGATCCACCAGTAACAATCTCAATCGACCTCCCAAATGCTGCCGGCGCTATGCTATATGCTCTAAAGGGCCCAAACAATGACCACTTTCAAGTCGATCTGGTATGATGCAAGAAGATTCATGTGCTGCACGCGTTGGTGACTTGACAATGATCTTGGTAACAAAGGAAAATTGGGTATGCACAAATCCGCACCGCGCTATCAGTCTCGACGGATGGGTTGTAGAAGCAGTATTTACAAAAGAATAGAATAGTATGGATGAGCAAAGCAGACTTGTCTGCTTCAACATCCGTGTCTCCGAAGACTCTGTACAAGGAGCCTAGGCAGACATCATGTATGGGTCTTGTGCTCCGATGGTCTTGCCGGCCATCAGCAAGCCAAGCTCCCGCATTCGCTCGGCTCCTTTGCCAGGTTGAGGTTTTGGACGCTCCCCCTGCTTGTTTTTGCGATTGCAATGCTTTTGATAGAATTTCTCCTTGCGGCGTTGACGCTTCTGCTCGAGGCCCTTGACGATGTCGATAGCACCGCGAGTGGGACCATCATTGTCGTCGAGACCATTGCCTGTGGCAGCATCGAGACGGGAGGCTTGATATTGGCGGCAAAAGGCATTGGGGGTGCGGGGTAGAGACTTTGTGTGAGTGAGACCTGGTCGGGACCCTAGCGGCGCAAAGGCAATAGCATGGCTGACTCCCTGGGTTGTCGGCGAGCCAGGTGGGGAGCGGATGGTTCTCGCTGGTGGAGGAGAATACATACGTCTTGGAGAGTGACCGAAAAGCTTGCGAGGTGGAGGTGAGCGAAGCCGTTGCTTTGGCGGGGGAGGAGAGTGCATTCTCCTTGGTGGAGGGGGCGAATGAAGTCTTCTTGGAGAATGGCCAGGTGATTTGCGATGAGTTGCGATAGAACGACGGCGACCTTGATGTGGCTCTTCGTCTGACTCCTCGAACTTGCCATGAAGCCAGACATGCTCATCACTGTCGTGGGCAGCTTCAACCTGATCACGTTCGTCCTCCTCGTCTTCGGGGTCCGAGGTTGGAAAGCTGGGGTCAATATCTTGCGGTGTTTGCTTGTGCTTGGCGTTTTTCCTGGCCTCCATGCAGGAGACATAGGCAACCTCGAGAGGACGGTCTTCGTCAAGAGTACCACAGACGAAGTCGGTACTATCCGGAAGATCAGGGGTGCCAGGACGAATCTTGATTGGGCGGCGCCGCAGTCGTCTCTCCTCTCTCGGCGGCTCCATATGATTCAGCGAATCTATGGATGAAGCTGATGCAGCCCTGTGAGCAGATGCTCTATAAGTGCTGGCTTCGCCAATGGCTCGGTTGCGAATTTTCTTCCCGGGAGTCCAGAATGCGAAATCTCCCTCGGCGTCACTCTCGTCATCTGATTCAGCAAAGCCAGCTTCATTATCTGTCTCATTTCCGTCTGAGGCTTCAAAGTCGGATCCTTGGGCAATGTCGTCGACATCTTCCAGTTCCTCTTGGGAGTCCGAATCGCCTTCGTCATCTGACATATTGCCATCCTCATCGTCATCTTCCTCGTCCTCCAATGCCTCCTCCTCGGCCTCGTTACCCAGCCTTCGAATTCGGTTCTCTTTCTCCAAAGTGTCGTTGATAGTCAACTTCGCTTTTTGGACTTCTGCGTCCTTGCGAATCCACTCGTCCTCGTGTATCTTTTCGCTTGCAAATTCATTGAATCGAGTAGCTTCTGATGCTTCAAGGGTATCCTCATCAGTAGAGATATATTTCGGCTTGGCTCGAATAGCAACTGGTGAGACATGTCGAACTGTGGACGACGAGTCACGATGCGGACGTGAGGGGGTGGGTACGCGGGGAGATTTCTTTGAGATGGATGGGGATTCAGGCGTAACACGCTTCTGAATCTCTGACGGTTTTGATTCCAGATTGGTTTTTGGTAGGGTCTTGATTGACTTGTCCGAAGGCTTGGGAAGAGCGCAGGCAAATGTACATCTCCGGCGTGGAGCTTCCGTGTTGGTCGTCGCAGGTAGAGGCTCTGGCACAGCTGCGAGTGTCGCCTTTGGCTTCGCGTCCTTCTTTGCATCACACATGAAAGAGATGGTCCGCCTCTTGGGTGCTTCCTCAACAGGCTTAGTGGGAGAAGTACCGGCAATCTCTGGGACATTGTGACTGGCGATTATAGCCGTTGGCGGGGGTATAGAGTTCGTTGCCAAGGAATAAGGTGCGAAACTGGTGTAGGTAGTATTCGGGAACGGAGGGCTCGGTGTGTTGGTGCGCGCAGGACTGGTCAGACCACCATCGCTCGTAAGCTCAGCTGTCGAGGCAAGACTGGCATTGCTCATCATCGAACGTCGACGAGTTAGGTCGGTGCTGACCTGCATTCCGGGTTTGGTGGCTTCCATCTCAGGGTTCTTCTGGAAGGCCTTTGTGAGGAGGGATTTGTTTCGCTCGCCTTGTAGTCGAACGGCGGATTTGTGAAATCCTGATAGTGATTGCTCTCGAGGAGCGCGACGATCCGGTGGCTCGTCGACGTCTGCTGGAATCTCGTCATCCGTAATCGCAGGTTCATTGGCAGCTGGCTGAGCGCGCCAGGCAAAGAAGTTTTGTATTCCCATCTCGATGTTCTGATCGCGATGGCGGTTCATGGTGAATATTAAAAGGTAAAGGGCGAGAGCAGCCGACGCAGGGCAATTGAGCGTCTACTCTCGAGGGTAAATTGAAAGCTTTTCGGGCTCGTCGTAAGTGGCAATAGCCAAGAGGAAGATCGAAATCTTGTTGTGTAACCGAGAGTCTCGGAGACTCTATGGCGTCCCTGGGCACCGTGGGCGGTGGGCGTGGTGCTATAATCGAACGGCCATCTTTGCTGTGAAGGAGCAATCCAAGTGACTTCGCGGGAAGCAAAACGGACAAGAGGTTTGTTTCGAGGAATGAAAGTTGAAGCAAAATGTCGGTGGTTATCGGGTTGTCGTCGCCAGGTGAGGATCGGCTCGCGCCTGACAAATGGTGGCGGTAGAGAGGATTTCTCTGACGGCAAGAGCGCTTGGCTGCGCTTGGCTTGGCTTGGCTTGGCTGTGTGAGACGGAGAACGAGAATGAGCCAAGGCCGGCTCAAGTCAACAAACAGGCTGTTGTTGACCAAAAAGCAACAAAGGATTTGTCGTTAGTGTTGTGGAATTGGGACGCAGAGAAGAGTGCCAGTGCCAGTGCAAGTGCAAGAGCGTGCGGGTGCGGGTGCGAAAACGGCGGAAAAGACTTGCTTAAAGATTCAAGCAGCGGCTAACGACGTGGTGGAGCAGGCAGGGCTGGCGCATCCTCCAGCGGCGTGAGCGATCGAGCGAACCTGGTGTGCGTGCGGGCGGGCGGGCGTGCGTGCGTACAGCGCGCGAAAACTGGGTGAGTGAGTGGTGACACTGATGTGGTGTGGGCCGCGCTGCTGGTGGCCTCCTGCCGACCTCCTGCCAGTCCTCCTGCCCTCCTCTTTGCCGAAAGCAAGAATGGCGCGCCAACAGAGGGGCCTGCTCATCAAACCTCCACGGCCTGCTCTGTCTGAGTCTCTGACCAAAATAGTGTCGATTGTTTCCCACTCGAGTTCTGAATGCGGCAGAGGAGGCGCCGAAGAAATCTCCGGCTTTAACTCTCCAATCTCTTCCACACATCATCGAAACGGATCCGTCTCTGCAAATTTCTGGACGTCATTGTCATACATATAGTAGCTCATTTATACTGTAATCATCATTGATCGTTCGTTCGTTCCTTGTTTCCTTTCTACAGTACTTCCACCACCCAGCAGAACTGCCGCCCTTTCAGCTCTTTTCCTGTCTGTCAGACCAATTTGCTCGCGGGACCCTCGAGTCTGATTTCCCGGTGGGAGCACATCATTCCATTACGACTCAACCATCCCAGACACCTCCCCGAAAGCCAAGGTGGGGTCCGTCAAACATGGTTTCGAGGACGTGGGGGTTTGTTTTTATACTCCGTCCGGCGTACGCCCTGGCCGGCAGCGAACGCGCACCATCACGACTCAACAGCCCGGAATGCTGAAAAGGGGTCGAAAAGCTTCGATCAATCTCCCATGCAATGATGCAACAAATGCTGCACCTCGAAGCTGCAAGCTGCAATGACCCGTGCTGCCGTTGCTCGAAGAACGAAAGCTCCGCCCGCGTCTTCTCTCCGATCTTTTGGTCCTCTCGCAGCCTCCTTGCGCATGGACGGGCCCCGCCGAAGCCGCACGATCTTCCTTTCTCCGGCCAATAGCATGGCTGCAAATTGCGAATTAATAATCCATGCTGACCGCCAAAAAGTAAATTTACTTCCAAGCAGAGGAGGGGTTCAAATTGTGGGGTACCGTACTTGCGACACGTCAAGTCGAAAGAGCTGCAAGTGCGTGTTTGCGCTCAGCTGTTGCAGAGTTAGGGGCTTTTCAGACGCTCCTCTATTTCGGATGCATCGAATAATCGGCCTTCTTCCTATCTTTCAGGAGATGGTGTTGTGGCACTCATGACTCTCATTCACCAGGTCGGTCCTAGCAAAAGTTGGACTTGGAGGCGGTGAAATGTTAGCTCCAGTGATCCTCATGATACTGCAACTCATCCGTAGTGGTCGGATGAAGGATGAAGCTGACACACAGTAATTAGTTCCCTGGGACCGGAGATGGGCGGTGAAAACGATCTTTGTGCACGCAAACCACAATCAGAATCTCCAGATGATGATGTTGGACGTCTTCTCCGTCCATCGATCCCTCGGCGCGTCTAGCCGGTAGCACCTACCAGAGAGAGAGAGCGCAGCGTCTCATGCCTCGGAACTCCCTGCATGACAAAATGTACACTTGCACCGGTGGACAAATTTGACATGGTTGACCTGCATACTTGCATGGAGCCTAAAGTGGTTGGTGGAGGTTAATCCCTCATACTGCAGATTCCCGGCCATTCTTCGGGATACCGTTTTCGCACTTAGTCGGAAAGCCTCCTCGGTTCCTCTCGGCCGATGGTTTCACTCGCAAGCTGCGGCTAAGAAAAGATTTTCCATTGGTGAGAGGATGAAAGGATCTTGTACGGGGATCGGAGGGCAAATGACGTCGATGAAGCTATTGATGTTCGACTACGTCTCCTTCAGGTGGAGCGAAATCTCTGTCACACCTGCAGGTGTTTCTCCCAAACACTTCCTTTCATCGATAGCTGTTTCCGTCTGAGTCGACAATGTCCCAAGACAAGCCGGATCATTTAAGACACTTTCCATGTGGATATTCCATCGAGTTGTAGGACATTCAAAGTATCCCTCTCCTCCTGTCTCCGAGATACTGAAATAGAGAAAATCTGATTCCTCTAGTAGTCTAGACAAATGTCCGACTACGAGTTGGGATAGTGAAAATTCAGTGCCGCTTTATTTGTTCGGTGCGAGGCAAGGCACCACGCACTCATCTTGGACCAAGACTCCCAGGTCCACACACATGCACTGTGTGGTCCCGCAACATTAAAGATTGGGACTGGCTGATAGCATCAGGCGATGAGCCCCCTCTTCTTTCTGTTCTCGTTGTTTGTCCCTCCCTTATCCCTCAGCTGGGACTTCCATAAAATTATGCCCAACCTCGTTGAAGGTAATCTCGCAGAAGTCCCCACAAGCAGTCCGCAATAATAGGTGCTTCAATGCGGGAGCATAATTCAATGGAGAGAACAGCGAAGAATGAGAACGCAGGAGTCCATCTCGACCGAGTACAAGAGATGAGGAAGAACGGGCAGAACAAGTACTACTGACTAGCGGCACTTCATACCCTCTTCTTGATTAGTAAAGCACGTAATATATCTTCGGGGAAAGATAGAGACGAGCAAGTTGATTATTCACACGAGAAGCCATAAATTCAACAGACCCTCAGGACTGCTGTGGTCTGGAAGTTGATGTATCGATTCCTGACCAATCTACCCGGTGTTCTTGAAATAGATGTTGTAGCGACAGAATCGGTCAATACGCTCGGAGGCTGGGAGCAAGCCTCATAAGGTAAGGGTTATAATTGAAACAGGGTGGGGAGAGGTTTTAGGTGTGCTGAAAACCAGTGATGAGGTTGGGCTTGCCATGGAGGAGGGAGCACTGAGAAGCCCCCCCAGCGGTGGACGAAAAAAAATGGCCCTAATTTCCAATGTTCCACCTCAAGTTGGACATTCATCTGCGATATGATTCTGATATGCTGGATAATTCGAGATATTTAAGGGGACCAGTTTTCGAACGCACTATAATTCAGATGTACATTTAGAGGAGAAGCATTTGCAATGTCCAACTTTGACTGGGTACATTGAAATTGGGTGTGCCTTTTCTATTCCTAGTGAGCCGTTTGGATTGAGATACTCCTCGAATCGAAAGCACATAAATTGAGGCTATTGATTTCTGACCACAGCAAAACTCGAGAAGCATCTCACTTATGGAGTCGTCGTAGAGAGTACGAGGAACAGAAATAGCTGCAGCTTTGGGCACTTCTCCCACTGTTGTGAAGATGTTCACTTCCCTTGCTTCGCGTGGTACGTCTTCAACGAGATTCATGGGCAGAATCATGAGAATATTTTTATGGAACGGGTATGATTTAATAGCTTTATGAAAGGAAGGAACTGATCGACTTTATAACACGGTGGATGCCAAAGGAGGTTTGGAGCACCTGTGTTCCATTTTACGTTTTAGGAATGAGTCACGTGATAACCGCGCTAATTTCAAAATGGGAGCCGAGCGATTGAACCTCATCGGAAGCTCAAGCTGTCCAGCTCCTCAACGACTCAACATCTACCAATTGGACATCATGAACTCTCTCCGTATCGCTCGCACAGCTCTGCGAGTACGCCCTACGGCTGTCAGGGCCCCTCTTCAACGCAGAGGATATGCTGAGGCAGTTTCGGATAAGGTCGGTATTCTTGGACAGATTTTGCGGCCACAGCTAACATCCTCCAGATCAAGCTGAGCTTGGCTCTGCCCCATCAGGTATGTCGAAATTGGTCCGGGACTGCATGCGAATATATGGTTTGAAGTTGGGAATCGATTGAATTGGGAAGGGCTGGTCGAACGATGCGTGGGAAAGGAGGAGAGGTTGTTGATTCGGAACTGACCACAAGTCAACAGTCAGTCTACAAGTCACAAGATGTTGTCCAGGTCAACATTCCCGCGGAATCCGGCGAAATGGGTGTGCTCGCAAACCACGTTGCTTCCATTGAGCAGCTGAAGCCGGGACTCATTGAAGTTATTGAGGAGAGTGGTGGAAGCAAGCAGTTCTTCCGTAAGCATGCCAGATCAATTGACACGAACGAATGGCTAATGTATCATCTATAGTCTCTGGAGGCTTTGCGATTGTCCAACCAAACTCGGAATTGAGCATCAACGCTGTTGAGGGATACCCATTGGAAGACTTCAGCATAGACGCTGTTCGATCACAGATCTCGGAGGCACAAAAGATCGCAGGTGGAAGTGGAAGCGAGCAAGACATTGCTGAGGCGAAGATTGAACTTGAGGTATGTAAAATTGTCTGTACTGTGTGGCACCAACTAACGTTATGCCAGGTTTTGGAGAGCTTGCAAGCTGCTCTCAAGTAAAGATGAAACTTCGGTTCTGGGGAAGGAGGAGAGAATTATAGAGGTAGCGACTATGTACATCATTGTTCCTTGAAATGCATCCCGTGGAATATTTGCTTGCACGAGTCTTGATTTGCTGTAATTCGTTGCTGGTCGTCCCTTCCCCTTTTGTTTTTAGGGTTTTGGGCTCCCGAGGAACGAGAACAAGCACCCTCATCAATTTCTTCGCAACCCTCTTTCAATTAACACAAGCTTACATCGAGTAAAGCTGCTCGGTGACTTGTTTGCTTCTTCTATTCATTAAAGGACATTCTGGTCCTAGGTATTCTTACATAATTTTTGGAAGCTTGACAAGTAAGACTCGATGTCTCGACTCACCCAGATCAAGCACATCCGGCTATGAACTATCAGTGGCGATCACCAGGAAAAGGTCGGTTTTCCTACGTCGACACACCAGTCCCGATCCGCAGCAGCCTCCAAGATGCAATACGTCCAGGTACTGTTGCGTCGCGCATCGAATCTCTTCAGAAACTTGCGAGCCCAAGTCTTCCACGATCTCATCCTCCACCTATCTCAATCACACGAGGCGAGGATTCGCGCATTGGTTTTGGTCGGCGCATAAACAATCGTTTTGGAAACCCCGCTCTCCAAAATACCAACCCAGACGAAGAGCCGCACAACGAGACCGCATGCCATTCCTTTCTTGGCTTAAATACACCTAGAGTAACCCACGAAGAACAACATGATATCGCTGGTCAGAGAACGAAATACGCTCGGTCGCCAGGAATCAATGGCCAAATATTTCCCGATGGCAGGCCAGCGAGGACACAGCACGATGCTGTCGCTCCATGGGAAGTGCTTTCAAGAAGCCATCGGACTAGAACCATGGGTCGACATGTCACGGACCTAGAAAGTGATATGCAGACGGAGAGCAACATCTCTAGGAAACAAGCACGTTTTACGGCAGAGAGCTCAACATCCCGCTGGTGCGATGAGGCGAGGTATCTCGACCTCTACCGTCGAAATATCGAATCGAGACCAGCAGATACCATCAACTCAGAGGCCTCCAATGCTACAAGCTCTACGACCCGTCGGCAAAGCGTGCGAGATCTTTTCAAGGACTTTGGCATCGAAAGACCTGCGGGCCTGGCTTCTAGAGAGACATTTTATGATAAGTCAGAGGCTCCAAAGCTCATGAGGCGAGGGACACAGTGCCACATCTGTTCTAGTGTGAATCCGAGCGTTTCCATCGCTTGCTCCAGATGTAGTCACAAACTCTGTCTGAGGTGTGATGCATCGCGTGAAAATGAGGTTGTGGGCGCCAAAGAACCAGATCACAGCAAGGAAAAACTCACTTCAAAGGAGAATCGGTCAACATATCGAGCTATCAATGAAAGTAATTTCAAGTCAGCTGAACCGCGGAAGCAGGTGCCGCTGCCATCCCTGCACATACCACAGCTACCAATCAAAATCCCAGGTATGCAAGCTGTCGACTTATTCGCTTTGCTGAAAAAGTCGTCCCAAACTCTCAAGCAAGACCAAACTTTTCGGGAAGAACCATCAGCAATTCCCTTTCTCTCAAGATCACAGGTGCCCAGGCGTGTGAAGGACTCGCCATTTATGATCGCTGACTTACTCGCTGCGAAGGGGTCTCTGTCTTCGGGTCTGATTGAAAGTCCAGCCAAGAATGATCATCTTAGTTCTCGAAATGCCCAAGACCATCAGCTGAAGGAGGCGAGAAAGCAACAGGAGGCTACCTCAGCTTCCGACGGTTGCAAATGTAGTAGTTCAACATGCCGAGCGACTCATCACGGCCATCAGCCATATAGACACGCAGTATCTTGCATCAAGAGGAAGAGGCATCGCCATGTCCAAAAAGATACAGATAAGGGCTATTCGGCTGACACAAGCCGAGTTGAAGAAGCAATTCATTCACACTCCAAGTCCTCTCACGCCAAAGAGCATCGTACTGAAAAGCACTCCCATAGGGTTAAAGCAAATGGTCGCCCTCCTCCCATCCAGAGGTCATCCGCCATGGGCCCTCAGGTATTCGGCGAACGGGAAGCATTGGAGTTCGTGGAATGCCATGGCTATCCTCGAACTGGCCACTCTCGCCTTGGAAGCCCAGTCTCCTCTGGAATTGTTGGGGAGTGTCAGCACTGTCTTCATGATTGCCACTGTGAAGCTTGTAAAAGCACACATCACAATGTGCGATGCTGCGTGCACGCTGATCACCAAGCAATGGCTCATCGCCATCTCACCCCCCAAAAAGGGGCGTCGGTGGTCTCTGAGAAGGAACCCTCTGCGAGTGAAATGAAACCATCCGATATACTAGCATCATATAAATCTGCTGGGGCTGCTGCTCAAACCTCTGAGCAGAAAATCATCATAGCAGCGACTAAAGCTACCAAGGATTCTATTCGCCAAGGTCAACCACCGAAGAAACCTCCAATTACTAAGATGCCTGGTATGCCGAGGGCCAAACGATCTTCTCTCATGGTGGACCACTTCGCCAAACCTCCCACGCCACCTCCTTGGGTGACCAGCCCCCGGAAGCAAAGCAAAGCAAGCATTGCTCAAGCTGAGCGATGGAAAGAGATAGGACGAGAAGTTGTTGAAACTGTGTTTGGTGTCGAACCTCGAGGAGACCCTCCACCTTCTTTCAAAGAAAGACCTGCTTCCCCGCCACTTGCTCCTTATCCCGCAGGCCACCTTCGCAGGAGTAATGATGCGTTGGCTGCGCTTCGTTTTCTATATGAACATGATGAAGAGCGGCGGGCGAGTCTCAGACGGCCTTCACAGAGGTCGATCATTGAAAAGCTTTCGAGACCATCCAGCACCCGACCCTCACCAAAGATGCAAGTATCTCCGCCTGGCTCAAGAAGAGCTTCCAGAAGGTTGAGTGCTCTATTTCAGCTCAGAGAGAAGAATCCAGTACCACTGTTGAATCAAAAGCTCTTGGAACACCAAGAGGAGCTGCGACGTACACAGAAGGAAGGCGATGATGGATTGGAAACCGTTGCTAAGGATGCCCCAGATGAGTTTATCTGCGATCACGAACGCGGGGAAACTGACCGCAATGGCAGCCGCAATGTCAGGCCTGAAGAAACGGGCAGAGCAGAGACGATCCGCAATGTGATGTCTGGAGAAAGAGACAGAGATGGGAGTATCAAGAGCGATGCGATGGATACCGTCAGAAAGAAAGCATGGAGAATCAGATTGGTCGATCGAGTACCAAGTCCAGCCTGTGTCAATGATCAGCCTGTGGAGCAACACAGGCTAGCCGATGACGAGGTTCTTAGCAGCAAGAAATCTCTTGTTTCTCTGCTCGAAAAGCGGACTGAGGTACCACCGCCGGACTCAGAGAATCATGATTGTGTTTGGAAGAGTAGATTGTTTGAGCTAAATAGGAGGGGATTAGGTATTCAAGGTGTCACGGTTTTGTTGCATTTGGAGAGGAGGGAGGATGTTATTTTCAAGGCTGTTGATTGGAAAGGTGGGGACTTGAGAAGGGAGGATTGAGTAGTGAGATTGGAGAATGTTCATGCTGGGTTTGGAAAAGTGGAATAGAAGGAATTGAGACTGTTTTGTCTTCTCATGAGCAACTCCTGCTCTTACGTAGACTTGCTCCTCTCTCTTCGTCGTTATTTCTTTCGGGAATCTCTATTTCAATTTGCTCTTTACCATACATTTACAACGCCTTTGTGTATCGCATGATTCGCATACGACCCTGTTGTGGAGGTGATCAATGGTAACTATCGGCTGAATGCCGATGATGGGGGTTTCATGGTGCTCGATTCCGAGTTGATTCCGACTTCGTCCACGATTAAGCGAATCTCGTTGTCCCTAAGATATCCCCGAACCTTGAATCAATGTACAGCAAAATATTCAGGGGTTAAAGGGGGGTGTGGTCCGGTGCTATGGTGAAGGCGAGCCCGGGATGACGAATGTAAACAGAGGTGCTGATTTGCAACAAAAGCTGCGGAGTCAGGATTCACTCGAGAGGTTGAGGATCAGATGAAAGATACTCTTGAATAGAGTTCACTGTGCTGAGGAGCGCTTCCTATAACTAGCCCACAACATATGATGCATCGGGAATATTTCAAATATCCCAGGGACTTCTGGACATTGGCGGAGTAAATGCTTCCATAAGCTAGGACATTGAAAGGTCTGTTGCGAAGCCATCCTTCTCCCATTAGTGAAGGCAATTAGTGGATTCGCGCACCCTCATTTCAGAGCTCCAGAGGCCAGTAGCTTTTTGCTTCCGCAAATGATGAGGCGTCGATCAGGCACAGGACCTCACTGCCCCTCAAGCAGAACCCGTCTTTCTTCCCAGGCTAGGAGAGGCTAACCTCCCTTTTCTTTCAAGAAACGTTCCCAGCTCTCTTTCCCTTTCACCAAACGTCCTCCGGGCTAACCATATACTTCTCCCCATCGCTCCTCACATGCTTCCCATGCACATCCCGTTTTAACTGCTTCCTCATATCCCACCCATCCTCACTATCCTTCGTCTCGTCCGTCGGGTCATCATTGTAATAGTCCTTCACTACCCTGAATACACTGTATCCCAGCCCTTTGTACAAGCCTTGGGCAACTTTATTGCTCTTCCGAACGAAGAGATCCACGAACCAGGCATCATACTCGTCTCCGGAATTCTCGAGGGAGGAAGAGAGAGTGCGGGCCAGGCCTAAACGGCGGGCATGCGGGGCAACAGTCAGAGCGGTAATGTGGGCGTGGAAGGGGAGGTAATGCTCGGAATGGATGTAGTAGCTTGGGGAAGATTCGAGCTTGCCCATTACTGGGACAACGTTAGCGGAGACTTTCGTAGAGGGGATAGAGGGGCAGTGCTGTAGCCATCGATAGTCCCGTCCAGACCCTCAGCTACGTTGAAGAGGTGTGGCCATCGAGCTAGGTAGGAGAAGTAGAAATTTAGGTCGTAAGTCTCGGTCAGAGGGTCCAGGTTGGTGGGGTTGAATTTGAAGACGTCTGTTGCGTGGAAGGGGCGGAGGGATGTCATCTTCGGTGGAGTAGCTCTTGGGAGGTTGGTGCCTGTGACGGAGCGGAATTTTTGTGTGGTTTCTCGGGTTGAAAAGGACTTGATGTAAAGTTCATCTGATCAGGTGAAGTCACGAAGGTTCCTGGTCCCGCGGAACGGATCAACCCCAGGTTCCAGCCACGCGGTGACCTCACCAAACACCTCGAAACCCCCGATTCGGATTCACAACGTGGAAAACGTCACTTTGTGTTCTGGTATGATTCGTAGCAAAAGAAATATCTGCGCATGTTGTCATCTTGTCGACAGGGGTCACCGCCGCCAATCGCAGATACACGAGCCTGGTTATTGACCAGCAATTCTGCTATGGGATCAACGTAAGAAATTACTGAACCCTGCCGTCTCCACGTCGACCCGGACAACGACCAAAATAATACATCTCCTGTCTCGACGTCCACGGCGCGCTTTCCGACGTGTCATACGCACATTCCCACGAGACTTTGCTGACCGGAGTGCGAAACCAGGGGCCAGGGAGCTCAGGGAACAAAGGAGGATCGTAAGCTTTGATCAAGACATTTGGGGGTTAAGAAGGAAGACGATCGAGCCAGGACGAGAATATAGACTTGGTGTATACTACACAATGCCTTCATCTCCAAAGACGCCGAGGCATAGCAGACACCCGTCGAACATCGATCTCTCCTTTGCTTCGCCGCAATCATATAACGAAAGCCCTCGCAGACACTCCAAAACTTCTATACATACTCCTACGACGCCTAACCGGAACAGTCTGCAACGCTCGGATTCTATCGGAATAGATGTGTTTAGCAGTGGGGGGCCGGCGCCGCCTTCAAATGGACTTGGGAATCTGGCAGATGAGCTGGCGGATGCTTGGGGTGACGAAGAGGGGAGCGGAGAGGAGGATGAGTACGGGGAGCCGGAGATGAATTTTCAGGAGGTGAAAGAGGAGGGAGATGGTGGGCAGACAAGAGATAGCGGGGTGGATGTGTCGAGCTCGCCTGTGGAGGGGTCGCTGAAGCCCTCCGGATTATTCCCTCCTGGCGGTGGTCGAGGACATAGGAGACAAACGAGCGAGTACGATGGGAGTGATTATGGAGGCGATTCAGATCTTGAGTCGGCTGGTATGCCTGTTGGGCTCGTGTCGAGGATGGATATGGTTGAGAGTTTGGCTCGGAGGGGCATGGAGAATAATGGCACTGATAGGGATGGCGTTGTGAAGAGGGTGATCGAAGGGCTGAAGGATTTGGGAAGCCAGTCTGGTGTCGAGGGTGGAGCTACAAGGTATATATCTCCATTGAGTTTCTACATACCTTTTCTAATGATCATACAGACTCATAACTGCACACTCAGCGCTCTCAACACACTTGATGCATCAATCCCGGCTCCTGCAATCCCTCGCATACGCCGTGCTTTCTCCTGTAGTAGCACCACCCGATGAAGACTTCATTGACGACCTAATGCCCCTTCTCGTCACCATTGGCGAATCTATGCCTCGGCCCACAGCGGCAGCATTCAACTCCCTAACACAGCTCCATACCCTCACCGCCGACCTAGTCCAAACACTGAACTACCTATCTGACACCCTTCACATGTCAAGACAGACAACAACCACTGCTACACGACGATTACGAAGTGCACGAGAACTAGTAGCTGAGATGAGGAAAGAAGAAGATGCCAGAGAAGAAGGAGAAAGATGGCTAAAGAGACATAATTGGTCAGAAAGACTGGGCAACCGAGAATGTGCTGGCGTATGTGGGGACGTTGTAGGAGGCTTCGAGGAGGTATGTAATGATTGGAGAGCGAGACTGGTTGCCCAAGCGGAGGCTGTCTCTTGATTACCTATATATCATACGATTGAAGGCTTTACTTTGTTGCATATGGCTGTGGGAAGCGAGTGGCGTTCTTGTTGGTATAGATAATAAAGCCAATAGATATGTGTGTGATATGATTTCTGAAGTTCTCAGAAATTTCGTTCATTTCCGTTTCCTCTTCATATATCTCGTAGACAGCCATCAAAATCGCTCTGTGCCTTCGTCATTTCTACTTTCAGAAGATATCAGAGGCAAGATGCTAATGTCCCTTGCATGATAATATGCAAGCCTTGTTTTATCAGGCCAGCCAAAACGCCACAATCCCCAAATGTGTAACCCTGAGATTCGGTGGCTTTGCACAGCCCCATGGTGGTGCCACGTGAGCTCACATGCAAAAAGACGGATTTCCTTCAACCCCTCCAAGGCTGAATATTGCCTCTTCCGACACCTTCGACAATCAATTTCTAGCTGAGAAGTAAAAAATGGATGCCGTTCAATGTCGCGACTGTGTGGGTGGAGCTATCCATACAGGCAAGCCGACTGGAGTTCAGATCCAATTTCACGGCCTCCCAGCCTATGTGACTCGGCCAGATGAAGGGACACCAGGAAAAGGAATAATTATATTCATCACCGACATCTTCGGGTGGAAGTTTCCAAACAGTAGGCTCCTTGCCGACAAATATGCCAAAAATGGTGGTTATACAGTCTATATACCAGATTTCATGAGAGGTCAGTAAATCCTTCCACATCTATCGCTCCATGTATTCACACTCGATTGCCAGGCAACGGAGCTGCTCCAAAGGCTGCCGAATGCATGCGCGTCACAGCCGCCTATGAAGCGCCCTCCTCGCTTCTCTACAGCATCTTCGTCAAGCCATTCTTGGCCCTCAAAGCTGTCTTCCTCCTTGCCGGCCCAGCTTTCCATACCCGACGATCTAAGGCCAAACCGGTCGTCTTCGACTTCATGCGAGCGCTCCGAGCCGACCCGGCGACCGCTGATACCAAAATCGGCGTCGTTGGATTCTGCTGGGGTGGTCAGTACTCAATCCTTCTCGGTCAAAACGACTCAGGCCATGGTTCAACAGAGTCCATACCTCTCGTTGATGCAGCATTCACGGCTCATCCTGCTCGATTTGAGATACCGGAAGATATCAAGAAGGCCAAGGTTCCGTTGTCCATGGCCTTGGCGGAAAACGATCTCTGGGTGCCGCCGAAAGAGGCTCAGATTCTGAAGAAACTGGAGAAGGAGGAGCCGTATGAAGTTGTGATTTTTGAGGGGACGAAACATGGGTTTGCGTTGAGGTGTGATGAGAAGGATGAGGTGCAGATGGCGGCTGCTGAGAAGGCGGAGGAGCAGGCTTTGAGGTGGTTTAAGAAGTGGATTGGTTGATGTTTTGCGGGTCGGCGCTTCGGTTTCTCTTCCGTTACCCTACAATTGGTCCGAATCTTCTATTAAAATGGTTCTAGTATACATTCCCCTCGTTTCGCCTTCCCAAGTCACCGGTATCATCTGAATGTATACCCCTTGGAGTATCGGCACATCCTTTGTTGCTGAATGCGCTCGGATCGTCTTCCTTGGATAATCTGTGTCATCTGGCTTGAAATGGAGTGCCTTGACTGTGCCCAAGATGTGTCGTGGGTTATCGGCGTGGGATTTAACGAGTTCTTGGCGCTTTGTTTCTGATTCCAAGGCATGGATCAGGAGCGCATGCGCCTTGGCAACTATATTGAACGTGTTCTAGTGGTGGAAGTTAGAGTATATCTTCCATTTATCTAAGTGGTGGACTTGCATACTAAAGTTCCCATCTGCTGCTTTGCGCTATATAATCTTAAGAAGGTGTCTTATATATTGGATTCCCCCTTGGTGTGGTGCTAATGTACCAAATTGTAGGGGACATTCAGTTATTCCTCTTCTGCATTGTCCAGTTATTCAGAATAATGGTCTGTTTGAATTATCGGGAATATTCAGTATCTTATATATTACCGACTTTTTGAGAATATCGAGTCGATCTGAGTGTCAAATAAAGCCCTTGAGTTATTTGTCACGTTTGGAATTGGGGGCCATATCGTGGAGAGCGTTGGCGGACGAACGAGGGACGAGCTACATGTGACGCCTACAAGCCAAGTGTGCATCGATTTGACGAGCGAGCGCCGACGATCGAGAGGAAAGGCTTGATCTTGAAGGCAAGATGCAAGCGTTGCAAAGAACCAGACTTGCCTGCACATATACGCACGAACAAGCCCCAAGTTGTGGGAAATTGTAGCAGCTCAATGTCCCCACCGATTTGGTACATTCGACGAAATAAAGATTGAAATGTCCTCGAAAAATTGTGACATTGATAGGAGACAAAGCTGAGCATTCTCAAGTCACGAATTGAATTAGGCCTATTTACCCAAAGTCGAATCCTCGTAAGTCAATACCAATACCCTCCTCTCCAAGCATGTACTCCCCCATTTCGTCTGCGCCAATCCCGCTCATATCCCAAATACTTGTCGATATCCTACTCTGCTTTAATAACTCTTCAATGATCAGTCTACTTCGCCGAGCCCCAGCCCAAACATTTTCGAGTTGGGTTAGAAAATGAATACATGCTTCAACGTCACCGGTGGCGTCTTCGTGGGTGAGAGACGAAAGGCGGAGTCTGGGGTGAGATTAGAACTGATGGCAAAGATGGAAGAGCCAAACTTACATCAGGACTCCTGAGAGTGCAAGGTAGTGCGTGCAGAATGCTAGGTGGTGGGACGGAGGGACGCGAGCTTGGATGAGTTCTGCCACCCCGATACAACTTCTCGCTGCGTTGACGCATTGGAGGAAGGAAGGGTGCTTGCTGGAGAAAGAGACACGGTTGAGGTCGGGAATGAGAGGTCTGAAAGAGTTAGGACATCCTGCATTAAGGAGTGAGGTTCGATCACCTGTGGAGATTTATCACACAAGCCGCATGCACGATGTAGAGAATGACGCCCACCGTCAGATGAGGCGAGTCATAATTCACACTATTTGCAGAGAATCTGATCGAATCAGGTACTGTGTTGAGCCATTCAAATAAATCGGCGTCGAGCGACTCGAATAATTTCTCCTTTCCGGATAATCGACTCGTCGTAGACCTCCTGCGGCCGTTCTGCCATCGAAGCGGATTGACGGCACGAATAACCTTTCCAAATATTTGACAGAGCTTGGAGAAAGCTATGAAGCCGGCGAGTTGCGAAGGTGTTGCTGGCTTGATTCTGAGATCTGGTTGCTCTTTGCAATACGATTCTAGCTCGTCATCATCGAGGTCCAGAGGTATCTCGCAATCGCAGTCAGAGTCTTCTACGCCCATGGGCCGACCGAGGCAGATTGAAAGGAGTCTGAAAAAGGTCAGAACGGTAATCCGGGTGGAACTGACTGGGATTTACCTGTCTAATCCGTAAACGCTCCACCAGACTCGGCGGCATAACTCTTCTTTCAGAGTCTCACCAGTCCCTCTTTCCGGAGATCTCTGGGAGAAAATTCAGCTTGATCAAATATCATGTGGAGACAGATTTACATGTAACCCTAAATCTTGAGCTGCTCGGACTGCTTGACCAGCAAACTTCCAGCTTTGCGTGAGGGTATTCCAGCAAGCAGTGCATATGGAGAGCAATGCCAAACATTGAACTTGTTCAATAGAGCCCTCTCCAGTCGACTTGTAATACAGTAAAAGAGCGCTTTCATAGTATTGTAAGCCCGTGAACATGCCGGGATTTCCAGGCTCTCGAGGCAACAGTCCAGAAGCGCACGCACAGACAGCAAAGAAGACAGACAGAAAGCCAGGATCAAGAGTTTCCCCTGACCGATCATTAATTAATACATTATACCGCTGCATGAAATGTGGCTTGTATATCACGGGCATAGAGAAATGCAAGTGATCAAAGTAGAGGTTGACAAGAAGATCGGAGACGTAGCGAGGAGGTCGAATCAGTTGTTCTGCCTTTGGGAGGAACGGTAATGGAGGCCAAGTTCGTCCACGATCGAAGAAAGGTAGCTCAAGAATGCTCGTATTAGTTTCACGATGTCGAAGGTCAACTGGAGTCGGTGGAGTGTTGCCCGTTCCGGCTTCTGGGCTCAATGTCTTCAATGCTTCGATCAAGACCATTGTCCCAGTGCCTCCAACATATCTGAGTTTGCCGTACGAATCTCGGGTCATCACGTGGTCCTGGATATTGATAGGGGTTTCGTCGTCTGCCTCTTCATTCCCATCTTCGAATTCCTCGCCCTCATCGACTTGGCCGTCCTCAATAAGAGCTACCTGAGCACCATTTGAGGACATCGTGTCACCTAAATCAGGTTTATTCGCTGTCTTATTGTGCATTGGCTGGGACATATGGACAGAAGTATTAGGAACTTGATGTTTGAGAGACTCAAGACTTCCAATAACTTCATTAAACTTGGCCAGCATCTTCTCCATATGCTGACATAACGTATCGACTTTCTGGAAACGCTCATCCAGAGTCGCCAAGAACCTAGACAGAGTCAGCAACAGTCAAAATAGTAACAGCGCTTACTCACTGTCGGCTTGTTGAAGCATTGTCATTGCTCTCAGGATATATACAGGCTCGGTTTCGATTCCTGCAAGGCTTGCAAACATCATTGCCGTCACATTTACTCTACATCCAGCGGTGAGCGGAAGTAGACGATTCTGAGCTACGAGGCTTCTCATACCTTTTTCTTCCGACACTCAAGACATGCTCGCCATACTCGTCCTGGGCGGCCGCTGCTTCCTTGTTGGCCGTCGTCTCCGAGCTCGATGCCGAGCTCTGACATGCTTCAATAGTTGCCGGGGAGAATTGACACGCGCTTATTGTATGTACTTTTTCGAGGCAACAAGGGGGGATGAAGGAATTCCCACCGCAGAACCAAAGACTATACTGGCATTGGCGATGTATAAAGCCCACTCTTGAGCGTGAGCGTCTTGATAAGGAGTGATGAGGCCCACATTATCCCCGCTTTCCCAAGGGTCCGACCATGGCATAGAATGGCCACATAATTTCGAGGGTGTCAATGCAACTCGAGTCGTATTTGGGAACTTTTCGCTATAATTCGAGCCAGTTCAGTTATGGGGGAAATATGCTGTCGATGAGATGAAAGGAGGTTGGATTAGATTGGGAGTGAAAGTAGCCATTCCTACATGCACCTACCTCGCTAAAATGCGGGAGGTCAATAAATTTAGAGCCTAATGGCTACGCGTTCTCGCACTTTCAACTTCTCACGCTTCAAAATCGAACATTGCTTATCGAGACCTTTAATCTTGGGTGGACGGGCGTTCCTCCGAGTTGGGCCAAGTTACTGAGGCCATTAGCGGGCTAGCGGACAAATCCGAGAAGCGAAAAGTGATTTTCTGATTTTCTGATTTTCGCGCCCACACCCCCCCACCACACCTTACTAAAAAAAAAAAAAGTATAGCATATATACCTTATTCTCGACTACTCCTAACCTCCCCTTAGCTTATATAGTCCGTAAGGCAAATCCCATAGATTATGAGATATATCTCTATCTCCCTTACTTTCTATATTCTCTATACTACCTATATTACTCGAATTATCTATATCTTCTTTATTCCCTTTTTCTCTAGTATTCTTATCCTCCTTTATTATAATCTTTTTCCCTATTATTTTCTAATCTTATATCTATTTTTATACTTGCTTTTTATATTTTATAGATAGTTAAAGCTTTAATATAAAGGGTTTTATAGATATAGAATAAGGCTTTCTAGACTTAGTAGAATTAGTATTAAGTTAATAGAAAGTATAGATTTTATTATTATTATTATTATATTTATAATTTATATAAATACTATTAAATTTGCTTTCTATAACTATATAGTATTTAAAAGGGCCTCTTGATTTCTTCTTATTACTATAAGTAATATAAGCTTAAGAGAATTTGGTTCCGTAAATATATACTAAGCTTGCCTCTAGATTTGCCTTATCTTTCTCTAATTTTTTTAGCTTCCTGCCCTAGTATAGCTCTATTTCTCTAACTTTAGCCTTATTATTAATTCGCTTTACTACTTTAGTAATATTATTAGGTAATATAAGAAAATTAAAGTATTATTATAGAAAAGAAAAAGAAGATTATATATAAGAAGGAAATTAAAGAATAAAAGGATTTATTAGTTAAATATATTAATAAGAGAGAATATTATAGACTAAGTCTAAATTATTAGAGGATATATTATAAATATTTTTTATTTATTTATTTATAGCTTTATTATCTTTTCTATTACTTTTGCCTTTACTAGAGCTATTACTTAAAGCTATATTTAATATATTTTTAATAAAGAAAAGCTTTAATAATAGTATTATATATTAGAATTAAAGTTATTTTTAGAAAGAGGTTAAGATTAAGATTAAGGCTAAGATTAAAGCTAGTATAGTTATATTTTTATTATTTATTTTTAGAATATAAAAATATATATTTAATATAATTATTTAAATCTAAATAAATTTATAATAAATAATATCTAAAAATAGAAATATTAGTATTTAATAGCCCTAGATTAAGTATATTTAAATATTAAAAAAATTATAATTTTAGGTATTATAGTTATAAAGATAAAGATATAAATATTTTTTCTCTTACTAATTTATAAAAGCTAAGATATACTAATAATAATTAAACTATACTTAACTTATATAATTAGCTAATTTACTTTACTAATTATAAATAATTCGAGGTAATTTAAATCTCTTTAAATCTCTATATATAGCTTATTATATAAACTTCTATATCTCTATATTTAGTAATACTATAATTATAATTTTTAGATAAAAAGAATTCTCTTATTCTAGTATATATAATTATACTTATTTCTTATTTTTTAAATATATAGTTATTAAATTAGAAAGGCTTAAGAATTCTAAATAATACTTTTTCCTAAGAAATATATATTCTTAATAAATAATAAAAGTAAATATGAAATTATATAATAATATAATTACCCTATACTAGTAACTTTATTTTCTATAAAACTATAATTTTATTTTATTTTTATTCTAAAATCTCTATTTTTTTTCTATATTTTTTTAATTTTACTATTAATATTAAAAGCTTTTATTCTTTACTAATATTTTCTTTATTAATACTTTTATTAATATCTTTATTAATATTTCTATTAATACTAAGAATTAGTATCTAACTATCTTATAACCTTTCTTTCTTCTTTCTTATTTTTCTTTATTTCTTTTTTTTATTTCTTTTCCAAATTCCTTTTCTAAATCCATCTTTTTTTAATACTTCTTCTATTAATACTAAAAGCTAGTATCTAATTACCTTATAACTTTTTTTTCTTTCTCTAAATCTTTTTAAATCCCTCTTCTAAATCCCTTTTCCAAATCCCTTCTTCTTTAATACTTTTATTAATAATACTAAAAGCTAGTACCTAATTACTATTTCCGGATTACTTTTATCTAGAACTTCTATACTATAAGTTTTTAATCTACTTACTCTTTAGAAAACTAAATTTTAGATCTCTTTTTTCTTTCTCTAATATCTTTTTCTTTCTTTTTCTAATATCTTTTATATTTTCGGGCTCTTTAGAAATATCCTCTTTTAAACTTCTAAAAAAAGAAACTAATTCCTATTTAGATTCCTCTAAACTTTAATATTTCCTTTTCTTTTTTAATATTTATAAAAGCCTTTAGGCTATTACTAAATACCTTTATTTTTTATCTTAAAATATATACTAATTTATTCTTATAGGAAATAGCCCTTCTTTTTTTAATCTTAATTTTTTTAATATATACTTCTTATTTTTAGGCTATTTAGATATCTTCTTATTTACTTTTATAAAATATATATTAACTTATTTTTTAGTTTTCCTTACTTTACCTTTTCTTTAATATTACTATATATATATCTAGTTAGTACTAGTTCTTATAACCTATAATTAGGCTTTTTATTTATTAAATATTTAGGTATTTTATTTTATTTTTAATTTATATATTTTAATTTATATATTTTACTTTTCTTTTATTATAGGTTAGAACTTAAATAGTATTTATTTTAAGTACTTATATTCTCGGGTATATAAGACTTTTATAGATTTTTTAGAATTATAAACTAGCTTATTTTAGTTTAGGGAGCTTTCTTAAAAGTATTTCAGGAATTATAATATTTATTATAACTTTTTCCAAAAATTAATATAATATAAGTATTTCTGGTCTATTTTTTTTCTATAAAGCAAACTATTATCCTAAGTTTATATAAAAGTCCTAATTATTTCTTAAGTTAAAGTATAAGTATTTCTTATTTCTATTAAATTAAATATAAAAGATAATAAGTATCTTTAGGCTAGATTATAATACTAGTTAAGTACTAAGACTTCCTATACTTATTTCGCAAACTTATAATTCGAGATATATTATATTTAATAAGGCTTTTATATCTAATTACTTTATATTATAATAAAATATCTTAGTATTATAATTAGGGAAATTCTACTTTATAATCTTATTTACTATTTATAAATTTTCTAGCTAATAAGTCTTAGCTAATAGCTAAAAAACTTATTAGCTACTTTATCTAAAGTCTCTAGAAATAGGAAATTATTTTAATAAAGACTTAGTATTAAAAATAGGTTTAATTAATTAATCTAAATAAGGAGTTTATAATAGAAGTTTCTATATATAAGTAATTTCATATAATAAACTCAAGTTCCTATCTCTAGTTATATAAATAAGCTATATAAGAAACTTTTTCTAGTCTATTAGAATAGTTCCTATCCCTAGTTATATAAGTTATAATATATAATAAACTCAAACTTTTTTTAGGTTATTTTTAGAAAAATTAGTAAGCTTTTCTAGATAAACTTATTAAGGCCTTGGTTTTTAAAGATATTAGTCTAGCCTTCTTACTTTTTCCTTAAATAATAGTTTAGCTCTTAGAAATCATATATAAATATTAGAATAAATAAGGAAATATACTATATATGCTTTCTAAATAGATTAGAATAGAATTTATAGAATTCCCGTAATATTTTTATTAAATTTATAGTACTAGCTAGTAAAGATTTTAATAACCTTAATAAGACTTGAATTATAAGCCTGGCCCTTAGATTTCCTGCTTAATTTAAAGATTAAGTAATCTATAATAGGTTATTTATTATAAAATATATTATATTCTTTTCCTAAAAAATACCGGGTACTAGTAATAGTTTAAAAGCCCTAAAGCCCTTGAGATTCTTTATAAGTTTTAGGCTTTAAGGCTTTTCTATAGCTAGCTAATTATATAAAGTTATGTAATTATATAAGTCCGGTATTAATATAAAGCAATTAGTAACTTTATATATAGATATAATATAGTTTTTAGTATAGCTAATCTAATATATTATATATCTATATATAAATACTTATAATTTTATTATTATAATATAATATATCCTTAATATATCCTTAATATAAAAATCTTTTTATAATCCTAGATTTTTAAGAGCCTTCTTTATACTAAAGGCAAAGTATATAATATTATTTAGGTATTAAACTTAAAAGGCAAAAAATTATAAAGGCCCTAATAATTATAAGACTTTATAAACTTAAGTAAATTTAAATATTATAAAAATATTAAATTTAGTAGTCTAATTTTTAAATTATATAAGAACTAATTAAAAAGTATTATTTTAAAGTATTAATTATAAATTCTAAGTATATATATATTTATAAGAAAATAAAACCTAAAATAATACTAAGCTAATTATAAGATATAGGAAAAAGTATATTAGATATTAGGCCTATTTTTTCTTAATTACTTTAATCTCGGCAAATATTTATATATAATTTATTAGATCTTATATAATAGATTTACTTAGAAGAAATAAGATTAATTAGCCTAGGGAATTTAATAATAATAATTAGACTTTTATTTAGGGTAATAAGTAAAGTACTAGTAATAGCCCGAATATCTTAGGTTTTACTTATAAAACTAAAAATATTATATCTATTAATTCTCTATATCTAATAAGAAAAAGAAGTAATATATTTATATCTCTAATATACCTATTACTATAAAGTAATACTTATATAATCTATAAGATTAATTATAGTTTCCTTTATTAAAAAAGAGAATAGTAAAATTAAAAAAGAATCTAATAACCTATTATTATTATTATTATTATTACTATTAGGATTAGTTTTAGTAATACTTTTAATAGTACTTTCTGTATTATCTTATAGCTCCTAGAGATTAGTAAATAAAGAAGAATTCTAATATATATAAGTTAATTAAACCTAAAAATAAAAAAGAATTTATAGAAGAAATAAAAAGTAAAAGCCAGAATTAAAGAAAAGAATTATATATATACCTTTATTTACTTACTAGTTTATTAGATTCTTTCTTATTCTTAAAGTCTTATACTTATACTAGTAGGTAATACTTTTCTGGGCTCTCTAGGCCTTTTTAGTCTATTATTTAATTTCCTTAAGTTATTATATCTTCTAAGTATTTTCTAGCTTTTTATAAGTAATTTTAAGATAAAGATCTTTATATAGAGTTTTCTTTTAAGTATTTTTTAGTTTTTTATAAGTAATTTTAAAACAAATATCTTTATATAAAGTTTTATTCTAATATAAAATAAGGAAAATTATTCAAATACTTTTAGGGCCTAGATATATACTATAGTAAGAAAGATTAAAGATAGTTTAAATAGAACCTAGTAAGACTATAAGTTCCTGGGTTCTTTTACTATTAGAACTAGTATAAAATACTAGTTTATTTATATTATTAATAAATTAATAATAGTAAATAGGTTTACTAATATAAAGAGAGAAATAAGAAAGTAGCTACTAAGAAACTATATTAGAAAAAATAGAAAAGACTTAATTATTTATTTCAAATCAAAAGCTACTTATTAAAAAACATCTATTAGAATTTATATAGAAAATCTAGTAAAAGAAATAGGAGAAAACTTATTACTAATTTCTTTAGAAAATTAGATAGTTTTTTACTTAGCTCTCTAATTCTTTATATTATTAAATACCTATTTATAAAGAACTAGCTATAAAACCACGGTTTATAATTTCATAAGACTAGATTCGGCTATATTTTAATTTATAAGACCTTAAAAAGCTCCAGGTAGCCTATTACTAGTATAAGAAGCTATAGCCTAGATAGTAGCCTAAATAACTCTCGTATTTATAGCCTATTAAGCTTATATAATAATATAAATACTACTAGAAAAGTAATTAGGTTAAGTAATATAGCTTATAATAAAAGGAAATATAAAAGAAAGTAGTTATAAGGCTATTAAAATAAGAGAAACCTGAAATAAAGCAAAACTAGTACCTAGTAGTTATATAGTAATAGTAATTAAAGAAATAGATATAATAAATATTTCTAGAAAAAAAGATATAGGATTAGGATATTAAAAAAAGCTAGGGATCTAAAATATTCCAGATATAAAAAAGAAAATAGATATAGACAGAATTCTAGAGCTATAAGATTCAAGTTTACTAGTATTACTACTCTAGGCAAGTAAAGTAGTAGCCTTTATATTATATTTATTATTAGTAAATTAATAGAACTTATAATATTAGATATTATTATACTAGTATTTAGCTATAAAATATATAATATTAGGATAGGTTTTAAGAAATAATAATACTATTTTAAGAAATAAGAATTTAAGAATATAGAATATTTATATAATAAATAAACTTAATAATTCTATTAGTATTACTTTTAAAAATAAGAAAAAGGTTTCGAAAATAATATATTTAATAATAAATAATACTTATTTTAATATATCTAGTTATTTTATAACTAGCTTATTTAATTACCTTATATTATTAGAAATATTACTAATAAAGGGCTATTTCTAGATAAAGTCCTAAACTATTAGGAACTATATAGGTATTCTTCTAGCCTATATATTATTTATATACTTTATATTTATTAGAATAACTTATTTAAGAATCCTATTTTATATAATAATAGTATTATATTTACTAGTTAGCTTCTCGGACTCTTCTAATATTAGTAGCTGCCCTAAGGCTATATATGCCCGGACTATATATTAGAGCTAGTAATAAGCTTAAATATATAGTTAGTTACCGTTTCTATTAGTATCTCTTATATAAATATTAGCTATATTTATATTATAAAACATAAGCTTCTAATAGTACTATTCTAGTATTTCTCTTAATAAAAACTTATTAATATCTATATTAGTATATAAGTAAACTATTTATATAAAGCTATATAAGATTATATTACTTACCTTAAACTAAATAATTATTAAGGATTATATTATAAAGCTTTATATCTATAGGGTAACCCTAGTACTATACCCTATCTAAAAGCCTCGTATATAGTCTAAATAGCTTACTAGCTACTATATTAGGCCTAGATCTGTTTTTTCTAATCCTATAAATATTTTATAAGTCTATAAACCTATATATCTTATTTTGGATTTACTATATATAAAATACTAGTAAAATAATCCGGTCCTATAAATATTAGTAATTATAATTCCCGGTATAGGCCAGTTCCTAAAAGTAATTCTATATATACTAATTAGAATTAGTTATATAATCCAGTACTATAATACTAGATCTAATAGCCTTAATAAAAAGTAATATAATTATTAGTATCTAATATTTCTTTCTAATAATAGAAAGAATAAGAGACAGATATAGGGAAACAGAATTACTTATATACTACTAGTATAGCTAGCTTTTCTAAAGCTCCTACTATTAGGATTTAATCTACTAATTCTCGGTATTTTTCCCAGAAATAAAGTAGTCTTTTATATATATAACTAATAAATTAGCTATTTGCAAGAATATAAAGTATACTTTAGTAATAAGAGAAAGTTTAGAGCCTTAATTAGCCCTAAAGAAATAAGAATAGTAGCCTATTTAAATATAAATCTAAAAATACTATTATATAACTAAATAAGTAATCTAATTAGAGATTCTAATATATACCTAGATAATATTATATAAATAAGTATTAATATAAGTATATATCTTAATCCCAAATAATAATAGCTTATTATATTTATTAATTAACTAAATCTAGTCTGGCCTAGATATAATATATTTTCTTTTCTTAAACTATATCTATTATATTTATAGTATAATTACCTTAGAATCCAGGAATTATAATATTATATATAAGTTCTCTTTATAAATAATAAAATATATTAGTAAATAAGGCCCTAATTTTCTAAGCTAGGGCAAAATAGTAAAGTATAGAAAAACTAACCGGGTTATTAGTAAACCTTATTAATAGAAATATATATATAAATACTACTATTTATAACCTATAACCTGCCTATTATTTAGCTCACTTTATAGTATTATAAATAGTTACTTATTTACTACTTACCTATCTATTATAATTATATAGTAAATAAGACTAAGCTTCTTATATATATAAATAATTCTAGTAATTAAAGCTATATAATTATAATTCTTAAGATCCTTAAGTATTTCCTTATTTATATTTCCCAGATAATATAGGATTATAATCTATATATAAAGAAAAAACATATTTATTATTTAAATATATATTTAGATATTTTATTCTTATAATTATTATTAGACTATATATAAATTAACTAAGATTCTATATAAATATTTTAATCTATTTATAATTTCTTTTTAATTAATATTTATATAAGCCTATTTAGTAATAGCTTTATAATATAGTAATAGATTTATTAAAAATTATAGTATTATTTTAATAAAATCTATTAAATTATTTTAATAGGAATTAAGTTCAGGGTATATTTTACTATTATAATATACTTTTTAGTAATATAAGTACTAAAAAACTCGAGTAATATTATTCTTATATAATTTTATTAATTAATTACTAAAAAAAAAAAATTAGCTAGCTTCTTAGTTATTTTAATAGTTTAATTTTCTTATTTCTAATCTCGGGAATATTAAGGAAATTATTAGATCCTATTAATAGTATTATCCTAGAAGGGCTTATAGCCTATAGTTACCTAATTATAGTAATTTGTAATAAATACTTAATTTTATATTATACTATCCGGCCTAATTTTGGTATAATTTTATACGGTAGTATAGGCTCTTATTTTATTAATTAGATAAGCAAGCAGTCTTACTATTATTATATTATCCAAGCCGAAAGTCACGTGTGGATGCTATATCCCTAATTAGGAATTCTGCCTTGGGGAGGAGGGGGGGGGGGGGGGGGGGGTGTGCGGGGCGCCAGTGCGAAAATCAGAAAATCAGAAAATCACTTTTCGCTTCTCGGATTTGTCCGCTAGCTAGCTGTGGGCCTCAGTACAAGTGGACATTTCCCGGGACCAAGGCCAAAACTAGGTACAGCTCGTACTATCGATATCGAGCTCAGTCGAGCAAGTGCAAGTCTTCGGGTACGTCAGCTTAGAAGACTATTGCCAGGTATGAAGCGCTCTCTAGAGAAACGCGTGTCAACTTTCTGGGGTTCTCAATAACAATCTGCGCATTTCCACTTGGGCCCGCTCTTCTCCGTTCTCCTCCGCTACTCAGAGGCAGAGGCCGCCTGCACTGGCTGCATCATTCGCATGACTCTCCTTTCTCCTCTTGCCACCTTGGGTGGGTTTCCTCAAGTTCTGCCGTCACATACCAGAAGTCAAATAATGCTCCCATTCTTGAAGGCGTTACGCGTTGGGATATTACTGGTATGTGGATGAGAGCAAGGGATCCGAAAGGAGACGGTCAAGTGGGGTCTGCCCCAGCTCCCACCCCCTCCCACCTTTGCTACTAAACACTCTAGCGCTATCCCGTTTCTTCCAGACTTTCAATCTTTCTTTAGTCACTTGGAACTAAAAGTCGAACCAAGCCGAACCGGCCGGAGCTGTTCCGATATTGTAATCTTACTCTACATCCGGCACGCCATAATCAAGTTATATAACCTGCAAGCACTTTCCAGTCCTGGTCAACAACCAATCAAATTCATTTCAAGATGTCGGCAGAATTCACTTCCGCAGTTGTTTCCAACACAGGGAAGACTCGATTTCGAGCAGCTCTGGAGCGAGCACGAGATGGCGGAGCGCCATGTGTAGGGCAATGGATGGAGTTTCCCGGATACAATTTAGCAAGAACAATTGCTGAGCTAGGCTCTGATGTATGTCTGTTTTCAATTAGGTTGAATTTATTCTGACATATCGCGATAGTGGGTGTTGGTGGATTGCGAACATGGAAACATTGCAGATAATGAGATGTATCTTGCCGTTGGTGCTATTGCTGCAGCTGGAGCGTCTCCAATTGTGAGAATACCGGCAGGTGAGGCATGGATGATGAAAAGAGCACTCGATGCTGGAGCCCATGGGATCATGATCCCCATGTGTGAAACCAAGGTGTCCTCATCCCCCTCCCCTTTATTTCCCCCTTGTTATCTCAAAGAAAATTGCTGAAGTAGACAGGAACAAGCAGAAGCCATCGTCAATGGCATGAAGTATCCCTCGAAGGAGTGGCCGAATGGTATTCGAGGTGCGGGAGCTATGTTTGCCCCTGCCTACTTCCAGCAAAATGGCCAAGATTATTTGAGGCACGCGAACGACAACATCGTAGTCATTGTTCAGATCGAGTCAAGAAAAGCCGTTGAGAACTGTGAAGAAATCGCGGAAACGTCCGGAATTGGTATGAACCATTCAAGCTCTCCCACGAAATATCGTCAGGAGTTTATCTAACACGTGAACAGATGCGCTTTTCATTGACCCGAATGATCTTGCAGCTTCAATGGGTTATTTTGCTTTCGACCATCAAAAGATTGAAGAAGTGCAGCAAGCAACTGTGAGAGTTCTGAAGGCCGCGAAGGACGCTGGAAAGTTTGCAGGACATTTTGCCTTGTCTGCAGATATCGGTAAGCTGGTGATCATAGATATTCTCTCTTTCTATACTGAGGAACATGAAATAGCTGCACAAAGATCCAAGCAAGGATTCCATTTCATGAACTGTGGAGCAGGTATCTCGGCAATCACTGTCTGGATGAGCAATGAGATGGCGAGAATGAAGACCCTTATGGACAAATGAACTGGGAAATAAATGCAAGAATATATATTTGGTTATCTAGACTGTATTTGATTATTCTTGGTTCATTATCACAATTTTAATATCCTTCCTCGCAGCTTGGGCCTTGAAAGCGTCATTAGCTTTCGTGAGCGGATATGTTGAAGTGATCAGCGGTGCAAGGTTCACAGCTTTTCTATCTAACAGATCAATCGCATCAGCAAAGCAGCCAGGGGTATAGCGGACGGTTCCTTTTTCTCAATCAGCGACAATCATTTCCAGGGATTGAAACACCATTACCTTTCATATTCAGCTCCTTTGCCGTGAAGAGGAAAAGCGGAACCGAAGTCAGCGACTTTCCCAGCCCAGCTTGTATAACTGAGAAAAGTTAGATCTCGGTTAACACCGGATTTCATAATTGAAAACTCACATGTGCCTCCTGATTTCGTCAACACCACGGCCATTTGAACGCAGGCCTCAGCACCAGTTGCTTCAATCGTCAAGTCGACACCAGATCCAAGTCCATGCTCAGCAATAATCTTGTTCATGAAGTCCGTAGCGAAGGCCAAGGGCTCTACTTTGTCAGTGTTGAAAGGGCAGACAACCCCAATATCGGCGTTGTACTTAACCGCAAAATCAACTCGGGACTTCTCAATATCAAAGGTAATGATTTTCTTCGTCCCGTAAGCTCTGGCCACGGCCATCACAAGTAAGCCGAGTGGGCCACAACCACTTTCGATAATTATTAGCAAGAATTTCAAGAATTTCAATGCAACGGGAAAACTTACAAGACTGCCACGGTTTGATGAGCTCTCATATTTGCTCTCCTCCCCAGCTGAACAGCAATAGCCAGGGGTTGGATACAGCCAGCTTCCAGCCAGGACACCGACTCCGGAATCGGGACAGTCATGTGAGCAGGACACACAAAATACTGCGTCAGGGTGCCATTTTCAGTATGGCCACAATACGCAAGATTCGCGCAGATGTTAGGATTTCCACGAATACAGAACTCGCACCTCCGCACTATCAGCTTCCGTTTCCATGGTGATACTGGAATCAACTCACTTCATACAAGCAAACCCCGGCTCAATCGCAACTCGCTGACCAACGGTCCTGCTCGTAACTTTCGATCCAACTTTTGAGATCTTGCCTGCTGACTCGTGGCCAAGGACAGGAGGCGCTTTTGCTGGGTTGGATTCCCAGACATGAGCATCCGAGCCGCAAATACCGGTTGAGATCACTTCCACGAGGACATCTTCCTCGCCTAGTTCTTTCACGTCACGGTGCTGGATGTCGACGTTTGAGGGTGCGACCCAGACGACCGAGCGATTTGAGGTGATTCCATTGGCTGAGTGACCGTTCGTGAGTGCTTCTGTCATTTTTGCGTGAAGAAAATAAGATGTATAAAGAACTTTCAATGAAATTTCTTCCACTGGTATACAAATCAACGGCGTCTTTTAGTTAGTGGTGTGGAGCACAATACAGTTCTATTTTCACCTCGAATCCGCCAGCGGCCGAAGCATAAGCTTGAAATTGACGGATCTATTCCGACGATATTATTAGGTTATCATTGCTAACTTAAACCTCCTGTAACATTTGCAGTTGTGGTTATTAAGTGTTGGGCAATCGCCTCTCAAAGGTGGGGAGCTGGCTCGGTCCGAGATCCGGCGGAGTCTTCTCCAGGGACTTTCCAACATCTTGACAACAACCAAACGCTAAAGGGAAATGTTATTCAAGGAACCCCTACATAAATTCATTGAGGGGTGCGAGGCCGAAAAAGATCGAGGACTAGAAGCACTTGCTTAATGATTATACATGATTCATCACAATTCTATACATTCGGTCTTCTAATGGCAATACTTATGTTCACAGCTGTACTTGGTGAGAGAGAAACTCAATTCAGAGCAAGGTGACAAGCTCCGAATCCAGCATTGTCCTAGATAATTGAAAACAATGAAGTCCTTGTCCCTTGAATTCTTCGAATCCATTGAGGATATCGATTTAGCCCACGTATTGCAATGTACTAAAGTCTCGAGGATAATGTGGTCACCGTCTCTAACAGTGTCCCAAAATTATTGAGAAGAACAATAATGTCCTCGGGTCTTGCATTATTTCGAACTATCACGGAAATTAAAGTGCCTCTTCCTAACAGCGATGAGGTCATCATTCTTACAATGTGACTAGATCATTGGTAACATTGTACTATTGGCTTCTTGCACAAAACTGCACTGTGGTGGACATTGACGTACGTGCCCCTTTCGGATATCGCATGACTTGAGGCACAATCAAGTCCTTTCTCTTCTAACTGGGACGAAAACACAATCAAATTCATTGTTAATTGCCCTTGAATTTACGATACTTTGAAGCTCCCTTGTCGACCCTGCGAGTATTTGAAATTGGGGCCGTAGCATGTGGCCTGGGTGCGCCCGGGGGATTGGCCTCGCTTAGCGATAGGGGCAAAAAGGTCAGCACAAAAGCACCAAAAAATCGAACAAAAGAATGCATCACCACAAGCCATCTTCAAACCATGAAAAGGAATTCCAAAAAAAAAAAACAATTTCTTCTGTTCATTTCCGAAACGGGGAATCGAACCCCGAGCTCCTGCGTGAGAGGCAGAAATGTTAACCATTACACCATCTGTTGCTTGTTAGTTATTGTACACTTGAAATTTGTGTTGGTTGAACATACTTCGGATTTTTGAATTGTGCTAGATTTTGCTTATTTTAAATTATTAAGGTGCTTGCAAAAGTGGGGTTTACGGGATCCAAGCACGTGACTCATTCCGACAATCATCCGCTGCCCATCCATCGTCTGATAGGATGCAACACCTTTTGACTTAGAAGACCAGAATTACTATTTTTGCTTCTTGTACTTGCAATCTCTATATATTGAAGCAATGAACCAACAAGGCAAATTTCAAAAATCACTTTCTCGAAGGCTGCTTGCTCTGCATATTTTAAGCGCGTTCTGCCAAAGAAATCTCAAGCAATACTAATGGAAGGTCCCACAGGTCTGAGCCAAATCTTGAACTTGAGTTCTTGATAGAAACGAATTTTTATTTTATTTCCTTCTAAGACCACGATAATCCTGTCGCCAAACCTCACATTGGCGACACCGCCGGGTATGATAATCTCTCTCCAAGCCCACACAATCCTGACTCCTCTCCAAAAAATCTCTTCGCAGAAAATGCTACATATGCCATCTATGCGTCATATTTACACGCACGCACTCTCTCTATTCGTCATCGGAATCCGTCCCCAGCGCCTTAAAATCCAACCTCCCTCTTTCCCCCTCAAATCTCCACCTCACACCCTCCCACCCCACTCTCCTTTTAACCCCAACCTCAACATCAGCAACCGGTTTCCTCACCGCCGTCCCAAGTTTCTGGAATGCTCGATCGGGCACAGAATCCATCCCTGCCACTTCGAATCCCACAACGATGCCAGCGACGAAGGCGAGAATCTCCATCATTGCGAAGTGTCGGCCAGGACAGAGATGCTTGCCGCCGCCGAAGGGGAAGTAGCCCTGGTTTTGCTTGCGCCGGGTTTCTTTGTCGAGGGCGCCTTTTTCTGAGGGGAGGAAGCGGGTGGGATTGAAGGAGGAGGCGTCGGGGCCCCAGATTGAGGGTGAGGTGTGCGTGATTCCGGATGGGAGCTGGATCACTGATGGTGATTTGAGGGAAAATGTGGAAGACGAGCTAGATGAGGTGAGTGTTGTTGGTTCTACTACTGCCCGAACAGAGGTCGCGGCGTCGATCAGACGGAGTGTTTCGTGGAAGGTGGCCACTAGAAGGGGACAATGGGACTGGAAGAGAGCGATGTCCATCACCGCTTCCTCGGTGCCATCTTCTTTCCTCTCTCGTTTTACTATGCCCTCTACCTCTTTCTGAATTTCATGCAGGAGGGATGGAGACGAGAGGATATAGCTTAGTTGCCAAAATGATGTGGGCACAGAATTTGTAGTAGCTAAGAAGAGAGTTGAAATCTCGAAGTTAGCGATGTCGTCGGCTGAAAAGCCCCATTTTTGAGCGCAGGCAAGATGTGCGCGGATCAATGTGCTGCCGGTGAGCTCGTCGTGATTCTCGTAGTATTTTCTAAAAACTTCCTTGATTGCTGCTCTGCCTCTGTAGGCTTTTGGTGCGATTATTGTCGGAAGGAGGTTCAGCATGAGCAAGGTCATATTTTCCTCGAAGTCCCTGGAAAACATTAATTTTCGAAGATATCTGGCTGCAACGCGACTCACCATAAATTGTCTATGAGGCTATGGTCTGCGTTCATGGGATCATGAGGTCCGTATAGCGCGTCCGCAGTGGCCAGAGTCAAAACATCCCTAACCCATCTGTAAAGACCGACCTTCTTCTCCCCTCCATCAATTACATTAAGATGTTCTGCGACTTTATCCAGAACTCCCTTATTTAGCTCCGACAAACCAGTGCCTGGAGAAAGCGCTTCTAGCATAAGCTTGTGATGCTCGTTCAGATACGAGTCGCCTTTATTTCCATTCAGACATGGACCACTAGGGTCGTAATTTGGCGCGGTTTCGCCCCGAATAATCTTCATCCCCGCTTCTCCAATATCGAATGCTCTTTGTGACGACTCCACAACGAATTGACCGAAGTCGAAGGCCTTGGTATTCCGGTAGACCGCTTGAATTAAGGAAGGATCGCAGATGACATAGATCCGTGAGGAGAAGATCCGTAGTGTGAACGCAGGATGTGTCGGTATTTTAGAACTAGAAATATATTGATTAGCTCAAGGCCTCTTTTACGGACCCAACTTTTCCACTCACCTTAACATCTGCATGTATCCAACTTGCCATCTCAGCATCCCAAACAGATGTCCAATTAAGGGAAATCTCGGTTTCAGAAGTATTGGCTCGTCCGCATCCAACTCTCCCATCTTCGAGGCCACCACGAGACTCATCCCCAACACAACAGCAATTGCAGTGGCGATTACCACGGCGCTGAACATACTGCTGCCATGGCGCTGGCTCCGGGCGAGCTCATTCGAAAATGAGATTGCGCTCGCATTGCTGAACTCCATGATGCCCCTACACCGATTCGAATCACCTCAATTGAGGTCGCAAAGCTCCCGTTCCACAGTCCTGGCCCGTCATTCGATGACCGAAATGCCTTCCAAATCAAATTGACGGAGATTAACAAAAAAAAAATTGAATAGCAATGAAGGTGTACTTGGCCTCTGAGATTTCACAACAAGGAGGCTGCGCCTCGGTTTCTTCTATGAGTTTGAGCCACTGGGCTAAAGACAAACCACGGTCAATGCACAAATCAGGAACCATGTTGCCGACGGCCTTTAATTCGGATTGCAGCAATCACCTCTGCGGATCTGCGTTTTGAAGACGCAGAGGTGTAGGATGTGGCGTCTTTGCCTCATCCGGGTTTCACACTCCCGTCCACGGCGTTAACTTGCGCCAAGCCACGGATGGCCCCTAGCCGGACTTGCGGCTGTTTGAGCCTCCGAGCCAACCGCCGTTTCGAGGTGCTGGTATCGTGACATGATTCGTGAGATGTTTAGTTGGACAGGGCGTCAATGATAGCAGAAGTGAGAAAAAATTCCTCCTGAAGCTCGGGGGCAGATGTTGTCCATGTGGCCGAGATGAGCGGGCTGGAGGATTGTTGAAAGTCGAGCCGAGAGCCCCCTAATAAAAGACATCTCTCTGCAAGCGAGTGACCAGCTTCCAGATCAACAAATGGGTCCCAGACAGCACCACAGCCAGTACCTATCCGCAAATCCTCAGAAGGATGCCACTTATTCCGAATATAGCTGTCGTTTAAATCCAGGACGGAAGATCCAAACTTTTTGAAGCCATAAATAAGAGCCGATTGTCGGGCAGAGCAGCAACGGCAGCATCGTGCTCCAGACTTCGCTAGTTTCAGCCCCGGATTTGAACTTGCAAAGAAGTTCCGGGGAAGGGACAGCCGCTAAAACGTAGAACACTTCACTTCCTCACACAGCTGTGACAACAGCCACCTTCGTCACTCACAAACAATGTTTTATTGAAAATGGATCATCAATAAAATTTTCCTGCTCCATATCTTCATTGGCAGTGATGGCACGAGAGTGGTTGCGGTTAAAGTTGCCAGTTGGCTATCGGGCAGCTCCCCGGGAGCTGCCACATCCGAGACCACAATTTCTTCCCTCCCCTCTTGATCAACGAACTTCTCGTTTCCCGCCGTTTTTGTGCTCAAGACATTGAACAACATCAAAAATGCTGGACACAGGCTATTGTAATAGGCTTGATTTTCCAAGTCTTGGAACAGACTCTGTCTTGAAGACCCAGCCACCTATGTTTCTGCCCTTCTCCTTCTCCTTCTCCTTTTTGTATCTTGGAGTTGAAACAATTGCGTGCATCAACTTGCTGCTACGCACTCGCTGTAGGACGAAGTCACTTACCAGTCATAGGAGAACACTGTTCTGTCAGGCTTATTCATTCATTGAAGGTACATGCAAGCGATGCCATTTAGTGAGCTTCTGATGTTGCACGTTGGATCACTCAGTGTGAGATCTCCAAAGCAATCACCCTCGCACAGCGAGTTGAGGTACCTCCAGTGCAACAAGATATTTTCTCGTCCTCCAATTCCACTCCTACATGCCTTTCATCCCCCAACTTCCCCCAAAGATCCTCTACATTCATTCCACCCCTAATAATCCGGATTGGTAGTCTCGAGCAGGTAGCCAAGGAATATAGCACTCGGCGACCTCGCAACAAGCCAAGTGTGCTTCCACTTCAGTCCGGTAATCAGATTGACATCCTGCTCCAAATCCCACTCCATGCCCTCCAACGGATTCGGCTCCGCCACTGTCAAATCCTTATCATAAACCTGACTGAGCTGACTCGCTACGCCGACACCCATCGCCTCTCCCTCAATCCCCTCAAACGCACTCCAAGGATTCCTCACCTCTCCACGCTCACCGATCGAGACCCCATGCACAGCAACCATCGGAAGGTATTCCCACGCTGCCAGCGTCCGTACCTTCGCCAGATCCTGCACCTGCTTAGCCAAGCAATGAAAGCGGTGAGCCTCTGCTCTCAGCATCTCGAAGCTCACCCCGCGCAGGCTACCACAGGGTCTAGAGCCTTCCGTGTCGATAAACAAGGTGTCGCGGTCGAACGAGAAGTATATCTTCGGCTCCACCATCCACGACGATCCTCCAGGTTGCGAAAAGCCCTTCAGGCCGAAGCTGAGCTCGTAGACTTCCTTTGCTACCTCACGAGAGTCGCGGCAGACGTGGAGTGCGATTGGGATTCGTGCCCTGCCTAGAAGTTCCAGTTTAGCATGGATTGCAGGCGAAAGAAATCTCGATACTTGATGAAGAGAGGACACGTACTAGTACACTTCGCATCAGCTCCCTCCCCTCGATACCTCAACTTAACCACCCTCGGTCCCGGTAAACTGGCCTTCCAAATCTCGAGCTGCAGCTCCTTGGGCAGTTTCGGGAAGCAGGTAAACTGCCTCTCTGCTCGCGCGAGCGGAGTGAGCAGTGGCTGGTGAGCAAGCGCGCAAACAGCAACCATCTTCTCCACTGCCACACTGACGGCTTCCTTCTCGAAGCTGCGGGATGTTAGGCCTTTTGTCTGCCGGAGAGCGTGCAGTTGGTTGGTGGCTGACGAGATCGAGGACGCGTTGGCGAGAACGATTTGCGAATTTCGCTCCGAGTTCGTGAGCTCAAGAGGGTCACGGCATTCACTGCGGCGCTGAAGAGAAGTTTAATGTGAGTCGTGCTAATAGTGCGTTGAAAACTGGTTTCCTTTCGGCTGGATTGCTGTCTTTTTGAAAATTGGTACTGTTGGCCTGGTCTCAACCAGGATCAGACAACACGTTATGATCAGGAAGGAAGGAGGGAGATAATGGAAATAGTAATGGTAATGGCGCATTCTAGGTAAGCTCGTTTTGGCAGCAATAATCCACCCACCCCGTCCATCCCAAGCCGTAGGTATATTTGGTCATAATCCCATTACACCAACTCCAGAAGCCGATCCAAGCCCTAAAAGACCTGCGGAAAGTAGCAAAAGTAGGTTGCTTCCCAGCCTTTAGTAAAGCAGATAGCCATCAAAGATTCGCACTCTTGAAAATGATGCATAATTATTCAATCCTCAAACTGTAAGGACTTCCACTCCCATCCATCTCATCGTGGCTTCCTGTGCTGCTCCGTCCGCCTTTCACACTTGCATCTCTATCACCGTTTATCAAGGCGCAATCATGCAGGCTGCCTGCTTCATTTTGCTGATACGTGGGTATGCTTTGCCCAAACTTTGGGTCAACAGGTGGTGCCATCTTGAATCGTCTGGAAGGTAGTACTGATGCTTCGTCGTCGACGATAACGACCATCCAGACACCTATGGCTCCGTTGCTCCCAATGAGAGGTGTGCAATGAATCCATCTATTTCTTCCTTCCAAGTCCGTCTTTGAGGCCCATTTGACCTTGGCTGTAACACCACGACCATCAGCCAGCGCTTGTATCAATCCCTCACGAACGCGATTTGACCCGCGGATCTTAGCCATGAAAGGGCTCTGCAAGATGCCGGGAATACGAAGACTGGGGCTGGCGAAGAGGATCCGAAGGCTGGGACAGGGGCGAACAAGGAGGTAGTTCTCATAGATGCCACTTAATCGGCCAGCGCCGTGGCTCAGACCACCATACTCGGTGTTAGCATCAGGACTCCCGGAGCTGATGAGCACGCGAGGCTTGCTCCAGTTTCCGTCGATGTAGTTGCCATACTTAGCTTCATCCTGATTTTCCTTCCGCATTCTTCCCCCCCACCGGCGGACAGTATCGAGTTCTTCGAGGTTGAACATTTGGCTGAGATCTTGGAGCTCATCTCTAGGTAGCTCCTCCTCCCTCACTTTTCCATTCTCTGGGGTTTCCGAAGGTTCTGACTTATTTGCCAGACATCTCAACGAGTCCATACCCGAGCATTCCTTTACCAAGCCAGAAACGTCAACTTGGGCTCCGATGAAGTATCTGATCGTGCCGCGACTGTCGCAAAGCGGTGCACACATCAGGAGGTTCATGAATGGAGATCCATCTCGCCGACTACAATGGGCATTAGTTTCAGCTAAGACCGTTCCTTCGTGCTTTACTTACTAGTTAAGAATGACTTCACAGTGCTCTTGACCCGCTTCGATCTTCTCGCGAATTCTTCTGACACTGAACGGATTCGTTTTTGGGCCTTGAAGAAATCGGCAATTACGGCCAAGCACATAGGACATTCCGTATTGTGTAGTTCTGTGAAATTCTAATAGACTGTCAGCAGACGCATGAGAGAATAGAAATGGTCGGAACACCTTCGGATGCAAAGACAATTGGATTGTCGGGCCTCGAAGGATCTGTTAAACAAAAGACTTCTGCTAGACCTTCGGACGCTTCCCTCAAGTGCGACGGCAAAGTTCCAGTGATCCTCCGCTGGATTGACAAGCTCACAGTTTGTATATAGGAATGTGTGATATAAGCTGGAAGATCTTCTCTGACCAGAGCATCAAATGCTAGTCTGGCTTTCTCCTCCAATTCCGTATTATCAGTTTTCGTCACACTGGTCACCGTGAAGTCAAAACCTGATATTGGTTCCAGTGATTCCGCAATTGCATTCGAATAGTTGATGGCTTTCAGCGCCTTGACCGCATCCATGTAGTAGATCAAAATCGAACAAGAAGCTTGCCTATAAGTGTTCATAAAGCCCATGAATTGCAGCAGAAAGTCTGGGTCTCTGAAGATTTCTTTGAGATGTTCAGTTGAAAAGAGGAGTTCTGATCTCGTTTCCAAAGAGTATTGCTTGATTACTTTCTCAGCCGGCGCCACCAGATCGAATGATTCTGGATCCAAATTCTCCTCGTCCAAAGGCTCAAGTTGATCATGTTCGTCCAGTCCTTTGTGCTGAAGGGGTGGCAGAGATATCGCAACTGTCCGGTACGATGATATTTCTGAATCCGCTCCAGAGTCCGGTCGAGAACCCAATCGAGAATCGGCGGTTAATGGAGACTGTGGAAGCGATCTCATATTGCGTTGATGACCTTGCCTTGAGCTTGATCTTTCTCGAAACTCCATCTGATCTTGGTCTGCTGCTCGGTCGGGGATTTCTATTGGGCCCGGCGGTTTTGAACAGGGTTTGCTGCTAGTTTGAAGTCAGCAAATGAGAAGATCTTGTAATTAGAGTTGTACTTACCTCGAGCGTCTTGGGACGCGCGGCGAAAGGGGTGTAACTAGTGCTTCGAGCTTGCGAGTCTGCGGCACATAACCTGGGATCTCGGCAGATGGTCTTTTGAAAAAAGATTTCTCGGGAGTTGAAAAGTCAGGCCGGTGGAGGAGAATGTCGTTTACCGCGGCGCCACATTCCGATCCTTCGTCCGGACTATGTGGAATTGGTGACAGCTTGTGGTCCGAAGGCATACTGGCTGGAAGGTTCAGTCCTGGGGGAAACTAAGCATGATATAGCGGTCACTCGTGGCAAGAATCTCAAATCGAACAAGCTCTCATAAGCGCAACACGTCCGGGACAAGATCAGCGGGTCTTTTGCCAGTGCTAAATTTTAAATGGAACCCGGGTCCTGGGGATGGGAGGGTTTCTAATACCATAGCGCAGAGCTAGAAAAACAAAGGGAGGAGCACGTACTAAAGACCAACCTTGGGGCCGGCTCCTTGTGCCCGATATCTCGCACTGATGATGGCTGTGCAGGACAGGGTTAACTATGCTGCAGTTGTGCTGGTGAGTGTGGGTCGTGGATACTCGATGGCGTTGGAGCCACGCTATTGACTCTAGATGCTGGTGTAGGCTTCATAGACGCGGAAGAATATTGACAAATTGGCCAATCACCGTCAGGATCTGGGGGTTTTTGAAGGATGGGTAACGACTGTCCAGCCCTTCCCCTTTCCGTGGGTCTTGGGTGGAGGCAAAACATTTCCCTGGTCTTGATGGTGCAGCAGAACCAACGGTGCAGAGCAATAAGTGCAGAACCTTAACGTCACCATCCTTCCCACAAGGGAAGTCGCACTGGTCTCCCCAATCGAATGCCATATTCTTTTTCTCAGAACTCCTGAGATCCGTTCACGGCTTTGAACAGCCCATTCGTAAGTTTGATGTCGACGACGACGTTTCATGAGGCCAAAAGAAGGCTCTCTTCGCCATGAGAATGGCGATGTGCGCACGTTGAGAGCTTTCTACAGCTACCTGCAGGCCCCTGCAGCCGCGTGTTCGGCGAGGTCCTCCAGAATGATAAATCGTAAAATCCAGAGATCTCCACATCTCACGCGGGGCTGGAGTAATCGCATAAGGGGGCGGTTTGTGGCTAACGCGAGACACGCCATGAGAAGTTTCTCCAGGCTTCATCACCCATCACTTCTTCACGACTTGGAAGAAGATCTTGTGCAAAAGTCGGTGAACATCCCAAAGGGGTCAGCCCCCGGATTACGTAGTACGCGCAGACCAGACAGGGGCCAGGGCCCGATAGCCCCTGTTTGACATGATTCACCGTTTCAGCCTTGTCCATAAGGTGGTGTTGTATTTGCAACCTCACTTGATGGTTAGCAGTATTTTCGTCCGAATCTTGACCTATTCCAAGAGGGTGAAAGGCTAGAAGCGTCTCTGCGAGCCTTCCATCTTGGCGGCCTCATCCCCCATCAGCCAAATCTCGAAGCATCGATGACGGAGGTAGGTAGCTCGCATGCCCAGTGGTGGGACCTCCCAGCGGCCCGGGCACCCCCCTTTCGTGGAACCGTAGCGAGCATAAGTACAAGCCCTCCTCCAAGCCTTGTGGATGTTGACAATCTGACAATTTGACAAGGACGCAAATCGATAAATGCCGTCATGGTTGTGACGGCATGCATTTCTGTTTTCGCGGTTTACTCGTACGGAGTACCTGCATGCCATGTCGCTGGCTTGCTTCACGCGTCTATTACCCCCGATACACTTCGCCCAGGCACCAAAATTGAAAAATTTGAAAGTAGACTCTCAAATCTGCTCTACAAATATCGTGCAATACGTCTATTCGGTGTTTGGATCGCCATTGGCCTCCATATATCTGTACCTATACACTTTATCCCTCGTCCAGATTTCACTTCTCCCCTTAGGTGAGAGCCGGACATGAAAGCAGGTTGTACTGTACGTACATCTAAAATACTTCTATCTTGACATTTCGATAGTCGGCGGAAGTGGAAAGACTTCTTTCTGGAATCCTGGACTCAACGGCTTCGAGTCACAGCGTGTGGCAGTGGCTCAGAACCCATCCCCTGGACTCCACTCCCTACCTGCTTCCCTCGCTCGATACATAGCCACGTCTCCCTGTTCTTTCGCTTCCTGCTTCTTCTTATCACACCAAGCTACTAACTCATTGATCTTCTCTTGGAGCTGGCGGCCTTTCTCTACGTCAGGTCGACCCTGGGCCTTTTCCTCATCCGTGAGGAGCTCCGGGGTGCTTTCCCACTTCTGAGACAACGCGCGGTGGCCATTCTCCTCTTCCTGTAACATTGATCGCTCTTTTTCCATGGCACGGAACTCCTCGTACTTCTCTGCTCCTCCAAAACAGACTCCAAACCCATCGCAATAGCACACATGCTCTGCTGGACATACAATTGGCTTTCCCGTAAACACAAACTGCCAGACATACTCCCACACTCTCCCACTAATATCATCTGACAAGCTTGTCTTCGACAGCCAATCTCGGTAAAATACGTACCTTGCCAACGGTAAACTTTGAATCCTATCTCTCGATATAGCAAATTGAGCACAACATGGTTGAGCTAACACATTCGGTACAGGATCGAGGGGGAAGAGTTCGGACCACGACTTCGCCAGCACTGTTTCTTCCTGCTTGTTGATATCCTCTTCCACATTCCCGGGATGCATCCAAGATGGGCAACCAGGCCCCCAGCTACAACGCATATTCATGAAGCCTTCTCGTTGGACTCGCTCTGCCGAGAGCCTTGAAATCATCTGGACCGAATCGCTATCGAGGAGTTCGTTGTTGTGCCAGGCGAACCTGTGAGAATGCATGAAGATGTTGATATCGGAAAGATTGTGGAAATGATCGATGATGTATGTAAGGTATACCATAACTTCATGTCCTTTGTTCTTCGGTGGATGTAATTCCGCATTCACGTCATCTACAGTATATATTGCCGCCTTGATAAAATCGCTTCCACCAAAGTTTTCCCTAATCCACGAGACATCCTCGCTCGAAGTCCGCGGGGTGACCAGCGTCTTTGTATACGGCATTCCAACGGGTTTGACCATCCCGGGCTGGAATGGATTATTCATCATTGGTCTTGAATTCGTCTGAGGGTCGTCGTGCTCTGGTGCCACAATAGCCTTTTGCTTCCCGGTATCTTGCCCTAGCAATATCTGGGCAAGTCCAGATTCCAGTACAGAACTCCAACCTATAGTCGGAACAGGCAGCAGAGGCTTGAACCAGACGATGAATCCAAGAGTAAGAAACGACAGTATCGGAATCAACTTCCTCGGAAACAGCATCACTTGTTTGAACATCGTGGGCTGGTAGTGAGGGTCCTGCGTAAAGAAATTAGCAAATTTCAAGATCACCTGAGCATATGGAATTTTGGTGACGCACCTTCTTCACAGCTCCAAACATCGCCGCCAGGACTCAAGCCCATATCCCACCGGGAAAACAAGAAGAAGCGAAGGTGCTGTTCCGTCCTTGCCAAGGTGAATTAAGGGCAACAGGGAGGAATGAATGTCCGGGTGGACGTGAGCACACACTGATTTCAGATAAAGTAAGGGGGCGCGACTTCCCTTTTCAACTTGATGAAGGCTCTCTCCTTTTCGCTTTCAGTACCAAGATTGTGCCCCTCACTGACAATTTATTCATTTCGAGGCAAATGCACGTTTCCTTCAACAAGGCTTTGTGTGGAACGCTAGCTTTTGCGGTTACCGTTCTGTTTTTTATGGTCGATGATACCGCGATCAACGTCACCTCTCATTGTTCCCAAAAGTTCCAGGACCCTCAACCTTGACAAGGTTGATGAGGGAATTTTTGGAAAATGTTATCCTCGACACAGTACCGGCTGCTCTACGGAGGTCCCGAGGCTGCGAAGTAACTCGCAATACAGTCGGTCCGATCCAAAAGCGACAAAATGAAAGAAAGTCTACCAAAATACTAAATGATATAAATCGTATTAATCGGAATTATCGTATATCTTATAGTAATCGATTTCATGTTCTCCGATTTTTAATACCTTTAATATTGCGAGAGTTATAAAGCACGTGGTCATTTTTATACGAGCTCGCATAGTTCGCATTTTGTATGGTCAAAAAAAAAAAAAAAAAAAAAAACGTCCGTGCACTTTAAAACTCAATTACTAATTAACTACGGATTGCATTAAAAATCTGATTAATAGATTTTATTCGCCTGGATCTTGTCCATAATTGCATTAGTTGGTATTAATTAATCGGGGCTGTGGTTGAAAAGCTACTGTGGGCGTAAAATGGCGACTGTTTTGTCGCTTTTGGATCGGACCGACAGTACGAAGGCGGGCGGCATTAAAAACCGTCCATCCGCAAAAAAGCGAGGAACACCAAAATCGCTACGTTTAGAAAATTACACCAAATCTCAACGTAACATCTAAAAGTCTTTAAAATAGCTTTGCGAGATAGAAAGGAAGCAGATCTAACTTTTGTGGAATTTTTGCGATAATTAAATGTGATACGGAATTACAAGAAATTCTTATTGCAGGGGTCGGGATTGTGCCCGCGCTCGCTTAGCGAATTGGACGAATTTTAATGCCGTCTGCCTTCGTACGGAGATCACGGCATAAAGCGACGGGATTACGGGGTATTTGTGCTTGAACGGCATTCCAGTGTCTGTTTCTGGCGCACTCGGCCACTAAATTGCCCTATTTCTAGGCCATTGCCCTAAAATACGCTAGAAGACGGGAGCAAGGGGTACTACACCTTTTCGGGGCTTCTCCCCTGTACTTACAAGGGATAACTCGCTAAAGAGCCCTATCGTAACTACCCGTTTAGCGTCCAAGGGCTATTGTTGCTCTACTAGCAGCGGCATTTACCCCTGGAGATATTCTCATATATTGCGAATGTCTTACAGCGCCTCTTGGGATCTGCTTAGGCCATCTAGCCTAAAGTTATAGGGCCTCACAACGCGGTTCAACCCCTAAATTGTGCCCTGGGGATGCCAAGGGCCCAAATGCCCTGTAATCCCGTCACTTTATACCGTGATCTTCGTACATGCGCATGCAAGGGACGGATTGTTGTTTCCCCCCTTTGGCTGTTCATAGCCCTTTCCAGAGCAACATCCCTTATGCTCTTTTCATTTCGACAACAACAACTGGTAACTGTCCTCGATGACACTTTCGAACCAGTTCCCAAGAATACTTCTTCTATTTATGCAATAGCAGCTGATAAGTGAAGCACTTCCCTTTGGCCAAAACCGATCCAGCTCTTCAAATTCGAAATCCGTCGAACTGGCGTTTGGATTCTTCCCAGAGGTGTTAATTAGTGAGCCAGAACAGACGTTTTGGTTTATCGCGTAGGTTGGTTCTGTGAACATCTGGTTGGTGAAGACACTACATATCTGGGTGCCGTATATTGTTAATATTGCTCCGTGGCCACGTATTCTTCGCGTTCTGGCCCAGAAAGCAACCGGACTATGATTTATCAAGCTTGGATGGGGTGCGGACTGTGACTTTCCCTGGCAGCTGGAGCGAGGGGCAAAGGAGAGAGGTCTAGGTGATATTCTAGACTTGGTGCATTTGCTTGGAAACATTCAAGGGCTAGAAAAGCTAGTCATTGAAGGGTATTATGCAAATAATTGGCTAACATATTTGGAACGTAGAATGTCTGTGCGAGTGCGAAGTATATGCAGAAAGAGCGTGCACGGAGTAGATTTTGGCGGTATTGGATTTGGGTATTGAATGTATGCAGAGACAATACAACTCCTTGGGCCGTGGCCCGTAGGAAATGAATTATATATTTTCATGGAATCAAATCTTCTGTTCCCTGCTGATACTTCCTAAACGTCTCCAAATGTCTCTGATTATACTCACATATAAACTCTTCATCCTCCAAATCCTCACCAGTCAAACATCCCCCTTCACGAAAGTCACCACTTCAAGCGGCCTGCTTCGAGATACATGCTCCTCGCCTTTGGTGCTCACGAAGGGAGCATGTCCAGTGCCTCAGCTGCCGAGATTCGATCTGAAGGTCTGAATCTTGTTAACCCTCGAATGACTGGAAGTAGGGGCTGCAGAGCTGGATCTCGAATATTGTCGTGGAACTTTTGGTCCAATTTTGGCTGCGTGGGCGCTGTAGTTGCTTAGGTTTTACGATGTTAGAGAAGTCTATTTAAATGGATCAAGGATTTTTGAAGGGCTCAACGACAAACATACTGCGCTGCTTCCCCATTTGTCCGGCTGTTATCTGCATAAGCTCCCATTGGGGCTGCCACTCCGCAGGCAACTCTTCCACGAAACTAATCATCTGTGGTACGAGCATATCGAGGCCCCCCCAGTGCTGAAATGGTCGTGATCCAATTAAGGACGAGTAAATCTGTTGATCTGGATGTCAATTCATGTCCATTCATGGACGTCTGAAAACTATCGCACCGTAATTCCTGCACGCCAGAGATTGAGCCTGTGATCAAAGTGGTCAGTAAAAATTGTCTCAGGAGCCCTCAAATCTGGTGGCTGAGCGAGACGATTAGGCTTCGATCCTTGAACGAACGCTTCTCCAAAGTCTATAAGCCTAATGTCTTCATCATCTTCATCTATCCAGTTCACCCATTCGGCTTTCTTGACAAGTTGTTTCGGCACACCCGGTTCCAAGGCCTGGCCGTCAACACGAGCCAACGCTTCGAACTCTGGTAATCTCATCGAATCTAAACCTCCCTTCCGTCCAACGCGGTTAGTCATTATCGCCGCTTTGCTCAGGCGCTACTCACTCTCGCCTCGCCCTCTGCTCAGGTTGCTCAGTCACGTTCCTGCTCCTTCCAAAGCCCTAATATTCACGTGACCTACGACCCATGACAAACACTCTTTCGACTTTATTACCAGTATTGACTGAATTACATTAATTTTGATTTCTCTAAAGAGTATATTAGCGCAAAACGTTATCTAGCCATGCGATATTTAAACTTTCTATTTTATTATATAGAGCTAAAATCAATAATAAAGCAAACACAAAGTTGATTGGCTAGCTGCCTCAAATGTTTTGGCAAGATTAGAGGCAGTAAACCAATTAGAATCGCGCATTTTCATCCTACTCTAAGTGTGAGCTACATCTTGCAACTTGATCATTAAATCTGTTATAAGTATTTAGAAGTGTTTAAGTTACTATTGTTGCCCACGGCATAGGTCTATGAGATTTAGAAGTTTGTTTTGGCACGTGATCTGATCATGCACGAATGGGGATGGACGGCTGATGAGGGCATCGAGCCACCTCAAAATGAGCCTCCGCCAATTATCAATTGACTATACTTTCCGTTGAACAAAACCGCATTATTGTACTAGAGAACTATTACCAGAACGGTCTGTTCCGCCAAATTGTATCTTACTTCATTACGAAGCAGGGCTTTTGATTGTAAATGCCGAAGACGTGTCAGGAATCCTATAAACGATAGGTCTCACGACAATTAGCCTTAAACCGGAACGGAATTCCCAGTTCTTAATTATTCGTAGTACGAGAACTAGTAAATATTTTAAATCATATCCTATTGGCTACGCTGTCGAGCATGCCCAAATTGAGCGGGGAATAAGGTAAAGGGATTCGCTATAGCACCACAAGCACCTTCCCGGAGGAGCCCTGCTCCTGTAGCTGAATGTTAGGTGCCTAAGGTTTTAAAGTGAGCCTTCTTCGGAAGCCATTAGCCAGCTCTGAGAAAGTACCAAATAGGTAGACAGAATGTCCATCGTTACATGGCGGTGAGATTTTATTAGAAGAATAAACACACTCGCAGCTAATCTCTTTAATATTCTCTTAGGCGTTTGAATATAAGTGGCATACAAAGACAATAGCTGCAAAAGTATATCAAAATACGCCATTCACTCCACGAGCACTCATATGGAACAAAGCTAAATTAGAATTTTTCCTCAGAACCGAGCAGAGCATATCAGCCTGGGTTCAGACCCTTATTTGGATACGTTTCCCACAGCGTTCGCCACCGTCCACAGTTTTTTGCCAATTTTTGCCATTTTGTAGAATCACTCTCTCAACATGTTGCTAAGAGCCTGAACATCTGCAAGCGGTCCACCATGCTCTTTCTTCAAAGAATTGCTTGAAATGACACTCGGGCTCGCTGCTGCCCCTCCCAATGTCCGCCCGACGGGGGCTACACCCTCACATGTATTTTGGCCACGGGATTCAGTTTCGGAGGGAGTAACAGGAATGGGGTCCTGAAGGTTCCGTCAGCTTGGAACGATCGGAGCAGTGATGCGATGAAGAAGGGAAACGTACTGGTGGGATGGTTTCAGGAGCCTTCACTATACCCACACGGTCGCAGATGTTCCCACTTTCATGCCTTCCCTGTACCGCAATTAAATGAGAGAAGTTATCCAGGTCTGGAGATCCCACAGTCAGTCCGGGCGATGCCCTATTCCAAGTGTCGTTCTGCAAGTTTTCGGCCATGTGAGACCTCTCTGTAGTGTGTCTGGTCATTCTGAGACGTGGAACTTCGCTGCTCGCAATACGCAGGCTGTATTTGCTGTTCTCAGAATCGTGCTGAGCCAGCTGGCTTGCCATTGCTGTTGTCATTCAGTTCGTGAAAATATCGGCTCCACTTCGGTTAGCGACAGAGGACGCTGTTGGCTAGAGTGTTCCTCCTCGATCGCGACGAAAAGCCATCACCGTCTGCTTCACAACAGCACAGAAGGTTCAATGCTCAGTTGATCTAATCGACTTGATCATTGCGAACGCGAATACAATGCCATTTGCCGGCCTAATCTCCCGTTCAAGGGCACAGGTTTCAAGGCCTTGAAAACATGCCATTGCGAGAATATTTATGATTCCACGTTGCAGCTGCACACAGGCCCTGGGATTTCTGGCCAAGCGCCAATATATTCACTGATATATAGCGTCAAGCTCCCTGTTTAAACTGCGAGCCTGGTCCAGATCGAATCAAAGGTCATAATGTCACGTGATCTACAAAACAGCAACTCGTGAGAATATTCCTTCGTCTACTCCTAGCTGACATCCGTCGTTTCTAGCCAGTTTGGACTGTTGAAGCTTGTGCTATGCCAATTCTCCCACTTGGAAGTTTCAAGCATCGATTTTTAACGAAGGGGAACACCAAACGGCTGCCGCTCACCAAAGAGATTTCGCCGTCAAGACAATATCCACGCTCAACACTTGGTGGCGCGAAATAAAGCAATCTAAGGTAAGATTAAGGAAGGAGGCGCATATGATTGTCTTCATAACTGCCCGAAAGTTTGGAGCTTGCTCTTACTTAGGGAGGTCACCCGAAGGGGAACGCTAGAGCGAAATTTCTCGAAGTGTTAGGCTGAACTCTGGCTTTGTTGGCACCCAGTGTTAATGTTGAACCTGGCGGCAGGGACTCTTCATAATGAATACACGGTTCATCTTCCTTTCCTCAATGAGAATCCAGGGCGATAGCGAAAAGTTAGAGATTGTAATGGATCGTAACGATACGCGACGGGGACCTCCTCGTTGAGCACAGAGGCATCGAGGCCATTCTAATATGGAAGGTAGTCGCCACGTGAAGAGAACTCTCATCGAGCGTTGACACAGAGATGGGTCGACGAAAGGAGTCGACGAGACACCGCGCAGGCTGCGACGGCAACAATGCGGATATCCCCCGCAGCGTTTGCTTTTCAACACGATGTTGATGCCTCGACAGACGTTCTGAAGTGTTTGATAAGGACTAGTGCTGCTGGGATGTAGAACGGCAGGCTTGGGTATGTCCGTTGGTGAGTGGGATTGACCAGCTGTGTCCGCGAAGGACGGCCACAATGTGGGCTCGGGGAGCAAGATGGTTGTGCAAGTCCTGGTGGTCAAGATTTTCATCACGCGACGGACCACGTGCCATCGCGCAGCTGCCAGTCCCCGGGAGGTAGGGCAGAAAGTTAGTCAATAGAGGTTGGATGACGAATGAATAATGACGCATGGGCTCTGTGCGCAGGCGGTTGATGATGATGATGCTGATGCTGATGCTGATGCTGATGCTGATGCTGATGCTGATGCTGATGCTGATGCTGATGCTGATGCTGATGCTGATGCTGATGCTGTGATGCTGATGCTGATGCTGATGCTGATGCTGATGCTGATGCTGATGCTGATGCTGATGCTGATGCTGATGCTGATGCTGATGCTGATGCTGATGCTGGACGTAGACTCGCGTTCGGAGCGTGAAAAGGCTGGCAAAGGTCGTGGTGCTCGGTTGGCCTCCTTTCTGCAACTCTGGCAAAGAAAGTAAGGTGAGCACTCGTAAAACCAGCCGACGGTACTCGTACTGAACGGCGACACACCGCATTGGGTTTCAGTGAGGTGCATTCTACGCTGGACACGTGTGGCTTCGGCCTTATAATAGCGTACACTTCAAAATTCTATCAAAGTTTCAACAGGCTCACTAGCTATCACACCAATCCATCCAGGACCGCCGTCTTCAACGTGGTGAGCTTCTAGGAACGAATCGTCTCGAATGTAATAACACCAAAATCTATCGTCATTTACTCGCCTAAAATTAATCTCGCCATCACGTTCATTATTTCTGCGAAAAAAGATTCTACACGAAGTAATTCATAGAGGATCTGACGTGTATCGGTTCGCATTATTTGGGCCTTCTTCCCCTCCCCCTGAGAGGCCCCCTCAGCGTAGTTTGAGCCCAGGTCGGCCAGAAAATCTCAGACTCTATGGAGAGCCGACTTTGACAACTGGTCGGAAAATTCTCGTGGCGCTTTGCTTGCCAGATACTAACAAGCTCATATATTTCCTGCACCAAGGAGGTGCCACGATTCGTGGAAATTCCAAGTTTACACCCCAGCTACAACTTCGCAACGCAATACAATTAAAATAGGAAATCTAGATCGACAACAAAATTCGCATTTAGCACTATACTTCCATCCACTTTTCGCGTGTCCCGATGTTGTGTTTGGCCAAGAAATCGCAGCTTTCATTTTTGGTGTTCCGCCCATTGTGGCATGGCTGGGAAGAAACCCAGGCGTTCGCAGCAGCGTCCGAAAGGACCAGCGCAGCCATACCAAATTTATCTACAATCAGGTCAGATTAGTCATCGTAACTTTTTCGCTTAAATCCTTGCACGCTTCACCCTACTACCATCCCATAATAAAATTTGAATTAGTTCTTACTTCTTTAATAATATTCCTCCAAACTTTAAATTATGGCTATTGTATCAAAGATTGCCCGAAAGGAGCTTACTCCGGCCAAGAGATCAAGGCTTTGGACTCTCCATTGCGAAGGCTATACACCCACTCAGATTTCAGCCAAAACTGAGGTACCCCGTACTACCGTTACTTCATTTATCCAACGGCAATCCCTTGCGAATAATAATACGTTCAATTCCAAGCCAAGAAGCGGTGCTCTACAGAAACTCGATTTTAGAGCCGCTCGGAAGCTTATACGAGATGCAGTTAAGGAGCCAAGGACAAGTCTAAAATCGCTTGAAATACCTTCCAAATCCAGCAAGCATCTTCATTACCGTACAGTCGCAATTCTCCTCGAATCCTTTGAAAAAGCAAAGCGCAGACCACGCAAGAAGCCTTTTTTGACCCCCTTGTACAAGTAAAAGCGTCGGATCCATTGCCGGGAAGAAAAAGCCATGAAACGGAATAATCAGAGGATGTATTAAAGTAATAAGGTGACTTTTGAAATTAGAGAAGATTTGAGGGGTTTCTGGGTAACCAGGGGAACTGGAAGGGAAGAGAAGTATACGAACAAGAATTTACGACCCATATTTAAGAGCGGAAGGACTAGTATGGGTATATAAAGTTGTTTTTATAAAGATGAGATGGGGCCGTTATATATACTATTAGAAGAAGAGAATATAATAGCAAAGTAGTATAAGTAAGTACTTTAATACCTATTTATTCTATTCTATAATAGTATAAGAGAGAAATATAGTAATAAGATTATAATATAAGAAAATAATACTCTGTAATATATTACTAAAATTATTACTAAGTATTCGGAGAATAAGGGAATTAAGTAAATAAAATAGCTATTATAACAGCGGGATTAATATAATAGTTAAAGGCTCAAAGTTCAAAGAATCTCATATATTAGAAAATACTAAACTATAGAATAAAGTAAGGAGAATGCCTCGACCTTTAGTATTATTCCGCCCAAGTAATTCTGGCTTAGCTTCGTTTTATACCTATTTCCGATATCCTGTCTTTAGTAGATCATGCCCTTATACTAGCTATTATATTACTCTCTCTCTAAAGAGAAGTCTAAATGCCCTTATTTAGGGAATTATTTAGCTATAATATAGAAAAGAAAAAAGAGGAAATAATAGCTACTAACCCTATTCCGTCTAATCCCTATAGCTTACTTATAATTAAAGTATAGTCTTAACTCTACTAAAATAACCTAGTTCCTAGTATATTCCGGCTAGTTCTTAGTATTCGTTACTTGTATTATACCTATACCTATATTAATAATATAGTCTGGGAGTGCCATATAGGCTATAGCTAATATTAGAACTATTATTATTAGGTAGTCTTTAAATAGAAATAGTAGATTAAGTCTATTTATTAAGGCAGGCTTTAATATAATAGCTTACTTGCCTTTCTTTTTAGTTAGAGTAATAATATTTAGCTTAATTATATTACTTCTAAGCTACTTAATTAATTTCTAGGCCTTTTTAAGCTTAATATATATATCCTCAAGTTAATTCTCTATTTTAAAGATTTATATATTAAGGCCAGATATTTAAGCTACTTTATTATTAAATTCCCGGGCCTTAAGCTTTATAATTCTAGTCTTATAAGAACTTCTAAGAAGTTTTCTAATTTCTTAAATAGTATTATATACTAATTCATTAATATTTATAAGGTATTACTTTTTTACTTTAGCCTTTAGCATTATTTACTAGCTCTTAGTTTTAGACTAATACTTTATATAATAACTATTATTTAGTACTATATATTTTCTAGTTATAATAGGTATCTTAATACTAGTTTAGCTATCTTTATTATAATTAGAATTTTCTTTATTATTAGAATTCTTATTATTATTCTTAGTTTTTTTATTATTAGAATCCTTACTATTATCTAATATCTTATATTTCTTAGATATACTAGCCTTATTTTCATTAATCTTTTTAGTAACTAGCTTAGTAAGGTTAATAAGGAAGCCCTTATTAGTATTATTTATTCCGCCTATTAGGCTATTAGGCTTATTATTACTAGTAACTAAAGCCTCTATTTTATTATTCTTAGAATATTTTACTAAAATATTCTTTATAATAATTTCAGATATATTTTTAAGAATAATACGGGCCATATTTTATATATTAATCTATTCTTAGGTAAGGAAGTTACTATTTTTATCTATAAAAGTAATTTGGCTAGTAATTATATTAATAATAATTATAATTACTAAACTTGAGATACTATTACTACTATTTAAGTTATTTAGGATCTAGTAAATAGCCTTATTTAGTCCGGCTATAAATAATATATTACCGGGATTTCTTATTTATTTCATTTTTATTAATAGTTTTATTAAAGTAATAATAATAATATAAATAATTGAGATTATAAAAATTAAAATAATTAGAAAGGTTTCTCTCGATTTTTAATAATATTTCGAACTAATATAAGCCAGTATTTATTTTTAGCTTAGCTTTAAGAATTTACTTTTTTTAGTAATTTACCTAAATAGTAAAATATAATCTAGTATAATAAAAAAAGATATTTTACCCAGATTTCTAGAAAAGAAAATAAGTACTAATATAATAAAATAAAGGAAATATATTAGAATTTAGATAAAACCCGGGAAATATCTAGATTTTTTTTTTCTTCTCTAGTTATAGAGGCCTTATTATTAAGGTTTATTATTATCTAGATAATCTTTATTAAACTTATCTTCTTTAGTATATTAAATCTATTTATTTAGCTAGATAGAAAATCCTATTTTATTAGAGTTCTATTTATAGAATTTATATAATTTAAGTATTAAGTTCTTAAAGTTTAATATAAGATATTATTTATTATCTATATTTTATTTCTTTTATTTAATTTTATAATAGAGCTTATTATAAAGTACTTTAGAAAAAAGAATCTTTTCGATTTCTTATTCGAGTTTACTATTAACTTTAGTAAAATTGAGCTCTTTATTAGTTTAGCCAGGTAATAAGTTAGTAGGATTCTTATAAAGCCTATTTATATAAAAGATTAGCTAAATTCTATATAATAAAAAAAGGTCTAATTAATATAAATAGCTAACTATTTTATTAATTTTAAATAGTCTAGTAAGGAAATAGTCTAATTTATTAGATAGGTAATCTGTTTTCTATATTTTTTTAATTATATAAATTATATTCTCTAGATTAAAGTCTAGTTCTTACTATTTTTTATTAATTTATTTAGTTTAATATTCCTAAACTACTATTATATATTCTCGGGTATAATTAATAATAGTATTAATTCTCTTAGCCTATTATTATACTTTTTTCTAATTAAGTTTCTTTTTTAGTATTTTAAACTCTATTATTAGTAATATCTAGTTAAAGTTTAGCCTGAGTTTATATCTATAATTAATTATTAAGGGAAATAAGCCAGTTAATTTATATAGGTAAGTAATATCTATAATATTAAGTATTAGAAATAAATCTACCTAATTATTCTAGAAATAATTAATAAAAAAATAAAGTCGGGTATTAATAATCTAATTAATAATTTCTATTTATTTATTAGTTTAGATATATTTTATAGTCGAGAGCTTTAGCTTAGTTCTAATTAATCTTAATAATTTATTTATAAAGTCAGAAATAAACTAGGATCTTTAATTACTTATAATAATAAAAAAAGAACCTCGGAATTATTAAATATAATAGTAAAATAGGCTAGTAATAGTTCTGGCTATAATATTCTTAGTTATTACTAAGTAAATATATTATTATATTCTTTATTTATAAAGCTAGAAATATAAAAGTTTATAAATAAATTATTTTATATTCTTAGGAGAACCGATAATAAGTATAATAGATCTAGTATTTTATTTCTTAGCTTATAAGACCTTTAATATTTATAATAGTTTATTATAAAGTAATTAATATTTATAGAAAAAATAAGCTATTAATAAAATTTTTAAACTAGGATTTTTATCTTATTTTAACCGGGATATATAATAATTATTATATTATAGATTTATTATAAGAGCCTAGTTTATAAATTATTATATTTATCTAATATAATAAGTTTTTTATTATAAAATATATAACTATTTAATATTTCTTATAGATTTGTATTTTCCCGGGCTTTCTTATATTTATTTTCTAGAACTAGGTTTATCTAATTAGCTTATAGAACTTTAATTATAATAAATAGCTTATTTATTTATTTTATTTTAGTAGAAATAAGAATTAGGTCTAATAAAATAACTTATTTAGTTTTTTTAGTTTCCTTAGCCTATTTCTGAATTAATATAAGTTTATTTTTTCGGAATAAGATATTAGTAATAATATTATCTTTATTTAGCTAATAAGTAATTTAGTAATAGAATTATAATAGGAAACCTATTTATTAGATTTATTATTTATTTAAGAGTCTCTTAATACTAAAATACTCCCGAGCTTTATAATTAGTAATAATTAGAAAATTAGGTAAATATTAGTTTACTAGTAATATATAATACTATTATATATTTATAAAATATTATTTATATATAATTAGTAAAGTTATTATTTAAAAGTAGGAATTATAGTATTATAGTATTAATATATAATCCTTAAATCTATTAAGCCTAAAAGAGTCTAGTTTACTAGTTAAGTTACTAATAAGACGCGAGGTTATATAACTATATCCTATTATTTATATCTTATTACTTATATCTTATTACTTATATTCTATTACTTATATTCTATTACTTATATCCCGTATCCTATATTCTATAACTATATATGTGACTTCTAAAGAAATAGCTATACTAATACTAGAA